CAGGGAGGCAGCTGCGAGGGGCGCTGCTCCAGGGAGGACATTGTGCTGACGGCGGCCATTGCGAATGTGGGTTTGTGGTGTTCGAGTATTGTTCGTTATACGAGAGCCTTGCGGGTGGCGAGGCTGTTGGTGACTGGGTGTGGCGGAATCGACAAACAGTGGAGAGCCCTGTTGTGTGGTTGTTGTGTGGTTGTGGTTTGTTGGGTTGGTGTGGGTTGTGTGTTGTATTTGTATCTCAGATAGATGTTTGAGAGCTTTGAGGCAAGGACAACTGAATTGTTTCGATGATGTTTGGTCTGATGATGGAACAAGAGGGAAGAGGTAGGTGGGAGAGGTGGGAAGGCCGACACTATATAATTATGTCCGTGGTGTGCGCGCCGTGGCAGTCCATTCCAAGATTGCCCATTTCGACAAAACGAAGGCCAAAAGGCGTGTTGCAGGGGAGTAAGCCTGTCTGTCAGTGCCCTCTGCCATGGCCTGCCATGCCCTGTCGCAGGTGGGAAGCAAGGGAGGGAGGGAGGGCATCAGCAGAGCCAGCTCAGGTACGAGGGCCAGAGGTACCTGGGGCGTTTGTACCGCTGTAACCGCATGATCCCTGCAGGGCCGTGATTTGACGGGGCCAGGAACGAGACAAAAATACTTCCCCAAGTGCCCGTGGGCGAACAGCAAGAAACATGGCGGTGACGCAGCCAGCCTGGGCGGCCGTGTGCGTGTGGGTGGGATGGGGTGGGTGGGACCATGGACCATGGACCATGGGTACGTACCTGTGGTCCTGGTCCAGGTACGTACCTTGTTCGTTGAAGTGGGCCCGACGGCGGTCAAGGGTGGCTTCTTCTTCACTGTTTGCGGGTGCTGCTGCTGCTGCTGCTGCCCAGTGCCCAGTGCCCAGTGCCCAGATGTGGGATGCGAAGAGGGTGGGGACTGTGTACGGAGGTACATGCTCATGCTCTCCATGGCTCCATCAGGTACGTACCCTCCGTACCCATCGAAAATGAAACACCTCGCGGGCTGGTGGGGTGCTCTGACCCCTGCTGATGCGCCTCCTCCTGGCCTGCTGCTGGCCTGATGGGCGAGCATGATTGATGAGATTGACAGAAGCGCACATTTCGTTATTACCGAGACCCCATTCTATCCACCCCGCCGAAGAAGCCATGGCCATGTCGCTGTCGCTGTCGTTCGGCGTCGTCGCCTTGTCAACTTGTCACCTGGCCACCTTACCTTGTCAACCTTGTTGGGGGACCACGGGTGACCACGGGGGCACCAGAGGGCAAGATGGAAGAGGGCAGAGCACCGAGGACAGATGCCACCTGGTGGCCCCCGCGCCCGCCCTGGCTGTCGCGCATCTGTGTGATATTGTGTGTTTATGCACTCACATACACAACATACGCAGACATCTGACGAGGCTGGAGAAAGGGGGCCGAAAGTCAAAATGCAATGCAATCCAATTCCAGTCGGTCAGTCTCAGAGAAGAAGAAAAGAACAATTCTAGTATACAATCAATCAAACTGTGCATGCAGTACAGTGCAGTACGGGTACTGCGCAGTGCAGCATCGCATTTGCAGTTCGCAATCGGGCAATGCCCACTTCACCGAGCCAAAGCAGCATGGCGCTGATGACTTGTGTTGCATTGCGCGCCTAAAGAGTAGCGGTGATGTCGGTCGCCAACAAATTTCTTCTGCCTCGTCGGCCACTTCCCGTGGGTCAATGGCCTCGTGGCCTGGTGCATTGGTCCGCCGGCCGCCTTCTTCTTCCTTCTTTTTGCCCAGTTCTCCCGATGCTACCTCAACACAAACCAGGAATGGTCTCGTCTCAATCAGGACACGGCGGACGGTGAGAGGGACAGCACAAAAAAAAATGTCATGACCGTCATCGCCCTGTCAAACCTTCGTCAAGCTTCCGGGTGGGCTCTGAGAAAACCCACAATCTGCCTCTAACTACCGATCGCGCCGGAGAGGCAACATCGCTGCTGTCCGATAATGAATTGCGGTGACAGTCCCACGGGTTCCATTTCTTCATCAAACTCGATGGTTGGGGAAACCTGGACAGCCCTTTTTTTCTTTTTTCAGCCACCAACAAGGCCCAGCTTGCGGTCTGACGGGATCCCTTCTCCACCCATAGAATTTTCGATGGAACAATTCGTGACTCCACCAAGGGTATGCGCGACCCACCGCGAGTGAGATTCGACTGAACTGGAATCGCCGGGCCTCCGGAGCTGCCGTCGGACGTGAGAAAAAAGTCGTCGGTCTGTCAAATTGGCCTCTCACCGTGTCACCGTGTCAGCGTGCCCTTTGGCAGGTCCCCAATTTTATTCCTCCAGGGCCTTCCCCAGACGATTCAATGGGGACGCTGGAGATTTGACCATGGCTGTCCAGGACCATTCATCAGCCTTGCATCGCCTGGCCCTATGGCAGCCCTGTGCGTCGGGCGTGGGCAGGGGGGAGGAGGGTGTGTCACTGTAGGGGGTAAGGGGAAGGGGGAACGGTGAGTTTGGGAACCATTATCATCTCCGTACGCGTCCGAATCCGACTCTCCTGATGGAAGGCCGTCGGGCTTTGAGTCTTACCACGAGTCCCTGTCAGATTTGTGAAATTGGCAGATCGTTTGGTGAGATTGTCTTCTCATGGAAACCTTCAGGCGTCACCCTGGACCCTAAATCCAGCTTCCAATTTTGGCAACAGGATCTCTCTCCTCGTCGTCGGCCTGAGAAACTCAATCTGACGGAGACGGAGGACTGTTTGGGAAGCTTGCTCAGCCTTGCCTCCCCTTCTGGCTTACCGTGTCTATCGCAAACCGGTGCTATCGTAAGCAGGCGGGCTTGTTTCGCTCCCAAGGCCCGGCGCCAAGGAGCATGTGTGTTTCCTCGGGGCTTGGGCTGATGCGTTAGCTTTCCCTGGCCTTCTAGCTCCGAGGATACCGGGCGCGCTTTACAATGACACCGTGAGGGTTTGAGGCTGCCCGCGGACGAGATCTCAATTCAATCATCGGGCGCGGGAAACCTTCTTGGAATTGATACAGTTCTTGGCTCACATGGTGTGTTAGATATCGGACAATGGCTCCGCTACGCCTTCGTCTATGTCTGGCTCGCCTAATAAGCTACTGCTACCCTCTGCGTGAGTACGACCCTGGAATCGGCAGCGCATCTTGATCAATGGACCGTTTCGGACATGGCCCGTGACTATTTGGCCGTCCTCCTCACATGCACTCAGGTTCCACATCAGGGCATTGTCTCCAGCCGTGATTACTTAGCGACATATCCGAAGAAGCATATTTCGCTGCGACAATGGTCTTGGGCCTTCCCGCTCTCGCATGATGATGATCAGATATCAAGCAAGCCTCGGTCTCGGGTAGGTCCTCGTAACAAACAGTAATCAACGAAGCTTGTGTAAGCAGCCGGGCATTATGGTTGGTGTTAATGTGCCTGTCAATCAGCGATCCCACACCATCCCATCAACTCATGTCTTATGATCCGTGTGCGACCACCGCCAGTCTTAGACCAAGCCACACAGGATGGTTGTCTGCAGACATTACTCAAACCAACAGATACATGGACGCGGAGTCACTCCCTCCATCGTCGATATCTCACTTTTGATTCTGCAACCACTGCCATGAGCGCGCATCAGCGATCCCATCTTGGCTCGAGTCGCACCGCACAACCTCCCGCCCGGCGGAAGGGGTCAGAGCGACTTTGACTTTTTCAGCTGCCAACCCTATCGTAGGCCTACCGTCCGGGCCCAGCGCTGAACTCAGGCGGCCTTAAACTTTCCAGGCCACTCGCAATAGGGCCCTCAAGGAGGGCGGCCCCCTCGCGTGATAGAAGCTTCTCTTCCCAGATGTGCGGCATGCCCAAACCTTCCCGCCTCGTGCCAGCTAGATTGCCCGCCGTCAAAGTCCTGATGCTTAAAAAAAATCATCGTCACTTACTGAGCATCATCGATGGTCCCATGTCATCAGGGTTGCAGTCATGAGATTCCCAACCGGGGTTAGTAAGAATAAGCTATCTGATAAGTGCAGCGATGGCATCCGATGCGTCCTGCACTTCGGAAGGGAGGACAGCCTGCCGATGTTGGCGAAAACGTGGCTTGAGACTGGTCCGTCTCTGGGCCAGCCTTGTGCCACACTGCATATGTACACACTTACACCGCAGCCAACATGCAGACTGTCTATTTCCCTCCGAAAGCGTGCGCCTACAGGTTACTAGTCCTCCATCCCCCCCCCATATTGGTGTGATGTGATACTGCACGGCGCTGGGTCCTTGACTCGTCCCGTGACAGGACCTCAGTACTGTGTGAACATGATTACCCCCACAGGTTTAAGAGCTTGGTTTACAGCGCGCTCCACTTTGGCGGTGATCGGGCGAGGAAGGACGAAGGGAGGATCCACAATCGGGCCTCACTTCACCCAGCCGAGCATCACGAGCCCGAACCCAGCAACCGCTGTAGCAGCCGTGCGTTACCTGGGGTTATAGCCTTGGGCTGCAGGCAGGCGGGCTCCAGACGATCGCAGGTCGTCATTGGGCGAGGCCGGCGGTGGGATTAGCGACTCCACCCCAGGTGTGCCTCGCAGCTTGTGTGGGTACGTATGTGCTTCCTGATAATGCAAGGCAGGTAATAAAGCTGGCTTCTGACTCACACCTAGGTTCGTCACGATGCGTTGGCACCTTTTAGCTGCCTTGAGCTTGGATGCTTGCTTGCTTCTTCTCCTCCTCACGAGGCAGGTGGAGTCATAGCAACTTGGCTACAGACTTGGGCGGTACCGATGGATCCCTGAGGGTTGATGCTGTGATAGAGCCTCACAAAGCCCTGGGGGAAGGATTCCTTCTAGCGCGTGTTGGCTGCGGACTGTGGGCACAGCTGAGTAAGAGTGTAAGACATATATGTCTTACACACCAACTGGCTTTCCTCGTGCGTATAATTGTCGCCTGCTATCGCTGATACGCTGAGCCCGTGCCATTGGATCTGTCCATCCGGCGGCTGATAAAACGAGTCCGGAAGCTTGCGATCATGGGAAGACCCTCCCTCAGCAGGATATCTGTGCGTTAGAGTTGCCCGTGGGAGCCGAAGGTCTACACAGTGACTGGCTGGCGGGCGGGCTGATGACAAAGAGCATTGGGTGCCAAGCCCTGTCAGAGGAAATCACCGGAGCTCCAGGACGTATGGGTCGAGCGGGAAAGCTTGGAGGGGCTGACCGCCCGCCTCGGTGAGCGACTCAAGCCGTGGCGGCGGTCGGCGGTCTCGCTGGCACCGATCGCAACGGCGCTGCGGTGAAGCACAATGTGCGACGGACGCCAAACGAGGTTATACCAGATCGCGATGAGACACTGTCCCACGGCCTGGTGGTGTGCGGCAAGGTTCATGAGCTTGTTGCTGGCTGGGGGCAAGATCTGGTAAGCTGAGTCGTGTCTAGGACCTGCGTCTTGCATCTGCCGCGGGTGCTCAATCTGACTGTACCGTGATGCTGCGTACCCGTCCGTGTGCGTGTGGGAGCTCTGACCTCGGTGCCAATGTAACCACGGACCGCATTTTGTTTCAGTCACTGGATGCACAGGCGGTGATGCTGTCTCTCGCTTGCCAGAGTTCGGTGCCGGAGGATTTGTGTGTGCGCGGCCCACCAGCCCTTGAAGCTTCTCACGGTCTTTCGGTTCGCAGAGCTGTCCCCAGATCCTGCCCCCAGGGACAGATGTCGTCCCGAGTCGGACATTTCTGAGTCGCTCGGCAGCCACCAAACGGTCTCTGGCTACAGCTCGATGAGCTTCTTGATTCAGTTCCCGGATGAGCGGCAGGTGATTTATTGGACGATAGCGTTTAAGCCACCACGCGATCTCTACTTTGGCTTCCGTGCCAAACCCTACAATGTAGCAAGGCGCCCCCAGTGGGTCGAAGACGACGAGCGCTCAGACCAGTTCCAACTCTAATGGCTGGAAGGTTGCCGGTGACCGACACAAGCCCTCGGAGAGAAAGATGACGGCGAACCTAATACGGGGACGCGGGTCAGACTGGACTGAGGTGCTGCGCGTACTGTGCGCCCGTGCTGGCAGGTTCCCGAACCTTGCCGTACCCAGCTGCACGAAGGGCAGGGCGTGGAGAATTGCCTGCGACTCAGATCCCAGCAGCTTGGAACCAAGATGTAGATTTGATGAAATTCTGACCAAACTTGGCCAGTGCCGAGCCTGGTCACCAGGTCACCTGGTCCCCTGCTCTTCTGGTGCTCGCCTCTCACGAGGCTGAACGAGAGGGGCCCACACGCAATTTGCCCATACGATGGCAACCACGATAGCCACGCGCCCCAAAACAAGGATCTGATCCATGGTACTGCTCACCGACGAATGGGTCTGCTGCTCATCGACGACGACATCGCGGCCGGCAGCAGGTTGGTGTCATAGTACAGTACAGTTGCCGGTTATCATCGCGAACTCGACTATACCTCCACGGCCTCTACCACCACCAGGCAAGCAGGCCTGTGATCGGGGCTTGCAGACTGCAGACAGCATGCAGCCAGCATATGCAGCTGCAGCAATGTGATGCTGGGGACGATGGATCGCCAGCGCAGAATCCTTGGATCGACAGACCACGCAGCCACGGGAGTCATGGGCCACGAGCATGGCTTGACCATCAGCCGAGCCTGGGGTACATACGCATCCCTCGACACAAGCTTGGATCCTTCCATGATGCTGTCGCTGACACTCTCAGCATGGACATTTTGTGCCTTGTCACTTGTCTCGTCCTGTCATACCTGCACACTGCCGAGCCTCGTATGTCCCCACGAGCATGTTTCTGCCAGCCTTGTTTGGCCTGTCTAGGGCCCTTGCTCTCTCTAGCCCGATCCTGCGCCTTAGCGGGCCCTCAAAGATGATCCTCCCCCCGCCAGGGAACAGACACAGCAGGTTTTGTGCTTTTCTTGTCGAGACAATCAACGATTCTGCCGCCTGAACCGAGTCCACGTCGGCCCGAGTGGGTGAGTCTTTGCGAATGAGTGGCCGTGGTGCAATCGATGGATCAAACCCACTCGCTCGGCTGCGAGACAAGGCAGGGCGTGCGATGCGGGGCGCCATACGTGCCTATGATACAGTACCATGCAATTTCGAAAACAGTCATCTGACGCATTTTCAATGATGACTGCATCGTGGGTCTGTCGCAGGACCGACATGGGGGGGTCCTTCGCTCGCCGCACGCAGCCCTGCCGCTGGCCTTTGCTTGCCCTGGCACAGCCACCCGCCAGCTGGTCGGTCAATTTCCCGTCTCCACGGTTCGTTCGGCGAACATTTTTTCGAAGGTGTGGATGCCTTCTGGGGCCCGTCGCTGGCGCTGGCACAGACCATCCAGACAAAAGGTCCCTGACGAGACAAGAAGAACTGGGCCCCAGAAGATCTTCTCGATCCACTTCAGGCCCCAACAAAAATCAACAGCTTGCTTTGACGGCGGCTCTCATACACCGTCTTCACCGCCGGATAGCCCTGGCGAATGGGAAAGTGATGATTTTCGCCATCATCACCGTCAAGCGCCGTGATAATCGGCGAGGTGCCGTCATCAATCAAAACATCAGAATTTTCCATCACGGCAGCTCATCACATCCTGGCGAGGCATGCAATACAGGCTGTTCACGCAGTACTTTCCAGCGAAGTCGTTCTGGGGCTCCGGGTTTGCCCAGCTTGAGGCCGGGATGTGAGATGGCCGATACGGCAAATGGCACACGGTGCAATATTTCGCAGGCCGGCTCGGACGACTCACGAGCACTGGTACTATGGCTGGCACCATGTCGGCCTCACATATCATCAAGCTGACGCAGGCCTCGTTTTCGCGCCCTGACCATCGACCCCGGGCATCGCGAGACCAACCACGCCACGACGGCAGGGAGATGGAAGCAAGAGGTGCGCGTCCTTAAACGGAACAAGCCTCGCATCTCACTGTCGCTCTGCGCACCCTGCAACCCGCGAACCCGATATTGGTTAGGCCACACGTTGGCCCATCTTATCTTTGCTACATTACCACGATATTTAGCCCGCACAGTCAATACTAATCTAACAGGCGGCCGACAGCCCGAACCCAGGCCCCGGGATGGACAGGCAGCCCTAAGAGGCCTCTCCGTACCCTAAGAGGGACGGAGAGGAGCTTTTTATCCGGCCTTTCATTGCGATCTGTTCGAAAAGCCAAGATGGACGGTTTGTCTTTCTCCACGCCAACACAGACACCCACACCAGGTCTGTGCTTCCGTCCAGGGCTTGACCTTCTCGTGCGAGACTGGGGACAGATTGGGAAATGCCGAGCGAAGGCGTCGTCTGCCACCCAATGCATCGGGCTTGTTGGTGGTCCTTTTCTCGAAGGATTTTATGCCCGTGGATCGCCCGGTCCCGAATTGTCGGGTTGCTTGGGTGAGATTCTTACTCATCGCGGTGCCTGGGCGCAGCTCGCGTCCGCCTGAACCAATGACGCACCCCGGTGCCTTGAAAGGTGCGGGCGATCATTTCATTACTGTGACCAGCCAGCCGCAGCCGGCACAGCACCCGCAGGGGGGGTGGTGGTGTCTTCCGCCCGTCTACGCAAGCCAAACCGTATCCCACGTGGGTGACAGGGTGTCGCATCGACGAGAGCGCCAACCCCTGCAGATCACGAGGGTTGTCAGCCTGGCTGCACTGGTCTTGTCTGCTTCGGGGTGCTGTCCATTGCTCCCTTGCAGACCAGAAGGCACCAGCGCCCAATTCAGCCAATGCTGTCAGCTTTACGCGTACCCAGACACCCAGACAGACAACAGCTGGGGTTTTGCGGCTGTGCCGTGCACATGCAATACAATTCAGCGGTGTACCTGCTGCTGCGCATTTCAATCATCCTTCAGCTGAGCAGCACGCGAAACGCTGTTCCGGAAGCAGCGGGATGAGAGATTGACTGCGAGCGCCCGGCAAGGGACAGAGAAGGGAGGGGTTGGTTAATGTTGATGTTTCAGCTTTTTTGCTGCAACCGGATTGAGGACCTACACAGCCAGCCCACTTCTTGACCAGTCTGCCAGTCCTGTCTCGGCAACACATGATGATGGTGATGAACATCATGGCACACCCGGACCAGTCACTCCTCCCCCTGCTCCCCTCCTCCGTATGCCCGCTGCCTGCCTGCGGAGGCCCTTGTCGAATCACACATCATCTGACCATCAACATCTCATCAGTCTGCAACCTGATCTGCGACCACTTATCCATGGCATGCGGTTTCTATCATGTCCATCAATAAAACTGCATCTAAGACCCCAAATTCTGCACTTTCCTGCCGCGTGGCCCCATCTGGATGCATCGAGATTTCCCAAATCGCACGCTTGCATACAATTATATAACAGACTGATAGCAGGGATAGGTGTATATACAGCTCGCTTAGCAATTAAAGGTTGTACTGGTCGCGGCCGGCAGCATAGGCCTCGTACTATGCAACATGCTTGCAATTGCGAATATCAGCTGATATTTGCGACTTTGCGACGATAATACCTCCCCCCCTCGGTTCGGATGTGTACCTTATCGCCGCGTGCCTCGCTCACGGGAGCTCGGAGCGAGGTTACCTCCCACGAAGCTTAATCGGCCTCGACGGGGTGGCTGGCCCCATCTGACAGCAGGCAGCTGCAGCATCTCCCGATAAAGTTCAAGATGGCCTTGAAACGGGCGGCTAATTATGACTGCGCAGCGCACTAGATTCGGTTGCACGGCTGTCACAGCCCGTCCAAGCCACACGATGAGCCCACTGCGGTCTCGAGAGCTTCATCAACATCAAACAGTCGCGTGGACTCGGCGATACGGGAAACATCGTCATCGCCCGTGTTTGAATGCGGGGGCAATGAGGCAGAACAATATGGGGCCATGCGAGATCTACACGAAAAGCGGAGCCAACACCCTACAGTATTCTGCTGGGGAAGATCTTCCCGGGGGCACAGCAAGCCTCGCGGCGTCCTTTGTCAGACTGGCGGTAGGCTCTCCTGCGGCCCGGCCTGCCTACTTTACCTCAAGCAAGATGGTGGTCAGGCCAAATAGGTGTGCTTATGTGCTGCTTCTTATCTTTCCACCCGCATACCTACTCCCTCCGTTTTGAGGACAATAGTGCTTAGGCAATACCACGTGGGAATGACTGCGTGTCCCTCTGGCCCTGGATCAGTGTCACTATAGCCAGGGGTGGGAAGGCAGCGACAAGATACGAGGTAGGCAACCAATCTCTTGTGTCAATACATCATGAAAAGGCAGAGATGATTCACATCCCGAGGTACCTGGTCACATCACCGTCATCCCGCGGGCATCCAGTGGCTGGTCAAGGTGGCCTGCCAATACGGCTGTACGGTCTGGTTGGTCTCTTTTTTTGGTTCAACGCACACATCAGCACTTCCATTCCAAGCCGCCTGCATGGGATGGGATGGGGGCGAAGGTACTTTGGCGACTTGTACCCGCTGCTCGCACGCTTGTCCTGCAAGCACTCACGCTTCCAAGCTGCACCTGTCAGCCTAGGGTTGGCTCCCACCGGATCACAAGGTCAGGACTTGTTTCTTGTTCCTTTTCCCTCCCGCTTCCAAGGGGCCGGGAAACGCTAGGGAGGCATGGCGAGCGTGGGCGGGGGGGTTGGTTGGAATTCCCATGACCTACATCCCCAGTGCTTTTTCCTGTTCCTGAAACCCGAGGCAGCGCGGGGTAATCCTGTATGCACATCCATTCACGGCAGTAGACATCGTAAGGGACAAGAGAAAAACACGAGATTTCGGTCCCCGGCGCTTCAAGGCCGCCGGTGCACGGGCACACAGAGCACCGCCCACCGGGACCGTCGGCCGTTGTTCTGGCTCCTAGCTTGCTCGCTCCAAAGCGCTGGTTTCTCCGTCGGGAGTGCGCACCTAGTGTGTGCGCGGGTCAGCTACTGTTTCACATTCCACGCTGGGCGTTGCCACTGTCGCTGTTTTCGTCGTCATTCTCCTGACGGGACGCGACTCCCAAGACACCGTGTCGCGGGGTGGTGCGAGTGCGGGATTGAAAATAAACTTTTTTTGCCCAGGCACGCCGCTGCTTGGGGGGGCTAAGAGGCCGCACTGGGGGCGGGACAAATCTACCTGAGAGGCCATGTTTCACTTGAACCTAAACTTATCACAGGATCCGACCCTCATTGGTTACCGCGCCTTAGGAACGCCGAGCTGCGTCCCTTGCTAGACGGATTGTGACTGGGCCGACTGCCATCCCATCCGCATCCGACTCCTCCACGAGGTTCCAACGCCCGGGGTCTCGGTCATACTCTGGTCGATCTTGGTTGCCTCATTGTTGATGCTCGTCATACGGGCAGCGCTGGACGCTGCGAACCATAAGTTTTCCGCCCCAATCACCTGTCGAGAACGGTCAGGTCTGCAGTTGTAAAATAATTTCCCAACAAGTGAAGCGTGTCCACGTCTTTCACTGACAAATAAGGCAGCAGGCAGGGTGGCAAACCAAGAAAGTATCCGTAGCCAAGCACCCGAGGTAGAGCAGGTAGATGCTATCATGTGGTTAAGCGTAGTGTAAATGGTGAAAATCCATATTCACAACTGTCTAGCTGGCATAGGGTGCCAGACAAAATGTTCCGTCTCTGAAATTGACGGAGAAATAATCGGTATAATCAAATTAATTCAGCCAACAACCGAGTAATGATCTCACATTAACTTATGTGAAGTGTAGCAGTTGTGGAAGCGGACATATCTCAAAAAAAACCTGACCGTTGTGACAATCCTTTTAATTCAAATGTTCATTGCTTGAAGTTCCCAATCAAGATACATGCAAACCAAATATCGTATTTTGATACAACGATCGCAAGATCAGTCTACCCAAATTTTATGTAAGTAAATTGAAAGAGAGGGCTTCGACGTTGGTAACAATGACAATAGCAAGACCCGTTGAAGGACCTGATTTTATTCTCTCCAGCTCAGTATGTAACTAGGTACTTCACGAAAGCTGCTTCGCGACCCGAATAGAACCTGCAGCTAGTGAGGTTTCCTCCGTATAGTCGCCCTAGTGTAGAACCGGTCCGGGGCAATGTTGATGAGAAGTCTATCTCGTATATGACTGTAGACAATTACAGTAAACACAGCCCAAAGTCCTCACCAGATCAAAAGCTGGGGATATACAAAACTATCAGGTACGAGTGAGTTGAAGAGAAGTTTCTATTTTGGCACGGCGTTACATATATATTCTCAGATATGCTAAAATAACTGCTAGGCTTGCTTGCTATTATAATGTCGGGAAAGTACTCCACGTAACCGTTGGATAATATAACAATGGCCTTGACAGCAAACATTGTCCCGCGTGTTCCCAATTTAATGCTTCCAATGTTGAACTCCTTCAGTTAGCCCAGCATCTTCAGATCCAAGAGACCAAAACTTGACGAGAGTTGTGTGGGCTATGAAGACATCGTCCATTCTCCATGTAGCCATCGTCAGATGTGAGAGCCCGAAAGCCGGCACAGATGACGACGCCACCTTGTATTGAGACATGTGTTCGGAATCTTCGCTTGGAGTGAGACCGCACATTTCTTTTTCTCCAAGCCACACTCTCTGAGCGTCTCCAGACTCTTCACTCGAGTGTGCTTGCACATGGATGCGTTGCAGTGCTCCTGAGGCCCAAGCTCGAGACTTGCGGGGATGAAGTGCCCATGTACCCAAGTACCTCGGTACCTAATGGAACCATGACCTCACCTCCCGCTCAGCGTCTAGGGAGCTTTCGTCCCATCCAAACCGAGCTCCACGGTCCTTCACAAGTTCAACCAACAGAATGATCCGAAGTCCACCATCACGATGATTCTCGAAAGCTGCTTGCAGTAGCCCAGACGCCACACGACGCACGACGCGCTTCTGCACGCACAGCAGTGCGCACTCGTCGAAGCACAAGCACGGCTACGCAGACATGGCGCCAATCCGACGATACCTCAAGATCTCCAAGTACTCGGTGCTTGAGTGCCGGATCTATCTCGACAATCCTGCTTTGGCACACTCCTGGCTGCTCAACCCGCGCAACCCGATCTTGCCCAGGGTTATTGCCAGTGTACGACCCTTGGTACTCCCCAAGCTCCGTGAAGAACGGGAGCGCAGCCGCAAGAAGAGCACCAAAAAGCGTGGCATCAAGGATATCGTGGTCGAGGGTGCGTCCCCTTTCTTTGTTTGAAACATTCTCAGCCATCTATTTGCGGCGCAGACTACTGCGTAGGTTGCGAAACATTCTTGCCAATGCTGATCACCATGCGCTTCCCAGACGATTTCGAGGTGTCCATTTTCTTGACCGAGACAAGCACCCGCCACTCGCTGCTCTACAAACACAAGCACTTCCGCGACAAGACACAGACAAAGCTGACATCAAACTCGACCAAGCTCACGGGTGCGTCCCGAGAACTACCCATCAATGTCGAGGAACCGGCCGAAGATGCCGAACAGGTGACAGTAGTGCGCGAGGAGGGGGACGATGACGCGGTGGCTCTCTTTGACATCCCGACTATGGACGAAGGTGAAACAATAACAGCACCCGTCGGCTCGCCACCATTAATGCGACCATCGAAACGCCGCCGCGGGAGGGGCGCAGGGCTACCCAGGGACGACGACGACGACGACGACGACGACGGCGCCGAACACGATGCCGGATTACTGATTTCGGACGAAGAGGAGGGCGACGACAACCTGTTCGTAGACGATGAAAACTCAGACGGCTCGGCAACGGCACCGCCTCCGGCCAAGCGTCGCAAGGACGACGCTAGCCCTGCCCAACACGAAGCTCTACGGGACGACAAGAAGAAGCTAGCAATGGACATATCGTACGAGGGGTTTTCAATCTACGGCCGTGTTCTCTGCCTCGTGGTAAAGAGGCGCGATGGTCCCAGCGCCGGAAGGAATGCGCCAGCCAAGGCCGGGCGTAGGAGCGGGCAATCGGCCGCACCCGGCGGTGGACAGGCTGTGATGGAGAATTGGATCACGTCGACGCAGATGCCCGAGGTGGCCCCAGATGAAATTCCAGGGGCGTCTTGAGGCTGTAGGTCAACTGAGACAGTTACAGGACGGAACTCGCGGTGTCTCTTGTCGGACCGAAATGTCCGCCACGGCGTCGTTCGGGCCTGGATCGTGATCTTGGGACGATAAGGCTGAGAAGTCGCATGGCTTGCAGGGTGCCTACCGCACAGTACCCACCGCACAGTACTGCATCTCATGTATAGTATGAGGCTATTTGGATCATACGAGTCCGCGCACACCAATCACTAGGCGGAAGCACTACCGCCCGTTTCCGGGATGGTGAAGCGAGACCGACATTCGATCCGATCTCGTGGAAAGTATCACTAATTCCTGTCAAGACCCTTGGCGGCACACCTGTCTTGGGCTCGTGTTGTTTGTGCCGCACATATCGTCCAATGCGCCCTGCGGATCTCGATCCACATCCTGTCAAGCCTCATTTGTTTCAATAGAGTGGAAACTAATATGGTGTGGACGGGAAGCACTGTCTCGGCCAAGGTGCGGGCGAGGACCGCGCCCCGGAATGTGGGCTGCGGAATGCACGTCATCTCGAGGCTTTCTTCGGAACTTATGTATAGCTCTCAGGGCGAGTGCACTAAGTTGGTGCCCAGCCGTTTCGAGAGATATCCCGTCCTGGTTATGCTGAAGCTAAAGCTACTAATCTGTTGGGTTATCGAAGACGGGATATACCAAGTCCCCAACTAACGGCTTGGGCTCTGTGCGCAATGACCGGCCTACCGAGGCTGTCACAAGACTGTGTTTGTTGAAGCAAGACCTCGGAGTGACCGGCTGTTAGCCTCAAGCCACGAAGATGAATGCCTCTATTCCATGCATTTGAACGGCCGGTCAGCGAAAGCCATCGAACTTTCACGTCCTCAGTATCGTGACACATTGGGTCCTAAGAAAGCAAGGTCACTTTGATGGCATCAGGTAAACCAATAATTGCTGAAAGCTGTAATTTTCCTCAATAGGTTGATAGTAACAATTGTATACACTTTCTAGTTCTAATTATATCCTCTGGTAAAGCTAGAGGTTCCCATTGTCTAGCCAGGGACTGAGAGTAGACGGCTTTTACTACACTACAGACCGACTGATGGCCTGTAATCTTCCCGGTCATTCCACGGTCAATCGGCATTAACGGCCGCTTCCATTGTTAACCAACAAGTTCGGTGATCCCATGGGGTCCGCAACGGCGCCCGGGATGGCCAGCTGGAGGATCCGGTCCGTCACCTCCTTGGGCGTCACGAGGCCGGCCTCTAGGCCCCGTAGGTAGCACACGAGCCCGGCGACGAGCGGCGAAGCCATGCTGGTGCCCGTCGCGGACCGGGAGCCCGTGTCGGACAGGTGGCTCGCGCTGACGATGTCGCGGCCGGGCGCGAAGACGTCGAGCTCCGGCCCGTAGGAGCTGCCGTAGATGCCCTCGATGATGTTGACGCGGGCGCGGTCGGGCTGTGTCATGCCGACGGTGAAGGCCTCGGGGAGCCTGGCCGGGGATGTGTCGGTGGCGGGCTGGTTGTCGTTGCCGGCTGCGACGACGGTGAGGACGCCGTCGTTGTAGGCGGCGAGGACTGCGTTGTCGAGGGCGCTGACGTTCTTGGCGCTCAGCGACATGTTCAGCACCGACTTGCCCTTGGCACCTTTAGAAGTTATATCGTTCACGGCCCATGTGAGGCCAGTGAGAATGGCCGAGGTGGAGCCCTGGGAGAGGTTAGTGTTTTGGCCACAATGAGTCGATGGAAAAGGAAGGGAACCTTACCGTATCGCCATCAAACACCTTCACGTCAACGACCTTGGCCTTCTTCGCAACTCCGTAGGTCTTGCCAACAATGGTGGCCGCAACATGGGTGCCGTGGCCATCAGTGTCCGAGTTCGAGCTGGTCTGCGTGGTCGATCCCGTGACACCATTGATGCCGAAGCTGGCCCTGCCCTCGAACTCCTCGTGCGACAGGCGAATGCCAGTGTCGAAGACGTACGCGGTCGTGCCCTCGCCGGCAGTCTCGTCATAGACATACTCGGTCGCACCGGCCTCGAGATGCGACAGATCCCCAAGGGACCAGATGCTGTCGGCCTGCGTCGTCAGGTCGCGCTGCCACACGCTCGACGTGCCCTCAGTCTGGTCGACGCGGATGACCTGGTCGGGCTCGACGACGAGGACCTCGTCAAGCTCCGAGATGGCCGCGAGGGTGGCGTCGTCGAAGCTGCCGCTGTAGGCGTTGAAGTCGCCGATTTGGAACGTCTTGTCGAGAGCGCCGGCAGACCCATCGCGCCGCCGGAGGAGGCTGCGCACGGTGTTATGGTGCGATGTGACGGCCTCCGGGCTCGTGCCGGGCTTGAGCTGGACGATGTACTTGCCCTCAATGAAGGCGGGATCGGCGCGGCGGTTGATGCCATTCGGTGCCGCGAGGGCGGGCACGACGGCGCCGAGGAGGTAGGCCAGTGAGGATGTCTTCATCTTGGTCGACCGGTTGGGAGAACAAGTCCTGAACTGAGCTCCCTTCATCAAGCAGAAGCCTGGCCAGCCTTGGGAGGTTAAATAAGTGCTCTTACCATGGTGGCTGTGGTAACTCCTATTATCAAGTTGGTTGAGGGATCAGGGGTAATAGCCAACTGCCGTTGCGTGATACGGAGCCGTTGTCCCAATGAAGAAGCTCGACGGTGTAAGCTGCCACGGGTAGATCCGACCCCCGGCCGTTGTCCTGACCGGCGCGGGCCCGGGACTCCGTACATGGGCCGGGTCCATTGAAACATGACCAGCGAGGCCGGATGTCATTCAGCTATCTCCAGTTGCTTGCCTGTTACTATCGCGTGCCCCTTTCAAAGTAGACTTACATGGTGAGAATCATTGTCGCTGTTTTCTATATCTTTCTCAATCTCGTATCACTCGACAGGAGAACCAATTATCCAAGGGTAAGGCAGGCCAAGACGCTGCCCACTGAAATGCGTCTTGGGTCGTATTATTACCCCGGCGACGAACTAACGACCTTCCCTATTCTTCCTAACTTGCCCCGCCAAGCCCAATGATTCCTGCGCAATCGGTCAATACCAACAAAGTAGCATTAATCAGATAAATACAGGCGCGAGCTCGTATCATTGAGATCCACTGTAACTCTACGGTCAGCTCATCCAATGTGCTGTCTTGCATAGCCAGCGGACTCTATGATATAAAATTAGAATTGGCATGGGCTGCACCACGTCGCAGAAGCTCCATTCTCTCTTTCTAGTTGTCGAGCCTGGTTTGGCTTGCACTGAGGTTTCTAGATGAACGGATCCTCAAAACATGGATGAAAAATAGGCTTTTGTAGGAATATCTTTCGAAACATCATTGCACATGTAGTATTGAGATCCTTAGAAATTGAGCGCTTGCAGCTTCAAGCAATTTCATATATGTTATGTATAGAGAATGTCATACAATGGACGTAGACGATGCTACAACGTGTCTATGGGGATAACTATAAGCTTCTAATTACAGTCAATTGAAACTGAGAGTCAGAATAATCGATAAGGAAGCCTGGTACTGGAAGGAAATACGTTTAAATGTTTGCTAAGAGCGAGGCACACAGACTTATATGCAGTCCACACAAAAAATTCATGGCAATGTAGAGGCAACAGTCTGCGGACTATAGGTTGTTTGCACCCCAACGGTCTTTGCGTGGGAATTCATTTGAAGCAAATGTAAAGAACTTTACTTGAGAACATTTAGAGCAGACACTCCGTACGGTGCCCAGGGGTATCTGCAGAAAGGATCAATATAGCCCTCATACACTCAAATAACCACTTCTTCTGTAAATGCATCCGGCAGTGATTTCCTCTAGTAGAAATCCCCAATTCTGAAGCATTTTAATGAACGATTTGGTAGCCTTTCGAAACGAAATGGCCACGGGAAGGAGCTGGGACGGAGGTAGCAAGAAGACTAAAAGGGGTTTCCAACCAGTGTTTATTTAGATTAATGATTCTGATATACAACAAAGTACCTATCCATTTGCTCACCCAGGGATAAAACATTCAGTCAACTTCACTGCCTTCCCTGAATTTCAATTACAAAATAATGAACTCACGAGTTCGATTGAGTAGAATCCTTGGTTCACACTGCGAGAAGACCTGAAATAAGAAAGAAAGTCTTTCAAAAAGCAAAGCTTTTCCGGTTAGCCAATGTCATCAAGGTACTTCGATATTGCAAAGGAACACTCTCAGAGAAGGAGCCTCTTTGAAAAATGTGACTTTGATTCCAAATCCAATCACAGCCTCAAAATCCAATTCCATTCCGTACCCACTTCTGCAATCCAAAGTCTATTTTGAATTGTTAAGAATTTGCAGAGGCCTGACAGCTTGTAGTAAATTGGAGTTCAAACCCGAAGGGTACTCAGAGTGACTATCTTGAACTAGAGACGATGGCTCCATGATCATGGAGATTGTTTCAAAGGATGTGGCTTTTACAGTGACCCCTTTGGAAGGCCACCCACGCATGCAATGGCTAATCCAACCGGCCGTACATTCTGCGACATCCTTGAAGCCCCTTCGTACACAACCGCCATATTAATACATTAATGCCATCTTACACCAGTACAGCCAAAAGCAAGCCCAGCTGCAGGTCCACCGCCTCAAAGCTCAATCTCATCCTATTCCAACCTCAACGTGCCTCGAACTGACAAAAAGCCTTTGTTCGCAATTTATGGAATGTCCACCCGCCGCAGAAGTCGCACTGGAGACGTTCGCCTTTCCTCCGCGTTACCCTTGTGGAACAGGCGGCGCATTTGTACGTGACTGGGGGGTTCCCGCCAGCGAGTCTCTCGTAGACTGGCTTTTGCAGAGTCGCGTGTTCGACCTGACGGCTGGGCGGCTGCGTAGATGAGTCCGCTCCGCTTGGGCTACTGCCCTGGGTGGTTGTTGGGACGGTGTACGCTTCGCGAGACATTCTTCGTGGGCGCGGAGGGTCTGCATACGAGTGCTTTTGATGTCGATTTCTTTGTGGGACGGGGAGGTTGATGTACACATGCTCTGGAAACGGAATGAGCTATGGCGGAGTTCAGGGATATCTATCTACTCGAACCATGTCTGTATATTTGTGTATTGAGAACGCTTGGAATGGTGGCGTTCAGTGGAGAGATATTTGTACAAAATGCCAGACACAACATACTCAAAGCTCGCCCTGATTCCGGATTCGAGAATGCCGAGGGGTTGAACGCGGACTCCTGAGATCAAAGGCATGTCTCCTCGCCTTTATTCCCACCTTCTCCTCTCCTCGTCACTTGCCATCTCAACAAACCCTTCAGCCTTATGTTTCGTCTGCAACTTAAGACTATCATAGTATCCTACCCCCAAACTTTGCCATATCCTGTCACATTGGTGCTCGGCTGGCGAGGCCAGGACATTACATACATACACACCCAGCACAGTCATGCTGAGTCATTCCAATGAGCAAGGTCGACTAGCTGTTTCCTCCGTGATCCCTACAAAAAAAGTCTCTTGGCAAATAATGCAAAAGAAAGGAAATGGTCCCGGAGAGGATCGAACTCGCGACCTTGGCATCACCGATGATTCCCATTCAGGGAATTATTAGTACCACGCTCTAACCAGCTGAGCTACGGGACCAGTTCTTGTTGGAATCTGGGAGGAAATTGAGGTATATGGAGTTGCAACTATGAAAATTTCGCTCGGGTGGGCCGGGTATCCGCCGAGATATGCAGACTAAGCCGGACGGCTAACACGGAGCGGCCGAGGGGAGATCCGTGCGTTGCATGACCCAATCAACAATGCTTACGCAATCAGGTGCCCCCTTCCAAGACCGCTGCTGCTGCTCACACATGAGCGTCTAAATGGGCAATTCCCCTCGTGATGACCACCAGTATGTGTGCTATGACAGTCAGGATGCTCTTATGGTGAGACCTCCATCTGGATTTCAGGGTCGAAGACGAAACAGTAATGTGAGGCACTTCGTGCTGAGATGAATAGCTCGAAGGGATATCAGAGATTTCCCCGTCACCCACGCCAGACATCCACGTCTAGACACAGGTCACTACAAAGTATCCCACAAGATATGAGACACTATGCTTTGAAACTATCCTGTTGCACACCACTGGAGGTTATTCTAAGTAGAGTGTTTTCTTGGAAGAGTCCAGATTGAATTACACGCAGAGGCCACACTCTGAACTGGCCAGCACTAGGGTCATCACAGCTGCGGGTAAGGAGATAGGCCGGTAGGCCGGTGAGAAGAAGCCACGGCAATTCCAAAGACGGCCATACTCCTACTCTCATGCGTACGGTCTTCTCTGTGGACTGTTACTAAACCAGGTGGCTTGATCTTCAGGGTACTTGCTTGAGGGCGGTAACACGTCCAGCCGAAGGTGTCTCCATGAGTATCTCCCACACAGGCCTTGCTGGCACAAGCAATGAACCAACCCTGTAGCCATGATAGAATTGTGGCGAGGGACTGCTGCACAGGCCGCAAGTAACCGATCACCCATCTACCTGCCAGGACCATGGGGATCCCCCGTCGATCCTGACTAGCCACCGCGAACCTCCCCCATCCTCTATGGGGCAGCTGTGGGGACCCCCCGAGAAGAGGCTAGAAAACAAACACAAGGGAAAGTCGGCACCCGAAAGGCAAAGACTAGGAGCCGCGCGCCCCATGGCAGCCTGTGCACACACACGAGGAAGCAAGAAAAAAAGGGAAAAGGGGAGGATAGGGAGGTTCAGACGACGCGTACAGAGTACAGATCTCGACACCAGGGAATGACTCGCACCTGGACGACGACTGACCAGGACTTGCTTGCCCTGGGGTATCCATTCCCATGATGTCGTGCGTGTATCTATGTCTCCTGCACGTGTCATTCGAATGACAACCCATCTTCCAACCCGGCGCCCGCGGCGGCGCGTCTGGCCTTGGGAAAACCGTACCGAAAGGGAGGGGGAGAGGGGGGGGGGGGCTGGGCCACCTGGGGAACGACAGGCCGTGAAACAACAAGCGGGACATGTATAACATTAGTAATTATACATCCACTTACCCGTAGAGATGCGCGTCTAGGAGGAAGGAGGTTGCGAAGCTTCCGGGGAAGGGGTTGCTTACCCGCTGAGGTGCCCCCGAAAAAACTCCAGCCCATTCATCGCCATGGCAGCTCGGGGGAGGCGATGGGGGTGGCGGAAAAGAGAAACAACTAATAGTCGTCGGAAGTCGTCTCTTGTTTTGCTCTATCTATAACCATGCAAGCGGGCCTGGACGCCGTGGGCACCAAGGTTTTCCCTGGGGTCATGGGTCAAACAAACAACGCTCCCTCGCGCTCTATTGCCTCCTCTCACAGAACAACATCCCAGCTGCCCCAGTGCCTCTTCGCAAAGAACAGCCGTCCCACGTGCTCAACGCGCGCGAGCCTCCTGAGTCGTCGAGGTACGAGAAACCATCATAATCCTTGGACTGGCCGTGACCTGCTCAGTACATGCAGTCTCATCCCGAAAACCAGCTCGTGTCCTCGGAGAAGGCGGGTGCGGGCGGCGTATGTACTCGGGGTGAGCTGAGGCGATCTGGCTGCAGACCAGCCCCTCAGCAACCATCTGAACAACGAGCAAGCCGAGATCTTCACAGAAGCTGGGGAGAGCTTGTCAGAGAGGCGAAGCCTACCGGCGACACTTGATGTCAGAGAAGTCAATCATCATCAGTTGCTGCTAGGTCGCGCGCCCATATGGCTAGTCCCTTTGATACTTGCGTGCGGCACTGACTGTCCCTCAGCTGGAGTCGTTCTGTTTCTGGCATCATAGTAGCTCGGACAGACCCTGTCACGATACGGTAGCAGGTGATAGTAAACCAATAAGAAACAGTGTCAGAAGCACATCGCTTCAGCGTCGTTAGATTGTTGATACAGATATTGGTTGACCACGGCAGATGGCCACCATCGAACATTCTCCCATCGTCCCTCCGAGGTATATAGTACATAGATGTTGGAATTTTGTGGTGGTATCGCAAAATCCGGACCAAATGCAGCCCATGTCCGGTTGCGCCCACTGTCGCCGAACATGGCCCCCCCCCACCTCAACCTTCCGTAAAAACGCCAGGAAATTCAAGGGACTTGCCAAATTGAGTAAATGCTTCCGAGTAATGATGAACCTCTATCAGGGCTTGATCGTGGCGCTAGATGATCAAGATAAAGTGATTGGCGTGGAAAAGAAATATGCCCCAAGTGCCGAATTATGCTTGTTGCTGTGCGAGCGTCGTCTATCTGCGTTTTGTCAGGGGTAGCCCACTGGCATCGTAGTCCCATCCCCTCTTTAACCCGCCCTCGTAGACACTGGCCACGGAGTCCTGCCACATAGCAGGAGTCACAAACGTCTGCACAGGTGCAGACGAGTATGCCTGGGAAGGTGAAATCTGGGAGGCAGCGGCAGCGGCAGCAACTGACGGCACGGTGGCGTGCACGTGTTGGATATCCTGAATCGACGGGATTTCCGTGGCACCTGAATTTGGAATACTTAGAGAGCTATTGGGAGGTGGAGCACCAGTCACTACTGGTGCAGACTGGGCTGACGGCGTACCGAATGAGTTGTTCCATTGACTAGTGGCGCAAAGTTAGTTTTGTTTGTTTCAAAATCCAGAGGTTTCACAGGTGTTTTTAAACTAACTCAAATATTCTTGTGGGATTCCACCCGGATCCCGCGTCAGAAGTCATAGGCATAGACGACTGCATTGAAGGTGCTTGCGACGAGCTGGTCTGACTGCCAGAAATCATGGGCAACTGTAGACCCGCTGGAGAGTCACTCTTCATGTCCATAGGACCCGCCGATATTGGAGGCGTAATTGGGTGCTGTCCGGGGTAACTGACTTGAGAATGCTGAACAGCGCCCTGAGTGTCGATTGTCTGCTGGTGGTGGTCCATTGATCCGCGAGGGATGGATGGCCTGTAGTTATTGGGATTAAGACGCGGCGGGGTTGGACGCGTGGTCGAGTGCGGGCTGCCGTACGGGAAGCTAGGCTTCAGCACGAAAGGCTTCCTCGTGTCGGCCGAGAAGGCCTCTCGGATAGAGTCTATTTGTTTCTGCACGTCTGGCATCGGCCATGCGTGCATAACCTTCTCTAGCACCCTCATGTGTCTCGTGAAGAACTCACGGGCGTCGGAATTCAAGTCCGGATCTGGGGAAGTGAGGGCAACCTAAACCTTGTCAGGTGACTAGAGATGTCGGATGTAGGAAAGTCAGACTTACAAGATGCAGTACAATGCATGACATTATGCAGTAAAGTGAGAAGTTGATGCCCCTCTGCATGCATTGCAGCCCATGCAGGCCAAAGGATTGCAGGGTAGCCTCTTGGAGCCTGCAGATCGTCTTCGCAGAGTTGTAGCAGAGCATCATATGGTGCTTCCATTGGCCATCCATACTGGTCGGCTCCAAGTGTGTCAGTTGCGGTCGGTGCAGTAGTATGATGCTGAGGTGGTAGTAGGAGTGCAGATTGCCGATGAACGCAGAAGACAACCACGGCGCGGACCCATCAGGAGGGTAGTTGACTGATAGATCAGCAGGGAGCTCGTCCAGCCAGGCAGTTGCATTGGGGTTGAGCTGAACGAATTCAGGATCGCAGCCCCAATCCTTGTGCTTGTGAATGCGAGAATAAACCCTGTTCATCCGTGCGATGTTGCGGACAACTCGAGCCATGTACGCAAAGTTTCGGGCGACTTGGTAGTCCTGATCGTCACCCCCTGCCAACGGACGTGGGAGCCCAAAGTCAACCGAATCGAGATCCACCGAGAGATCCGTGCGACCTATTTTGAATGTCAGTGGAGCTGCACCCATCTTCTAGGCCTAGAGATGGATATATACCTTGCGCAGACCCTATCATGGTCTCGCAGACGAAAACGGTCTGCCAAATTCGGCTCTTAAGGGCACAGTCGGCTGCAGAGGAGTTGCAAGAACGCCCGGCTTTGTGGTCCTCGAAATGCTCATCGAGACCCAGCTCCTTGCCCATTTGGACACACTGGACGATGGCCATCCAGGAACGGTAGAAATAGCCACGTCTCGGAGCTGCTTCTCTCGCCTTTAGAATGAGCAGAAGGGCCTGGATTGTGCTCAATCTAGGGGTGTCCATGAAGGAGTCGGCGTGCCCTACGGGGTGTTAGTATTCCAATGCAAACAAAACGCGTCGTCACAATACGCACTTGTTGCCAAAGCGAGCCATTGCTGTCCTTCACCTGGCTCGTCTGCAATTCTTCCAGCCAAAGCAAAGACAGCTTCCAAAACCAAAGGAGAGATCGAATCCCTGCTTGTCTGCCATTGTCGGTAGAAAGCTGACCTGTCGAGCACTGGTACGTAGGGGTGAACGTTGCTGAAGAATAGATCGAAATAATGCAACGCGGTCTCTTCGTCCGGCATCAACTCTGGTGGGATTCTGACTTTGTGCCCGGGCCCAGAGACGAGTGGTGGTAGCGAGGTCTTGTAGTCTTCGTCCTCAGGAAGAAGGGGCTCTTCCTCGGCCATTCCCTTCAGCCTGAGTCTGTGGCTCAGGTACGGCGCTTTACTGACGTTAGGAGCAGTCCGACGGTAATAAAAACAAAACAAAGCTATCTGTCAAAGAACTCACCTGTGCCTGCGTCGTTCAGCTTCAGTGTGCCAAGCAGTTCCGATAAATCCTGCTGCCCGTACTGGTCTTGGTTGTAGACCTCCGGAGGGGACTCGGGGCGCGTCGCTTGTTGCATGGGTGGCGTGGGGAAAATCGAAGGCTGCTGCGCCTGCTGTGCCTGCTGTTGTGCGTAAGAATGGTCCACAACGCCTACAGGAGCAGGGACAGTAGTATAATGGATGCCGTGCTGCGGTGAGTGATCCGGATACTGCATCGGCTGGTAGAGTCCCGACTGCTCTGAATAGCTCCCGCGGTTCGGAGCGTACATGGACGAGGACATGGACGAGGACATGGGCGAAGGGTTGGGAGCGCCAGCCATAAGGTGAGGAGGATGCATTGGCATATGCTGTCGAAAATCCTGGACTCCAAGAGTCTCGTACTCGGGGCGAGTGGGCTCGAAGACCTGAGGCTCTGCTGCACCATCGTAACCGTTGGGCCGGACGCAGTGAAGCTTCAACCGTATGCAGGCGGAGCATGGCCACGTGTTGGTGGTTGCGGCATCGCACTTAATCTTTCTTCTCCGGCAGCCCTCACAGGCTCTCATGACTGGGACAAGCAGTTAGCATCGACCGTGGCGTACGGGGCGCGATTGGATCATTCAATCGTGTCTTTTTGGGAGTGGATTCCATACCCTTGAGTCGCTTATGACGATTATGCTCATCGACGAAGACATAATCTGGAAATCAAACAGCATTAACAATCAGGCCACAAACAGACAGACCTAGTCGGTTCGGATGTGAGAGAGGAAGCGCACTCTTTTGTGTTTCCCTCGGCTGGTATGGTTGGGGCGCGAAGCTGAAGTTGGTCATTTGGGAGCTCTGCGGGAGCAGCCGCCTGGCGGATGGATCGCCCGACATGGTGGTGACGGATGGGGAGCTGCTGGTCCTCAGAGAAAAGTGATTGCGGCCAGTAAAAGATCAATGCTCTGGGGGCGTGTTGCTGGTGTCGTTGCCGTAGTTGTCACGGAGATGGCGGAAATGTGTAGAAGAGGCGAGAGGGTGTGCGAAGGAGGCTCTCGTTGTAGTAATGGTGTGTGCGATTGTGTGCGGTACGGTGCGGTGCGGTGCGGTGTAGTGGTAGGTGTGATGCGGCACACGGCGGCAAGTTGCTACGTCCAACGAGACGAGACAGGACAAGTGACAGGTGACAGGTGCACACGAGCTTGACTTCAAATCCACCTCCAGATCGTTTCGCCCAGTTTATGTTTCTGTTTTGGAAGAGGCGTCCTTTTGCCCCCGTTCAAGATGTCGAGAGAGTGGTCGGGAGGGCCGTTTTGTCCAAAGGCGTGGGTGAGGGCGATAAAGTTTGAAGACCAGGAGGGACATGGACATGTACGCATGGAGTAGCGACTGCTGCTTAGGACAGGCAAGGGAAAAGGACCTGGTGAACCTCTTTGGGACTTTGGGACGGCAGGGAACATGCAGGCAGGACAAGGTCCCGGCACAGAGCTATGTAAGTACTGTTGCTGTTCTGGAGTACAGGTTGCATTGCAATACTCGAGACATGGAGGGGAAGGCGAGGCGAGTCCAGGGGTATGGGTATGGGTATGGGTATGGGTATGGGCCAGGGGCCGGAGCCGGGACCACGACCAGGGACTAGGGACTGGGGGGGACTGGGCCTGGGACTGACTGGGCCTGGGATTGGGATTTGGACTGGGGACTGGGAAGCAGGAAAAGGTGGGCTCAAAGGTCAAGGTTGGGAGGTGAGGGGGGGTGTTGGTGATGGAGTGGGCTGCTGAGAAGAAAGGGCAGACAAGGGTTGGATCTAACGATAGAACAACGTCCTAGCACTGCACCGAACTCAGCCTTTCAAAGCTATGATGATGGGCAGTGATGGTCTATGTGCAAGTGGAGGTACCGTAGTACAAGAATAATGGAAAGTGGGAGCGATGCTCGGGTGGCCCGCTGCGAGGGAGCTGAGAGCGAGCGGTGCGTGAGTACGTGCGTGAGTGCGTGCGCTTGTCTTGTCTTGTCTTGACTTGTCTGTCTACCTGGTGCCCGTCTCTGCTTGTCCGTCCGTCTTTGCTTGTCTGCTTGTCTGTCTGTCTGTCTGTCTCTCTCTCTCTGTCTGTCGTCCTGTCCGGCAAGGGCTCCACGAGGGCAAGATGATGAGCAATCAGCAGGGCAGGGAATGACCCATCATTAGGGCGCATTGATGGGTGTACCTGGTCTTCGCCTGCTCAGATATTGTGGCTGACGGCGTTGAGCAGCTCCATCCAAAAGAGAAGGACCCTCCCAGTAATGTGCGGGTGCGTGGGTGTCAGGGTGTGTGGATTGGAGGAGGTGGTGTGTGTGTGAGTGTGTGGTGGATATGCGAGAGTATGAGTGTATGAGTGTGTGTGTGATGTGCCTGCTATGTGAGGTGTAGCGAGGTGCAAGGTGCGAGGGGAGGGGGGGGCTTTCGATCCAGTTGATGAAGGGGCCCATTTGGAGAAGACAAGAAACACCTGAAAAATGGAGGCGCGAGTGCGTCAAATCGGCAAACCCTGTCACACACAGGCCACAGGAGGTGTGGAGAGCGAAAGAGAGAGAGAGAGAGAGACGGTAGAGAGAGCCACAGCTAACAGACAGTAAGACCAGACCCAGGAGCTAAGGGGGAGAAAGAAGGAAAGACGCACGCTAGCTGCTTGTGCTGCTAACCTGATTAGGCTGCTGGCTTGCACCCGCCGCCCACCTGCTCTGCTCTTGCCTGCGCTTGCCTGCTCTTGCCTGTGACAGGAGTGCATCATGTATGTAGGCAGGTGCTGTGCTGACTGCTGCTGCACCAGCTGCAGCAGGCGCTCTGCCTCTGCCTTTGCCTCTGCTGTCGGTGCTGCCCGGCCTGCCCAGCAGATACCAGCATTAGCCAGCATTAAACCCTTGATGCCAACGACGGGGAACACTGGCTGACTGTCCACGCGCCTCTCCTTTCGCACTCTGCATGTCCATGCCCTCCCTGCTGGCTCGGCTGCTGGGCTGCTGGGGTGTGTATTGCCTCCTCTAGTCAGTCAGGGTCATGACAGCGTCCTCTGCTGACGACTCGCCCGCGTCCTCACTGCCTCCTATCCATCCTTGAGCTGCTGGAAATGGCAAAAGGAAAAAAAACACGACTGGGGCTAGGACTGGGACTGGGACTCGACTTGCAGCTCGTGCTCCTATCCGACTCGCTCTGCCGTTGCATGTCGAGGGGGAAAAAAAAGCTACGGTACATACAGACAGGCCCTGGCTGGGCAGTGGGGGCTCCTCCTCCCCATCCACCACAGAATCTAGCGTCTACTGTATTGTAGCAGTACAGGTCGGCACCCGTTGTCGGACCCAGCCAGCAGCCCTGGAACCACAGAAACTCTATCTGCACCTACGGTGGCACAACAGACTGGTGCAACGTACACACGGTACAGTACATGCACGTCTGCACCTCGATCCGACTTACCAACGGTATCGTAAGCAGCCAATATCAGATCGCATATAGGGGCCACAGTCGACAAGCTCTCGTGTCAAATTTGCTAACCTTTCGTTCTCGTTTCCTACAGTTCCGCAATGTCTCCACGGCCGTCGCGGGTCGGGTCATCTGTCAAGTCAGTCGCGGCCGTTGGGTTTGCAACGTCCACTAGAGTAATCGACTTTTAGCTCCTGCACGCGGCAGACAACCCCATCGCCAAGAGAACCAAGTTGGGGTCGACTGGATGAGACGTCCGCATTGTCAGTGCAGAGGGCTAACATACAGAGGGATATCCCAGGCTGGATGGCTGCCACGACAAGGACTCAGGCCTTTTGGGCGGGCGCAACAAGACCCAACGCCCCACGTAATGAATACGATATCAAAGTAATGAATTATTGATGGGCTCGAAGAGATTCGCAATACTCGTACGATTCTGCTCGAGGGCAAATCTGGTTTGTGTTCGCCCCGAGGTATCATCAGACAAGGGACAAGACAGTGCCGTGCCGTGCCGGAGCATCTGTACTAACAGTGCTGTGGCAGTCTACTGTTTTCTGTACTAGATATGTACTGTATCAGCACCAGCACCGGCAGCAGCACCAGCAATCACGAGAAGGGCATGGTCTAAACGCGCGCAAAGTTCAGACGTTGAACCCCATCCGGCCCACCGTCCCACCGGCAGTATTTGTGGGGGTGGCCAGACAACTTCCGCCCGCTCGCGGTTTTTTCGATCTTCTGCCATGTGGAAGCTGTGGGTCACGACGCTCGACTCTCGAGCACGCCGTACCACCCTGCCATGGTACGGCTCATGAACGACAGCGGCACAGATCGTTCTTCCGAGCAACGAGATGCATATCCAGGGGCTCATGCTCACTTCAGCGCTAGCATGTGCCATGTAATTGCTTCCCGAAGCAGTACGAAAGTTATATTTGATATGACGTTTGGTTGTCGGTACGTACCGCGGTCTGCTGTCGGTGTTCTGACCTACCTTGGCACGGCACGACCGAATTCGTCCCATGTTTCCTGTAAGGTACCGGCATGGTCGAGAAAGAAGGTTGACGCCCTCGTCACACGATCGGTTTACTCTGGACGGGCCGAGAGATTCGACCTGCCAGCTGGGTCACGACTCGAATTTGGGGGAGGGAGAGGGGTGTGCGCCACGAGCTTGAGAAACGACAGGGTCGGCGCTAGAGCAAAACTAGCAGCCGTTGACGGCACGAACTATTTCGCCTGATTGCGTCAACTGCGTTTGACCTGCTACAGCAACTAAACCCAACACAGCTCCATCGCTTGCGCAGATGCCACCGTACCTGCAGTTCGTCTCGGTCAGTACCCATACGACCTGCTCTACCTAGCTAGCACTCTATTTACCCAGGTCGTGTGTGTGCGTGCGTGGGTGTGTAAATGCGCGTCCTGGGTACACCACACCCAGGCCCTTGCCGCTGACGAATCAGGCCTATCTTGTTGTTTGCAACCAAACCTTTCTTCGCCTCCCCCAAGGCTGGATACGACCAGGTAATCAATGGGAACGCGGCTCCCCACCGGTTTATTCCAGGCTTGGTATCCGTCGTCCGGCTGGGTAGCTGTTGATCATCGACACAGCGCGCGGCTGTTAGCGACAGCCGATATGAATCCTCGTTTTCGGATCACAACCGGCCTGGTACCTGTCTGGCGGATCTCCGTGGATCCATCCGATACAGAGGCAGATCGTGGGTTCTCGGCCGATGCTGACTCGGTGTTGGTTCCGACGCGTCCTCCCTTTGGCTATTGCTGCCAATGAACCCAATCATCGTGACCACCCTCCTGTTCGTCCTCTGGGCCCCAGGAACAATGATCCTGGCATTGGCCTTGGGTTCGCTCAGTCCTAAGCTTTGTCATTTCGATACCCACTCGCCAAGGTACACTCTCATCTTTTGATCAAGCTTTTTCTCGCTCACGAACCCAAAAGGAGGCATCAAATACGACTATTGGACTATAATGATTGTGACTATAGATATTGTTCACCAGGGTCCGAATCCAGATTTACTATGGAGAAGCTGACTTTCTGGCTGACTCCACGCTGCCAGCAGCGTGATGCTCGCATTTGTATGGACGTCGGGTCCCCGGCGTTGCGGCAGCTAGCAAATGCCGTCCGTTGACCAAGGTCAACGGTCGTCGACCCTGAATCCATTGGCGCCTGGTCAGCTGCTTGATCAGTCATAGAGCGGTGACCGAGTGTGGGCACCGCAGCGCTTCTGTCTGTGACTCTCAAGTACAGAACACCAAAGATTACCGCGTAGTGTACTTTATCTACACTATTATGTATGCTGCATCATCGATACCCACCCGCACTGGTGGATTTTCTCTGGGGGATCTGCCCCGAGCAGTGTTAGCCGAGATGACCCCCTCGACAGGCAGCCCAGCATTCCAGTCCAGGTCAGAGTCAGACCGCCCGCAAAAGCTGCCGGGGTCCTCTTTGGGCCGGTAGGTACTGTGTACGGTTGGTCGACAGCATTTCCAGGGCGGAGAGTTGCAGTGCATACAGATACCGCCAGGTGCTGTCGGTATTCAGCAACAAGACACCCCGGATGATGGCGGACCGAGTACGATGGAGTTGCCTGTCGATCTTTCACCACATTACACAGAAAGTCAAAGTCAAAGCCAGACCAGGAATCACTCAGCGATGCATGCCAATTCCACCTTGGTACTTTTCAGCTTTGCCCGGGCCGAATGGCGTGGTTCTTACATGTTGCCGCACAGCCAACTCCCACACATCGCTGACCGAACGACGAATTGGGATCCCAGGTTGGATGTGCCCATACCAGAGTTGAGATCTCAACAGCCCACTGCTACCACCTCGCCAGGTCTCTGGCGGCAGCATATCAGGATGTAGGGAATTTGCGCCTTACGATCTTATTCGTCAAGACGTTTCACATGCTCAATTGCCGTCGTGGCATCGAGATTCCAGAAAACGTGGGTATGTCCCGCAGGTGCGGCAGTCCGATGCAGAGATACACCAAAAGTCTGTAATCAAGGGGATGACAATCTTTTACCGAGGGCCCAGTGCCCAGCCAAGTCCCTGTTGCATGTGGCGTACGTCGTAGCACGAACCACCTTCCCAAAACTCCAGTTGGTGGCTGCGAATAAGCGAGTCCCCACGTTTCAAGATATCAGTTGACCAGCCCAGGTTGAGCAGGGCAACAAAAATGACAGGCTCGAGCTCGTCAGAGCATGACACGAAATTGACTCTCAAAGCTGAGTATTCAGCATGCGTTTCAGGTGATGCAAACAACAGACTGCATGTCGCCGGACTGACAACGTGCAAGTCCAAATTCAAGCCGACAAAGAGGCAGGCGAAGGCACTCATTCCCTTGTGCCATCGACCCCTGACGGGGAGGGATCCCGCAATGTCTCCTCGGCGCCAATCGCGGCATCTAGGTACCAACAAGGGCTGTCAACGCTACCGATGCCACAGCATCGGGTCGCCTCTCTCCGCACTCGAAAGTTGCCCACGATCCAAAGTGCTTCCCACTTTCGGCGCACCCCTGCTGGACACTTCGTCAGCACCGAAGCCACCGCTCAAGCCCTGCTAATTACTTCAGGACGTATTTCGGCGACCGGAATGGCGAGAAACTTTCCCTGCTCTGCATATCGAGGCTGGCATCGTTGCCCGCCGCACCTGCTCCCACCTCGGCTAACGAGGCGCGGTTGTTGATGTTTATCCACATTCTGACCCTGAACCGCGGAAGCGAGTCCGGCTCCCAACGTAGGGGAACCCACCAGGCGCGGATCTGATCATTCTTGTTCATCGTGGCCCCGTTGCTACCAGATATTCGCCGAGGGGCGGTGCGATGTCAAAATCTATTGTTGGGCCCTCCCTCCACCTCTTTCAGGAGTTTCGTCCGAGATCCGCGCTCCGTGCCCTGAGATGCGTGGAGGGAGCTCCCGAGGCTAGCAACCCTAAAATGTGAGGAAACTTTGGTAAACATCGGACAGGCTCGGGGCGGCCTGTTTGACACAAGTGATCGGGAGTCGAACCCCTTCTGTGCACTCTGCACCTCGATGCTTCCATCCTCATTCCACGCAGGGATCGTGGAAGCTTTGCATGCGGTTTGAGGTTCGACACGCGAGCACGGACGTCGACGGGAGAGCCGAGTAGGATGTTTTACAGGCAGTATCATGCGCCGGTCTGCCTTTCTGACATCATGCAGGTTGACATCCGGATGGTGCACGTTCGATTATACTTCGCATGATCAGCAACAGGCCGAACTGAAAGCGTCAATTTTGATTTCCAATGAGGCGGTGACCCTATGAATCAGGGTACGTGAGCTCCAGCAACCCGCGTGTCCCCTTGCAGCGGCATCCAAGGGTTGCTCGCCTAATCCTGTGCAATTACATCCTCCCGGGGTCTACCACTCATCGAGAATGCCTGCCTCTTCTCCATTGACCCCATCAATAGCCATGTCGTGGATCCTGGATTCCTCCGAAAATCACCCTGGCTGCCTGGTTGACTCGCCTATGGACTAAGCCACCGAAAAGAACCCTCCTGCTCGCCCCCAAAAATGACGACGCCTGAGCCCCAGGGCTGCCCCAGGGCGGCAGGGACGAGGGCGGATATGGGACGACAAGGGGTCGCATGAATCTGCAGCCCACCGGGACAGATGAGCATGACTACGATCGTGGCAGGGCGTATGCCTTTACGAATGCCTTAAACCATGGGAATGCTAATATTGCCATGCAGACTCATATGAAATATTGCCAATAGTATAGACTGTGGACCCTCCGACAGCATTTTGGAGGGCAACAAGACGACGATATGATTACGAACCCTCCCCCCCGGAGGCCCCCACCCCTTTTGCTGCGGACAAAAGTCCGTCACTATGTCGCTGGCAAAAATACCAAGTGGGCAACATTGGTATTCAGCCTTGCACACATGAGATGAATTCAGCCCTCGGGGGTGGGGGGTTAGGATGCTGTAGTGTCGCATGGGTTGGCCACTGCTAAGCGCACTGGGCAGAGAGGGTGAGGGTTATTCTTTTTTTTTTTCCCTTCCAGCATTGAGACTCGGTCCGGAACTGGCCTCCTTTTGCGAATATCAAGTCTATTATTTTCCACACGAGTACAACTCTATTCAATCAATGGTCGTCTCGTGTCGTCTGGTGTCGTTCAGTCGCGTGGGATTACTTCAGTTGTTGACTAAGACATGGATTTGTGCCCAGGCGTTACCGTTGCTGTGGCAGGTGGACAGATAAGGTGTGTGTGACGTGCAGCGCAGTGCAGTGCAGTGCAGTGCAGTGCAGACAAACAGACAGACAGATAATATGATGCCATGCTCCATTTCGCAGAAGACGTTACATGGGTGATCAACTTTAATCGGATCGTCAGGACAGGAGTGCGTTGGTGCGTGCTTTCAGCGGGGCGCATCTTTTGTACCGGTACTTTTTCGATATTTCCCTCGGCTCGGGGGGGAACATGTCCAAGTCCCAGTCCCAGTCCAGGGCCCTGGGCCACACGCCCAGGTTCAGACTCCTGAAATAGTTCACGGAGGCCGAGCATGTGCCGATGCTGTGCCAGTGCCCAGGGTACGTGCAGTCAGGATGGAGATGGGGATGCATCTCGAGCTGATGGTGGATGAAGGTGGATGGCGAAAGACAAAAGTTCCTGACGGCAAGTAACATAAGCAGCAAGTGTCGTGGTGTGGGGACTGGCGAAGATCGTCAAGACAACCTGAAGAAGTGAAGGGTTGCTGCCGCTGTCTCAAGACGACAGCCGCATGCTCAACTGGGCAAGGCGCGGGCCCCTGAAAGGCTCGGCAGCTCGGTAAGCTCCGACGTCACGCAAGAGAGCCTCCTCTGCCGCCAGGTGCCAGGCTGTTGCGGCCGTTGAGTTGGGAGCTTCAGGGTGCGCGAGTCAAGAGTCGAGCCTCTGTAACAATGCGGGAATGGCCGACGCGTTTTGTGGAAGGTAGACCTTGGTAGCAGCTGTCCTCCAGTTGACAGCGCTGTGAATAACTTGCTGTACGTACTGATGATGATAGTGAACAGCGATAATGAATGCGGGGGCGGGTTATGTAAGCGTTGTGCACTATCAGACCGAAGCGTGTCAGTCAGTGGTCGCTTGTTAAACTGGACTCCGATCTCTGGACAGACAGCCGATCGCGGGGCATCCACCGCCTAGCCTGCCTAGCTCACTTCGTTCCAGTGCCAGTCCAGTAGCAGCAGCAGCAGAAGCTGCTTATCAAATCAAGTCGAGTCCATGAGGCAATCCAAAAATCCATCCACCCACGTCAAGCTCTGCCTCACCAGCGAACTCTACATCGTTCCTGGGCACCAGCCACGCGTTGAATCTCGACGGCAAACCCCTGACCTGACCTGACCTGACCTGATCTTTGCCAGCATCCAGCCAGGTCGAAACACGTCTCTGCATCTTGTGCAAAACAAACGAGAGGATCTCTATTGGGTGTCGTGTGATCGCGCGTCCGGCACTTCCGCTCAGGACAGGGCTTTCGGACTCGCCAGTCCTTCACTTAACCTGCGACGACTGCCTCATCCACGGCGCCAACAGAGGCTCCACTCCCACAGAAACATCGACAGAGACACACACTGAGAATAGAATTCTTGATATCCTCATCCGTTTCAAACACAGCCCACCATGGCAGAGCTACAGAACGCCAACCCTACCATCCTCAACTTGTCTGAACTTCCCACCCGGAGGCGCCAGAAGCTGGGCCCTCGGCGGCCCGATGACGACCTCACCACCTTCTCGCCGAGGCCGCCCCACTGGGAAAAGGTGCTCCATGAGGACTTCGAAGGGTTCGAGAGCAAGTCTCTCTCGGACAGCTCCGATGCCGAAGACCCTATCGACGAGCAAGAAATCTTTGGTACGTGTTCCAGAAAGCCCTAAGCATTTCCCTCTTTCTTTCAGTCAGTCAGTGGGATATCCGCCATACACCCCTGTGCCTTGCTGCAGTGCAGTGCACCACGCTATGCCGTGTCCATCGATCCTCGCAGATTTGTTTCATGGCTTTTCCGGTTGCTGCACACATGCACTCCCGTCCCTGATGTGCTGCCATTTCTGGCAGCCCAGCACCTGGTTTCATAGGCCATTGGCCTCTCTGTTAAAGTTCGGTTTCATTTTCTCGGAGCTGGCAGGGTCGGGGTCGCGTTCTAGAACGTGTAGCGGCGGGCGGGCATTGGGCAATCATTTGTTTCACAGGCACCTTTCAGAACATGGAACAGCTGACGTCTCACAGATCTGATCTCCACGATTTCCGATCCGGAGCATCCCCTCACTCTTGGCCAGCTCGCCGTTGTCAATCTTCCGGATATCCGCCTCGATCCGACGCCCGCTCCGGGGGTGGGGCCCAGCCTGGACACCGTGACAACTGTTACGGTCGAGCTCACACCCACTGTCAATCACTGCAGCCTGGCCACCATCATAGGGCTTGCCGTGCGCGTGCGGCTCGAGGCATGCCTGCCGCCAAACTACAGGGTCGACGTCTGCATGAAGGACGGCTCCCACGCGCAGGATGACCAGGTCAACAAGCAGCTCGCTGACAAGGAGCGCGTGGCCGCCGCCCTGGAGAACGACACACTCAAGCGAACTCTTGATACGATGATGGAGACATGCATCAGCGGATATGCCAAAGATATTGACTCGGTCTGAGTAGCATCGACTCTCCACGTTGATTCGTGTAAGACCAAGTATTCACAGCGCATAGGCGTGCCCTAGCATGGCCTCCACGGCGCAGCGTCGCAGATGCTGAGGATGCCACGTCCTGGGAATAGGGGAATGCAACCAAGGAAGCGAGCCTACCTTACCCTATACTTGACGATGAAATGCCAGAGTATCAATGCTACGATGAGACCTCGAACGTACGTCCTCCCACACGCTGCAGCGAGGATCTGTGTCCTGGGCATCCCCCGGCGCTGATGGCGGGGTTTCGAATCACCCGCCAAGTTTAAGCTTTTGACCATGGAAGGCTTCCGCTGTCTCGGCGGTTGCGAAATGCTGGACTTTGTCTGCAGTATCGGGACCGGGGCTTGGGTGAAGCACCTCGAGCACCAGTTGCTGAGGTTGCCGAATGGGAACGGTTCAAGGAGCGAGCGCTTTCGAAACTTGGGTTGGGGTCTGCGCCATGGTGTATCATCCCACAAGGACATACACACACACCGCCCCCCTCCCCCAGGTAATCTGATGTACTTTACATCCGTACTATGTTAGAGAATTCTGAGCGGGTTTCTAGAATCCGGCTGTCAGTGTGCCCAGAAGCTAGGCTTGCCCTCCAGGGATGGCGGTCTCAACGGTTCATGAGTCCCCTAGGTCCCCTAGGTCCTTGGTTTGTTACTTGGTCCTAGGTAGTTAGTTAGTAGTCCGGTCCCCCAAGACAGCGGGCGGGCCAACGGAGAGACAACCTTTTGCCAACGTTGTATTTTAGACCGCAAACGTCGTACCAAACACCTCGGTAGTCTGGTACGCTAGGCGTTGGGCTGGACGCACCCCTCGTGGCAGCTTCCGCGATCTATCACGTACTGGCCGTACCCGCCGTAGCAGGCGTGTGAGAAGTAATAACGTGCTCGGATCTAACGCGGCACCCATGCGAAGCGAATGCGGGCTGGTTCCAGGTTTCTGGTCAGCCACGACCCCCAAACCGACGGCTGTGGCCACCTTTTGACCCGATTCGGTGCCCGGTGTGGACTTTTAACACAACTTTTGGCATGCGTTTGCCAGTGTGCCAGCCCACCCCCAAGTACCGAGTTGCTGACCGTGTATGCATGTTTTCCCCACGCTTTTTTTTTTCCCTCCTCACCTTGATCCTGGGGGGGGGGGGGCGGCCGGCCATCCGGTCTCTGTATTTGTTTGTTAGGAGCCTCAAGCCTGCGGGATTTCGCATCCCCGATACTACCTGCATACATCTGTGCACAGAAGAAGTTAGTGAAGAGAGATGCGATGACAGCAGCACGCACGCACATTGATACCCACAGCCTTACAAACTTTGCGAAAGGGAGAAAAAGAAAAAAGAAGCTCGCATGCTGCGAGCCTCGTCCGATATGGCCGGCTGGCTGTCTGCCCTTTCGCAATCGTATGCTGCGACAACACTAGCACAGCAGCACAGACAAGCAGCCGCAACAACAACCACCACCACCACTACCCTGGTTGTTCGGCCCTACCGAGAGCGATGAGAACGTCCGTGGGATGCGTCTGATCTCTCGACCCAGAGTCTTACCGCGATCGACGAAGATCCGGTCCCCCGTTTGTCTCAGGTGCTTCCAGCAACATTCTTCCACACAACAAACTTGGGGGGAAGGTTGGGCTGGGTTGGGACAAATTTAGCATTGCTGGCGAACGCTCGATAAGGTTTTGCTTGGCGCGAGAACAGGAAAGGTCCTTTCGTCCAGAGTTTCCCCTCCTCCTCCCCCATGCCCAAGGAGGTAGGAGATTCGCTGAAACTACGACAGCGCAACAAAGGGCGCACAACCACATCAATCTCATGTCTGTATTTCTTGATCTGGTTGCTGGGCGTGGGGCTGGGCAGGGCAGCGCGCAGCGGCAGGGAGGGGGATCACACGCAACTGCCGCTGTTGCAGTGGCATCTGCAACAAAACAACGCATCGCTGCTGTGCCCTTGGGGATCAGGGCTCTTGTGAGTCCCCTTCTCTCTTTTTCGCGAGATGGAGGGATAATTCCCGAGTCCGCGGCCAGCGCCGCCGCCGCCGCCGCCTCCTGGCTGCTTTCCCGTCGGGCATTACCTGATCTACGGTGTACGGTGTGGAGCGAAGGGGAAAATGCGCGCTACCCTTTACTTACGTACATACGCAATCCCCTAGGTTATAGCACAGCTGAACAAACGCCCAGGGGATGGAAAACCTGCTACTCAGCCTGGCTAAAACCTGGGGAGGGGGGTGGCTGGCAGAGGGCCCCCCCGGTGGGCCTGGCAGTTGGGCATCCCCCCCCCGTCAGCAGGCTAGCCCCGACTTCTTGCCCCCAGACTAGGTCAGCTTAAGGTTCTACCTCGGCAGGACGCAGGCAGGTCCCTTGGGGTACTTGGTCCCCTTTCCCTCTCGCTGTCCTTTGTTCTTGGGGGAATTTGGGGGGAAGGGGGGCGGGCGGGTGGTTAGTGTTGGGGGGGAGAGGGCACCGGGTGCACTTGAGGGGACTGGTTTTCCCCGCAAACGAGAGAGAGAGAGGGGGAGGGGGAGGGACATTTTCTAACACAACATTCCAGAAGGAATTCCAGCCTTCAGGAACACACGCGCGAGCCTTCCTCAAGATGGTCTGGTTTCTCGACACTAAAGAAGCTTCTCTGACCTGCATCCTTGTCCCTGGATGGGCCAGAATGGTAGGCAGACAGCTGTGCGCTCTGCATGCATTCGTAGGGGTGAGGGTAACTCACGTAGCGTACTTGTGAGACGAACTCCGACGCCCTGCTATAGCAAACTAACACACTACGGCACCTATTGAGCAGGAAAGGCCTTCAAGGGCAATTAAGCGTGCAAAAGGGCCAATCTAGTTACTCAGCAGTGCAAATTGCAGTGTGAGGGGGTGGAGGTTTTGGAGCAAAAAGAGGCGGGGGGACCTGGGGCAGGAGGCGTCGTGTGGCTGGCTGTCCTGTCCCTCACACTCTACCCCTAGGGCCCAAATAAACCCAAGGTACACACACTAAACCACCGAACCGCATCCCCCTCGAGTGCCCGACTCCAGGGGGATGCTTGCCTGTCGAAATCAAGCCCAACCGCCACAGCAGCAATCAACGGCTAGGCGCTGGCACCGTAGCAGCGGGCCCTTTCGTGACAGAGCGCTTCGAGTGGTGCGCTTCCGCGGGTTGTTTTTTTCTTTCGTGCACCAGTCTGTCTGTCGGCCCTACTTCTTGTGCTGCGTCAGTCCTATTTTGTTACCTTTTCCTGCTGATCCCCCTTCTTTTTGCTGGCCCGGGTTAAATAAGGAAGAGGCTGCGTTTCGCCACTGGGTACCCCGATCGGTGTACGTATGACTGTATATGTATACGTATACGTATAGATGTATAAACACGTCCCATGTACATATGTATATATACGTACATGGTCGATGTCGTTACATCCAGTGCTAAGCAACCAGACGGACCGACTGTTTCTGCGTCGGCGACCATAAATAGTGTCGCCGTCTCATCTGAACCGCGGTGGCAAGCGCTGGGTGGAAGCGGCAGGGTCACATTCATCTGTAACTGGAGCCGCACGTCCAGTCGATGTCGAGAGGTAGCACTACGGAGTGACTCTCCACCTCCACACACAAGCGGCGCTCCCGTGTCTACGTGTATGCCGTAGCTTAGGCTCAATAGAAGTCAATTTTTGTGGCACATTTTCCCCTCAAAGCTCGAATTATCTGAGCGTTGGCCAAGTCGTGCTTGATTATTTCCCCGGAACTCCAATGCCATGCAACTCCAGGCCTGATTTTGCTACATCAAAACAGAGATCTCGGGATTTCCAGCGGGTGGGCCGGCGGCTGGGCCGACCGTTCTGTTTTTTTGAGTGCGCGTAAGCAGGAATACCCCAGCTATTTTCTTTTTTCATTAGATCTCCCCCAGAGTACCGCCCTCGATGAGATCTTGGTAGAACTCGGGCTCTAAGAATTTGGCAACGGATACATCCTCACTAAGGCCCTTCCTCCTGCGCGTCTTGAGCACGAAATCGCGGGCCGTCGCCTGCGCACTGGCGGGCTGCAGGGGCCTAATGACAATGTCCCTATCGAGGGGGTCGCCCGGCACGATGCTCCATCTGTCGAATACCAAAGACAGCATGGCGCCCTCTGTGTTGATCCGCAGATCGGTCTCGAAGCCGAACGAGTCGATCACGGGTATCAGCCCGCTCACACGATACAACGGGGTGCCCACGATCGGCCCGTCTTGCAGCACGTGTCCCCGCCGCCTTGCCAGGACCGTGTAAAGGGACGACACTGCGTCCTGGCTTCCTGTCATCGACACTGAGTACATGGGCTCCATCAGGCGGGGGGACGCCATGAGAAATGACGAATAGCAAGCTCTTCGGGAAGTGGGGATGACCTGCCCGCCTCCCCGGAAAATCGCCTCGTCAGCCAGTGATATGTCTGTAATCTTGAATTTTGTGTTGCGGATGGCTGCAGGTAGTGTCAGTAAGAGATCAGACTTGCAGATGTGTGTGCTGCTACACAAGAATGTGACAGCCACGACAGAAGTTGGGATATAGAGCAGACGCGAAAGGCTTGGCATGGGATTTTGTTGTCGTGGCTGCATTCAACATGGGTCCGCGGGCGCCGTCCCCCCAACTGGAGAGGAGAGTGAGCTGACGGTCGCCGCTGACAGCATCAGACCTCACCGCACCGTCTTCACACAGCCGTTACTGGTTAAGGAAGGCGCCCTGACCTCGAAGTCGGCTGTTGACCGGCAGTGATAACAGTAGTGGATGAGGAGGGCAGGTGTGAATGACAGCCACGCGTACAGTAGCCGAACAAAGATAGACGTAAAAAAAAATATGGAATAGTTGTGCACTTACGTTCTTCACAGAGTGGACCTTCTCGAGTGGCCCAACTAAACCCTTGACGGATTGGCTCTTTTACTGTGTTAAGGAGTCGTTTGTCCACCTGTCGCAGATCAGAGTTAGCGAGTCGTCAAGATGAAGCGATGGCTGACAACGTGCAGACTCTCTGACAGCCCAACTCACCCCATCACAGGACAGGGGACTTGGCAATTGCACTTACCTCACCAGGGAGAGTATCATCTTGCAAGATATTTGGGCCCATCTCATCCGGACCAAATGCCCATATGCTGCGGGCTGCCAACTTGTCCCACTCGTACTTGTCTTCAAAGTACTTGGCGATTTTGCGGATTGGTTCCTTGATGCTGACGGCGCCTAACTCGATGTCCCGTGCGATGCCGTCCTCCAGCGGCTCAGCCACCATTGTGATTTTGTTCTTCTTGTTGGGTGTTATGGCGTAGCATTTGGTCCGTGATTGTTCAACAACCGTCTCACAGAATCGAGTGACAGGATCAGAGACTTTGATCTCCATGTCTGCGTACAAGCGCCGCAAGTCGTGCAGCACGCAATCCATGTAGAGCTCACCCGTGCCCAGAATAATGTGCTCGCCAGACTCCTCCACCTTAGTGTTGATCAACGGGTAGCTCTTGTTGATTTTCCGTATGCCGTCAAGCATCTTCGGAAGTTCTGAAGGGTTTATTGGCTCGACTGCGATCTTCAAGACTGACTCAGTGAAATGAGTGACAGGTTTGAAGATGTATGCGTCTTCGTCGTCTTCGAATTGCTTGTCGACGATGGTGGCAGACTTGACAATGGAGTTGTCAACGCCACCGAGGAGCACCCAGCTGCCTGCTGGTACGCCATCCACTGGAATATTGTATCTTGTCTCTGCGATCCAGACGTCTGATACCCGTGCCATAGCCATGTCTTCCTCGTCATCTAATGAATAACCCTCTCCCAAAACACGAACCTCTGCTCCCGGACGAGCGATGCCGCTCATTACACGACCCAGGGAGTAGAAGCTCTTGGCATCAGAGGAGTTGAACAGTTTCGTAACGTGCACAACCAGTGGACCGTTCTGATCACACGTCTTCATAGACTCTGCAACCTTGCTGTCCAGTGGACCCGTGTAGTACCGTTCGAGATGCCTCTCGGCTGCCTCAGCCGGGGACGGAATGTGCTGAACGATCATGTCGACGAATGCTGTAGATGGACCGAAGAACTGCTCGCATACCAATTTGAGGAGTACCTTGGCATCTGACTTGTACTGCGACGGCTTCAGGGCTATACCGAGAGGCGCCAGAGTAGCTTTGAGCTCTTCTGGGCTTTCGCTGATGGTGTGCGAGTACAACTTGTAAATCGGCTCCAAGACAAAGTTGAGGAAAGACCTCTTCGCCCCTTCCTCAACCGCCTTCCTGGTGAATGAGCGTTTCCTTGGGTTGAAGAACACGTCACCCCACAAGCGTCGGGCAAACTCTTCCGTGTTGACACCACCGAAGCTGTCCGAGTACATCTTCGCAAACGACTTCAGTGTGAAGCACCAACCCATTTCGGCACAAGCGAAGAGGACATTGCCCTTTTCAGGGCTCAGCCGCCTGTCCTCTCCTCTCCCAGGGACCGTATTCTCTATGACGGTGTTGACCTCCTCTACAACATGCTTGAGCTTGAAATATGCGTCATTTGGTGGCAGCTTGAGCTCCAAGATGAGACGGTCCATCTTGTTGATGATGAGTGTCAGGGGTAAATCTTCCAGAACCGCGTGCCTGATTATCTGTTCTGTGTTGACCTGGACACCTTCGACGACGTCGACCACGAGGCACACACCGTCCACCAGTCGTAATGATGCTGCAACCTCGTCCACGAAGTTCACATGACCGGGAGTGTCGATGACGTTGATAAGGTGTGATTTGCCTTTTGTGCTCGGCAGCACAAGGCTCATAGGTGATGCTTTCACGGAAAGGCCGCGGTCCCTCTCGATAACATGCACGTCGGTGTATCTCATCTGCTCGTCACGATTCTTGCCAGTGCGCTTCTCCAAGCGGTCGTTGATATCATGGGTTTCCAGCACCAGCATGTCCATGAGCGCCGTCTTGCCGTGGTGGAGGTGCCCTGCCAGTGCAACGTTTCGCGTCTGCTCTGGGAAGTTCATCAGGTCTGTCATGAAGCTCCTGTCGAAGAAGACAGGCGGTAGGTCGGCCTCCTCCACGGTGAACTTCTTCTGCTCCACGGGGGCGATGATCGGCTCGGTCAGGGGTTGCGCATCCTCCTCTTGTACGAGTGTCTCGACGCCTTCTCCATATACCTGCGCTGCGGTCGGGTAGTACTGTTTGTCTTCGTGGAGCACAACGGCGTTCGATGGGCCATCTGTCGTAGAGGAAGTCAGCAAGACGCATTGAGCCTGTGTCGCGCCTCGAAGGGGCGCCATACCGTCTACCTCCATTAGCTCCTGACCGGCCGCTCCTTGCTCATCCTCCGCATACTCGTCGTCGTAGACGTAGTTGCCCGCGTCGACGCCATGCTGGGACTCGTCCTCTGATGCATCGGCCTCCTCGCCGATAAAGTTGCCGAATCTAGAGAAGGGATCGATTGTCAGTTGCGGAACAAGTGTCGCGTGGAGTTGGGGGCAATCACGTACTCATCATAGAGGTCATCCATGGCGACTGTGGTTTGTGGAGGGGAAGAGTAGGAGGCGGGGATGGCAGACAGCCTCTCAGTCTGGTCGCGTTCTGGAGGTGAGCTAGCTACTGCAGCACGGCAGCACTGTAGGTAGCTCCAATCTCAAATTTCGCGAGGCTGAAGGTCCAAGGCCAAAGCTGCTGCCCCACTTAAAAATTGGGGCGCGGCCCTGAGTGGTCGGCAGCACATGCAAGGTACTTGGACCCCTGGCGCGAAGAAGTTTGGGTGCTGGACTTGGAGCGAGTAACTCCGAAGCAACAGCAACAGACGACTCAGCCGCAGTCCGAAGCACGTTCCCGAGTTCGGCAGCGGTGGGGATATTCGATTAGTCTTCGCATGGTTCTGCACTCTGTTGGGTCCCACACCGCAATCCACATCGAACGGCATTCCACCACGTCGGATCAATCCCCAACGGTCTACAAAAAGACACCTCTAAGCGCTGACGACGATCTGCTTCCCGACTGTCCTGTCTTGTCCTGTCCTGTCCTGTCCTGTCTTGTCACGTCCGTCCTCTCTTGCCCTGCCAGATCCCAGTTTGCCGTCGAGAAGTTTTATTGCTTGTTCGCTCTAGAGCCCTTATCACAGCTAGATATCCTTTATCATGTCTAGCCTCCCTCCCGTCTACATTGCCTCCGTGGCACGAACCCCCGTTGGATCTTTCCTCGGGTAAGCACGGCCTGTCTCACTTGGCACATAAGGCAGAGGCAGCTATGCCACAGAGGCCCTCCGAACTAACATTGGCCTGCGTCTGTTCATAGGTCTCTCTCCAGCCTCACCGCTACTCAGCTTGGCTCTCACGCCATCAAGGGTATGTATCTGGGCCTGTTTCCGGCATCCCCTCTTCTGGGAGCCCCGAGTTGCTGACACGGTTGCACAGCTGCTGTTGAGCGAGTGCCGGAGATCAAGCCCGAGGATGTCGAGGAAGTCTTCTTCGGCAATGTGCTCTCGGCTGGGTAGGCAGTCCTCTTTTCTGGCGTGTTCCGTATCACTGTACTGACGCGCGCTCTCAGCCTGGGTCAGGCACCTGCCCGCCAATGCGCCATCAACGCTGGTCTGAGTGACGCCGTTGTGGCCACAACGGTGAACAAGGTCTGCGCCTCGGGTCTGAAGGCCATCATTCTGGGCGCTCAGACCATCATGACCGGCAACGCGTCCATTGTCGTGGCCGGAGGCACTGAGTCCATGTCCAACACACCTCACTATCTCCCCAACCTGCGCACTGGCGTCAAGTACGGCGACGGTACCCTGATTGATGGCGTTCAGAAAGATGGCCTGAGGGACGCGTACGGCAAGAAGGAGCTCATGGGCATGCAGGGCGAGCTGTGCGCAACCACTCACGATCTCACCCGTGAGGCGCAGGACGAGTACGCCATCAAGACTTACCAGAAGGCTCAGGCCGCCACCGAGGCCGGTGTCTTCAAGAGCGAGATCGCTCCCATCGAGGTCAGCGGCGGTCGTGGCAAGCCCGCTATCAAGGTTGACCGCGACGAGGAGGTCAAGAACCTCAACATTGACAGGCTCAAGAGCGCCAGGCCCGTCTTCATCCCCGGCACCGGCACTGTCACCGCTGCTAATGCCTCCCCCATCAACGACGGTGCTTCAGCCGTGGTCCTCGTCTCCGAGGCCAAGCTGAAGGAGCTGGGCATCAAGCCCATCGCTAAGATCCTCGGCTGGGGAGATGCCGCCAACGCGCCCGAGAAGTTCACGACCGCCCCTTCGCTGGCCATCCCCAAGGCCATCAAGCACGCCGGTCTGACCGCCGACAAGGTCGAGTTCTACGAAATCAACGAGGCCTTCTCCGTCGTTGCCCTCGCCAACATCAAGCTGCTGAACCTCGACCCTGAGACGGTCAACGTTTTCGGTGGCTCCGTTGCCATTGGCCACCCTCTCGGCTGCTCTGGCGCTCGTATTGTCACTACCCTGACAACGGTGCTCAAGGAGAAGAAGGCCAAGATCGGCTGTGCTGGTATCTGCAATGGTGGCGGTGGCGCTTCTGCTATTGTGATTGAGAACTTGCAGTAAGCGCCGACGAAAAGTGGGCTGCGACACGCCGCTTGATAGATTCGAATCTCCGGTCGGCCAGCCGCTGACAGCTCAGGGTTGAGGATATACATATAAAATCCTTAAAATGGCCAGCTGGATTTGGGTAATGAAATAAATCTCTCTGAATGAGTCCAGACTTCTCGGCTTTCCCAGTCTTGTGATTCGTGCGATCCAGGCGAGAGCCAGTGCCACCCCTTCAGGGAAAATACGGGTAGACTGCAGTTTTCTGTCCCCTCTATCTTGCGGTAGGCTCTACCTAGTTTCGGGCAGGTCGCATTGTAGTTGCTTTTCTATTTCGGTCTCATTGTCTCTGGACCTCCCTGGAATTGCCCATTATCAAACGCCCTCCAACAGGTGTGAAGCTCCAACGAAGTCCATAAAAATCCAGCTGCTATCGTGATCACTCCATTAACCCCATCATGAGATCAAGGCACTAATGAATCCACTGCAGGGACATTTGTCGCATTCCAGGAGCAGGAAATCTTCATGGAGACTATTATGCTTCGGAGGCAAATTATAGCTTTTGCCTTGCAAGCTGTGTTAGCCTAACCTTACCACCCGAGTTGAATTCGTCTTTCTTTCTTTAGGACTGCCCCATAACCCGAGCCATCTTCGCATCCTAGGCCACGTCAGAAAGTGTTAGCCGTTGGCTCTATAACTTAGTAGTTGTCGGACTTGACGATGACATTCTAGCCTCCCGGAACGAAGTTCTGGCCGCTGGTCCCGGATATGACGTGTGCTAATTCGTAAGCACATATCCGTGAAGCTGTTCAGCTCCACGCTGGGGTCGTTGTCGTTGCACCACCCTGCCCAACGAACGTGTTAGTAACGCTTGCCAGGCCGACTCACAGATAGCCGACTACGCGCAGGAGACCCGACCACACTGGCGCGGACCAGGCGGCAGGCCTGGCTTGTCGGGAACCTCTCGGAGGTACGCGATGCCCTTATTGACCCTGCCCACTTCCGTGATGGGCCAGAAATAACGCTTCACAGACCCTTTGGTCATAGAAGCAGCGAGCTCCATAGGGCGAGACTTGACACCAGCTAGGTCGCTGGTATAGCGGCTCACATGTGGGGAGAGGGTAAACCAGGCCACGTGCTGTTGATCTGGTCCTAGACGTCCTGGACCGTTCCAGTGAGGTTGACAGGGTGGCGCCGGAGATGTTGGGCCGGATGTTCCTGCTCCCACGCGTCTCGATCAGCAAGCGATTCGACCGGGAAAGGAGACACTTTGTTGGCCGTGTAGTGACCTTTGACGACGGGGGTTTCATGACGTGTCTGGTTGACAAGACCTTGCACACGGAGTATGGTTTCTGGAGGTCGGCGCCCAATTAAAATGACAGACTTATCTCAGGTAATTTGCCCGAGGTACGCACCAGGTTATGTTCACAATCTCGTAGCCACCGATGGGGGCTGAAAGGCCAACAGCCTATTGATGACACTCCAAAGTTAGCCATCGCTTGCATAACAGATAGGGGGATGCCTCCGCCACAATCTCGCGAAGAGGTTCAAAGGCGCACAGTACCACCAGAAGCAGCAGGTCCATTGTTCGTGAGAAGCTGAGAGACTCTGAGGAGTTGATGAGACGGGCGCATCTGAATGTTCGGAAAGAAACAGAGGCAGATGCAGGACTGAGATAAGTTTGACAGAGAGTAACTTACGTTGGCGACGAGGCCACCCATGACGGCAGTGATTATAAGGATGAAGTTCTCCATGGTGACGATTGATGAAGTCGTCATTTTTGTGGCTTTTCTAACCTTTCTGAAGAAGTTGGCAGAAGGAGACGAAGTAGTGTGTTCGCTTTCTGGGTCTTCATACGGTGTTGGTGTATGTGTTGGTGGGAAGGAGGTGGTGGGGTACGAAGTGAGGAAATGGCAGATAATGTCAAACTTCAGCAAGCGGTTGCAGATAACCCGGAGTCTAATGTTTTTGAGAAAGCTAGTGATTTCCTGCTGTCTCCCACTATCCATTGGAAGTCTTAGACCTTTCTTCCCTCTCGTCCCTCCTTTTTGAATATATTGGAAGACTTTGGTTTGGACCTGAGAGACAATTTAATTCTTTTTTCTTTGCTTTGAGTCGCAGTTTTCTATTAGATTCTATAGAATAAAAAGAAGAAGAAGAAAAACATACCCTAAGTATAGGAAAAAGAGGCAAGGAGTATCTTTAGCCTGGGTAATTTCTCTACTGAATTAAAGCTATGCATGCTTTTTTTTGTCTTCCCTTTTGCTACTTGTACAGTGTTAAAATCATTTTGTCCTTGGTTTTCTCTTATGTTCGGCTTGATAAGATCCATGAAGAGGATCAACCTGTTTAAAATCCAAGGCGGGCAAATATATGTGCCTTAGTTGACTTGGGACGAGTTCTCACAGCCGTGAGAAGGTACCTAGGTACTTGCATGTGACCTCCCAAAAAAAAATTGAAACCTTGGGCATTCAGTCGACTTGAAAGTACCTACGTCATCGCATTGAACGTTGAGTAGATTGTTGGAACGTCTGAGACTCTAATGATAGCCACTTCTGAGGCACGAGATTGCCAATCAATTCACGTCAAATATTGCCCTTCACATATACCCGCCGTGCCTGGGTGCCTAGAATGACCGTGATGATGGCTGGCTGATGCTAGCTTGATTGGGCCCATGATTGTGACTCGGCAAGGGAGGTACCTTGTCTTGGTCCTTCCGAGTCATTTCTTATCGATAAGGGACCCAAAAAGACCCCGCGACCTCTCCTGGGTTTTTTTTGGAGGACGCGACCGCGTTTTGGAAAAATCTTTGCGCAGCCCATCTTCATCAATTGCTCCTTTGACGACGAAATAAAGGCACTGTTTGTTCTCACACCTTGATCTACTATCGAAGCTGTTGGCCTATCATTACAGAACCACCGCGTTCAAGATGCGTTACGTCCTCGTCTCCGGCGGAGTTATCTCTGGTACTGTCCAACCCATTCCATCCCACCTTTGCCAGTGCGGGTTCTCCGTACCCGAGGCCGCGTCTCGCTGACTTTCGGAGTGCAGGCGTGGGGAAGGGCATCATCGCCTCATCCACTGGTCTGGTTCGTTTGCCATGAGCTCAAGTATCCCAGCATAGGAGATTCTGATAGGACCTTCAACAGCTTCTGAAGACACTCGGATTGAGGGTCAGCTGCGTCAAAATCGACCCCTATGTGTCGGTCGATGCAGGCCTGATGGCCCCCGCAGAGCACGGTGAATGCTTCGTTCTGCAATCCGGTTCGTACCAGAACACCCTCGCCTGCTCGACTGCATATTGAGTCTTTGTCCAGGTTCCGAAGTCGATTTGGATCTCGGGAATTACGAAAGGTACCTGGCCTTGACCCTTGCCGGCGATAACAACATCACCACTGGCAAGATCTACCAACATGTACGTGCCCTCCATGACAAGTGTGTTGCGTCCCTCATCTGACAGTTTGATCCAGGTCATCCAAAAGGAGCGTCGAGGCGATTATCTTGGAAAAACTGTCCAGATGTACGTGCTCAGCATCATGCCCGATTTGTCTCTGTGTCCATCTTTTCTCACTTGCCCTTGCGGGGCGCATGGTCCATTTGCCTGTCATCTTGCTGTTGTTTTATCCTTGTCGCACCTTTGCTGACCTTCGTAGCGTTCCTCACGTCACGAACGCGATCAAAGACTGGATCAAGCGCGTCGCCAAAGTCCCCGTTGATGGATCGAGCGAGGAACCTGACGTGTGCATCATCGAGTTAGGAGGCACAGTTGGTGACATTGAGAGCATGCCCTTTGTCGAGGCGTTGACTCAACTGCGTCACGAAGCCGGCCCAAGGAACTTCATGAACATCCACGTCTCCTACGTTCCCACCATTCACGGAGAGCAGAAGACGAAGCCTACCCAACATGCGGTCAAGTCTGTTCGCAGCTACGGTCTCATCCCCGACCTTGTATGTACTGATGGTCCCTGTTGCCTGACTGTCACTAACACAACTCAAGGTTGCATGTCGATGTGAACAGCCTCTCGCGGACAGCACCCTTGCAAAGCTAGCACTGCACTGCCAGGTGGAGCTGGACCAGATCCTTGTCGTTCGGGACATGCCCACGGTCTACCAAGTCCCCCTGCTCTTGGAGGAGCAGAAGATCATCCCTCTTCTCCGGAGCAGGCTTAACCTAGATGCTCTGACCATCTCGCCCGCGAACATTTCCAGCGGCGCTGAGCTTTGGGACACATGGAAGTTCGTGGTCACTCAGGAGCATGAAGCGACCATCAATATTGCGCTGGTCGGCAAGTACGTGGAAACACATGACGCCTACCTGTCCGTGGTCAAGTCTCTTGAGCACTCTTCGATGCACTTGCGACGGAAGCTCAACCTGATTTGGGTCGATGCTGAGCACCTCGAGCCCAAGACGAAGTCGACCGACGGGGAGAAATACAACGAAGCATGGCAGGCAGTGCGCACCGCCTCGGGTGTCATTGTTCCAGGAGGCTTCGGAACACGAGGCACAGAGGGCATGATGCTGGCCTCCAAATTCGCCAGGGAGAATGGCACACCCTTCCTGGGAGTACGTTTACACAAGATCACCTCCATTGGGCATGTATGACTAATTTACTCCACAGGTTTGCCTGGGGTTCCAAACCGCTGCTATACAGTACGCGCGAGACATCTGTGGCATGGCAGAGGCCAACTCGGAAGAGTTTCATTCCTTGGCGAAAGACTGCGTCGTCATTTCTATGCCCGAGCTCGACAAGCACAATATGGGAGGCACAATGCGTCTCGGGTCTAGGAAGACGATCTTCCAGGAGGGTAGCGAATGGGCAAAGATTCGTGCCCTATACGGTGGCGGGGTTGAAATTGAGGAGAGACATCGTCACCGGTACGAAGTCAATCCCGCGTATATTCACCGCCTGGAGACAGCTGGTTTGCACTTTGTCGGAAAGGACGAGACAGGCCAGCGTATGGAGATCTTCGAACTGAAAGACCACTCATACTTCGTTGGTGAGTAGCATTACTCTTGATCACTTCGCTCTTGGCCAATCACTAACAATTTTGGAAGGCACACAATTCCATGCTGAATACCAGTCCAAGGTGCTCAACCCAAGCGTAAGTCCAAACAGCGGCTTTGTACTCCATGGATTCGAAATATGATTGACTGACTGATTTTGACAGAGCCCCTACCTGGGCTTTATTGCCGCAAGTGCTGGACTCCTCGAAAAGGTTCTGAAGGAGGGCCTTGCGCGGGCCTCCAAGCTCACAAATGGTGTCAATGGGGCTCACCATTTCTGAACTTACAGGCTGTGTGCTGGACAGGTGCAAGGAAAAGGGACACAATTTAAACATGGTTACAATGGCGTTGCGCGAGGCAAGGGGGACTGGTATACATCGGCGTTATCACAACAGGATACTGGAATTGGCATGATCAGTAGATGATTAGATTTTAAGCCTTGCATTGGTCTCCTGACAAATCGGAGCTCGGGGGAGTCGCTGCTGTTGTGTTGTATCATGCTCTGGAAGGGTCAGACAATCGCTATAGGGTATAACGTGTCTTGAACCGCTCTGGCGCGGCATTTGGACAAGGGAAATGAAGCCGCCAGGAATGCCAAGATGCATACATAGAAACTGAAAATTAAACACAACACAATCTAATGGATCTCATCAGCCGACACAAGCAAGGTCGGTAGGCTAGGGTAGGCAGAAGAGAACGGGATGTTGTCGAAGGCAGACACTTCAACACGGCACCGAATGCGGACAATCTCGATTTCGTGTACTGCGAGTGCAACCATGCTACCCTGTGGACAAAGACAACGCCAACATTCAGAACTGGATCAAAGAAAGGTGCTGGTCGATTGATAACAAGAAGAGTGCACTTTTGCATATGAGCAGAGTCCGACAGACATTTGCAACCCACATAGCAAAGTGTAGGTCAAAACAAAACCAAATTAGTCGTTGATATGAACAGCTACCCAGAAAATCATCAAGCCCCTGAAGAGATCAATTGATTAATATTTACCTTCTATTGTCATCTCTCGCCGGAAAGTCTCTCCTTTACCATAAATAACTACGTAACAACAACAGAACAACAAAATCACGATTAATACAAGCAACTCAAGGAACATGCCTCCAGCGAAAAACCAAGATTTCGTCCCTAACGAGGACCTGCGTTATTTTATTGCCGCCACCACAGCCAATCTACGGAACCAGCTTCGGGAAGCCGACCTGAATACGGCTGGTCTGAAGTATGATCTTTACCAGCGGCTAATTATCAACGGGCACCGGCTCTATAATGATGATAGAGAAGATGATTCTTCTGAGGATGACAATTCTGAGGACGACGATTCGGATCACGACGACGCTGAAACAGACGATGATGGGCCCAATAACCCTCCCTCTGGTAATCAAAGGGGCAGAAAACGCACCAGAGACGATGATGGAGATGACATAGACCAGCTACCTGCTAGAAGATCCAGGGGGTTGACTGAGATGCCAGTGGAATTGAATGTGAACATCATCGACAACCTCGACGCTGGAGGGGTTTTTAACTTGGTATCAGCGGCCCCGCGGGAGTTCTTGTTGGGCGGCACCGACGCATTTTTACTTGAAGCTCGAAACCAAAGAAATAATGGTATTAATACCCGCGTGTCTCTTCTGGAATGGGTCTCACAGCGAGCTGCGAACGAGGTGGAGTTCCGAACCAGCAACCGAGACCTCATCCAGCGTGTGGTGAGAGCTTACGTGGAAACATATCCAAACCAAGGTTCCTTGCCAGAGGGACGCGTGGAAAATATCGTGGGGTTGTTGCGTGAAGTCGGCGTCAATCCAGTCCTGGGGCAGGCCGTCCGCCAGGGCCAGTTGGAAGTAGTACACCTGCTCATCCTGATGGGTGAAGACGTCAATCAGAGGGTGGACAACGTTCAGCCTCTGGAACTGGCGGCAACTTTGGAAACTGCACACATCCCCAACATGAAAACGCTGCAAATTATCTTCGCCTTGATCGCAGGCGGTGCCGACACAACCAACAATCGGCTAGACTATACTGCAGCGCAGGCTGGCACTGCTTTCCCCTTCGTGGGTGTGGCCGAAGCTGCTATGGATGCGCTTACCCTGCTTTTTGGGTGGGATCAGCTCAATGTGGAGCTCGGCCCAGCGAATTGGCCTCCTATTATGAACCCCCGGGGCCTCACCATTCGCCAATTCCTGGCAGACGAAAGGTCGCCTTTTGATGATAGGTCGATCTTGGCCCTGATTCTGATCATGACGCGAGGCACGACCTATCCCAATTTTCGATCATATTAATTGATCACTCTTTCTTGGTTGGATAGTGTCAAGGACCTCATGAGACAGCAGGATACGTGGTGAGTGGAACACGGCAAGGCCCGACTTATTCGGCACTTTGTAGCATAAAAGACCTGTTGACCAAATACAAGTCTCTTTTATCAAGCAGAGTAGCTCCTAGAGTTTTCCGGGGGGACCTCTACCCTTAGTATAGGGAAGAGATACATCATAGTATGCCCGCCATCATAGATTTCGATATTCCTCCATGGAGTCTTAAAAGACATTTCCCGTGCATCTTCAATGGCCACGCACTTTGCTTACAAGGATAGATGGGTACATCGTTAATCCTTTTCACCATCGCCAGAACTAGGGCAAGTAGACCGGATCAGATTGACTAAGCAAGATTGTGCCTATATAGATGATTTGCAGCTTTGTAGCTACTCAGCGGCAAGGGCTGACATACTCCTTGGTACTATGCACCAGCACTCAGCTGGCTCTATACTCATTTCTCAAACATCTTAGATTTTCTGTCTACATGGTACCCGGAGTGTAACATGATTTGATGCCGATGGACAGTTTCTTCCTAGCCCTGCCACCTTCTATACACACCAAATTGCTGATGCATTCGCTCCGACTGCCCTGGGGTGAACTCCGTAGTGCTATAGCAACAAAACCATCAACAATCAACTCAATTCCGCACTAATATAAACGAGTAGTCCTTGAAGCAGGGAACTTACCATGTATCATCTGAATAGTCCATGAAATTATGTATTGGATCCAGACCAGGCGAGTCGGGGCAAGAGTCTCTGCCAACTGGGCAGCCGAGACTTGAACCGGACTGAGCCGGCGTATCGGCAACCTGGTCGTTGATGCTCTCACATGGCCTCCCGTGGAAGGTATGTAGCAAGCCAAACCAGTGGCCAACCTCGTGGATAGCAGCATGGCCCTTGTTGGGGGGCGCCGTCTCGTTGCGACCTAGCCCAGGCATGGAATCGCCGTTCACCCAGCAGCCGTCGAGGTAGAAGTACTGGGACCCGTCCTCGACAACGGTCGGCGTGTTGCAGTACCCTCCAATACCGTCGTTGAGATCCGTGAAAAAGTAGACGTTGAGAGCGTCGTAGCCGCCCCGCCGGGTTTGCGTCCGCCACGCTACGTATGCGTCGAAGTCCACGATTTCGATACCGTCATCTGCGTAGAAGCCCTTGCCCGCCACGTCGTCGACGAGGCGTGAGACATTGACCAGCTTTAGCTCGAAGCCGTAGTCAAGGAATGTGGAGTGCAGTACATCGAACTAATTTTCTACTCAGCAGTTGTCCACTTGCGTGACGGATGCCTTCCTACCTGGGCATCAACGATATCATCCGTAATTCTGTCCTTGTTTGCCTCGGTGCTGGTGACATGGAAGTACACATCGACCGCGGTGGGCTCCTCCTGCCGCTTTGTGTACATTGGGAGGGCAACGCCCATCGGCTCCACGGTCGCAAGATCATCGTTGAGACATTGCAGAGCCAGCACCGGCGAAGTTCCCAAAGAGAAGAGAAGCGCTATAGAAGCAGTCGCAACACGCATAAACATCTTGTCCCAGTTGGCCTGTTCTGCTGACTCGAAGCCAAGAATCATACACGCTCGCTTTGTGGCCTTATGAAGGAGGTGGGGAGAAAAAGCCACCGGGAACCGCTGGTCACTCCCAATATCATAAATGCACCCATTTATATAATTTTCTCTTTGGCCTTTCGGCGGCACTGGGTAAATAATGTCGTGCTCTCATGTAGTGTCCTCGTGAACACGAGGTCTAAGTGCTTGGCGAACCAGACTGGGGTCGACAAAACTCCACCATGATAGTAACGTTGAAGTCTTGGGGGAAGGAATTCTTATTGAACTGCCAAATCAAGCAACGTGCCCGCCGTTGTGCATAACATATCACCTCGTATGATATGTAGCCGCCGGCTTGTGTTCGTGAACGTGTTCCACCAACCACAAGATGCATTGCCGACGTTTATGAGTCTGTCAGAGGAGTGTTTCTCTCAACGCAATATTGGAATGATGAGACATTCACGTTCATTTTCTGCGTCTCATATCTGCTCCTGGAACAATTTGGATGCGAAGAATTTTTTTTCCAGGGCTGACCTTGATGCCTGAAATCAAGCTGCGTTGTCTTGTCTTCAGAGAACATTCAAGGCGCTGATGACGCTGTAGTCAATAAATATGTTGAGTGGGTGGGAATTGGGGGTTTATGGATTTTATCGTGTTAGCCAGTATCACCGCTACTCATAGAAACATGGCATTAATCACAAATCTGCTAGAGCCTGTGTTATGGTGTTCAGATTGTAGAGTTGGATCTGTATCGAATCTGATTTTGAATTACGGACAGATTAGCATGCCCATCAGTCTTTCAATTTATAGTGGAGGAATATTATAGGCTGGATTAGAGTCTTCCAGAGAGAATGTTGCCTCGCTGTGATCGTTAGCACGAGAGAGGTATGAAGACTTAACGTGTAGCGAGAACACCCCTTATGAACGAATTAAAATTCTATGGACCTTAGACATGCATGAGGATTAAACGTTTGAGCTAGTTTCATGGGCGGTTCCTATATCCTCTACAGATAATTGAAGAGCTCGTATATCTGGGTTGATGCGAACCTCAGTTCCTGGGAGCAGAGCGCAGATGTCATGATTACAATCTTTCACTGCAAGGCGAGCCACAGATAGTACAATAAATCACAGCAGAATATAATTTAAGGGATACGTGAATGCCCGTCTGGGCCGTAGGTAAAAACGATTCGATGTCCTGTGGAAGGTCATCTCAAGGGCTCGGGCTGGCTATTTCTGCATATTATTCCACAGTCAACTTGATATTCTGTGAGCCGGTCCCAACAGTCTTTATTGTAAGCTAAATCCACCCATGTCAGTGAGAGTCCTCTGCCAGGTCCAGAAAAGGTGAGGGCAGCAGTGACCACGCTCTGCTTTCACGGCTTCGCGTGGTCAATCATCAATTAAGGCCCAGGGAGCAGGTGAGGACTTCAAACCAACCTGCAGCATCCCCCAGACATTAAGAGCCAGCAAGTATTTGAAGAGCTGCATTGTGGAGTTGAAGTTGAATTGGGGACCATAGCCAATGCAGTCGTTCTTGCCCCGAGCAGAGTAGGCACATCAAAGCCTTCGCCACAAATCTCGTCATTTCTTTACTATATCAGATGTTCGTGACTTGGCTTAGGTAATTTGCACGAGCAATAGTAAGTGGCAAGCTGTGCATGAGCTGAGTATTACTGTCTCTGTGCGTTGATCGACAGCTTGGCTACGTCTTACGTGAGCGGTAGTACATGTGACCTTCGGTCGGAGGCACTCCAGTACGACCGAGGATGTGACCTCGTGTTACTTCGGACGCCTGTTAAAGGCCGAGCCTTAAAGATTATCGACGGCTTCAAAGGCGAGATGTTATATTATGAGGCAAGTGTGCAGCTCATTGCTCTTCGGCTTTCACCATCACAAGTCGTGCAGGTGCTTCTAAGTTGGTATGCTTGACGAGACCAGCAAAGGGCACGGGTTGTCTCACGCCGCTGCGCTGCAAGGCAGACATACCTCAGCAGGGGGCTCTAGACAGCTGAAAGATCAGCATCAAGCGTCGCTCGACTGCTGGAATAAGCAGGCTGCGGTCAGTCAGATGTTGCTGACCAGATGTAACTAGCAGGGGCATTGCGGCGCGAACAACTCAGTCGTAACGAAGAGCAATTATTGACTTCTTGCATGCCAGCCTTCCAAAACTTCGCTATCAGCAGGGGTCCTGCAGAGCGAGACGAAATTGAGGCTCAATCGATATGCAGCCACACTCCAATGAAACAAAAGCTCCGCTTACGGTGGTTTCCAGTCCGCCCCTGTCTCCAATGGTGTGCCACAAGCCGACTTTTACATAAAGTCGCGCAGGGCTTCCGTCCGCGAGATTGCCATCAGAGCCTTACCCTAGCATCAGGTGCAACCGTCACCAATGTCTGAAATACGTGAACAACAGCAATTCAGCCAGGACCAGAAGCCAAAAGATGGCCAACCTGCCATCAAGGAGCTCTGGGACCAGGCAGCGGCGGACTTTGAGACAATCTGTGGCAAGTCACTTCGACAAGGCAGAGTGAAGACTTTCGACGACGTCAAACGGATTATTGAGAAGGACCGAAGTACGACGTCTCATGATGCTGTGCAGCAGGATGGATGGGAGAAAGCCAAGAGCGTGGGATTGAAGACACTGAAATGCCTCAAATTGCTTGCCAACGTGGCTGCCCAGGGTGCTTCGCTTGTATGAAACCCATGCTAGGGCCCCAAATACTTCCTGGTGTTCGTTAGCTAAGATATCATGCTCTAGATACCTCTACCTCCAATCGCGGCAAATACGGCCACGAGCGCTCTGGGGTTTGTCTTTGACATCCCACAGGCTATCAAGGCCTACAACGACGCCGTCAATCAGGTTTTCGAAGAAATCTCCTCAGCGCTTGCCCAAATGCGGATCTATGAGTCGATGGAGAAAGTTGACGGGTCTCTCCTTTACCAGATACATCTCGTAATGGTCAGCATTGTCAGGCTCTCTGCTCACGTGGTGAAGTATCAACAGGGCGGCAAGAGGGAGCGCGGGCTACAGAAGCTCAAGTCCATCTTCAATAATGACTCGGGTCTGAATGACGAAATGGGTGTCTTCAAAAGAGTCTTACAGTATCAGCGCGATGTCGAAAGCACTGTTACGCTTGCTGTAGTGGTCGAGACGCGACAGGATATTGTTTTGCTGATTGAGAAAAACAGCATGCTCCAGACGACGGTAGAGTCAACGCAGCGGGGAGTTCAGTCGATCCAAATTGCGTCCGAGTCGATGCAACAGGATCTGCAATCTATCCGAAGCAATGCCGACCGCAATGACCAACTCACCAAAATCAAGGAAACTCTCGAACTACCCTCTGTCGACACGAGCACCGACACACGAACCAGATTCTCTGAAGGCTGTTACGAGGGCACGGGCTCGTGGATCTGGACTCATGAGACTTACGACCAGTGGACTGCTCCCAAGGAGAGGAATTCCGGATCTCGAGTGCTGTTCATTTCAGGACCTCCTGGTTCAGGCAAAAGCTCAGCCTGCGCTCTCATCGCCAGACGACTTGAGGATCAGCAAGATCGCACATATGTGGCTCACTACTTCTTCCCTAAAAAGCAAGAGAGCAAGAAGCAGGACAGCGATAGTAGAAAGCCTGACAGTGATACCAAGCAGGCGGCTGACCCGATACGTTTGGCTCTGAAATCCATGGCCCATCAAATTGCAAAGGTCGACACTATCGTGAGGAATGCGCTATACAACGCATCTCAAGATCCCAGTGCGATTCGCCGCGCATCAGAACTAAACGTTCTCTGGGAGAGATTGAAAATCGAGGCAACGGGGTCTAGGGCCACGTACTACCTCGTCTTTGACGGCCTTGAGAATCTGGTTTCGTCGGATGCTGAGAGCCTGATAAAGTTCGTCCTCGGTCTCCAGCGGTCCGAGGACTCGAAGTCGGAGAGCAATCTACGTTTTTTGGTGAGCGGGAAGCAGGACATGTTTGAAAATTCGAATACGAGGACCGCGCTGCAAATTCGAATGGAAGAGGAGAACCAGCCGGACATGCGTATCTTCATCAGCCGGAAGCTTAAAGAGCAAGACATCTTGCAGCATCCGAAGCCCGAATCGGACCAGCACATGGTAAGAGAGATGATCTTGCAACGTTTACCCAGGAATGCCAAAGGCAGCTACACGAGTCTGGAGCTTGGCCTCGACGACATCATTCACCGGCTGCGTACGCGAGTGACCATCAAAGAGCTTGAGCGCAAACTAGATCAACCGATCATCAGCCACGAAGCAGCTATAGAGACGCTCCAGAGATCGTTGTCAGGGGACGATGTCAATGAACTCAACGAGCTATTGAAATGGGTGTACCCATTCGCTGACACAATCGACCCTTTGAGCTTGCAGCAACTTGAGCAGGCCAAGGTGAGTCTCATTCGCGCGAGGAATTGTCGCTTAGACTAGAATCTGATCATAATACTAATCACTTTTGCAAAGTTTCTCTCTTCAGGGACCGAGTCTCTTGTGTCGTTGCAGAACACCATTAAGAACAAGTACTCCAAGGTACTTAAAATTGAAAACGGCAACGTCCATGTCCAAGATTTAGCCCTTGACTTTCTAAAGAAAGCCGACATCACCTCTGCAGCGTCTCAAGAGCCTGAGGACAGCGCGACCATCAGTATGACCATCACCATCAATAACGTCGACCGGGAGACCTGCGGCAATTTCTTATGGGATCTGGCGCACAAAGCGAATAGACAAAAGTTCAACTTTGACTTCGAAGCACACCAAGTTGGCAACAGCACGGCTCGAATTGCTGTGGATGAGCTCGACGCTTATCATACCATCGTCTTGAGGACCTTCCAGTATCTGAATGAAGAGCCCAATGAGCGAACCAGCGACATCGGTATTCATCTTGCCGCTTTTCTGCCAGATCACCTCGCAGGCATCCGACATCTCCAAGAAGACGAAAATCAATTTCTTAGGCCTCAACAATACCAAGAGATTGGCCAGAACCTATATACGCTCTTCAAGGATGGCACAATATTTGAGCGTCACAGAGCCAACTTCGAGAGAATCTTCTGGAACGTGCAAGACCTGAAGGAAATCCGAGATTGGCTAACAGACACGAGCGTTATGAGGGGGGTACAAGATAAGTCTTGGCGAAATCAAGTGAAGAACACTATTAGCCCGGCGAATGGCTATCTGCGTTACTTTGCGCGTCCGCTCGTAGAGAGTCTATTGAGGGGAAGGAGCTGCGATGTCTGGCAAGCGTCTTATTGGGTTTTACAGCTGAAGGATGCGGTGAGTAATTTCCCTTGTTGTCGCGCCGGCTCAATTCACATGATTTAGCCAGGGACCTATGGTCGTGCAAAGGAAACATACCTCAGGCAATAGTAGCGAGAGGGCTGATGATAATTTCAAAACCTGATCAGGACGATGAGGCCGTCAGTATGTCTCATCAAGGGGACTCTGACGAAAAAGGTAAATCCAGCAGCTCTAGCTCATATTACGACAACATCGACTGGACTCTGATCAGCGAATGGTGTCGAAACTTCCTGAACTTGTCCGACGCAGACCTCGACTCACTCTGGTACGAACGACTTGCATCGACTGCGCTCCATCATGACGACAAAGTGACGAAGGCCCGGGAACTTTTCCAACTCGCTCTGGAGAAGGAAAAGCCTAGCTGGCTATGCCACCGAGGTTTGGGTACAACATATGACCATGAAGAGAAATTCGCCGAGGCCATGGAATGTTTCGAGCTCTCGATAGCGGAGGCCAAAAAAGATGGGGCGGTGCCCAAGCCAGAACTGACAGACCTCTTTGAGATGCATCTACTCACAGGCCGCTGTGCTTTAAACATCGGGGACCTGAAGAAAGCGGCGGAATTCTACCTGCAGGCTAGCTCCAGCAAGGATGTAGACCAAGCTATGAAAGCACAGTTGGGGCATATGAAGGCATTGATGAGGTCTCCGGATCCACAGTATGCGACGAAATGGCTTCAGGACAAACTGTCCGAAGAAACTGAGGGGCGAAGACTGTGTGACATTCTCAAGATGGCTGCCAGAGAAGATGATCATGGAGATTTCATCCCCAAAATGTTCACTTTGGCGAGTGATAAGCCAGACACCCTGAAGGGCGTCGTACGGGCGATGGAGACGGCGACCGCTCGACCTGGGCCTGGCGCAGAGTCTGACGAAGTTAATCCTCTCCTCGATGATGAAGTGGTCGGCGTCCTCAAATACTACCGGGCCCTTGCTATGTATACATACAGGCACAAGGTGGCATCCGAAACCGTGGATCCCACAAGAGAAGCATTAAGGCTTTGGGAAGAATGTTGCGACCAGCTGTCCAACATCGGCAGTGGCAACGCCAACTTCATTCGGAAGAAAGCCAAGGTTAAGATCGCCCAGCATTACTTCGAGGATATGTTGGCTAGAGACCGTCTCGATGATGTTGATAAGCTGGCCCAGCTTGCCAGGTCTGAAAATCAAGTCCAAGGGGAGTGGGAGTGGGAAGCTTCTGGATTCCTCTCTGCGCTTTATGCCCACCATGGGAACACGACCCAGTCCAGAGCGGCACTTGTTCGAAAAGCCAGGTTTGGTTTGGAAGTTCTCTCGGACGAGACACCTCAAAATGACAACCTTGGATTCTACCTTCTTTGGCAGGCATTGGTGCAGAACGGCGACTTCACTAACGCGGTAATCGCACTACTGTTCTGCATTTCCCCAGACGTTCTGGCTGATGCACTCAATTCCGAATCCAAAGACGTTCAGGATGATAAGGGCCTGGATAACCAACGGCTATTAGATACGGTGCGGAAATTGGCAGGGAAGACTCTCGAGGTCGTCAGAAGTCAACTCCCCGAGATCTCGCCGCAGCATCAGCGTCTCAGTATCGCCAGAGAGCATATAGACACGTGTCTAGGTGCTATCAGCTCCTCAAATGATGCCTTGGAAGGCGGTGAAGGACAAAGTCGACTTGCCCTCCATGATTCAGAGACTGTCGCAGCATATCACATGATCCAAGACCGACTGCGCGCTGCCCAACAGGACATCACCGAGGTGAGTGACTGGACCTGGTCGTGTGACGGACGCACGATGGACGGAAAGGAATGCACCAAAAGAGAGGTCTACCATTGCATCTACTGCACAGACATCGATTTCTGCAATGATTGTCTGGGGCGTCTCCGAGACCCTGAAAGATGCTCTGACATCGAATCCACGGTGTGCAGCAGCAAACACCGATGGTTGAAGCTCCCACTGCCTAGTTCAGGTTTGTACGTCGGGCCCCAAGCAACAAGTCTCAGGTCTCCGAAGGTGCAACAGCGGCATGAAGATCACCAAATTTTGGAGGTTTCAGGAGACGGGGATGCAACTGTGAATGTGGAGGAGTGGAAGGCGGATGTGGCTAGAGCCTGGAATATCGTGCTGGAGGGAGGAGGAAGCGGAGCTGACTAGACAGACACAAGCCAGGCAAATTTGAAGGTCCTGTATGCGTGCCGGGAAAACATCACAGTATCTTTCCGCTGTTTCGAGGTTGTAGCCAATCAGATCATGGGATTGGAGCGGGCCATGGAGTGGGTCCACAGGAAGCTCCCGACTTAAGGTTGAAAGCCGCATCCCGTTCCAGCCAATCATCTGGTGTACGTGAACTTTAAGTGACGGACGACACAAAAACCAGCTGATCAGTGTAGGATTACAAGGTTGAGAAGCGTTTCAGTTTTGTGACAGAGACTGCAGATGGGACCTGTTGGGTTGTATGCGTTGCTTGACTTCTGCCAATGCGGCACTGCAATGTAGCTGCAGATAAGCCGACTAACAGACGGCATACCCGTACACTTGTACCACAGTACTTCAGCCACTAGTCGCCAACACTAGCAGCATTTCCACTCTGCCACTCAATCTTTTGGGGGAAATGCATTGTCAGATGAAATTTGCGTGCGGAGATAGTGCATCAGTCATTGGCTGTGCGCTCTTAGCGCCTTTGTGTAGTCTGCAGATCTTGGTGGAGTCTGTGTGTCTCGGGCTGTTATCCGGGCCCACCACAATGTCACACAGCATTTATAGTTGCTCAAAATTACCAACAAGCACAAGGAAACAGGTGAGATGGCCGAGTTGGTTATGGCGCCAGGTTAAGGTTAATCTTAACATTCATTCCTGGTGGAGCAATCCTCCTGGGTTCAAGTCCCAGTCTCATCATGATCTTTTGCTTTTTGGCCCGTTTTCTAGCCTAGCCACCCACCTTTCTTCTTTTCCAATTCTCTCTTTTCTAGTTTCTGATTGCTGTCACCGTTCTCTTATGTCTAGAATTTCTTGTTTCCTCAATTTATTTCTGTGAAATCCCATCTGGGTTGAGGAGAGAAAACAGAGAGAAAACGAGAAACGGAGAATGGAAAACGGTACAGAAGAAGCAGGAAAACGGGAATTCGAAACATGTCAATTAAGGTTACCAGCAGGGAAAGTGTCTTTTGATTACTAACATATTTTAACTTTCTTCACAACCCATGCCGCCAAGTATGCTGTCCTTGATATCCGCTTTCACCCCCCTGGAGTAGACTATCGCTTTTGATAGACCGCGAAGCGTTCCACACCGCCACGCAGCCTCGACAGGGTTTCTGGAGCTTAGATAATTACTGTAAAAGTACATGTGAGAAGGGGTCTCAAGTTTTCTGGCCTCGATGCTTTGACTAAATGATCCTGACTAAAATCGCAGATACCTCATTCCAGGTCTAGGACAAACGGCCACTGACTACTTCACTCGACACTCTTCTGTGTTGGCTTTGACGGGCAGGAGAATGGTAAAGGGCAAAGGAACAGGAGAATACTGGTCTAATGTCAATAGACGTCACCTCGCGGTCTGGCAGGTGCAATGGCCAGGCTGGTAGATGGTAGGGGTTCTGCTTAGGAGAAGTGAAGGGCTACTTTGAAGGGCCGGTTTTGTCTTGCTAATGTGTTTAGGCCAATGTAACTGCTCTTATGGCTCTCCTCGTTATCTCGCTAACATGCACTGCCGGTGTGCCACGATCTACTGCTTTGTTTTGTTTCTTGGTGAATTTTATCTTGCTTCCTAGGTTTGTACCTACAGTTTCAGGAAAAAGCAGGCCGCATGACCCTAGGCATGTCCATATGTAATATTATCTACCTGTAGGTGCATAACTAGGTAGCCATCAAGGTCCATTGATAATATGACCTATATCTAGCGCTTTCGTGAAGCCACAACGAGCGTGAGCATGGCGACGCAATGCTCCAATAAGCACCATCCCTATTCCTTGCTGGCTTGTCGCGCCAGACTAGATTTCACACGGATGTTCGCAGCTCCGCTATACCCTCATGTCTCTAGAAAGAGCTGTCACGTAGTAGTAAGTCGATCCGGCTAGATTAGGGGGTATCTATCCCAAGTGTGTATGGGTAAGGGTTCTGATATCAGTACGATATGTGGCGGACTAGAAGCGCTGAGAGAATCAAATCCTTGAAAGCCCCAGTGCAGACTTTCCTGAGGTTATCTATGAGGCTTGATGGAAGTTTGGCAGTTGTTGTTACGGTCGGAGCTCTGGCTCAAAAGTAGCTCATCACAGCCGCTCGGAGCTCCACAGGTACTTCTTCTTCTTCCTTGCCAAATTCTTCGCCAAACTCTGCAAAAACAGTCTCTGCGACGCCATCTACTTCATCCTGCGTCCAGAGACGCCCGGGGCGCTTGTATTTAACGAAATCAATGCCCTTTCCTTCATCTTGCTGTATAATCCAAGGCTCAAGACACTCATTTTTGAGGTATGGCGGATTCTCTAGACACAATTAGCAATGCTCTAGCAGGACTTGCTCTGTGGACAATGCTGCGCTTACCCCCATATGTCCTTTCCCAGCCCTTTCTCTGCCCAACCCTCGCGGAAAGATAACTTTTCACCTGTCTAGATGTGTCTGCCGTCGGGAAGGCTAGGTCGCAGACATACAGACGAAGACAGTTTTCGGACCACTTTAGCTCGAACATTCTGAGAAATTGGAACTGTGCGGTAAGGCTCGAAGTCGCGGGAAACGAGGCCAGCAGGGATAGATCGTCCGCGAAGTCGGGCGGGCGGTGGCTAATCACTTTCCCAGTACTGCTGATGCTCGTTTTTACGTCTTCCCAGGTGATATTGTCTAGTCTTTATTAGTTGGCTCATTGGCACGGCATTCATTCAGTGTGAAGGTTCATCGCAGAGACTTACTGCGACCTCCTACAAAATGAACCCATGGCCCCAAACAAAGCTTCGCGGTCATTCTCTACAAGAATACGTATAAGTTAAGTGTTGACACTGAAGTCAGCTGCCATACTCGTGCCCTGAAGTTGTTAGCTCGACATCTATACAAATTCAAAAGCAGTCGGTACCTACAGGTTGTTATGAAGATAAGGTACAGTCAGAATGCGCAGTCTTTACAATAGTTGGTCAAGGAATATTAGGAAGGGAGTAGGGCAGGATCAAGATAGTACTGACTGTTAAAGTGGAGCATATTTGTTCAAGGAGAGGGTGTTAATGTTGAAGTGGACCGAAGTGTGTTGTTCTGCCTCTTCTGCCGTTCAGAACGTATCGCCCACAACGTCGCTTTCCTGGATGCAGCGGGTAACGCGTTGGCTAGCACTGGCCACCCGTGTCTGGTTCTGGAAGACTTCATCCCAAACAACATACTCCGGTAATTATCCTCTACGCTTGCTCGCTGGGCGGAAAGTACGACGATAATTATCTCCACCGAAACGCTTTGTTGATTCCTCACAATTACTGAAGATGTTCAGGAGCTGGTTGATGAAGATAATGTATCGTCGGAGTTAACACCGGATCCAGAAATCGAGGCAGCCGATGACAATTCTGCACTACGAGCATCTAGGACGCGAAAGGTGTGGTTCCCCGTCTCGTACAATGCGTACCACCAGCTCCAAATTACACCGATACAGTGAGGCTGAAGTCCGACTCGCGACGATGGGACCCGTGCAAAACAGTTGACTGCTTTCCTGGCACAGCTGTAGCTTGCTTGCTCTAGTCAAATGAAAGCGCAGTCTCTATACTGCAACCACGTTCTCCCACAGCAATTAGGACATCCCCCAAGGCATGCGGGCTGTTCTCGATCCAGCCACGAGTCCCCTGCCCAGCATGCAAGATACATGGTCTGAGCTCTCGGACTTGCTCAGTCTCGCCCGCCTTCACGTTCGTACACAGCCAGATCCCATCGGCATTAGTGTTCACTGATGGGGGACAACATCTTGAAGCATTCCACCGAGTTGGTCCGGCGAGTTCAACCAAACGGAAACCCGGTCCATGTGGTAGCCCGGCGCTATTCGTCAGTGCCTAATGGCCGTTAGATTTCCCTCGCAATGGCGTGTGTCTACCAGCACTCGCGGACGTTGGGAGCGATTCACATCCTATCTGACCTTCGCTATATCAATGCCATGGCTGAAGCCAAGCCAGGCTTGCAGGGATGTAAGGCCAACGCTCAAAATGCTAGAAAATAACGGTTGCACATGCAAGCAACAAATATCACGCCGCGGGAGCGGTGATCCGGATCCACCCACCACCCAAGTTGAGCGACAGAGGCTTGAGAAACGCTCTGGGCTGAGAAACAAGAAATTAAGTTCTAATATTGTGCTGCTCTAGACTGTCCACTTTCTTCTTAGACTTGCCTTCAACATTCGAAGTCGTGGGACATCTGCTAAACTATTTAGGATGCTCTAGCGTAAGGTCTACCGCGCGAGATGCCTTTGTGATTCCACCTTACTCCCTACTTGTGCCCGTATCAGCTGAATTCTTCAAGTTGATTTTGAGAGCCGCTTTAGCGGCGTTTTGTCGAAACTCCTGTTTCATAAATCGCTTTGTAAAAGGTTACAAAAAGTTCCAAAAAGAAAGCCACTTCATGTGAGGACGGCCTGATTCGAACAGACATCCTTCTGGAATTTCCACATCTGGAATCAGACGCGCTACCGTTGCGCCACGCCCCCAAGTGATGATTCATGTAGACACTTTCAAAATTATAGCATCATGTGTATGTAGCATGTAGATACTATACGGCCTGCAAATAAACGTCTGACTCAACCCTTATCTTACACATCCCAAGCTTTTTTTTATATATCTATTTATTTTATTATATTTAATAATCTAGATTTAAATACAACAAGATTAATATACCCTTGGAAAGCTGGCAGAGAACAGCAGGTATTATGACAACCTACCCGGATAAAGCTTATTAGCCTTCACACAGCTGGACTGGTACCTCGACTCGTAGCATATGAGAAAGCACTGAGAGTGCACACTGTCATATGTGTCACGAATCTATCCAGCGAAGAAATCAAGAGAACAGGGCCGTCGCTGGGTCATTCGTTCCTGTCCATCATGGCGGCTAAGGCCTGCGACCCTTGAGCCTGTCTGAATTAGGTGAGTTAGATCTTGCCCAGCACACGCGGCTCGATCGACGAGATACGAGAAGTCTGCACGGGGCAATCAATTGGGTGCAAGACTTGAGCCAGGACCAAGGGGGAGTAGGAGCCTACCCAGGTGGGCATGGACAAGTTGGAGCAGAAAGAGATCGCCAGCACCAGCTGGTCTGAGAGCTGCCAGCCAACCCAAGCAGGTCCAGTATTAGACTGATCTTGTACCAGGAGCATCGGAATGCCAGCTGAGGGAGTAAGGCCATAGAGTACCATTTGATCTTGGAAGGGACTGTGAATGATGAAGGCGCACCTGAAAATGCCTGCTGGAAAGGTCCGCGTGCCACGGGCAGTCTGCTCCGTGTGGACACACCTGGGGACCCTCCCTAGTGCTGCACAATCTTGTCCACAAACACCACTTCGACTGATCCAAATCGTATTTTGAGTTAGATGCATCGATAGAGAAAGTCTTTATTGACTTAATATCGTTTTAGATATTCATTTTCAAGTCAGCTGGTGCACGTCGGACACGAGTGGCTGATGAGCTCCAGGTAAGGAAGGAAGGAGCGAACTTCCTGGAGCGGTAGACTAAGACTGATATTTTTTCCTGTCGGCCTTCTGAGAAATTCCTTTTCCCTCCAGCCCCGAGACCGTCTTCGTATGTATAATTATCTCCCCTTTAAAGACAATTCCCGTTGACTGTTGCACTCCTCTCCCTATACATCTATCCTGCCATCTTCCTGCATGTCCTTAAGTCCCATCGAGCTGCGACAGGCCGACGTGTCGAGTGACAGTCAACCAGCTTATGGCCTCGCACTGGAGACGTGCCGTCTCCTCTCAATATCCCAAACATTTTCCGCAGTCTCAATGGACGGTGACTAACATATTTGTTATATAGATTCTCAAATACCAATTCGATCTCGTAAGGCTTCACTCCCTCATATACGTGTCCAGCTGCAAGGACTGACCAGGTGTACAAGAACAGAAAATTAGTCAAGATGGCCCCCAAGAAGAACCGCCTCGGACTCCGGCCCAGCCCAGTCCCAGTCCCAGTCCCAGCCGCCCCGGCCCCGGCCCCACCAGCCCGTGGGTAAGTGATTAATGATTCAAGGTACCACAAACCTTCAAGAAGCTGCTTTATACTGACCATTGATCAGTCATCAATACCCCGGAGGGGGTGAAGACCACCGTCCCGGTCTCCGTCAAGGAGAAGGCGGTCCTGCTGCGGGCGGCGGTGCGGGCGGCGGGCCCTCCCCGGGCCCAAAAGCGCGTAAGATCCCAACCGGCTATACCATGACATCTCAGTCACCGAGGGCACTTTAGAAGGCCGAGGCCGAGGCCGAGGAGAAGGAAGAAGACGAGGAGGAACAGGCCGAGAAGAAGGTAAGCTGTCTGCATGTGTCAGATATTTAAGCTTGGCAGTTGGACAAATAAACTGACCTATGAATAGGCCTCCGGCAAAAAGCCGGCGCGCGGCGAGCACGTAAAATCAATTATCTGTGCCCTTTATTGCTTAGAGTCAAGGTCTCATGTGCTGGTTAAGTTGACTATGAGTATATATAGTTCTCTTCGGGGCCATCTTGACCGATTTGCTGAATCTATGCACCTGGTCAGTCCTTGTGGTTGGACGTATATAGAAGAAAGTAAAGGTTTACAAAAATCTCTGTTGTAATATTTGATGAACTATATAACAGTCAGTTAGTCACTGTTTGATGATAATGTAAAAATATCTGATGTGTTGCAGCATCGTGTCTTCGGTGCCAGTCGATCCATGAGCTGGCTGACTATCACTCAACAGTTCAGCTCGATGGGCCACAGAGACGTGCAGAAGGGTTGTGGAATGAGAATTGAGGGATCTGAGGGCGACGAACAAGGGAGAAAAGAAAAGCTCACCAAGATTGGCCGACCAGAAAGATATTCAAAAAAAAATTGAGATTAAATAAAACAAAGATTTAAGTTGAGGACGGCCTGATTTGAACAGACAACCTTCTGGAAACTCCATTTCTGGAATCAGATGCGCTAGCCGTTGCGCCACGTCCCCATGTCGATGCTAAGAGCTCAGATTTGATAATTATGAACTCCATTTGCATTACGTATGCTGAAACCACCGTTGGCTGTGTTGCAGCTGCACAGAAACCTTCTACCTGTTCAGGAGGCTGCAACGACAACCGTTGTACCAGTACATCAGCGACCAAAACCTGTGGTTTGCATGCCTAGCATCATCTAACATGGGGCTGAGGCGATTGTGCTCTTTCACATCCGCTGCACGCAGGGCGCTAGTTGATATGGCGGGCTCCAATTCGTTAGATTCTGGTCTCGTGCGTCTGCAGGCAGGTTGGCCTGGCTGAAGACCAACCACAATATCTGCCTTGCAAGTACGTAGGGATAAGATGCGCAGTCCCGGGCTGCTCTCCAGCGGAGCCGTTCCAAGAGGACCAAGTGCATGCTGGAAAGTCATTAGCCGGGGCCACTGTCCATCGAATACGAGCTTGCGGTAGTTCAAATCGCCCTTGAATATCACCAACTCGCCGCCGGCTAGCTGATTCCAAAGGTCCGACGCATACTCGGCCATACGTGCGTAGCAGTGCTGGGTTGTCCAGAAGGGATGCGCTTCGAATCGAAGACGACCGGCAGCCAGATGCTGCTTAATCGTGGCACCGAAAGTCTTGAGTCCACTCACCCCCTCGCCTTGGACCTCGCCATTGAACGAGGCCTCGCGCAACGTGTACAGTGTGAACTCAAGATCCCGCGAGGTCACATTCGAAACGAACCACGGAAAGGCCTTTCCGTGAAGGATCACAGTCGAGGCGTAGTCGGCGCCAAGCAAGTAGGTCACCAAGACCAAATAGGCGAGAAATTCGAAGCCAGCGTTGTCCAGAACGATATGAATCTCGCGAGGGCGCTTCTTATATTTGAGACCAGCAAGTAGCTCGCAGACCTCGTCTGTGTCATCATCGACGACGTTCTGCTTGAACGACTGGCGCGCTGTCTTCCCTTGCCTGGATTGAAGCTCCTCGACCGAGAGGTGTACGCGAAGCAACAGATCCACTGAGTTTCCCCGGAGACTAATATCCAAAATTTCTTCAAGAAGGGTTTTCGCGTCACTCCGGTTGTTCAACTGGCCGCGTGCTGCAGCGTCCAGGGATGAGTTGACGAATTGGACCAACTCGAGGACGGAGACCGTTGAGCTGACGAAAGCGCGAGACTTTTGGCGGGCGAAGACATCGTGATTTTTCCAGAATGGTGTGTTCCGAAGAGAGAAACACGTCTGAAGCCGTCTGTAGAGGAAGTCCTCGGTGAAAAGCCCAGGAGAGCTGTGCCATGTCATGGGACCAATTGCCTCGAGTTCATCGTTGTAAGCCTCGATGTCTGAGCCGCCATCCTCCAGGATGGGGACGATGGGGTTGTCATTGTTCATGTGCTCCAGGACTAGGCGGATATCAGAGAGGATTTTTTCTCCATCATCGACTTCCTCGACGGTGCGCTCAAATTGCGATCTGGTATCCTCAACATCGGCGAGGCATCCTCTTAAGATGGCAGGCCAACGGGCTCTGGCGGTCGGATACGCAAGCGACTTCGGGTTGTCGCTGTGCGATACCTCTGGAGGGGCAAAGAAAGGTAAGCAGAGTTCTCTTTCCAGAATGCGTCCAACACCTACGAATGGACGGATCGATCTGGAGAAACATTTTGTGATTCGTTATGTTGGTGGTGGCAGGAGCAAATGCTGCTTGTCGAGCAGTTCGCGTGAACACACGGTAAGTAACACTGAGTGCTTGCCAAAGGGACTTCAGCGCTAATTTATAAAGCAATTGAAGTTGCGTTTTAGGAGATGAAAAATCTGTGTTTGTGGTAGGCGCTGGATGAATTGCCATGCCAGGTGAAGGAAGAAAACGTCCAAATCACAGTATTGATCGGCCAATTGAAACCGACTTCGGACCCTCAAGCCTTCTCGTGTTCTGGGTCCTCCGATATTCTAGGTTACAAGCTGAGTGTCACTGACAAAGTATCAGTTCAACAGGTGGGTGGATGTGTGATTGCGCGATTTTGCTGCCTACAGACAATTCGATGATAAAACTTTGCGATGTACAAGTTACAACTTACGGGCACCCGCATCTTAGAAAAAGGCCTCTTTCCCAGGGCAAATCGAGTTAATGAAGCAGGAACTTAGGATGGTTGGACTCCTGATACCCATCGCAGCGGAGTCATGTAGACCGCGGGCCAATGAGAGGAAATGAAACATAAATAACATCACAAGTGGCCTTGAATGCTTCACTGTGGGTGCGATCAAGTCGATGTTGACAACATGGGGAGGTCTCATTTGACCAAGCACCATGAAGGCCTTGCTGAATGGGGCGAGGTCGTGAGGAAAGGGTACGGGAGACCTTACCCTAGACTGCTTAGGTAAGATGGCCGGATTACTTGTATAGCAAGCCTGCCATGAGCTCCCTACTGTGTGCCTAGGTACCCAGTAGTGCTGTGGGAGTTCGCCCAAGACGCCTAAGGGCCCGAGGCTGTCCGAACTTTCCAGCCTACAAAGGTGGTACGCAATTCCTTCAATTAGAAGGCACCAAAGTGTCCACCCTGTTCTGTTCTGGTGAGAGGACCGGGATCTGCCCTTGCTTTCTAGGTGATGATAAACTTGAAGTTCGCAGAGGCCATCAAGGTATCTAGCTGATCTTCATTTGGGTGCCACACGAGCTGTTTGCCCAAGGATCGCGGATGATTAGCGGCAAGCGCGTTGTCCTGGATGTTCGCTGGACAGCGGGTTACAGTGGATCTGTGATGTTGGCTTGGTGTGATAATATCGGCGTCGGATCTTGACAAGCCAACCCCTAGATAACCCAAATTCTTCGGGTAAGCTGGGCAGGTGCCAAAGGTAGGGAGGTATTTATAGGAAACCAAGAAAATGGAATCAGATGAGACATGAGAGGTCAGAAGATACGAGCGAGCAGCTAAGCTGGATAGTCGCCCGCTAGTACCCGGAATCCTTTGACAGGACTATGTAACTGTGAAGTGGCCATGGTAAACCAAAGCAGTCCGTGCTGTTCATTTGTCTGCCTGTTCAAGCACCTCTCGGGCTCTTCATTCTTAACTCCGCTCAGCGCTAGCAGCCACCAGCATCAGCCACTCTAAACGGTGACGAATCGAAAGAATATACGACATCTAAAGTAAGACAGAGGCTACGATGAAGGAGGTTGTTGAAGGATTCCAGGCTTCGCCAAGGGTCGCATGTTCACTTAGCGAGTCTATGGGGATCTGGACCACGTCAGCGCGTTCCAAGAAGGAGTCTTACGGAGGTCTCTCAGTGCAAAGTGAATGGACATATAGACGTAGCATATTTTCCGCTTGAGTACGCGTAGAGACTTCGTGCCTGGGATTCCGTCTCGTAGATTCTTCCTGCACCGATTGAATTCACCGAGGTTTATTCAGGTACCGCCTGGGACCACCATGGCGGCCATCGTCATCCCAGTCAATGAGTCCCTCCAGACAGCAGAGAAGGTTCTCAAGGAAACAGCAACAGCATCCGTGGTCGAGGTTCTCACTGACGACGATTGTGAGAGCAACTCCGGTCGATCGTTCACAGTATCTCACACCAGCACTTTAAGATGCAATGTGCAGGAGCCCATTGCCGTTGTGGGAATGTCCTGCCGCTTGCCGGGTCATTGTACGAACATCGAAAAGCTCTGGAGCTTTATATCAACTGGGAGCGTTGCCCAAAACGACGTTCCACAGTCAAGGTGGCATCTTGATGGTCACCACGATGGGTCAGCTAAACCACATACCATACGGTCGCCGGGCGGCATGTTCCTCGAGGATATCGACTTGCACGCCGTAGATGCTCAGTTCTTCAATCTCCCCAGAGCCGATGCTATTGCCATGGATCCAAAGCAGCGCCAGCTGCTTGAGGTCGTCGTTGAATGTCTCGAGAACAGTGGCATTACACTGGAGAGCATCAGCGACAAGCAGATTGGCTGCTTTACAGCCAGCTACGCCGTTGGTGAGTGTGACAGTGTTCTATACTTTCGATGATGGTTGACAGGAGCAAGATTTTGCCGATATACAAGCACGCAACCCGGAAGAGAAACCCGAGTCCTTCACGATTGGTACCATACGTGCAAGCTTGAGTAATCGAGTCAGCCATTTCCTCAACATCAAAGGACCTAGGTGGGTTTAAGAATGATGGAAAGAGACTTTTACTCTCCACCTACTCACAAGTCCATGTAGCATGACCATCGACACAGCCTGCTCCGGCGGCCTGGTCAGCGTCGATACCGCTTGCCGATATCTCCATTCCGGCCAGGCTCAGGGCTGCATCGTGGCCGGCGCGAACATCTACCTGAGCCCCGAGCATATCCAAGACATGGGCACGATGAGAGGTGTATCATCAACTACAGGGCGGTGTCACACCTTTGACGAAAAGGCCGATGGGTATATCAAGGCAGAAGGTGTCAACGCTGTTTTCCTCAAACGCCTCGACGACGCCATCAGAGATGGCAATCCGATCCGTGCCGTGATCCGGGCAACGTCCACAAACTCGGACGGCTGGACGCCAGGGATCAGCAACCCGAGCTCTGAGGCCCAAGCTAGGAATATTCGGATGGCGTATGCCAATGCCGACATTGACAACTTCAACGAGACAGGCTACGTGAGTACTAGAAATGACCTGCTATTTCCTTTTGCCTTGTGCTATTCTTGCAATCATTTGAACACTTGCTACGCAGTGAGACCCAAAAATGGTTGGCTAACCAATTCTATTCAACAGCTGGAGTGCCACGGAACCGGCACACCCGCCGGAGATCCGGCAGAGGTCGAAGGCGTCGGCTCCGTCTTTGGGATCTCCCGCAACCCGAAAGACCCACTTATCATCGGCTCGGTCGGTTCGTCCCCTTTCTCGGCATGTCGCGCATCTTTTACGAAGAGCTTCGGAAGATGGAATTTTCAAGCCAACACACACTAACGTCTAGTGATAGATCAAGAGCAACATTGGGCACTCAGAGCCAGCAGCAGGACTGTCTGGTCTGATCAAGGCGGTTTTGGCCGTCGAAAGGGGCAGCATACCCGGAAACCCAACTTTTGTCCACCCAAACCCCAACATCGACTTCGATGGCCTCCGTGTCCGGGCTACGCGACGGACCATCAACTGGCCCGAAGCCACGCGTGGATATCGTCGAGCAAGTGTGAACTCGTTTGGGTATGTCATCTCATTCGTTGCACCCTTTGATGATGTTTTAAATGCATCCCCTTTCCAAGAGCCAGTTCTGGCGCTCACAAAATCCTTCACTGTCTACGAGAAATGAGCAATTCTAAAGTGTGCATAGCATTGGAGGTAGCAATGGCCACGCCATCCTCGACTGTGCGCAGCACTTCCTTAGTCGCAATCAAATACAACGTGTCGCAAGACAAGTGTCGTCTTTCGGCCAATCCCTGGACGATTACCGCCTTGAGGACGTGAGAAAAGATGCCAATGTTCCATATACCGGACCTAAACTCTTAATCTTCTCGGCAAACGACGAGTACTCACTTAGATCTTACATCAAGAGCCTATCGGCCCACCTCGCGGACCCTTCCGTAAACGTGACAATATCAGACCTCGCGCATACCCTGTCCCAGCACCGGTCCCGCCACTACCAGCGCGCCTTCACAGTCGTCGGCGCCTCGCCCACTGAAAAGCTGAGCAGCATCGTCCCGGAAGCCGCCGTCTTCGCGAAGCGCGCAGCCACCGCCCCCAGGGTCGGCTTCGTCTTCACAGGCCAGGGCGCGCAGTGGCCGCAGATGGGCCGCGAGCTGCTTGCACTGTTCCCCATGACGGCCGGCCTTGCCGTCGACCTCATGGACCACGCATTGCAGGGCCTACCGGCAGAGGTGCGCCCGGGCTGGACGCTGCGCGCCGAACTCAGCGAGCCGCGCAGCCCCGAGCATCTCCGCCGGCCGGAATTCGCGCAGCCGCTTGCCACAGCGCTCCAGGTCGCCATGCTGGCCGTGCTCAGATACTGGGGGGTCCGCGTGGAGTGTGTCGTGGGACACTCGTCAGGCGAGGTCGCGGCCGCGTATGCCGCCGGCCTGCTGACGCGGGAGCAGGCCATCAAGATCGCGTACTTCCGCGGCCTCGCCGCCAAGCAGACGCCGCCCACCGAGCCCGTCGGCATGATGGCTGTCGGCCTTGGCGGCGACGCGGTGCGGCCGTATCTGGACCTTGTAAACAGGCCCGGCGGTGGCACCGGGGAGGTGGTGCAGGTCGCGTGCTTCAACAGCCCGTCCAGCTCGACGCTCTCGGGGGCTCTCCAAGCTCTTGAAATTGTGCGGGACGCTTTGAAAGGAGATGGGTATTTTGTCCGCATGCTCCAGATCGATATGGCTTATCATTCGCGTTACGTAGCCAGTGCTGGCAAGCGATACGAGCAGCTTTTCCAGCAGTACTGTACCGACAGTGCTTTCGTTTGCGCATCATGCTATCAAGAAGTAACCATGTTCTCCTCGTTGACAGGGCACAGGCTGGATGCAGGTGAGAAAACAGCCTGGTCGTATTGGAAAGACAACCTGTTTTTTCCGGTACGCTTCGAACAGGCGTGCCGGGCAATGCTCCTGGATAAAAACCGCTCCGCAGATTTCATGATCGAGATCGGCCCTAGCAACGCTCTTGCTGGTCCTCTGAGCCAGATATGCAAGACGCTTCCCAGTAAGGGTGCGGGTATTACATACACAGCGGCCGCCAGCCGAGGTCCGGACACCATTCTCTCTCTTTTCGGCGTTGCTGGGCGTCTTTTCCTTGCAGGAGGCGACGTGGACTTAGCCAAGGTCAATGAGGAGCAGCCTGGCGCGTCATTCCCCACACCAGCCTTCATCGTCGACCTGCCCAACTACGCATGGAATCACACCGTCAAGTATTGGGAAGAAGGCGAGTCTAGCAAAGACTGGCGCTTCCGCAGATTTCCGCACCATGACCTCCTCGGAAGCAAGATTCTAGGGACTTCGTGGGAGGCCCCGAGCTGGAAAAAGTATCTGCGGCTCCAAGACGTGCCCTGGCTTGAGGACCATAAGATGGGTCCCGACATCGTATTCCCTGGAGCTGCGTATATTTCCATGGCAGTCGAGGCAGTATATCAGAGACGTCTCGTGGCGGCAACTGAAGAAGACACCGGCAACCTGGCTAGGGGAAACTACCATTTCCGCCTGCGAGACCTCAATTTCCGGCGTGCTTTGGTGTTGGACCCGATGGCTACTGCCAAGCTGATGCTGACGATGCACCCGGTGACAGGCTCCGACCAGACCTGGTTGCAGTATAAGGTATGGTCGTTGGGAGAAGATGAGGCGTGGGATGAGAATCACAGCGGACTCATTACTCTCAGCGTGGGCATCTACAAGGGGCAACAGACGGCAGCGCCCGAGTCACTAGCCTTGCCTCTGAGAAGCCCGACACCAGGAAGGCTGTGGTACAAACCAATGCAGGATGCCGGATACAACTTCGGGCCCAGCTTTCAAAAGCAATTGGAGTTGGAGACGACGTTGGGGAGACGTTACTCGCGATCTATCGTATCTCTAGATGCTCCGGCGTCGACATGGTGCCCGCAGTCCGACTATCCCTTGCACCCAGCCTGTTTGGATGGCTTCTTCCAGACCACGACCGCGTCACTTTGGGAGGGTGACCGGAGTAGCATGAATGCGGTGCTGATTCCTTCGAGCATCGACAGCGTCATCATCGCCGCCAGACCGAGAGCTCGCGAGGGTGTTGTGGTCACGAGTGCGGATTACATCGGCACCGGTCGTCGCGAGGACAAGACAAATTACATCTCCCAGGGCACCATGTACAATCCAGTGGACGGGGAAGTCATGTCCGAGCTCAAAGGAGTGCATTATAGTCGCCTCGAGACGCGTGCGGATGTATATACATCGTACACATACCTGCGGGCCGTGTGGAAACCCGACTTCGGCCTCTTGAAGGAAGACACCAAGTTCCACAGAGCTCTTGCATTATCTGGCGATGACAGCACCCAGGATGCATTGCAGAGTGTCATCGATCTCGCGGCCTACAAGAACCCTAACCTGGCCGTCCTTGAACTCAACCTGAGCCCTGGTGATGGATCCAGCTTGTGGCTTTCCAGACCAGCTAGTGAATGTGATATCAGGGCTGCATACGGGTCTTACCACTTGGCGATAAGTGATCCCAAGGCTCTAATGGATGCCCAGGAGAGATACGCTACTGCCGTGGACACCATTGAGTTCAGTCTCTCGGATCCCATGAAGCTGGACTTTACACCTCCGTCTGAGACATTTGATCTCGTTGTAGTAAAAGTTCCACAGCTTGTAGCCAACGACTTAGAGCTGCTCGGTCGCAACATCCGGAGGACACTCAGAGAGGATGGGAGTGCTTTAATAATCGAGACGCAACCCGGTGAAGCTTGCATGGACAGTTGTGATGTGGGAAAGACGCTATCCTGCACAGGCTTTACCAACATCCGCAATTTCTCCCGGCATGGCTACCTCGCTGGAGTCACAAGCGACAGCCAACCTCAGCCCGGAAGTAGGGATGATATTGTCCTCATCCGTCTCTCGTCCGGACATATGGAAAATGAAAGCGTACTGTCTGTCTTGTCGTCTTTGCGCGAGCTGGGCTGGAGAGTCGAGGAGCAGAACGCCGAGACCACCGAGTCTATCACTTCCAAATCCACTGTGCTTGTCCTTGACGAAATCGTCAGCCCAGTTCTCACGACGGCTTCGAAAATACAGTGGGACTCCATCAAGCAACTCGTAAGAAGCGAGTGCAGCATTCTCTGGGTCACTTCGGGGTCGCAGATGGCCGTGACAGATCCGGAAAGGTCCATCGTTCACGGCCTATTCCGCACCATACGCGCCGAGGAGCCTGCTTTGAAGCTGATGACGCTCGACGTGGAATCGGTCGCCACTGCCGAGACACTTGCCAATACTGTGGAGGCGGTGGATACGGTTCTAAAGATGACCTTGGGACCGTTGAAGCTGCAGCCTAATGACTTCGAATACGCTGAGCGGGGCGGTGTCCTGCACATCAATCGCGTGCTTCAGGATGAAGCACTGAACAGGGTCAAGTTTGAGGACGCACCGCAGGGGACGATGCCGGCGCGCAGAGTTGACATCCACGACATGGCTACGACTGTACGGCTAGTGACGGAGCAGACTGGAAGTCTGGACTCGCTCCACTATGTCGAAGTGGAAACCAACACACAGATTGGGCCCGATGCCGTTGAGATCCAGATACACGCGGCGGCGGTGAACTTCAAGGACGTCGCCGTGGCCATGGGCATCGTGCCGGAGGACGGCCATCTGCTCGGCGTGGAGGGGGCGGGCGTGATCTTGCGAAAAGGAGAGAATGTCCGGGACCGGCATATCGGGCAGCGTGTCGTCGTTTTCGAGAAGGGCACGTTCGCCAACCGCATTGTCGCCAGCGCGCGGCGGACCTTTCCCATACCCGCGACCATGAGTTTTGAGGAAGCAACGACGCTGCCTGCGGTATACCTGACGAGCATCTACGGGCTGCACCGCCTCGCGAATATCAAGGCCGGCCAGAGCGTGCTGATTCACTGCGCGTCCGGCGGCGTGGGCATCGCGGCCATTCAGCTGTGCCAGCACCGGGGCTGTGACATTTTCGCGACAGCGGGCACGGAGGACAAACGGCGCTTTCTCGTCGACACCTTCGGAATCCAGCCGGACCACGTCTTTTCCTCGCGCACGGCCGAGTTCGCCACGGGCATCATGGCCGCCACGAACGCACGCGGCGTCGACGTGATCCTCAACTCGCTGGCCGGAGAGCTGCTTAACGAGAGCTGGCGCATCATCGCCGACGGCGGAACCATGGTCGAGCTTGGCAAGAAGGACATATTGGCCAAAAACAGTTTGCCCATGGAGCCTTTTGGACGCAATGCGAGCTTCCGCGCCATGGACCTGTCCTATCGTGAGATATCGGATGAGCTCCTTGCTGAGTAAGTTAAACCCTTTCTAGTGCAGTAGTCAGAAACATGGACAATGGCTAAGCCCACGATCATGGTAGTATGTTCGCCGAGATCTTCGATCTTCTGGAGCACGGACATGTAAACCCAATTTCTCCTCGACAAGTGTTCCCATGGGACAACATACCGGCAGCCTGCCGCACCATGCGAGGGAGCAAGCACATCGGGAAGCTCATTGTGTCTAACGGGCCGGATGCGAAGGTCGAAGTCCAGGTATGCACATTTTCATGCGATCATCCTCCAAAGACATCAACAGGAACATGAAAACCCTGACCATTGCCAGGTTCGTCGCCACCGCCGCAAGCTCTCCAGCTCCCTTGATCCTCGAGAGTCATACCTCATCGTCGGCGGGCTGAGGGGTGTTTGCGGTAGCCTGGCCCTCCACCTGGCCAAGACAGGCGGCGCGAGACATCTTGCTATTATGTGTCGCAGCGGGTACGACGATGACCGGTCCCAAGAGGTGATCAGAGATCTCGAGGCGCTGGGTTGCTCAGTTGACAGGCTTATCGGGGACGTCGCTGAGCTTGAGGACGTACGCAGATGCTTCGTAGACATGACGGTGCCGGTCGCGGGCATCATACAAGGCGCCATGGTTCTTCATGTAAGGCACTCTCCTTCCCTACGTCGCTCCATTGTCTCTCCCACTATCCACGGGGACCAATAAATGAGGCCATAAGAGCTGATCGGATCCTAGGACCGCATGTTCGCTTCCATGACTCACGCCGACTATCATGACGCACTCAGGCCAAAGGTGCAGGGTTCGTGGAACTTACATGTCGTCTCTCTCGAGAAAGCCCTGCCGCTCCGTTTCTTCACTCTTCTCTCTTCGGCATCGGGCATCGTGGGGAATATGGGGCAAGCCAATTACGCTGGCGCGAGCGTGTACCTCGATGCTCTGGCATCCTACCGCCGGGACCAGCTCCATCTGCCAGCCTGCTCCGTTGACCTCGGAGTGATCGAAGATGTCGGATACGTAGCCGCACACGGCGACGTCTCGGAAAAGCTTGGTAGTAGACAATGGGCAACCATTAGCGAGGGCCTTCTGCGGCGGATACTGGAGTACAGCATCTACCAGCAGGACGGCCAGCGACAAGCGACCACGGTCTCGTCGCTGTCGCCTGTACGGATGAGCTCGGCCCAGATCGTGACCGGGATCCCTGTTCCACAGCCCAGCGGGAGCGAGCTGCTGCGAGACGCGCGCTTCCAGGGCCTGCGCACCTCCTCCTTGCGCATGAACACCGACACGGAGCGGAGCTCCTCAGCCGGCACGCAGAAAGACGCAAAGGCGATCAAAGACCTGCTCCTGGCCCTGCGGGCGCCGGGCAGCTCCGCCACCAGCCCCGACGTCCAGGCCGCCGCCCTCGCGGTCCTGCAGAGGCGGTTCGCGCAGACCCTGCGCCTCGATGAGGCAGACATGGACCCGAGCCGGCCACCGCGCGCATATGGGCTCGACTCGCTGGCGGCCGTCGAGCTGCGCAACTGGGCGCGCGCCGCGCTGGGCGTGCAGCTCACGTCGCTGGACATTGTCAACGCGGGGAGCATGGTCGCGCTGTGCGGCAAGATTCTTGAGCGCATGGTAGACGCGAAGGCTTGAGAACCATGAAATAGTCGGAGTATCAGAAGGTGTTGAGGCGCCAACTGGTTCGAGAGAAACAACGTCACGCCGGTAGATAGGTGTTATGTTGATTTGGTCGAGTCCACATTAGGCGACGATTTGGGTTACGATTTTTATTGTTTTATTTATAGTGTATTGTTAGAAGTCAAGCAAACGGTCAGGTGACCCGATACCTTCCAGGCCTGGCTGCGATCCTACTCCTACATCTGGTGAAGGCAAGGCTGTAACGCGCGCAGAACGATTGAGACTAAACCTTCCCCTAAACGACTTTCGCTCTTATGACTCTGTTGCCTGGATCCGTGCCTCATAATTGGATACTCCAAAGTTTATCTGCCGCTGCAGCGCAGTGATTTTCTATTACGTATTATCAGATACATATAGGATATTGGACAGGATGCTTCACTCCATGATTAGTAGTAAGAAGCGTGTGACACTGCTTACTGGGATGGTAGAGCCTGGCTGGACGCAGGGTTGAGGCCAATTGAGGCCAATTGAGGCAGGCCATGCATTAGAGCCCTTGTCTCAGGAACCCGCGCATGCAACATAAATAGTACCTGCAACTTGTTCGGGTTCACCACCACCACTGTCCTCTCCAATCTTTGCAGGAATGTGCTACTTTGATCTCCCATTCATCAACAGCTCAGTAGTAGTCAAATTCGGGGTCAGGCAAACCCATCTAGGTATGCCATGCCGCCATTTTGATGTCCAAACCGTGAGGCCGTCTGCTGAGGCCAACACAACACAGTGCAGATGGCATCTCAATCCTGGGACACAGCAAACGATATAGACTGGGCAGCCGATCCAGCTGAAAATGGTAAATGACTGAGAACCACCCTCAAGATTCCCCATGCGACGGATGGCTGATTTTTGCCTCGCAGATTGGTTGTCCATCCTTAGCGGCGATGCCGACAAGATCTATAGCGAGGACATCTGCAAAGCCATTCTACGAGGCGAGAAGCTACCAACCAACAACCTCAGCCGCATATCCCATGTGACCGGCCTCTGCGTGCTGCGTGGCATCCGGCATCACCATGGCTTCGCTGTTGAGTTACTACCAAGATCAGCCGAGCAGGACCCTGCGTTCGCCCGGGCACTGCACGCCCGCGCCATAATGAGCAATGAGATACCAGATATTTCAGCGGCCGAGGAGTTCCCTTACTGGATCTGGTACCCCGATACCGCAAGTGAGGACACGTACCGGCAGCTCGCAAGGCGCTACCCACAGATGTGCTACCAGGTCGGGCGTGCCTGTGCCGTTGCTGGCTACAAGGACCTCTACTCAGAGCTTGATCTCCTCCCTGACGTCGCTATAGCTGAGGAGGCTCGAGATAGCTTCACGCGAAGCCGAAGTCACGGAGGTGACGAGGGCCGTAGCAACGACGGAAGCCAAGATATTTTCCACAAGATCGTCCGCCACCCTGTGCGTTGGCAGGTGATGGACGACTACGTGGGAAAGGTGGACCTGGACTGCCCGAGGCCTGCAAGGTATGGCCTCAACGGAGATACAGCAGTCTTTTCCACTTTGGAGCTGAGGCGCGACTTTCGGCGCCTGCTTCCACTATCACGGTTTAACAGCGACAAGACGCGTCTTGACCATCCTTATGTGATCGATGAGGAACTCGCGCCGTGCTACTTCAATATCACCGAAGATTGGAATGTCGATGAGCACGCATCTGCGTTTGGCGACGCACAGGGTTCTGATTGTCTAACGAGCGAGGAGATGACAGAGCTTCTGTGGAGCCCTTTACCCGTAGACCTTCCCTGGGGCAACAAAGACCTGCTGATCCTTATGGCCGCGTACTACGGCAACGTCGACAGGTACGCACGCCTGCGGCGGCCATTTCGTGTTTCCAGGGCCGAGGCTTACTGCGTCATCCGCGGCATCTATCACAATACCATGTTTGCCAAGTGGTGTTCCCTCCAGTCTGATGCCGGTCAGCACGCCAGCGCGATCAACGCCCGTTTCATTATGACCAACGACTTATCACGCATCACAGACGACACTCCCGATGCAGATCTTCCGCGGCAGATCTGGTATCCTCTGCGAGCCTGCGCCGAGACATACGTGGAATTGGCGCGGCGCAAGCCGGCAGCGCGAGCCGCCGTCGCCCGGGCGCTCATCGTGGCGGACTACCAGGAGGCCTGGGACAGCGTCGCCGATATCGAGCCCTACAACGAACTGATGGTGGAAGCGAAAGCCAGCGCTAATCCGCATTACCTGGCATCCTTGAGGAGAATATGTGCGGAACGCGGACAGGACCCCGATGCCCTTGAGTGCAAGTACCCGGAGGATCTGGGCGTGCCTATCGACAGGCTTGTCGAGCGCACAACCACTAATCTGGTCGAGTCACTTCGCGTCGAGTCTATACCATGGGACGGTGCCGGTCCTGGAATCTACGACGGGCTTGGAGTAGACGTGTCAGAGGTCGAGCTTTTCGCGGCTGCACCAAGAGAGCTTCGACCTTCCGAGGGCTCCGGCTCAATTGACCTGGTACAGTTCTATCACCGGGGGGGCTATGACCAGTCAGCCGCAAGTGACTCTTCAGGAGCGTCTTGGAGACGGGGACAAAGTTCACGCCGTGGAGGAAGGGGAAGGGGCAGAGGCATGGCGTAGGGAATGGTTTGTGGGCTGAACAAATCGACCGATCGAGCGAGTAAGTGGAAAAGATAGAGGGAGAGGGCGAGGGTAGACAGCCAGCCAACATGGGGCCACTGAAAATTTGTTCATGCTGACTTCTGTCTTGAGTCTCCGTCATCGGTCTCAACCTGTCACAATCCTGGAAAATTGGCGTTTTATGATTCTACTCAAACCCAGCGTCTCATATATTATTTTGACAACCGTTAAACCTTCGTAAACCACATAATGGAGTCGCGGAGAGAGCACAATAAATGGAGCCATAAATTACACGTCTAAATATAGACACAAGAATCGGAAACGAAGCGGAATCATAAGTTAAAGAAGGCTGACGAAAGATGACAATGTGTACAGAATCTACCCCGGAAGAAAAGCCATTGCGAAATCCGCCCTCGCTCTACTTATCCACAGCCCGCGACTTCCCAATGACTCCCAACCCTCGAAATGTCACAAGTACAAGCCCTAATGCTGTAACTCCAAACCCAAAATTCAGCCAGCAGCCCGCCCTCAGACCTTTTAACGACGCCTCCTCCCACGGCTGCACCTCTCGCACATCCTGAACACTGAAGCCCTTTTCTCTCGCCACCACTGCCGTCTGCACCGCAGTTGCGACTGCCAGTCCGATCGCACGGCCCAGCTGCATCGTAGCGAATAGTAGGCCTCCGCCGAGCGCCTGGTGCGCGAGCGGCAGGGTGAGCGACGTAAATAGCGCCAGGCAAGGGCCTATCATATCGGCGCCAAAGGTCGACAGCATCATGGCCCAGAAGCCATAGGCAAAATAAGATGTTGTCCTCGGAGGGATGGGCACGGCGAAGAGGAGCGAGGAGGCACTGACGCAGAAGGTGGAAGTGACGAGCAGGCGCGAGGCCGGGATGCGAAGGAGGAGTTGGGAGGCGACGCCAGCGGTGATGATGCCGGTGATGCCTGTGGGAAGGAATCGGAGGGTCGTCTGGAGCGGGGACAGATTCTGGTAATCTTGGTAGAAGGAGGTTACGAAGATGAGATAGCCGTTGAAGGAGGCGTTAAAGAGCCCGTTGGTCAGTAGTGCCGCGCCGAAACGCCGGTCAATACTGAAGATGGAGGGCTTCATGAGCGGTGCGCGCGTGGTTTTGGTTTCGAGGTGCCACTGCCAGAGGATGAATAGGGCGATGAGGAGAAGTGATACTACGATGAGGACTGGGACCCAGGGCGTAGACCAGCCGACGACGTTGCCTTCAGTGAGAGCAAAGAGGAGGCACAGGAGGCTGGCAGTGATGAGGAACGCTCCAACCCAATCCACTGTTTCTCGTGCTGAGATTTCCTTCTCGCGGAGCATCTCTTTGGGCGGTGGGATGACGAAGATGGCCGCAATGGTCACAACCGCAGCGAGCATCGCCATTGCACCAAATACCCATTTCCAGCTTGCGAATGAAGCAATGAAGCCGCCGACAATATTGCCACAGACGCTTCCTAATGGGGCGCCGGCGGCTGTGATTGTTCAAAATTGAGCTCCAATCTTCCTACGACCCTTATTGGAGGTGTTGATGTTGTGACTTACAATAGACAGTAAATGCATACGTCTTGGCCTGCCCTGGCGAAAACGCAGTGCCCAAGATTCCGATTGCTGTCGGAACGTTGGCAGCGGCACCCTGGAACAGTTAACACCCAGTTTGCACATCAGCTAAGTGTCAAGAAATACTCACAAGCCCTTGCAACCCTCTAAAAACATCAAAGGAAATTTCATTGGGCAAAAAAGGATTCGCAGCAGTCGTAAGTGTAACCCAGGCGGTCCCTAAAATGAAGACCTTTCGTTTGCCGTAAAGATCTGCGATTCTCCCCCATAACAGAAGGAAACAGCCAAATGTAAGCATATATGCGGACACTATCCATTGCATCCGGCTTGCCGGTATGTCCAAGTCCTCCGCGATGGTTGGCAGTATGATGACAGCTGATTGAACGGCAAATGTCTGAAGTCCATGTCAGGAACAGGTTTCACTCACGTGTGAGTTGGAAAAGACTTACATTCAGAAATGTTGCTCCGGTCACTGTGGCCACAAGAGCAATATACCTTGCTTTTGATAAGGGCACAATCGTCGACGGAACTGAGTCATGATTGGCATCATGCTGTTCTTGATGCTCGCTGGCCAGTCCTGTAGGCTCGTCGGATGATGGCTTCTGTTCTATCCTGTCGGGGAGTCTAGGCGGATGGATTGTAGTATGTGCCTCTCCACCGAAGCTATGGCTTTCGGTTCTAGTAGTCATTGGAATGAAAACACACTTTTGCCTAATTTTGTAACATTCGAAATTGTAATCAGATGGAGGAGTGATTTAATATGTCGAGAAACCACCAGCGAGAATCTATCCCCCAGCATTTCAGTCGGCACACCTAGCTCCGATATTCAGCCGACCCAATTAGGGCAGACAACATAAACTTTTCGTCCACCACATAGACTTTTCGCCCACTCAATAGCAAAGCTTTCGGTCCCCTCCTTGATTAGTAAAGATGCCTTATAATTGAGTTTCTTGTGCTTCGACGTGCGGCATTGACAGGGAAGCTGGAGCCAGTCCTGTGTGCCAGTAGCGCAGAGAGGGTTACGTATGTAATGCATGGAAATTGTAATCCGAGGAAAGAATTCATCAAGGAGACCATTGGCTAAAAGATTTCTAATTACCTAATGAGATGCAAGATGTTTTCTTAGTATTTGTTGTGAAACATGTGTACTGGGTGGGCAGATCGAGAGGGCTGAGTGGGCCGACTGTGGTTGATTCACGGGTCTCATGTGAACGCACTGCCGATATTGTGCTTTGGTCTGTCTATATAATGGGAATCATTGCTGATACCTCATCGGCTTCGACCATATCACCGACGGTACCTGCAGTAAACATCAATGTTCTACCCTGCTGACTATATGCTGTTTAATAATGTACAACTTCATCTGGGATGTGTTCAAGGCTCGTACACAACTTTCATGGCATGTGTTCTACTTGCTTGTGACCGGGCCTATTCTCTTCGTTCTGTTCTCGCTCTGGAACTACTGGTACGCGCCTTATGCATCGCCACTCGCTTGCATTAGAGGTCCGAAGACGAAACACTGGTTCTATGGGTTCCTCACTCCAGCCGAGGCAAGAGAACTTCAAATGTCACCGAAACTTCTAGAATACTGTTCACAGTACGACGGGGTCTGGCACGCAACCTTCACAAACCGCAGACCAACACTTGTTCTCGGGGACCAGGAGGCCATTAACTACGTTCTAAATAACGCTCAGACGTACATAAGGGCCGAAGCACAGATGCGAGTGACACGACTGGTCTTCGGAGAGGGTCTGGTCGGTGTAGACGGCCCTCAACACAAGAGACAGCGAAAGGTGGTCGGCCCAGCTTTCAGCAGCGTCGCCGTAGACGGAATGGCACCGGTCTTCTTTCTGATGGCCGAGAAACTCGCCAACAACTGGAAGACTAGGTTCTCGGGAAGAAAAGTGTTCGAGACAAACGCCTACCGTGATTTCGAAGCCTTGTCCATGGATATCATCGGGCTGGCAGGCTTCAAGTACGACTTCAAGTCCCTCCAAGGTCAACGTTCTCAGTTGGAAGCCGCCTTCGTCAATGTCACTAAGAGTGCTGCTACAGGATCTGCATATGCATCCCTGAGAGCACAGTTTCCCTTGATTGGAGCACTGGGCCACTTTCTGAGCAAGGAGCAGATTCAGCTCGATCGCTACAAAAGCGATATTGAGGACATCAGTAAAAAGCTGGTTCAAGGGGCCAGGAGCAGAATAAAGCAACCAAGTGAACGACTTGACGAGGCCGGCGATCACAGGAGCCCTCGAAACAGAGACATACTGACCCTTCTTGTCCAATCTAACCTGTCAAGCGATGAGAAAGATCGTCTTCCTGAAGAGGAAATTGTATCCATGGTGCCGACATTCCTCTCTGGTGGGTACGACAACAACGCAGCCGTCATGTCCTACGCTGTCTACGGCCTGGCACACTTCCCCGAAACCCAGGACCGTCTTAGAGACGAGCTCCTACACCCCCCAAAAGAATGTTCCAGCTGGAGAGACAGCCTCCGCGCTCTGGACCGCCTGCCCTACCTAGATGCCGTGACGCGGGAAGTCCTCCGGCTATACAGCTCCGCGCACTCGATCCCCCGCACCTGCTCCAAGGACGATATCATCCCTCTCGACAAGCCGATCCAGTTGCGCGACGGCACATGGACGGACCAAGTACGCATCGCTGCGGGTGACGACGTCGTAATCCCACAGAAGTGGATGAATATCGACCCGGCCAAATGGGGCCCCGACGCACACGTGTTCAAGCCGGAACGCTGGATTGAGAGTCAGTGGCACCCACACTTCGTGGGCGGACTGCCCCCAGGAGTCAAGAATTGTAAAACCTCGGGATGGAGCAATCTGATGACGTTTTCGCTCGGGCCGAGAAATTGCATCGGCTATAGGATGGCGGTGGCCGAGTTCAAGGTTGGCCTTGCGGTATTGGTGTCCAACTTTGAGTTCAAAAAGCATGATGAGATGAAGCACGTCTACGGTGAGGTTCAGATTGTTGACAGGCCACGTGTTCGGGGAAGAGAGGGTTACTGTATGCCTGTATGGGTGAAACGTCTGTGATGAAATCTAAACACTTTGACACGTCACTATTGGAAGATGAGAGGCATATCAGAGCAGATTGGTCTATGAAGTAGATGCAGCAGGAAGTTTGACGAGGTCAGAACGGGTTGTACTTGGAACTACTGATGATTACCAAAATTGAACTTCTACGAAGCCGATCTTGGGCAACAACCCTATCCATGCGTGTTGATTCGATGCGATGCCCAGTTTCGCTCATCGATTGTTATTTTTCTCTTTTTTCCCCTGCCCTAGTGAATGCTAACAGTTGTCAGACTGCTTCTCTTACTTATTGCAAGGGAATGACTGCATGGCTAGATGGTAAATGGACTTGATGGCCCCAAAGCTACACAGAAAAGGCGTGTCAACAAGCAGAAGCATATCGGGATGCATGATCAGTAATTGGCAGTCATTGTGGACATATTCATTTAGTTCAATAGCCCAAGTTGGTGTTTTATCCTTAAAAATGGAGGAATCCGAGAGTATGGGTATTTCAGCAGGACATAGAAAGCATTTGACGACTTCTCTGATCATTCTTATCACATCTTTTTACAGTCTCTACCTAGATGGTGTGACACCCCTGTCTTATTCAGTAATAGGCTCCCTTTCAAATCCGACGTCTCAGCGCAGAACACACTCAATTTTACCCCGACCCAGGAGCATTGACCGCGTATTTTACACCTGATTAGAAGGGTACTGGATTTCGTTCAGAGGATTGTACTCCTCCTTGATTGACCTGACACTCGTAAAACGCTGGAGATGAGCAAGCGTGCCAGTCTTGTCGTTAGTACCGGAATCCCGACTGCCGCCGAAAGGTTGTTGCCCAACGACAGATCCCGTGCATTTAGTATTGATGTACAACATTCCTGCAGCATGCTTGAGCTTCGTCTGCGCTTGCCGTGATGCGAAAGGGTCCATGGCAAAGATGCTGCCTGTCAGGCCATAGCGCGAGGTGGTGTCAACTAGCTCTAGCGTTTTCTCCCATTCAGCATCAGGATAGACATAAACGCCCAAGATAGGGCCAAATAGTTCACGGGACATGATGTCATGTCGCGGATTAGTCGTCTGATAGACCGTCGGATGAACGAAATAGCCCTTCTTTTTGGAAGCTTTACCTCCTGCAACGAGCTCAAGCTCGGGATCGTTCTTGGCGTCCTCGATTACCCTATTCAGCTTATCGAAAGAGGCCTCGTGAATGACTGGGTTGATGAAGTTATCGAACTCCTCCACATCGCCAACCTTGAGCTTGGAAAGCTGTTCTTGGAGATGCTTTTTGAACCTTGGCCAGGCAGATTCCGCAACATATACTCTAGAGCACGCAGAGCACTTTTGGCCCTGGTATTCAAAAGCTCCCCGAATAGTATGAAAAGCTGCGCTCTTGACATCGGCTGAGGAATGAACCACGCCCCAGTTCTTGCCGCCAGTCTCGCCTACAACTCGAGGGTATGAGTTGTAAACACCCTTCCCCACGCCATCCCCAATCTTTTTCTGAATACCCTTGAAGACCTGGGTAGACCCGATAAAGCTGATGCCGGCAAACTCGGGTCGCCTGAGGACGGTATTTGTGATCGTCTCGGCATCACCCGGGAGGAACTGGATCACGTCCCTAGGAAGTCCAGCCTCTAGAAGTATTTGGTGGATGAGGTAGGCAGAGTGAATAGCGTAGTCCGAGGGTTTCCAGACCACGACATTACCAAGCAGAGCAGCTGGCCCGATCAGAGTTGCGCCGAGAGCAGTGAAGTTGAACGGAGCAACAGAGTACACGAAACCCTCTAATGGTCGGTACTCCATCTTGTTCCAGTTGCCAGCAGGCTGCTCTGTCGGCTGGTACGAATAAAGCTTCCAGGCGTCTTGGACGTAGTATCGGAAGAAGTCGACAGTCTCACTGGGAGCCTCAATCTCGGCTTGCCAAATATTCTTACCTTGGCCGAGCATGGTTGAAGCAACAACGTCAGATCGGTATTTACCAGCAATTAGTTCCGAGGCCCTCAGGAAGATAGAGGCACGGTCCTCAAAAGGGAGAGCCTCCCAGTCAGGCTTGGCCTTCAACGCAGCATCAATAGCTGCATTAGTTTGATCCGGCGTGGCGCAGGCATACTCGGCTAAAGACTGGCTGTGCTTGGAAGGATTCACTTGAGGTTTGAAATTATTCGATTTGAGCTGTAAAGGTTCCGCGGGTCAACCAAGCTCTAACCTGGGGGATCAAGCAGCACTTACCGTAGTCCCATTGACAACGATTGGGATCTTAATGGGCATCTGGCTTTTCAACTGTCCCAAAGCCTCGATGAGGGAGGCTCTCTCGGGGGAACCTTTGGCGTAATCGAGCTTAAATACGGAGTAAGACAATTGGACTCCTTACACATAGTTTGTAGAGAACTGATACGTACAAATTTCTCATTCGCGAACTTCGGAGGATGCAAGAGGGTCAGTTGCCTTCGTCCAATGGGCAACGCCGTGGCTTTCTGGCGGGTGCTCGCCCGGGCGATTCGCTGCACGTTGAGGCGGGAGATCATATTTTCCTCGATTCCGATGAGAGTCAGTCGGAAAAGCGATTCCTTATCAAAGTTCAACGGGGCTGCGTTTGAAGGGAAGCCATTCTTTTTTGGACCGCGTTGGCCGAGAGGGGAATATGCCCTTAAAGCATCACGTCCACTTCGAACTGGGATGCCACTCGGTGCTTGACTCCGAGCTGTTTGCTACCCCACTCCGAGACTCTTCCGCTTCTAAGTGAGCGTACGTCCCAGATTCGCCAATCGGAGACTCCTTCCGAGTCGCAAGCCTTCGAGTGTAGATACCATAGACGGGAAATCCGAAGTCAATCAGCCACTGGTTCATTCTTAGTCCAAGATTTTCAACCTCAAGAGGAGGGCGGCTGTTGAAACTTGTCGCTATAAGCTGGCCCTTTACCCCTGTGGACTTGAGACTGTACCGGATCTCATCCACGAGGCGACCTTCTTACCTATCATCGCCATCATCTTCCTTACTCTTAGCAAGACCGTCCGCAGAATTCGACTTTGAACCACCAACCATGCTTCTAAGAAATGTCGCCAGTCGACAGGCTAAGGCATCTTTTTCGAGGCCCGCTTCCGGCCTTGCCACTAGCATTGCCGCAAAGGCACAGAATGCAGTCAATTCCAGCGAAACTGCTCTGGAGAGAATCTCCAACAAGACTCTAATTCGGTCACTGATATTAACCTCAGTAATGAGGAGGCACTGGATTATGCGGCCGTCGCTTAAATTTCTTGAGGTAATGACAACGGCAAAAAGCTTCTGGCTTAACGCAGATCGCAATCCCATCTTGAATCGTTTGCTACGATGGACCATTTACAATCATTTCTGTGCTGGATCCAACAAGACGCAAGTTGCCCGATCTATGGATGAGGTTAAGGGCTTGGGCTATCAGGGTGTAATCCTGGGACATGCCAAAGAGGCCGTTCTTGACCCGGAGGCGGGAGGAGTGTACTCCAGTGATCATAAATACGGGCCGGCTTGCTACCAAATGGTAGAAGAATGGAAGAAAAGTTCCCTTGAAACGTTACGCATGCTCCAGCCCGGAGATTTCCTTGCTGTCAAGTAAGGATTACTCCCTACAGACACATTTGGAATGTTCTCAAGTCACCCTCGCTTCGTATCCCAACCACACCCCCTCCATCTTCTTGTTTCCTGCAGGAGGCTGACACTGGGTAGGCTCACAGGTGCCGGCCCAATCTGCCTCGACGCGATGCAGGCACGTGAATCAATGCCCCAGATCATACAAGACGCAATGCACGAGATCTGTATTGAGACAAAACAGCGGGGATCGCGGCTCTGGGTCGATGCCGAGCAACAAATTCTCCAGATTGGTCTTGATGATTGGGTGATTGAATTAATGAGGCAGTACAACCAAGATGGAAAGGCGCTCATTTACAATACAATCCAGGCCTATCTGAAAGCAGCAAGATACAATGCTGCTCGCCACATCATACTGGCTGCGAAAGAAGGGTGGACGCTAGGTGTCAAGCTCGTCCGAGGGGCCTACATCGAGCATGATGTTCGTTCACTGATCCACGATACTAAGGACGAGACCGACCGCTCGTACGACGATATTGTCGAAATGATGATTTCCCGCAAGCTCCCCAAGACAGAGGAGTGTGAAAAGCTCACTTTCCCCGCTGCTGCCCTCTTCCTAGCCACACATAACCATGCTAGTGTTGCAAAGGCGGTGGAAATGTACCTTCTCAGGCTCAACGAGGGTCGGTCGACGACGAGTCTGGATTGTGGCCAAATCTATGGTATGGCGGACGAGCTGAGCTGTGCTTTGCTCGCCAGTTGCGAAAGATATGTCATTGATGCGTCCACTAATAGTTTGATGGTTCCGGGCGTTTTCAAGTATCTTCCTTGGGGATCCGTTGCGGAGTGTATGGGTTACCTGCATCGTCGCGCCATCGAGAATCGTGGGGCAGTGGAGCGGACACAGCATATGCTAGATGCGTTGAAAAAGGAACTACATCGCCGTGTAATAAGCAAGATTAAATAATGGCTTAAGAACGTTGCGATAAAGCTAAACGAAGTGTCTTTCTGATTCGTACATTTTCAGACCAGCCATGTTCGAGGCGAGGATTGCAGAACCCGGCGGGGAGACGTGATCTAACTGCGAATGCACCAAGAGGGGGGGGGGCTGACGTTGTACTGCGGCCGCATGGTATAGCCGATACTCTGAGAGAGTGCTAGAGGCACCGAGTAGCAATCGAGCGATCAAATGTACACGTTATGCTGACCGATAAAAGCGCGGACAAGTCGGACTCTTGGTCTATCTGCAAGATACTGGCTTTCATGACGATAACGGCTTGGATGCACTGATTGGCCGGAATCGCGTTCCGCTTTTGTATCTTGTACCACGGAGCTCTGTTCCGATTGGCCGGAACAAGATCCAACGTGCTGTGTGCTTTCATTTCTTCTTGCATATGTTTCGAGCACAATGGACAAGAGAAACACAGAATCTTGGTGTATCTATCGTCGGCGAACCAAGTATTCATTTAATTGGCTGTGTGACTCAACACCCCACCACTTTACATGCCGCGTCGCCAGTCTGAATCATCTACAATGATCTAGGTCCAAGAGTAGCGAATCCTAAGTTTCAATTTTCAAACCAGATCAAACCTGCCCCCTCATCATGCCTGTTTCTGCTCTACGTTCTACGATCCGGCCCGTTCTGGCGGATCTCCTTCCGTTCTCTTACTCTTGCAGATACAGCTGGCGCACAATGGCGACGAGCACCCAAAAGAAAGAATGGCTCGCGATTCTTCCCGATAACTTAGATGTCCTGGAGATCAGGAAGAAGGTGAAAAGGTAAATAACCTTGATGCAACTGTTATCTTGTTAATCTTCTTTCACCGACAAATGGACCAGTATGATTAAAGTGAACCGAGTCTTAGTGATCATTACGAGGGAATCAAGCCATTGATTGCGTCTGGAAAGTTACCTGCAGGAGGTGAGTGGGCCATGAGAATCAACCGTCGCGTCGGGTGTCTAATACTTTAGCGGAAAAGGGGCAATCTTCGAAAAGCATCCTGTCGACGGCGAATCTGCCTTGTTCAAAGGCAGCGTTGTTGTTTACATCGCTGAGAGTATCGAGCAAGTCCGTGAGATTATTCAAAACGACGTCTATTCTAAAAGCGGAGTGTGGGATCTTGACAGGGTCCAGATAATTCCGGTAAGCATGTAGCACTAGTCACTCCCAGACATCATAAACAAGCCGCCTGCTGACCTTTTTTGTCCTTCCAGTATGTTCCAGCTGTCCGCGAGCCATTGAGAAAATGATGGAAAGAAATTTAAAGATTGGCCACGGCGGGAAGACATGGTTAATTAACCCAAGGTGGTCAGGTCAGGAGGCTTATAATATGGAGAGCCGGGTATCCTAGCCGGGAAGATTTACATGCATATAGTATGCTCATGGAAGCTTGAGATAGGCAGTTTTTTTTTCACTCTATTAAAAGAAGAAAAGAGCACGCCGCTATCGGAATTAGTACATTGTGAACTTTCCGTATTCTATATCAAAACAGTCTTCAATCTCAATATGACTCAACGCACCTGCGAGTTGTCTCGATTTCTTGTCTTGTTACCCTCTTATTATTCCTCATTCCCATGTGATTGCGAAGTCTAACCCTGTCAGTCTTCCGAACAACATATCTCGTGCAAACTCAGTGATAATACAGCTTTGTTTCCGACCCCCCCCCCCAAAAAAAAAAGAAGGAAAAAGAAGAATAAAAAAGAACAAGTGGAGTGGGAGTGTGAATAGGAGGTTATATCGACTTAGTCAATCTGAGGTGCCTTTCATTCTGTCCTATTGGTTAGTTCGTCTATACATCTCGTCTCTAAATTTCGTAGTGTAACTGAAGACCACAAAGGTCTGCGAGATCTTTTTAATGGAGCGCCAATGTGAGCGGCTATGCGTACGAGGCCGGCTTGAAACGATTCAGGACCACATCGTGACGCAAGTTTTAGTCTAGTCTACTGAGAGTCAATCCAGCCCGCCGTCGAGCGCTGACAACCGAAGCATTACTAGATCATCAGAGACTTGCGGGAGAGCCTATCCAGTTATCTAAATTACGACCATCTCAGAAAACACCCCACAGATTGTCCAGCTCCCACACCCAATCCCCATCGAGCATTGCAGCACCAAGCATGTTCGTTCCTTCCATATCGAGGTTATCTATAACCGACCTGATTGTCTCCAAGTGCGTCGGCGCAGAACCATCATCCCCATGCCGCACGCGTGACCACACTGGATCTGATAGCGCATTTGCTGGGGCAGGGTCAGTAATCGCAAATCCAGTCAGCTCTGACGTGGACCCAAGTTCGATATTGTCATTTGCCCGTTCTTGCAAAGCCCCATCAACACTGCGTAGCTTCGTGTGCAGCTCAAGAATTTGCAGCAGATCGGATCGATAAGCCTGAGCCGGGGCGATATGCCGTGATACAAACTCATCGAGCAAATGCATGACTTGAGGTAGATCCCAGAGGAGCTCATTTGCTGGTCTAATAATATCAATCAAGACGAGTGCAAAGGCAGCAGAGAATAATGCGTCAAGGTCATATGGCAGGAAGAGATCTAGAAGGGATTAGTCCAACAACTCATTTCAGGAGGAAAATGCGAAAATTTACCGCAAATCATCTGATGCTTCAGGGTGAACATAATTTTGAGGATATGGACAGCAGACTCAACACACATCCTCAGCATAGACTCAAGCGGGGGTGATGAAGGACGGCAAATTCCTTCCGTGGAATCTGTGCTTAACAAAGGCTTCAGCAGCGAGAATACCACTGGTCGGACGGTTAAAATAACACACTGTGAGACCTACCGTCAGCCAACTGCCTCCGCTTGATTTTTTTGTTGCAGTCTACAAACCTGGTGGAGCAGTAAATGCAAGGTCGCGGCGTCACGAGAAAGTGGTTGGGTCGGTGCATGAAAATCTAGAGGCAGATACTTTCGTAGCACAACCAAGGTTTCAGCCAGGCGAGCTAGAATCGCTTTAACTTCAACCATGAAGTTCCGTTCTTGCTGATTGTGTACCCCATAGATAACTGTGGCCAAGTAAGTTGATTTGACACAGCCAGAATTTTCAGGTCGTCTGTAGCGTACCATCGAGGATCTTGCCGAGGTGGGACGAGAGAGTGACATGGATGGCAAATGTATTCTGACATTCATCTCCCTCCTTTATCTCCGGGAACGGAACAGAAATATCCTCGTCTCGCATAAGCAAAGTGCTGCCCAGCATAGCTGCGCTTTTCCTATCAATGCAGTAAACTGTCCACCAAAGCCTTCTCTGATACTCGACATTCGTTGGTTGGAGTGCATCAGGAACGGATACATTCATGATCTTAGTAACAGCAATTCGCAAAGCCTTTCCGATCTGAAGCGCCCAAGTCAATTGAGAGAAAACTTTTGGCATACATCGGGCAGACTCACAGTAACATACGATTCCTGCAGCAAATCAGTTGCATGCATGAAAAGAGTCGCCAGACAGAGGATCTCGATTGATAATAGCGGGTCCTCATAAAGCCTGCGAATATCTGACATAGCCTCAATAGCTCGGGTAAAGTAGGCCATTCCAGACGGTCCTGACTCTGAGTGCTCCCGGGCGAGTATTGACTCGCCGAAGCCCAGGATGAGAAGCATCTGGACATGCCAAAGTCTCGCATTAGGAGCAACACCTCTGGTACGCTCATCATAAAATTCTCTCAACCGTTCCAAAAACACTGCAGGGTCAAATAAGGAGTATAAGGAGCCAGCGTGTATGAACACAGTGTTGGTCAAGTACTCGGCATAAGATAGCCGAGGGAGAGGAGTGCTTGCTAGATCAAGAGCAATAGGTGGCAAAGGTGTTGTGTAGGATGTATCTTCACGTTCCAGAGATATACTATCGGGGTCCGCGATGGATGATGATCGCTGAAGGAGATTGCGGACGTTTCGGCTGAAGCTTAATGTCGAACTATGGCCAAGGTAGGCTTCGACGTGTCAGATTCGATAAGGAGTAGGATGATACGAAGACATACCTGCATGGCCGTAACGATGTACCTTGATCTGTGGCTCGGAGGTGACCAGAGTGTTGGTCAAGCCCTCGGACGCTGGGTGCTAGCTATCTGTTTAGCAATAACACCGTGAATGATGAAGACTGACCATACCAACGCCTGCTCTTCAGGGATGCTTCGAGGAGTCCCAGATGATGCTTTTGATAGATTTTGTCTCACCTCTTCTTCTTGGAAAGGTGAAGAGGCACCTATACGTGAACTTTGTGAGGCTTCAAGCTGAGCCTCGAGAGAGTTCACACGGGCATGTAACTGATCTAGATAGCTATGTTGGAGTGAGTATTCCCGGTTCCTCTCTATTAGAGTATGGACTTACTCAACAGATATGGTCACTCTTCTCTCCTTTTCCTCATAGATGCATGGCTCTTGGCGGCTAGCACATCTTTCACAAGGGTCCCGCCCTGAGCATCGGAGCTTGCGATTGCGACAACTCAGACACCTACATCCCAGGGTCAAAGCGGGGCATATACTGGATCAATTGAGTCGCTACTCACGCATTCAAAATCTTTTTCCGTTGACGGACGTTTTGTCGGGATGATTGTGGGCTCATTTTGTTGTACATTACTGAAGGCGTCCCAGCCTTGAGGCGTCAAGGTGCGGGGCCGGTAAGTTGATAGCATTTTCGGCCCGACCGTAGATCCGGGGCCAGCGGACATCGGGAGCATCTGTATCCACCCTTCGAGAAAAACAAAAGAAGAAAATGAGAATGAATGGGAAAAGAAGAAGGAAAAAAGGAAGGAAAGAACAAAGAAAGACTTCCTGTAGAGGTGGCAAGAAGCGTAATTGCAAGAATACTGCCACAGGGAATCAGCCGTTCAGTAGGTTCCTTAGAGAGAGAAGAAACGAGAATGGTTTATCCTAGTCTCATATCAATATCATTGCCTCCAAACGCGCTCGTCACATATACACGCTCTGTGCCTTGTACTAGTCAGTAGACAGTGTGACATTAGGAAATGATTGTATATTGATACTGAAACAGTCAAGACAACAAAGAGACTCGGGCATCATCTTGTCAGCCATAGCTCTCAAGTCTTTCCGTTTTCTTCCGGATCTAGAAATAATGAGAAAAGTTGATGTGGTCATGTTGAGCTCCAAACCAGACATAACAACGGTGATCCTCAAGACCCCGAAGAGAGAAATCATGTCTCCGGAAATTGGTGATCAGTCTTATCGCCGATCTTATTTCAGACTCAATAAACAATTTCAGAGGACGTATTTGTTATTTATCATGTAAAAGCGCAGCGAAAGTGCTCGCCCTCCTATGTTGATTACACGCAATGATAGCCGAGTAATATGGTCATCATGACCAGGGTTCGGTGCCGAGATATAAATATGCCTACAATCACCAAACCCAGGTGTCTATTGATTCTATTGTCTATAACTCTTTTAAACATCCGGCCTTGAGTCATGCAGCTGAGTTAAAAATTTGCTCTTCGGCTTTTCGTCCTCCCATCTTGTACGAGGCAGCTCAAAAGTAGAAGAGATTCGCCCATAAGAAATGCCACCAATCTGGGCGACCGGGCGTAGCTTATCAAGTTCGATATGGCTGAAGTCATCATTGGCAGCATCTTCTTGCACCCAGAATCGTGTTGCCTTGATGAGACAAATAGCAGCACGGCTCATACCAGGCCCACGGGCTTCAAACTCTTTGATATCAACAACTTTGCCCTCAATGGATAAAACTGACTCCTTGACGCGAGAAGGCTCAACTGTGGTAGTCGGAGCTTCGGTTAAACCGGTGATATCCCACTCAGAGAGACCGTAAGGGGCATCGATAGAGGAAGCAATAACTGCCTCGATCATGTTTTCCGATACCGTGTTTATAACACATTCACCTGTCTCTTTCAGGTTTTTGTAGGTATCCTTCACCGGTCCGAAACGGGACGAGAAGCTGACGATGAACATCGGTGGGTCGTGATCAACGATCTGAAAATAACTGAATGGCGCGAGGTTCTTGGTCTTGCCATCAGCGAAATTCGTGCTAATAAAGCCAAGGGGGCGAGGTGCGATGCCGGAGACCAGTAGACGGTAGTTTTGTGTGATAGATCGGTCCGAGGAGTAGGGGTCGATTTCCCGATGAACTTTATCGACAGTATGCGAAGGACCAGTGCGGACACCTTCTCCAAATGACCAGGCGGGATCAGGAGACTTTGTGACTTCGATGGGTGCGCCAGAGTGGTCAAAGTTAGGCCGATTCGCAATAGTCTCCTTGAAATTAGTCACTTGTTGCACAGCCGAAAATCTTGGCTTGGCCGCAGCTCCAGCAGCGGACGAGTTTGTTCTGATTGCCGTGGAGGGTAATTTTGACATCCAGGGTTGCTGCATCTGCGATAAACCTAGCGACCTTGACGATTTAAGGTCAGCCGTGTTACTTCCCTTGAAAGGTTGATATGCAACTCACCGGTATGTGGCAAATCGCAATGCCCGAACATTGGCTATGATCATGGCTGCTAAAATTTGTTTGAAAAAAGAAGAAATTAGGTGACACTCAAGTCGCCTTCATAAGATGGTATGCAGAACTTCGTGCGGCCTTCGTGGCTTTTTCAGAAGCCCAATGCGGTCTCAAAGACGGACTTCCGTGTGTGTCTTGGCCTGCGTGTTATGAAGTGAGTTTCTTGTTTTATTATGTTACTTTGTTTTTCTTGGGCTTGCGCAATCGAATTGTTATACCGACTTTTGCTGGAATGGCTCAAGTGGATTGGGCGAAGAGGGATTGCTCGGAACGTGATTCCGACTGCGACAGGCCCCCATATCCGAGAACGTGAGACGATGCCGGGCGATCACAACCAGTGCTAAGTTGGGACTAGATCCGGAACCGGATTCCGTCTCATCATCTCAGTTTTTACCCGTGAGCATTACATTTTTCTGTAGCTACGGGGCCGTCGTCTTTCGTGCTTTGCCATTCCCATTTGTACTTCAAGAGGTCCCTGGATAAATTAACAAATACTTTTCGACATTCGGTGGCGCGCTAGAACAAATATGTCTCAGTGGAGGACTGTGTTATATAGCGGGGAAGTAGATAAGCCACAGGGAACTCCGTAATGACGTGTTGCGGGTATTGAGAGTATGGCTGCGTTATGCTAATAGTATACGTGATATGCAATTAGTTGCTAGGTGGTATGTAGATAGGCTCGTGGTGGATTATTGTACGGCATAGAATCATCGATCGGTTGAAAAGTTCTGGGTAAATAAATGTATTTTGTCAATACATGTTAATTGATTAGCTTGAAATGGCCAATGTGACGGAGCAGACATGCGTGTATGATAAGAGGGCCATAGTGGCCCTTGCTGAAAGAATATCAAGTGCTCTAGTCTCGAGGCTCACGACGCACTGCAAACAGCTCCGGCTCCGACATGACCATCGTGGTTCTTATGGGTCGGCTGATGTGTGTCGGTCTTGCAGATCCCAAACAAGCAAACGCTAGCAATGATCTTTGGTTTACAAACAAACCATCAGAGCAGTAATTGCTGACGAAGAGTCGAATCAGGCTGCTCCCCACGACATCGCTACCTTTCATGACAACGGTGCACTACTTGCTCCTAATGTCCACGGCGAGATGTTGATCCACACCAGTGTCAACATGACCTCGGAGCTCAACGTCCCAGAAGTCCTTGACAAGATCAAAGTCACGGGCGCCGCCGATCAAGTCATTGCATACATAAATACCCACTTCGCCCTGTATATCTGGCCCGACATCGATGTGCTTAACACCATCTCAATGGAGCAGCCGGTTCAAGACAACCCGACGCCGAACTGCAATATCTTCACCCTCGTCCCGTACAACCTGGCGAACGACTCTCTCAAGGACCTAAAACAGCTCGGTAACCACTTCTTCAATCTGGGTCCAGGCCCCAAGACCTGCTCCCAAGTTCGGTGCCGCGAGGACTCTACGGGCCGCAGGGCGGCAATTTGCTGGTGCAACGATGTGAGTAAATCCCTGCGCGATTTGCCATTTACATGTTTGATATGCCCTCACAACTCGTGGTACTGAGAATCGTGCCCCAATCAACAGGATCTCATTGGAGCAACTGCTCCTGCCTATGAGCTTGCCGAGCTTGCCGAACTCATCATCCCTACATGCGTTGATTTTGACGTTCCCTCAGCCTACACTCGCGGCCAGGTCTTTCACAAAACCTACCCATGAAATGTCATTGTCACCAGCAGTGATAAGTAAGATTAGGCGGCGATACGGTGGCAGCTCCTGACAAACGTTTTTGACTAGCGGACGGGTGAAGAGCGGAGAGGAAGTGCTGGGCATGATTGATAGATTATATGCTTGTCTATTCGACATGACGGGGTCTTAGTGCCGGTGCTCATAATTCAGACAGTGTCTATCAATTAATTTAGGCAATTCTGGCCGCAAAGAGTGATGATCCTATCCGCATCTAAGGCATTACGCCTTCTTGACAGCCGTTATGTCTGTAAAAACATTTAGTGTCGTACCTAATACTGGGGCGTTGCTGACGGTAGATACTTGAGGCGCACAGCATCAATCTACGATGATTGAAAGTAATGAGCCAGCTCGAGTAAAGTATTAATTCTTTTGTCTGCTGGATTCTCGTCAGTGTCTTCGATACACCGGATTCTTCACAGGGATTACCGCCTCTTCTACTGGCTTCTTATTGATGGGAACAAAATACTGGCGGTGGGGTGGAGGGGAATGGCCAATGCTGTCGTATTGCAGTAATAACCCCATGTTGCCCAACCTCAGTATAGAGCCTAACACTAGACGCCGTAGTGGAACAGTCGAAGGCTCAGCGTTCAGCGGTCTCAGGAAAAAGTGGCGAGGGATCAAACTGCAAATCATCACCAGCCTCCACCTGCCAGCCTTCTGCTTGCAAAAACTCCAAAAGACTCCTCTGCAAGCTCTGACTTGACTCATATCCGCCAGTCCAGCACTTGCTCACCACCTCTCCGAGATAATTCCTCTCCAGCTCAGGCCACTCCTGCGAAGAAATCATTTGGTCCATATCACCCCACGATCTCCCCAAGCCTTCTTGATGTCCCGGCCACTGCCCGACCATGAGCTCGTAGACAATGCAGCCCCACAGGAACAAGTCTGTTTGCATGCTCGGCTCGGGCGACCGCCGTGATCCAGGTTGCCTGGCATTTAACGGATGGAACGGCTCGTTGCTGCTCGTCCCGCCGAGGTACTGTAGCCCCGCGTTCCTGTCCCTGAAGCTGGCGTCCAGGAATCCGACCAGGCAGAGCGATAGCGCGCGGCTGCCAGAGAGCCAGCAATGCGCGGTGCTAAGATCGCCGATGACTATATCTTGTGCGTGGACGAACTCCAGGGCGGACGCGAGGTGGAGGGCCCATTTGTAGGCGAGAGGGAGATGTGTCGCTCGGATTCGGTGCCTGCCTTTGTCATATATTGCCGTTTTGTTCTGGTCGAGGAATCTGTTGAGTGGCGGGCTCGACGGCTTGACCAAGATGGGAAGAGCGGTCCAGGGATCCCGACCAATGAATGTTGCCAGACGAGGATGAGGATGTACACCGTTGCTGCTGATCTGCTCGTATGCGACGGTGGTCTTCCAACAGCGCTTGGCCTCATATTCTTGCCGCCACGAGGCGTCGGGGGAGTCAGGGTCTGGGTCGTGGATGTATTCTGGAGGCAGGAGGATCACAGTGTTCGGTGCATCGCTCACCTGACAGGCGAGTATGAGGCCAATGTCGGCGGTGAATGTGTCGCGGTCGTTTCGAAGCAGTGGCTGCGCACGAGACGAGCCGGCGGCTGCTGTGGGCTTTAGCTCGGGACCTGTCCTGCCGGTGCGCACCATGGTTGATGAAATGTTACCACCCTTCTAACCAAAGTGTGTTTGGGGAGCTCATTTGCCGTGTTGGAGTCCTCGCTGAAAAATATGAGTCTTCGCATCGCCCCGCGCAGGGGAACGTTCCACACTACTTTGGGACATTTGAAGGCAAAGGTGAAGAAGAATATCGTTGGGGTCTGGTCGGACGGGAAGGGCCGGTCAAGTGACCCATACGTACGACGGTACCTAAGACCGGGTGTCGTACCTATGTGAGCAACCACCAAGGCTCTACACACAGGGGCAGATCTGGGCATAAAAAGTATGCATCTTCCTGTTGTCTCCTTCCAATTTCTTTTTTCTCGCTAAATATGTATATGACAACATCATCTTTTCTGTTAAATCATCATTCTCATTTGAGCACAGGATGAGCAAGGCAGCCACGACTACGCGCTGTTCAAGCTGATATGCACGCGTGCATCGCAGCCACTCCCTAAGTAGTATGACCCAAGTAAAGACGACTCACTATGTAGCGGCGTTTTGTGCAGCTCCATTAGCTGCCTCCAAAGCCTGACATATTCATTCATAACAGCATCCAATCACGCCAGGCCTCGTTCATGAACGCATACTACAGTACCTACACATTTACCCCCTTGATTGTTTGGCTGTTCGAGCCGCATAACTTCGATCTTTTGAAACAGTTTGGTTCCATAGAGCTTTGTAACAAAGTCAACTCAGCTATTTACTCCGCTGCATGAGTTCGGCCACCCAGTATCTTTTCGCCGCCCCGCCCCCCCCCCCCCCCAAAGAGACTCAGGCTTATTAAGTAGTCTCTCTTCCTGCTGCTGTTTCGTGGGCTGCTCGCTGCTCGCATCACCTATAGCCCACCAAACATGGCTTGCCCTGGCGTACGGACAGCTGCAAATCCACCACGATGCTTCTCTTCGATACAGTGGCGGGGGCAGCGGCTTCGGAAGCGGGTGGGCGGCTGGTTCCCAGGGCGGTTGCAAGTCGACGCGCGCTGTCATACCAAATCGTACAGCCGCGCATGGTCCTGTATGCAGATGTTTCAGGGATGTGGAAAAGGGTCAGGTAGCACAAGTATAAACAAAGTAATATAGCTAACAAGCAGAATTATTAGGCAGTGTCCCCAACTTATGTGCTGTATGGATGTGTTCACGAAGTATAGGCTTTGCCGTGATAATTGTTGGTTGTGCTAGTCCAGAAAGCGGCGCCTATTTGGAAGACAACAAAAAGAGATACTGCGTTCGTCAATCCATTCATTCATTGACCTGTCTCGACTAGCCACCTGGCCGACACCGCCCAGTCATGATCTCGGATGCATTCTAAAGTTGTGGACTCTACGCATGTGGAATGAACCTGCTCACTCCTAGGAAGATTCACATTTCACTGTCTTCATCTTGCGGGCCATGGCCCATACCCAGTCGGGGCTTTCAATCTTGCAGATCAATCTTGTTTGAGATAGAGCAAGGCGGTGGAGTCGACCCGCAACGGAAGAGAGTGAAATGCGGGTCGCATCACCTCGGCGACGTCACCCGCTTCATGGAGACCACTCCGGACCGATTTTCGACGGGGTCTTCACAAAATTTCCCTCGGCTTTTCAAGGCCGCCTCAATGATATCTTACGGCGTTGGTCGACGGCTGAGCTTATCCTGAGCGATCGGGCCGTATCAATCGCTAGCTGTGGCTCTCATTTAGCGCGTAGTCATTCTTTAGAATCGCTTCGCGCATACTTGAGTCTACGTAAATTGACTAAGCTTTGCCAAGGGCTTGATCGGCAACGAAGCCTGCAGCCCTCGAGGTCAAAGAGTCTCGGGGATTACTGTTGCTCAACACGAAAAAAAAGAAAAGTCTCGAGCTTTGGTACAGTAACATGTCATCACTGTGCGACCAGCACATGTTGCAATCGGTGCCAAATTGGGCGAGGGCGCGTGTATTGGACAAGAGAAGATGCTGGGCCGAGACAACTTGTGGGCCAGCCGGGATTCCAGGTTTGTTGTTAGCAGCGAGTCAGGGGCCGTATATTGGAATTCCTGGAAATAATGCCCCTATTGTCCGCGTTTTTGTTTATTGCAAGGACGTTTGCGCAAAAATCGATTTTCAACTCGTAAAACTTGAAAATCGATTGTCGACTGCATTTAGTCTCTATGAACTTTCCTTAAGCTCGTCATTCGTTTTGTTGCTTTGAAAACACCCACACGCGACTTCAGCTGATCGTCGCTCCACATTCTTTCATACAAGATGCATTACTACATCGCGAACTATGCCGCTTTGGCTGCTTCTCTGTTCAGACTCACACAGGCGGTAGACAGCGTCACTGTGCCAAGCACCATTGCTGCCGGAACGAGCTTCCAACTGACTGTCGACGACCTGGATAGCGCCGACAAGTATCGTGTATACTTGGCAGCGGCGCTTGGAGGCGATACTGGACCGACTTGTACGTCTGACATGTGACAATCTGCCGAGATCAACATGATTCGACCAGATCAGATACTGACATGACAAAACATGTAGGCTGGCTCGTCAACTCCACCGCTCTCTCTTCTTCCAGCAACTTCACGATTCCAGCGGCGGTCGGCCCTTCGGCAAGCTATTACTCGATTGGAGTAGGTGAGGTCGACGGCGACGAAGATGATATAACGTACAGCAATAAGTTCAGCTTCACTGGTGGGACCGCCAATTACACTGAGTACGAGACACATCTCGATGGATCCCCTTTCTGGGACGCCGACGACCTACCTTGCTCCGCATACGCATGCGCCAGGAAGTGCGCCGACGCGAGCTACCCAGACGACCTGACCGACGAGAACGCTTACAACACCATGAAGGAATGCATCAATGCGTGCCCTGGTGTGACCGAGACGTCGCAGACGACGCCCGCTGCCGTCACTTCGAGCTCGGCAAGCACTAGCACATCGACTTCTTCCTCTTCTTCTACTTCTTCCTCCGGTGACGCGTCCAGCACGAATGGTGACGATGACAGCGGAGCGCCGGCGGCAGCTGTGCAGCAGGTCATGGTCGTGGGCATGGCTAGTGTTGCTGGCCTTGCGATTCAATTCTTGTAAGAGCTAGACATGAGTTCGACTCCGCAGCTGTTGTCGGCTTAGTTCGTTAGTCTACGTGTCGCGAGAGCATGCATCACGCGTCTCTGCCCGCAGCCAAGGGCAAAAGATGACCAGATATCATTACGGCTTCGACACAACGAGTCGAGAGACGTGCGGGAGCATATTTGCATCCAAATATTGTCAGAGGCTCCTTTGCGGATTGCAATATTTGTGCTAACGTTGAGGATGATCGGTATATAGATGGAGTGACCGAGGAAGGGAGGGCAGAGGGAACCGAAGGAGGGCACACTTGTAATGTCTTATCACGAACAAAATTAATATGATTTTTCATGCCCAGGTATCCTTCCTTACTTTGTAATGGATAATTTCAATAACTACCCATTGACTTCGATATCAGCAACTCTATTGCAATTTACGTTGATGGCGAATATTGCGGCGTGAGATTGTATCGTCCGACGAACATATTAGCATATAATATTCCTAGGTACAGAAGAAATCCCAGCAAACTTTCTATCATCGCAATGTTCAGTGTCAAAAGCACAATCATTTCTGAAGCACCTACGTGGAGATCGCTTTTTCAAAATGCAACCAGTAAGCTTGTCGTACACATTCAGATAAATTCGTTGTGGTTAAACCACGTGCTCGAATGAAAGAAAGCAATGAGCTTAGTCGAGCACTGCTAGCTGATGCGCTGAGAAAGAGGAGCCCTGGAAATATTCTCTGCGGTAGTTGATTGCCACAGTGTCGACAGTCCGTGGTGCTGGGATGGTACTCTCAAGAAGATCATGGCTGCTTATCTAGACGCGACAGAGGCTGACATAGATTTGAAAATGTGCTAGCTGCCAAGTAACCACTTCCCTCGTTTTCCTTTTCTTTTTTCTTTTTTGGAAAAAGAAAGACAGTTACAAAGAAATACCGCTCGTACTGCTGGAACTTGGTTTGTGTAATAGTTGACGTGATCGCCTTCGGCCATTGCCCATTGAGTCGATGCGTACTGAGAAATTGAAGCCAGCGAGAGAACAAGACATATTCAGAGATAGAAAATCTCAAAGTTTTTATCCTCAATTTTAACAGAGGCTGTACGATCGCAACAATGATACCAAGCCCAAGACAGTACAAGTATGTGCCACTTCATACAAAGCATCCTCAGTGACTAACATCAAACTTACAGCACCAAAACGTGGGGTTCTAGATGGTTGAAGATGTCAAACCAAGACTGATTTGTAGATTCAGAGAACCAGGCCCTCTTAAAGACAGACTTGATAGCTTCAATGGAAGCGAACCGCATGTCGTCGTAGAGCACGTCGGCCATGTTCAGCACTGCTCTCTGCTCTTCTGTGGACACGGAGTGAGCTCCAGCGATGAAGAGCGGGAAAATAACACAGTTTAGGACCTTAGCTTGCCGCGGGATCTCGAATATACATGCAAGACAGCACTTGACGTGCTGTTGGACAAGCGCGTGCCGTTTTGGGAGACCACAGAGGGCCCTGTATAGGTACAGCAATGCGGCATGTTGAAAGGTGCGGATGAGAGTGAAGGCATGCACGGCTTCCATTTCCATGTCTGAGAGAACGTCGAATCCCTCCGAGGATGTGCTCTGGCCGTCGCAGTCCTCAACTGTTAAGGGCGCATATACGGGACGAAGGGCAGCCTCGAACTGGCGGACGCGCTCCATTGAGAAGTCTTCGACCATGGTGGTGGTCGCCTGTAGATACAGGCTCATGCTGGCCATCTCGCGAAAGACGGATGCGAGTGATACTCTGCCCAAAGGGTCTCGACCCCACCAGACCGGGCCCTGATCGACGAGGTCCCATACTGTAGGCGCGAAGTAGGGAGGCCGTCCACGGATGATGGAACTCGTGAGATCTGTGGTTGCAAATTCCGAGACCAGCATGTGGAGCGGCTCGGGAGCCTTCTTCAATGTAGCATGGATGCCACCGAGGCGCTCGAGAATAGCCAGGACACCGCTATAGTGGCTAGACGTCGAGGCGGACTTCAACGCGCACCCTACGTAGCCGTCGTCAAAATAGAGCAAGATGACTGCGAACAGCAATACGACGAGGGGGCCAGTTCCCTGCACGTCAACGCAGCAGCGAGCGATCTCGGTCCTCACAGCAGCCAGACACTCAAGACGCCGCTTACCGAGGGCATCGTGGCCACGCAAGCCACCATCCTGCAACCGCCTATGAGAGTCAGACAGCACACAGGCTGCAAGAAGAACCACCCGGTGTTCCAAGGCGACCGGGGTCGGGGCGGCACAGGGCTCCTTGGACGTGGAGAGGAGGGGCCAGACGCGACGATGGAAATAGTCGAGGGCACGCCGCTCACACACATCAAGGAACACTGCCAGTTGCACGTCATTCCGGGGGATGCTGCCGTACGCCGGAGTTATGTGGCCGCTCGGCCGCGTGCTCCACCTTATCAGGCGGGTGTTGTAGTCGCATGTTGTACCGGAAGAGGTGCAGCGCCGACAGTCTGGCTTGGAGAGGTCACATTTGACGCGTCTCTTCTTGCATGGCCAGCATGAGCCCTTGGCAATCCTGATCCGGTTTGCCGGCATTGCTTTTGGGACGACGTCCTTCTTTGTTTTCCTCTCTTTGATTCAGTAGTCGAAGGGAGACTTGCGTTTGATACCGAAATGAAACAACAGGGTATTTTCTCCGTGCGGTTGAAGATTGCGGCGGGCGTCGATAGTGGACGATGTCTGTATCACTTCGGTTAACCTGTTGTACTCACATTTTCTTCGCAAACTGTGGTGCATTTCCTAGAATTTGTATAGGCATCATCTCACATTCTCCATAACTATCAAACACTCTGTCATCAAGGTTGATAATGAGGTGTAATATCCAATTCACAATCACGGGTGGGCGTTCGCATGCGGCAGCTTAACTTGATATAGACCAGAGGTTTGTATCTATGAATATATGGATTGGGTAGATGAGGAATTGCGTCTTCGTAGAGCGTTCAGAGGGGCTTGTGATTGTCGATAATGTCTACCGCTTGTGCTGAGAAAACGCAGACTCTTTGTGCGTTGTGTAAATAAGTGCTTTGATCCGGTAGGTTGTCGATGGCAAAGTCTGGGGAAGATGAGAGTGTTGGAGGGGTAAATATATTAAACGCCACACTTGATCTAGCATTACTAGTACGCGCCTGAATTGTAGTCGGATGTAGATGCCACATCCGGATTAGCCGCGGCTCTTGACATGGATCTTCGGGATATCTTTTGAATACTACAACGGGTTAGATAAGATAGGCAGGGATTTGTCAAGATTCACAATACAATGCAATCATATGCTAATCAGGATTACTGATGGATTTTGCAGATCATGTGGCCCATGGGCGCTGTGTACGGAATCGGCGGCAGCTATAGCCTTATATGAACTTGAAGTTGTACGCAACCATGACTAGTATTGAATGTTGAAGCTATATATCGGGATAGACTAGGGGGAATTGAAATCGGCGTGGCACTCTAGCCCGATGTGTTTCGTCTTCCTCAGAGCACACGGTCCCAAACTTTCTAAAGCTTGCTATCCCTGTTACTGCAGCAAGACACAGCAGGCTCAGTCGCTTTGGAAAAGGCATTCTTAGAAATCTTATCAGCATCAACAACGGAAGGGGCCACCCAGAGCGCCGGGTTCTTCTTAAAGAAGTTGGAGGCCCTGATCATGACGCCGACCGGCTCGGCCGGCATGATGGGGAAGTCCTCGGTACGCGGGAAGTGCGTCAGGCCGAATTGGATATAACAGACGATATCCGTATTCTCGATCGGCTCGTCCCTGGCGGCCCAGTCCACCACCGTCTCGTTGAAGGGGTGGCCGCCCTCGCCGCTCGACTGGCACACGTAGTCGCCTGCGGGGAACAGCTCGTAATCCCTGTACGGAGTGACCCACAGCGCCTTGCGCGCGAACCCGGCCCGCTTCCACACCGTGCTCCCCGGCTTGGCAAGGATGGACGGGCAGTTGTTGTTCAGGATCTTGTAGGCGACGGGCTTCTTGGCTACGGTGTTGATGCTGTTGGGGTTGATGATGTCCCATGATCGGCCCGTCTCATGGCAGTAGTCGGCGGCGCCCTCCAGTGCCGTCCGGAGGGGCGTCTTCTTGCAATAGAAGCCGTTCCCGTGCGGGTTTCCGGCTGACCCGAGTGCGTCATCGGAGAGAGCGGCGTCGTTTTGTACGACCGTGTTGTTGGGTCCGTCAACTTCGGGATCCACACGCAAGGAGAAAATATGCTGGTGGTTATGTGCGTTGATAGACGGAGCGACCTCTGTGCCGTACGGTGCGGCGGTCTCACTAGGATGCATACAGTAAGTGTTCAACATGCCTGTGAGCTTAATTTCAAGCTTATAGGTACCGTCCAAGGTAAACGTGTGGTAGAAACAGTACTCGTAATTGGCAGCTGTGATGATTTGCGAGATGATAAGCTTGCGATCGCGAGCCGAGATGACAGTGCCATCACGGTAATCGGTATGTTTGTAGAGGAGACCGTTATCCTCTTCGTGAATACAAATAGCATTTTTAAGTACAGCCGCCTCTCCCGAGCTTACCGCCATGATTGCATCGATATAATGAATAACACCTTTGCAATCACAGCCAAGCTTGAGAGAGTTAGTCATTAGACCAGTGCCGTACTCGCCCACGTCGAAAGCGTGCTTTCGGTGGTGAGGAGGATCGGGATTGCCATACGGGACGACCATCTCGACCACGCTGATGCGGTTGAAGAGGCTGCGCTCGCGCCCCTCAGCCTGGTCGTCGATGCGGACATCGGACAGGACGATGCCCTCGCGGTAGTTGAAGCCGATGTGCATCTTCAGTCCCGCCCAAAAGATCTCATTGCCGGACATACGGAACGAGACGCCCTGGGGCTGGGTGATGTCGATGGGCTTGAGCCTACCATGCTGGTAGTCATTGCCGATGAAGGCTGGCATGTAGTTGTGCTCCTCCAGGGGCACTCTGGTGCGTTCACCGTTGACCAGGCGGATGTCGACAGACAGAACCTCGGCCTTCTCTGTATCGACGACAACAGAGAAATCGAGTGGATGGGCGTACTGGTTATCTCCAGGGGAGTTGCGGTAGTAGACAATCCCCTGCTGCAAGCGACGGTCGGTGCCCCAACGGTGGTCAAAGCCAATGGCCCACGCATCGATGAAGACCTTTGACATGTCGTGGATGCCGATTTCGCGACACGCCTCGATGACCCGAAGATCTTTTCTGGTGACGCTCTCGCAGACGTCGAGGTCCTCCAGAGTGAGAGTGGGACCAACGTCCGCGACGTCCTTCCAGATCTCGACTTGAGAGCTCCTCAGGTTGACAACAACCTCGGACACCTGCGAGGAGCCCTGCTCAATAACGATGGCGAAGGCGCGACGGTCCGGGCGAGGGCCGCAGCCTGACTTGAAGGCTGCGTACTCATTCTTCTTGGGTTCCCGAAGAGTGAGGCAGTTGAATTTCAGGGTCTTGGCACTGGCATACTCCTTGATGAGTTTGGCAGCGCGCTGGATCTCCTCAATCGATAGCTGATCTATACGTACAGTGCGACAGTCAGCTCAAGATTTATAGCCGAATTTGCCTCCAGCCAAATCTCTTCTCTTGGATGTTGATGCCTTTTCACTTACCGAGAGGATGTGCTAAGCACTGCGTGGGCAGGTCTGGAGCGGCGTCGCTGGGCTCTTCCCGCAAGATGGTGTAGCCGGCTATGGACGAGGTGTCTGCAATCATGATGGGGGCTTTCTGGACTGAGCGACTGTGCCATACGGGGGTCTTTGTGCAAGTCGACCAAGGTCGATTGTTGATGGGGAGAGGATTCAGTGATGCCTCGAGGCTCGGTGTTGTTGCAAGGGAAGCTCGAGCGGCACTGAGAATGGTGAGCAACTCGTTGAATATTCCTGGTTCGGGACCTGGAGGAGGAAGGAGGGAATCCACGACCAAATTCACTTGCTTGTTCCTCATACTTATAGTCGGAAATGACTATCGCCATCCTTTATGGGTTCCTCAGAATCACACCAGGGCTAGCTGCAGCTGAATATTGGAATCACCTAGATGACAAAAGTATTAGACTCAGCTATGCAATTGATATCATGTACATTGTAGCTGCGGCCCACATCGTGGTCCACCGGGATCACATCGCTAACCAATCATGATCCCTTCAACGAGCAGACAACCTTTCCCTTACCAGTGCCCATTGTCCCACCAACACTGACGCCCTCAACTGGGATCCTTCAGGAGAATGGGCCTGGCCTCTATCACCTCAGCGAGTCGGAGCTCGATGCGTGGGATCGGGACGGGACCGGAGGCGGCCGGCACCGCTGGGCCACTTGACTCGCACGCGGGGGACACTTAGTTTGCTGAATTAGGCAAGAAAATCGACCATGCAGGGCGCATGATCAAGCCGTTGATTCGTGCAACCCTCAAGATTTAGTGTGACGCGGCTCCGGTGGGCCGGTCCTGACCAGACGCGAGTTCTCCACACGCTACAGTAGCGTTGCTACAGTATCGACTACGGCTGCATGGGGAGCCCCTGTCTCTATGGAGGAGCCTCTAACACGCCTTAACGCCATCTTCGACCGGCTAGACTCGGGTTGTTGCAAGTCAAGAACGGATCTATCACAATGATTAATTTAGAAATTGGCATCGTGGTCTTGAAATCTGGAACCCAAAATATTATATGCACCAGCTAATCGAAAGTACAAATCAACTTTTCTGAGGTGTTACAGGCGAAAGAACAAGCTCTGCATTCTGCGCCTCAATAATGCGCTCCGCTGCATCGTGTGTAGCCAAATACGTGTAGCGTCCCTTCAACACCCAAAATCCTAAAGTAACAACCAACATAACTCCAAAGACAGCGACGGCGTAATTCATATCAGCGGGTGCCGGGTTAGGCTCGATGGGGAAGAAAAAGAAGATACTAGTAATGGTGCAGTATATGACGGAGATCACGTTGGCGAAAGAGCCAAACCGGCCTAATGTGAACTCCCCAGGCGGGAGCTTTTCGCGACCCACAATAAGAACTGTCAGGATGGGCATTGCGTAGGAGATAGTGAGGGCGACTGTGCTAACACTCAGAATCGCCTCAAGCACTGTATTGGCAAAGATGTATAGTATGCTCACGAGGCCAATAAGGCCACCTTGGAGCCACAAGGCGCGCGCCGGCACCTTCCAGGTGTCATTCACCTTGGAAAAGTAGGTGCTCCATGGCAGACCGCCGTCTCGCGCGAAGCCCCAAGTGAGGCGGGAGGATGTTGTAACGATGCTCACAGCCTGGCCCATTCCGTTGAAAATAAACAAGGACAGTAGTACTGCAGCGCCCTGCAGCCCAACGGCCCCGTGGACAAGATCCACGAAGGGAAGGCCAGTTGGAGGGTTGAGAACGGTGTCGAGGTCTTGGATACTGAAGAGGCAGGCCACCATGAAAATGAAGCCAGTAACGGCTCCAAGAACGACTGAGAGCCAGATGACGCGCGGGATGTTCTTGCGGGGAGCCGGGATTTCCTCTGCGAGATGCACAGCTGAATCAAAGGCAGTGAGGCCATACGCGGCCTGCACAAGGCCAGTAAACCAGGCTACGCCATCTCCCCAGCCGGTCTGATTAATCCACCGCCCAAAAACAAACGATGCCGGCTGAAATTCCAGGCCCTCTCTCACACCGACGGATATGAGCAACGCCAGGCAAAATATGAAAAAGAGCCCAATGAAGCAGACGCCGACAAAATTGTTGAAAGCTGGGAGGATAGCATCTCGACGGCAGGCGACGAGATTGACGACTGTAACCACAAGGGTAACGCCAAGATAAAGCAAAAAGTTGACCCAACCAACACTGGCCTGGGTCCAGTTTTGGACAAAAAGGACCTTCATGCTGAGGATAAAATTTGTCATAAAGGCGAGCTGCGAGGCTGCCAGCGTCCACCAGCCAAATGTGTTGATCCAGGCGCAGATATAAGACACAAAACGCCCAGTCGGGGACCCTCGGCAGAGTCGGTATACCCAGTACGCCTGCCCCAGGGCCGTGGGCATGCTGCTGCAGAGCTCGCCCAGCGAGACAGCCACGCAGACGTTGCAGAACATGACGAGGACGAGGCCCCAGAGTATCGAGATAGGCCCGCCGCTGGTCAGTCCGCTCGAGAGCCCTTGGGCGAAGGTCGACCAGGTGCCCAGGACAGACAAGGCGAGGAATAGCATGCTCGTCGCGCTGAATTTTCGCGACAGGGCCTGCTCGTGGCCGAGGTAAGTAAGCTCCTGCGCATCTTGAGCGGCCTGGTCTGTGGTTTCGAGCTGGTTCAATGGTGCGTTCGATTCCGGGTCTTTCGCCATGGCATCCGTTCGAAAAGGGTTGAATCGGGATTTAAAAGAGGTTCGTCTTGTTGGAAAATTTTGATGCAGGCGCCGGCAAACAGAATGCAAAGCTCGTCGCTAGCACTTTGTCAAGAAGCAGGTTGCCAAAGGGTTTTCTGGATTATATAGCAGGGCATTTTAGATCTCAATGGTCGTGCCCTGGGAGCTTGACGCAGGAGCAAGCTAATGGCTATCTTTGTGGTTTCCTCCGGGTGACGATCCAATTGAGAAAAAAGGTCTCAATCCAGCCATTGAGACATCCCTGAGTTGTCTGTCTCCTTCTATCACTATCAGTTACGACTAATCCCTGCAAATTACGGCACAGCTAAATAACGCCGGTGCGCCTTCGATGGCAGATGGTAATAAGTTAGATCGCATTACGTACGAGCGAGGGTGACTGAAAGATCCGGATTGCCGAACAGAAATCCTCCGAAGGTGAACAGTATCACAATAAGCGCCCACCCAAGTTGGGATTTGGCCAAATTTCTTTCCCTTTCCAGCACCGAGTCTTCTAACAGCGGTAGCGTGGCAACGAGACTGGCGCAATCCCAGACTAGCTCCATTGCGAGCAGGGGCAACGCGACGTCTGGCGGGGGTGGAGTCGCGAGGGTGGAGACGTGAGGGTGCCAATTGACGAGTCAGAGCAGCTTCTCACGTATTATGAATCACGGGGACAACTTGGTCGATTTTCTTTCCTATTTCGTCCTGTCGTGCCCGCCCACTGCTGGGTCCCACAGATGCTATACAGTTGATACCAAGCTGGGGAGGGAGTGGCTCCACGTCGTTGGTCCGTGACAATCTGCTCCAAGCTTGTAGTTGAAGCGATAGAATTGGATAATCACTTGGCTCGATGCAGCTGAATGATAACCGAACTAAATTAGCATGCGTTCTCACGACATAGCAAGTTAGGACCTGGTATCCCAAGGGGTCTTTTTCAGATTAACAGTCGGAATGCTTGGTCAATTAGTCTTAGTCTAGCTATTGCTACGCCGGGGTAGGGCGAGAGCCACCATTATAACATGTTAGGATCCCGAACAGAGTGTATAGCCCATAGGAATTATGATGTTCCGTATTTATAATAATGCTTCTGTCAGAATATTTCAACAGTCTTTGACATCGCCTTTTTTTCCGTCAAATGAAAACGATTTTGTGGCAGAGGAAGTCGAGAAGATCGTTCTGATCTTAGCAGACAGGCTACTTCCCTCGTTTCATAATTCAGAATCGTCGACATCTTCCCCATGGCCTCTGTAGAGCTCACTGCCCCCAATGGGCGGACATACCACCAACCAACGGGACTATTCATCAACAGTGAATGGGTGCAGTCATCGGATGGGGGCAAGATAGCTAGTATCAACCCCACGTAAGATGCCCTCACCTTTCCTCAGTCACACAGCGCTCGTTGCTAACACTACATTGGGCCATAGCAACGAGCAAGAAATAGTCTCGGTCTCCGCCGCAACAAGCCAAGATGTTGACAAAGCTGTACGAGCAGCACGAGAGGCTCTGTGTCACCCAAGCTGGCGAGACCTTCCTGCCACAGACCGCGGCAAGCTCATTGGACGCCTCGCCGAGCTCGTGGACCAGCATCGGGAGATCTTGGCCACAATAGAGACGTGGGACAACGGCAAGCCGTACTCAGTATCGCTCAACGAAGACCTGACCGAGGCTGTCGAGACGCTGAAGTATTACGCTGGCTTCGCTGATAAAGTATTTGGCCAGGTAATTGAGACGACGCCCAACAAGTTTGCCTATACTATTCGCGAACCGGTCGGAGTGTGCGGGCAGATCATCCCGTCAGTATCATTTCTTCTCCTCCCCACTCTGTCACTCCTTGAAACTTGCAGCGAAACGCAATATCGAACTTGAGCTCAGGATGTTTGCAAAACAGCTGGAATTATCCCTTGGCAATGGCGGCCTGGAAACTCGGCCCTGCCTTAGCCTGCGGCAACACAATAGTCCTCAAACCAGCAGAGCAGACTCCACTCTCCATCCTGTTCGTTGCCAATCTCGTAATCGAGGCTGGCTTCCCACCCGGGGTTGTGAACGTCATCAACGGTCTGGGGGCCGTTGCAGGCGCCGCCCTCGCCTCCCACCCGGACGTCGACAAGATCGCTTTTACCGGATCCACGAGCACGGCAAGGCAGATCATGAAACTGGCGAGCCACAACCTGAAGAATATCACACTCGAATCGGGCGGAAAGAGCCCCCTAATCATATTCGACGACGCTGACCTAGATGTCGCTGTCCACTGGGCTCACGCAGGCGTTATGTCGAATCAAGGCCAGATCTGTACCGCAACGTCAAGGATCCTGGTCCAGGACGCTGTTTACGATGAGTTCTTAGCAAAGTTCCTAGAACAGGTGACCAATATCTCCAAAGTCGGCAACCCCTTCGACGAAAGCACATTCCAAGGGCCCCAGGTCTCCAAGGCCCAGTTCGAGAGAATTCTAGCCTATGCCGAAATCGGCAAGCAAGAGGGCGCAAAGCTTCAGCTCGGAGGCAAGCCTTTCCGGTCCGACGGCAAGGGCTTCTTCGTCGAGCCCACGGTCTTCACTGGCGTCCACTCTCAGATGAGGGTTTTCCAGGAGGAGGTTTTTGGCCCTTTTGTTGTTATCTGCCGTTTTAAGACTGAAGAGGACGCCATAGCCCTCGCCAATGATACTCAGTACGGCCTGGGAAGCGCTCTCTTTACTACTAACCTGATTCGTGCCCATACGTAAGCATAAACCTCCTCCCGCTACGATTACCCATCCGCATTTTATAAGAACCTTCCAGAATTGCTCGCTTCAGGATCCGTAACAAGAGGCTAACTCATAGTAGCTTGGCTAAGAAAATACAGGCTGGCATGGTGTGGATCAACTCAAGTAATGATAGTGACTGGCGGATCCCCTTTGGGGGGGTAAAGCAGAGCGGCATTGGTAGGGAGCTGGGCGAGGCTGGTCTTGCTGCCTATTCCAACACCAAAGCCATTCATGTAAATCTTGCAACGCCATCGAAGCTTTAGATGGCTGCGTATTGCCCGAGTTGGACGTCTCAACCAAGCTATTGCTATCCCGATGTTGCGGTCACCTTCCGCACCAACACCAGGTTCCATGCTAGCCTTGGTTGTGTCGCCGCGGGCGGATACATATGAAGGTCCATGGAATGTGTGAGTTCGTTGACTCAAGTCAAGATAATAATAAGGCGTGGCGTGATTTATCGAGGTAAATTTGCCATCGATATTGAAGGAGCACTCCTCCAGACGCAGCCGGATACTTGGATCCGATACCCAGGTTTGTTTATTGAGTCACCGAATAGAAACTAGGCGTAAGAATACATGGAAGTATCTCAAGTTTCATTTACAGGACACTCAACCTTTCGATTGTTAAAGATAATCGCCCGATACATAGGCACAGTTGTGCCTTCAGGTAAACCCGTGTGCGCTCGGCCAATCAATATTGTTCAGATTTTCAGTCCCGATTTCCAAATGCTCAACTCGAATCTAGTTGTTTACAGTTTGAATTCGCCGGTGGCCGTTTTTGGGGAGATTACAATTTTAAAATATGAAAGTAATATGTTTACATACGTACTAAACATCCAACCCGCGTTATATTGTTGACTTGGAAATGCCGTTTTGCACAACCCTGGACCGGTAGATCGGATTATTCTTACTCTTATATTCATGCATACAGGTGGCCAAGCAACAACCTTCGTAGGTACCCAAAGACCACAAGCGCAAATACTAGCAACCTTTCGCCCAAGGAACGTGACTCAATCATCTTCGACTCAACAGAACTCTTTTCTTTCTCGGGATCTTCTTCAAAGTCAGATTGAAACTGTTGGTGTGCTTCCAGTGCCTGAAATATATCAATGGACTCGATCCCTCGCTTCTCGTTCCTTGCGAGAGCATGCGCTACGCGCATGATGTTTTTGATCTCCCGGCCGTTAATTTTCTTGCTTGCTAATTGTTGCATTACATCATCTTCCATACACGCGGGCCTCTTGCAGGAGTAAGTGCTCAAGATCCAGTATTCCCAGAGTGAACGGCGAGCGGATGCTGACAAGGGTGGATAAGAAAGGGCCAAGTGTATTCGTGACCTAAACGCTGGGTCGATTGAGGCAGGACGGTTGCTAGTAAGGAAGAGTATACCCTCAAAGTACTCTATCACCCTGAGAAGAACTAGAGCGAATGAGCAAGCAAGCACACGAATGTGGCTGGAGTAGGACCCGTACCCGCAACAAGTTCGTTTGCAAATGGCGTAGCGAGGTTCCTCTGCTGCATGAAGACATCGGCTTCGTCGAGCAGCACGACCGCGTTCCAGCTCGTCGCGAGTCTGAGAGTGCTTGTAAGGGCTTCTTCAGCATTGCGTTTGCCAATCACATCCCCAGAGTTGATAGTGAACAAAGGCCGTTTAGTCAGATCGGCAATACTTTCTGTCTCGACAATTAGTCATATAATAACGTGTGTACAGATTCGCGGCTGTTGGGCTCGTGCCACAAGGACTTACTAACCTGCAGTGAGAGTCTTTCCAACACCGGGGGGACCGTACAGAAGGAATATCAAGCCTTTGCCCTTGCCTTTAACAAGGTCATCAAAATCATCACTTTCCATGCCGTGTTGCGATACGAGAGAATGGATCAGTCTTTTCTTGTTCTCCTCAAACATTAGACCTTGGAATGCCTTTGAGTTGAACTGCATATCTTGAACGCACTCGATATTGAAGATACCCCATTTTTTCGACTCAAGGGCGTATCCACGTATCTCGTGCGTGCATATCATCAACTGTTCAATTGAAAGCTCGGGAGGATCTTTAACAGGAATCTTGGTGCCCTGGACGAAGTCGTCCCAGCTGCTATCCTTAAAGTGTCTGTATGCTTTGGGATCCAAAATGATTCGATGTGTGACCTAAGTGGGAATCAGTGCTGTAACATGTTTTGATAACGTGCCGGATGAACTGACGTGAACCTTGTTAGCCCCTGAGTTGTAAAATGTGGATGATTCTTGGAATCGTGCAAGACCATTGTAGAGACAGTAATGGACTCCGCAGAAGGATAAGTACTTGCGGCCCCTCTGCTCTGCTAAGTGTTGAATGCGATCCGCCTCCGGATGGAAGAGCAACGGAAAGACGGTGAAATGCTTAACAGCCTGACGCCCCTCGAATTTATCTATCCAGCTGTACTTTTCAATGTGACCGAAGGCTTCACCATTGTACAGCACTCGTTCTGTCCATACATGCCATCCGATCAATCCGGTCTCATCATCATCATCATCATTTTCAGTTATCGTTTGTAATTTGGACACGATGTCTATACCATCATGATTTTCGTAAATCAAACATCCCGGCTTGAAGATGAGCCATAAACGAGTCAGATCGAGTTGAAGCGCGAATGGATCTTGGATACCTTCTTCGAATATCCTGATTTCTTCTGCCATTGTCTTTTCCACATATTTCAGACATAAAGAGACATGATCCTTGATTTTGGTGTCGTCGGATTTCTCTGCGTAGGCCTTCAGCTCCCTGCGATAGTGGAACAGGCATTTCGGCGGTACTGAGATAATGACTGTTGCTGTGTCAAAATCTTCCCCGGGATATGAGCCAATGACATCTTTCAATGCTTTGATAATGTGCTTGGATTGGACTTTGAGGTTCGAATAAAACCCACGGCTTTGGCGGAAGTAGTATCGGGTAAGAACAAGGCACGCTCGATGGCTCCTGTTCTTCTCAACGTTGAATTGTGATTTAGCTCCCACTCGAAGCAAAATTTGTTCTCCACGGGTGTCGTATTTCGACTCGTAGATGTGGAACTCGCAATCCTCTCCGTCTTCATCTTCATCTTCGACAACTCGAGAAACCTCGCTCATTTGGTCTCCCAATTTTGCTTCGGTCTGCTATTAATTTTGTCAGCACCGGAGTCCATGCGGCTCTGCTCAGGATGGCTCGCAATGAAGGCTACTCCAGGATCGTGTGGCATTCAGGGTTGTAGATCAACACTCACATTTTCACCCGACGATACATCGCTCACATATGGACTCGCATCTTCATTCGACGTTCCATCGCTGACATATGACTCCCAGCTGGTATCTGATAGTGTGCTTCCATGATTCCCTTTCGATGGAAGTTTTCTTCTTGCCTGAAACAGCTTTTTCTTGCCAATTGTCGGTGACATAATCCTGCGCTTTGATCTTGGCTGGAAAACTTTTCGATTCGACCTGGAATTCATGGTGTGGGGAAATAGAGCCGCGCTCAAGTTGCGTAAATTTCAAGGTCTCGCAAACAGGATGTGCGTGCTAGCAGATCAAGAAACCAGTGAAAATGTCAACGTTTGGAGTGAAGTCAAACTGAGGAAGACGGAAAGAAGGAGTTTTTATAGTGGAATTTCGGCCACACGGAGTGTTCAGAGTATTATGGCAAATTATAATTCAGCATATTGCGAATGAGTCTCACGATCACGGGCGGATCCTGGCGGGGGGAGGGGGAGGGGAAGGTATTGCCGCATGTTGTGAGACGTCAAACCACACCTGCATAATTACCCACACACGACGAGACGGAAACGGGAGGGCGGGCAGATGCAGGTCACACAAGCAATGACAGGTATGTACCTAGAAGGTACCTCCAGTCTCTGCATACGTACGTCGTTGGCACCCAGCCAATATTTTGGTTATCTGCGCAACTTGACAAGGCGATTCTTCAATTGTTCTTTGTGCAAGGGGCCACTGAAATTGCCCCAGCAAACGAATACTACAAATAATGTAGAAGCATTGAACCCTTAAAATATTGAAACAGAAACCAGGCATAGTAATAGATGGAAGTATTTCAAGCTTGAATTACATGATGTTCAACCTTCCAACTCCTAAAGACTCCTAGCCCTACTATTTGCTCGGACTTCCTGCATGACTGCCGTACGTGGCTCTATTGCTGGAAGATGACCCTACCCCCGCATCTGGGCACGCGCTAGGCTCCTTGTGAGTCGTGGTGCCGATAGTGGCGATGGTGTGGTAGGGTGAATCGCCGGGAACTTCTGCCAGCCAGCGCTGCATCGGCGACAGTCCAGTCAGCTGTCTGCCATCCCCACGGCTCGGTCTAGTTCCAAAATCTCTGTTCACAGGGACATATTTTTCAGACCCCTTTTGGCTATTGTTGTAGGATTGTGACATGGCTAGTGCTTCAAAAAGTCAATCATCGAATTTCAGGCATCTACGACTTGGTTTTACCTTAGTAATTGGCAGAAACGATCCCTAAAAATGTGTCGATGGAATGATGGACTTGTTGGAGCTGTCGGGCAGGTTCAAGTCTAGAAGAATGAATATGTTGTATTGAGTTGGGTTTGCAAGCCAGGAGAGCTGACGAAACTTTGATGATTTCAAATTATGGAGAATTGAATTTGAGGCACTTGGGTGAGTAGAGAGGCAACGCTTTTATTGAGTGTTGACTTTTGCTATATATATACAGATCCATCTGCGGATAGTTTGTGTTCGGGTCCGTACCCAGGGGACTCTTTGGGATCTTTTGCAATTTCTGTTCCAAGGACTCGAATGGCTGGGAGGCCGATTTCAAAAGGCTCGTGCTGCTTGCCTGGTCCGTTGTCCATTGCCACAATTTGTTGCCTAGAGACTTTTGATATCTCATTGCACTGGATTTGGGAGGACTCTTTGGGAACTTTTTTAGGAGGCTGAATTGATGCAAAAAGGCCCAGGAACACCATGCCGCCTGATAACCCAATCATTTAACAATGGTGGAGAGTAAGACTGCTTCCGACTGTAGCTGTGAGGTGAGGACCAAGATTGATTGGGTCAATGAGCAGCCACAGAACCTGGTTCGCGCCCTATGAGGGCTTCTGAGGTTGTATGCGGAACCGTCCCTTCTAGACTAGACGGGATGACTTGCCAAGAAGGCTGGCGCCTATGTCAGCATCAGGATGCAGGGCACATGTTCCACAACAGCCCGTATCAAGGCAGAATAGCGAAGCCTGCCACGTAACTTGCGGCACTTCTCGCCCCGTCTTTGCTGCGCCTCCTCTCTGCATAAAGGTGATCCAATGGCCTTTTGGGGATTTTTGGGAATGTTTGCTCCTCTTCCCAGCACCCAGTATTTGGAGGTACAGCAGCTGTGTACCACATTTTCATGCCTGTCAGCTAAATTTCGTAGGCCGGCTTTATTGTCCGCGAGTCTTACTACTTAAAGCCCTCTGCAATTCCCAGCCGATTCCATACTGACTCTTTTTGCAATACTCCCCTTGGAACTGCAGCCCATGAGTTTATGGGCGCGTCATGCTCCAATAAGCTATGGATTCTCGTGACTTTTCTTTTGGGATGAACTACAATTCTCGCTCTCCGCACGAACAAGGGTTCCATTTCAATCCTCTTTCTGCCCAATCTGGATCTAGCCTCCAACCTGAACCTGATTTTGCTGCCGCCCCGACCATCTTCCGCAGCTCAAATGGACCGTACCAACACCAACCAGAAGATCAGGCTGCCCATCAAGAAGACCTGCAGATGATGGACGATGGACTGATGGAACTCCCATTACCTTCAGTGGAACTACCAACTGGAGTTCCAAACCAGGTTGCGAGGAAATCTCATCGGTCCAAATATGCTCAACTTGATTGGGATACCCACAAGCATCACATTCAGAAACTATACTTTGAGAACAAGACCTTGAAACAAATCAGAGAGACCATGGTTCGGGACCATGCTTTTAACGCTTCGTAAGTGCTTTGATGGTGCTTGGATCTATCCTCAGCCTGTAGTAAGGGAATGAGCTAACCCACCAAACTCAAGTGACAAGCTCTACAAGAACAAATTTAGCGAGTGGCGGTGGCAGAAGAACCTTTCTGCAGATACTGCTCTATTTATGGTGCAGAAGGCCAAGCAGCGGAAAAGGAATTTCGGCAAGGACACGACTTTTCATTACGGAGGAAGGGAATGGCCGTTGCAAAAGGCCGAGACTACTGTCTCGAGATCGAAGAGACAGAGAGACGAGGATCATATGATAAGTGAGTATGAGGCTACATCATCAACTCTTTCACACGATGGACTATCTAACAGACGACATGTCGTAGTCGTCGAAACTCCACAAGGCATGACGTACGAGACTCCTGCGGCGCTCGTTCTCTCTCCGGAAAAAAGCCACCTCTATAACGAGAAGGACGAGAATGACCGCTCTGATGCAAACTCAATCTCGGATACTGACTCAGAGGCCAGCGGTGGCGAGAACATGTTGAGGCTCACATGGGAAGGTCACACCGGCCCCGAATTCCTCACCCTGTGGAAGTTGGCGCTTCAATACCGTGATGAAGGAAAAGTGAATGAGGCCGAGTATCATCTCGAACGGGTTTGGACCGGCCTCCGCCACATCTCAGGCGTAACAAACGAAGACACTAACAAGGTTGCCTACAGCCTTGCAAACTTGTATGCTGATACGGGTCGCATGGACAAAGCTGTCGGTCTCGTCGAGCGTGTCATTCAAGACCATGTGAAGATTCTTGGTTATGAGAGCAAAATCACACAGCAGCGGGTTCTTCTAGCTGCAGAGATTCTCAACGGCTGGAACCGACATGCCGAAGCACTGGGTATGCTCTCTCGCTCCAACGAATTGCTTGGCACGTCTGGTCTTGATCAGAGGAGGAGTCCCCGCAAAGCCAAGACTAGACGCCATGCGAGGGAGAAGGAACGGTCCACTGGCGCAGACGAGGTCTCTCAAATTCTTGCCACAGAATTTAATGACTCTGATCCTGACAAGATCAGCTGGGCCCTAACGGTCGCTCGTCGTCAAGTGTTGGCTCGGAGTGAGAATGCAGAAATGTTGCTGCGTGCCATCATCACTCACTGTGAGATATATCCTAATGAAAACCTGCGACAGCATCTTGTAGCAAGAGGTGAGCTTCTTGCGCTTTACGAGAAGCTCGATGTTGCGGACCAGCGCGTCGCGGCGTTTGAAAGCGCAATGAATGCTCTCAAACAGACCTGGGACCTCGTTGACTGGGATGAAGACCGCTTGGAGCACTTCGAGATTATGGAAGCATCGCTTCAACTGATAGCCAATATGTTAAAGAGCGGCTATAAAAATGAGGCACGACGATTCTTCGAGGAGGCTGTTGAGCTGGCAGCCAAGACTTTCGGGACAACTGATGAAAGGACGATCTGGATTCTTATTACCATTGGAATTGTTGTTCAGACTCATATGGGATGGAGCGATGCTCGAGACTGGTTCGAGCAGGCCTTCGCTGCGGCCCTTGATGAATGGGGACCCGATCCCAAAGAAGGCATTGTGAAATCTTTACAGGTTGCCCTGGATCGCGAACATTTCTCCTATGTTTCAGATGAGGGGCGTCCATATAAGACTGTTTTCGGAGTAAGTGGCATCCGTATCATGCCTGGCAGGTTACATCTTGAGTGAGAAGGACGCAGGGCAGTTCAATGGGCATAGAATTCATCCTGGCTGGAATACTTGCCTAGATAAGAAGATAGCACCTGAATTTTATTGTTCTTTGATGGATTTGAAGACTTGGGAGCTTTGAACTGGAAATTAACAAGATTTCAAATCTTTGATACGTGTAATGTCAGAATCAAAGCCAGATTGCATTTAGATGTCGATGCAGTCAATTCGCTGTGTATAGTCTATTTGCCGGCACGGTAATTAATCAACCGCACAAGCCCCACGATGCTAAGGCAAGCAAAAAAAAAAAAAAATGTATCTTCTGAGGTTTTAGATAATAGCATTGATATAAGTGTCGCATCACTGTGCAAGATTAGCCATAGACACTCCAGTACAATTACACATAACCAACTAGCAAATTTGTCCCAAAGTTTCACCTAGTCAATCTGGATAAAGTCTGCACTGTCATAATCAATACTGCTTATAGGTGTCTAGCCCTTCCTAGAAGAAACATGTCTCTCAGTCCTTTGATGGATTTTCGCAATGCACCCTCGGATGTTCAGCACAAATGAGTATTGGACAACGAGGAAATTTGACTACAATGATAGGTACCAATCTATATAATCATTTATATAATCTTGATTTTCGTCTTGGACGTCGTTTCTGCAAAGATTGCATCCATCCAGTCGCGCGGTGCATTGGTGATCATTCCGATACGCTCGAAAATACCGGTGCCGTCTTCTTCACTGACACGGCGCAACACGAGCGAAAGGTATTTACCCCCCCACGCGAAGCCCGTTCTCATGCAGAATATCTCCATGCCAATTTCCAACATGTCAGGATTGGGCTCATCAGGACTGGACTTAAAGAAGGCATAGTCCGCGTAGATATCATACGGGCCTCCTCGAGGGCCCTGAAAGCCGGGCCACTCGCCAACAAGCCCCGTGCCCAGCTCGGATATGTCAAAAAGCACCAGCCTCCCAGCAGCCATGAAGCCCTCGAGTTCCAGCGACGCGTTACGAATGGCGCCGTACTCATCTGGTCCCGAGAGTTCAAAATCGTAAGTCACCACTCGCAGGTCCTCCGGGCGCACGCGGGGACAAGCCGATTTGGTGGTGACATGCTGTCCAGCCGCGATCCACGACCACGTTGGGAACGACCCGCTCTCCGGTTGGGGGATGTGCGGCGGGCGCCATAGATGCATGGCGCGCACGTTGGGGTCGCCCTTCGGGCAGAACCACATCAGGTCGTGGACCAGCGTGCGCTCCCACATGCCGGCGACGTAGTCTCCCAGCTCCGGGTGCGCGGTGCCATACTGCCGCGCGATGCCCGCCAGTGCCGGCAGCTTGTCTGAAGTCGACGTGATGTGGTACCCGGAGTATTCGTGCAAGACCTTCTGCCAATACTTCCGAACCACATCGATATTGTCGCTACCACCGCTGTCGCCCGAGGATGATGCGGCGGCGGCCGCCGCCGATGCCCGCAGCGCTTCGGCGTGGTGCAGCTTCCTCAGCTTGGTCATGTCGTCGTCCGATGCGCCATAGCCGCCCGCGGCGCCCCCCCATGCGCCGCCGGTAGCGTTGTGGCACTCGCAATAGCTCGGGCCTTCGCCTGGCCGCGAGCACTCGAACATGATCTCATAACGGGTGAAGTGGGCGATGCGAGACGATAGCAGACGCTCCTGATAGACCCAGCTTCGCGTCAGGAGGGGAAGCTCGGGTTTCATCTGCTGGATGCCGACCCAGTCCCAGGTCGGATGCTCGGGGATCCGCCGCACCACGTACGAAGGGCCCTGGTGCTGTGGCTTCACCGTGCGACAACATGAACTCTTTCGGAACAGCCCCTGAGTGCTGTCGTCGGAACATGAGGCGGCCACTGTGACGTAGGCTCCGCGGTAGATGTCGCACATTTGGGCTGCCTGGGCTTTCCAGTCTTCCACACTATCTTGAATTATGCAGAGGGAGTCTACCCACACATACTTCAAGCCCAAGCGCGCTGTGACTAGGGCTGCGTCCTGGAAGGTCTTCAGCAGCTTGCTCCATTCGATGTTCTTCTTCTGTTCGACCAGGTTGCTCTTCAATGTTCGACATGATGGCGTTGATGGACCCCAACGATGGCTAAGGCAGACATATGGGGCTTCAATGCCTACATTCTCCACAAGACGCACTCGCGGAGGTTTGCCATCGGCTACGGTAGTGATCTCGAGGACTCTGTCTGGAAGCCTTGTCTGCTCTTCGCCGCACAGCTCGTGTGTGCTTATGCACTCTTTAACCCAGTCATTCACCTGTTGCAAGGAGCGTTCCGATCCGGTATCACCAAAGGCCACATAAGCTTCGTACGCGAAAGGATGAGCTAGATCCAATTATGTGTCAGTCACTTGTACCAAAACGGAGGTCCATCAACCCCATATGTCGTGTGCTCACAGCGTCTCCTATCCTTTTCATCATCCAGGCGGTCAACGTCAAATCGGAAAGTCCAAATACTTGACAGAGGGTCTTCAGTCCCAGAATCGTCATCTTCGACCTTGAAATCTGAGGATCCCAACGGGATCAAAGCGTCGTACGGCGTCTCGCGTGGGCTGGCACTCCGGACTTTCATGCGCAGTTCCAGCAGTCCCCTTCGATTAAAACTGCCATTCTGCGACAGTCTAGAGAGCCCTCCCTTCCACCCGCCAATCCACTCAAAGACTATTTTGGACTTCTCGTCCAGAACGACATCGTCATCGGCGGCAGCCGCGGATAGGAGCTCAGTGATGGCTTGACAGCCTCGACAGCCGCGCGAGACCGACTCTTGCAGGCCCTCCCAATCGGTCACGAGGACCACTGTGGCGTACTGGGATTTCTTGAGGGTGGTGTGCTTGAGCGGCGCGTCAAACGGCTCATGGGCCTCGGTGGCCGCGGGTACTCGGTCTAATCTCCACAGAAAGCGGCGCCGGACGTGTCGCTTCACCGGCTTGGATCCCTTAGGGAGCTCGAAGTAGCAGACGCCGCACTGCCTTGTCGTGCTCGAGAATGCAGCACCCATTTTGGCTGGGCGTGAAAGAGGGGATTGCTGGGAGAGGCACAGCAGCTATCCTCCTGTTCAGCGTACGCAGCGGAGCCAGGTATGAAATTAGTCAGCGGACAATGTGGTCACAATAAAACCGAGGGCTTCAAGCCCGTTGAAGTATACCAGAAAAGATAAATATGGCTGATTAACAAACAAATCTGAAATGCTATCCAGGCCGATCATTTTGAAACTCCTGGGAGCCGTTCTTGTAATGCTCCAAGAAGGGCTCGAACCCGCGTCTTTTGATTAGGTGGCCAATGCCCGCTCTTGGGGGTGGGCCTCCGTCCAGTCTGACCCTAGGCTCAAATTGTGCTGTTTTTAAATTCGCTGGCCCTGGGTTTCAACCGTGGCATCTTGTTCTGTGGGCGAGGCAATCACACACTCAGTCCCCTGCCATTATGATGTGCACCTACATTAAGCAGCACCTGAACTCGCATGCAAGATCAGTGCATGGTGCAAATTTGCCGGGATTGATTGCTGAAATCAATTCGATGAGCATTGTCTGCTGGGACTCTGAGAGGCAGCAAAAGGATCTTGCTCATGCGCATGCGGTCAGGCGCTCATAAATCACATGTTGGGGAATCCACAAACGGAATCAGCGATGTACAAGCGTTTTATTCAGAGTGCACAATTTAAGACACCAAACAGAACGTGTTTTGGTGTCCTGGACTGCCTTTACAGCGGACCTGTAATGTGAACAGTCGGTTCGTTTGAGACCTTCGCGGCGTCGCAGGAGGTAATTCTCTCTATCAACTGGGCTGATTTGCATCGTCTACATAGCTCGATTTGAATTGAATTGGGATTGTACTATGTTTGCCGTGCAGGAGTTAGTATGGGTGAAAGGTCTTGGGTAGGTCGCAGCGATGTTTATTTTCAAGCGATTTGAAATTGAGAACAAAAGCAACATTCGTGCCCTTGTGTATTATGGTATTGCATATCTGACCGTGGAACCCCAAGTCTGTCTCCGGCTCCTTCACCTTGTCTTACAATTGATCATGCAGCATCCATCGACCTGACATCTTCTGACCTAAGCTTCTTGTTTTGAGTTTTATGATTCATCGAATCCTTTTCAACGAGACTCAGGAGGCGCGGCTGCACGAGCAAGCCCCGTCGTCTCGGTATCGTATAAAATTAGTCTCTGTCCCTGGCCTCGACCCGGTCAATGACGCTCTTCACAACTTGAATGGAATCAGAATGAGCAAGAGGCCGAAAGATAAATAGTCAGGTTTCCTTCTGCCATTTGCTGTGAATTCCGGCCGATGATCTCGCGCAGTATCAGGGCTTGCTGAGTATATTGCATCACGGGTACGAGTCGCGGCCGAGATACAGGCCGAAAATGTTCTAGTAATTCCAGTCGGGAGCACTTTCTCACGCCTCTTCACTGATGTCGCTGCCCAATGTAGCAAATGCCAAGCGGCAGGAAAGGGTATAGACTAGTTGTCACCGACATGGGCCAAGTCAGGTTACACGGTAGAGCCAAACATTCGGAAGGAATCGAACAAGTCGGTGGGATTCTTATCATGAATCTCAATCTATTTTTATGAACCTCAAAAGCAGCTGGACTTTCATTTTTATGGTTTCTGCTGTCATTGGTTCGACTGACCTCTCATAGTGATCTAGAATGCCAGGCCAGGCAGGAGAGATCCTGGTATCTGAGAGATGTTCAGCTTGATCCGTCACTGCAGGACGGTCGGTCGTACCAGCAATCTGAAATTTGCTTCCAAAGAGGTTCCAGGTAGAAACAAAACGCGTTGAAACCGTGGTCTAGCATGCCGAGCCTTGTTTCTGGGTCAGTATCTTGAGTAGCGATCGCGGGCCAGGTCACTCAAAAACAAGCGGTATAGGAGGCGCAGGAGCGGCCACCTGCTGACGCTTCCGTGCCTGGCAGACGGCCACATTTCTTTTTCTGTGAGTCTCATGTGTCGCAAAGATTGAGTTTTGACTGCTGCCTTACGGCTATGTACTTTGAAAGGACAGTACGCTTTTAGATATGAGATCGGGAAGGATTGGTACCGGAGGATTATACGTCCTGGAGCAGGGGACACCCTGTTGATCACTATGCACAAGATAGCCCCAATGTTGTACTGCAGGCTGTGGGGAGGCGCCCCCACAGGCCCGGCCACCAAACTAGAACGCGGCCAGATGGAGCAGGCCGCTGACCTCGGACCGCAGGGCAGAAGCTGTTAGATGTTGGATTGCAGAAAAGTGTGCTCGAAATAACCACTTTCACGACGACATTGACACCTCTTCATGAAGTCCGAGGATGTCAAGATGCGAGAACCTAGGGACTTAGATTGGATCACACCCGAAACAGGACCAAAGGACGATACAAGGCCGTGGAAAGCACCCGGACATAAAATTGGCTGTGGGATGAACCAAAGGGATGTTATTCTAATGACTTGAGTATATAAGGACAGCTCTGCTTGCTACTTTATAGAATTGAGCTTCAGCAGACAAACCCATTCAACAGCATCCATCAATCTCTTTCATTCTACATTTCTACAACTTGTATTATCAACCTCTTTAAGGTTCAAATTCTATCAAATTACCCCAGTCAGCCCACCAAACTTCCGTCAAAATGAGGTACAGTCATTCCATCGTCAACCCTTCCACTATCCACCGCAGACATACCCGAGTGACTGTGATTCATATTAACTTTTGTACTTGACAGTGCCTTCCAGAATGCGATGAAGTCGGCGATGAACAAGGAGAAGAACGACAAGATGAGGTCGATGAGGGCTGTCGCGAAGGACGCCTGGAAGCACAAGAGCAGGGAAATCGCCTGTGTCGGCTCGACCATTACGGACGAGGCCAAGTTCCTGGGACTGGTCAAGAAGGCTTCCGACGAGGCGGAGAAGATGAACAGCGCTACCCGCAACGCGAAGATCAACGCAACCATGGCCGCCGACCCCCCGACGGGGCGAAAGGGCGCTAACGCCAGCGCGAACCACTGGGCCTGGGCAGTTGTAGACGCTTGGTACATGTCGGGTGGAAGGTAGGAAGCTAAATCAGTGGCACGGGGGGCTTTACTTGATGCTGGCATTCGAGTAGGGTGTTTGGTGGAGTGGTGGATCGGGGTGCGTGTTCAGAGGTAGATTCCACATGGTTTCGATACTCTTCCGCTCATTAGCTATACTGGGGTGGCCTCCCTTTATAGACGACAATTTTAAATCAGGCGGATCCTCGCTGCAAATTTTGTTCCAAGTCAGGGGAAATCAGGTGAAATCGAACATAGAGCACCCTAAACAAGTGGACAGTATTGCAGGCAAGCCCAGCTACTGACAGGGCGAATAAGCAAAGGTCTACAGCACGAGCCTCCTTCTCTACTAGTAGGCTATATGGCCATGTAAGACGAGTAGGCTTCTCTATAATAAGACTCAGTCTGGGTTTTCCTTTATATTGTTCCTATTCTCCTTATGCGACCACATTCATATTGACAATTTGAGTTCTACTGATTTGAGCGAGATTCGGATATCATGCAACGCTAAACAGCCAAGAAAGAATCCTTGGGGCGGAGCAGGGAGGGATAAAAGGGAACCTGCAGATTGGATCCCAGGCACATCTCCGGGAGGGTGGTCAGCAGTGAGTGACCAGCACCTAGCATGTTCGAGCTAAACTTGCAATATTTTGCCCTCTTTTCTTCACCCAATTCACTTCTTCCCCTGGCATTGAAACCAGGTTCTTAGGTCACAGTGAGCACTCGCTTATTCGCTCATCAATACAAATATTAATCACCAACCTAAGTCCTTTCCCAAAATGCTCTCCGGCGACGAGATTCATATCTTTGAATTGCTCCCGTACGCAACCGAGGGCCCAGCTGCTCCGCTTCGATGCCATGTTCACACTGCGTCGCTTTCCAGAGATCCTGACTACGAGGCCGTCTCCTACGTCTGGGGCGACCCGAAACAAACGACAGGCATCGAAATAGATGGACGCGATGTCCAAATCTCGATGAATCTAGCGACACTGCTACAAAGAATCCGTCACTCCAACAGAAAAAGAGACATCTGGGCGGATCAAATTTGCATTGACCAGGGTAACGTGGACGAAAAGACTGCCCAGGTGCACATGATGGGAGATGTCTATTCAAAGTGCCGCCAGTGTTTGATATGGATGGGCGAAATTCCAGAGTCGATTCCTGCATCCGATGTCGAAGCTGCAATACACCTGCTTAAGTTCATGGCGGCACCAGAGAACATTAATGCGCCCTCGTATCTCACCTCGAACGACGAGTTCAGAAAAGTCTTCAAAGTCTTGTGCGAAATCCATCCCCATAGAAACAGCTGGTGGTCTCGAATTTGGACAGTGCAAGAGGTCATCCTGCCACGGAAGAAGACCATCATTTGGGGCCCACATGAATTGTCATGGGAACTCCTCAGCAGAGCCATGTATACCTGGACCACAAGATACATAGCCCCTTTGAACGATGTTCTCCTTGATCAGGATATCAAGGAAATGAATGTTCTGTCTTCCAACGTTGTATGGATCAATGATGGACGCAACACCGACCTTCCCTCGATCCTGGCCGTGAAATGGCGTGGACGCAAAGCAACATATTCATGCGACAAAGTATTCGGGCTTCGTGGATTGATCCGCCACGAGACAGAACTAGAATTCACGAAGCGTTTCACTTGCGAATCGTCTGCGGCAGATGTCTATAGTGCTTTCACGTTGGATGCTATCATAGCGAAGAACAGTCTACAGCCCCTTGTACTTGATCCAAGATTGAAAGATGACATTGCCACAGAACATGTTCCGAGATGGGCGATGGACTTGAAAGAACGGTTCCTATCGGCAGATTTTATTCTATAAGGTTTGGACAAATGACAACTATGATGCGTGCAACGGAGGAGCCTTGGATCAATCATTGCTGCGGAGCACAGTCATGGAACAGGCTGGCTCCACCCACATCCTCGGCGTCTCAGGCGTCAAGGTTGACAAGGTTCAAATTATCAGCCCGGAGCAATGCGCGGTACCGGACTCTGACCTCAAAGTTTCTGAGAGACTGCAAGCTTGGTACAAGCTGGCCGTTGCCAATCGACTGGAAAGCACCTCAGTCAGGCCCGAGACTCAGGAAGAGTTCTGCCGGCTGGTGGTTGGAGACATATTAGAATCACGCGGAAATGAAGCGTCGTATTCAATGCCAACTAAAGAGGTTTTGGAACATGTTTGGCGATTTGTAACAGAAGGAAAACGGAAGCCGGGTGAGATCTGGATCAAGCAGTGGCATATGCCAGGCCAACTCTTTGATCAGGTCTTCTTCCTCACGGCCTCTGGCATGATGGGATTGGGTCCCTGGGACACGCGGGTTGGGGATGAGGTGTGGATACTGAACGGGGCCAACAACCCATTCGTAATAAGGCCTCGTCATCATTTTGATACTGGCGATGCGTTTGATTCTGTTGGCTGTGCTTATGTTCAAGGCATTATGTTTGGGGAGTGGCTTCGACAACGCATGTTGTCTCCTAAGAAAGTTTACCTTCATTAAAGGTCTCATTTCCATTTATAAATTAACAGCTTTAATAAATGGCGCCTTTGTCGTCGCGGCGTGAAGACCCGATTTGACAGTAGAAACGACTTGATTTTCGTTGAGGATTGCCTATCGACCAGAAAGGAAAAGAGAATCGCAGCTGCGCAGTCATGAAGGCTATTCACACATAGGCAGTGGGCTAATCATATAGCTCTTTCGATGAGGACACAAAAAGAAACACTGCGCACAAGGCCTAGCTCGTATATAGCCCCACGTCCCTTGTACCTTGTAATAACAATGCCTCAGACTTGAGAGCTTCGCCTCTTGCAAATCCCTCTGGTGATACTTGTTTAATTAAAGCTCAATAGAGCATTTCTTTATACTATGACCCTAGTGCATTGCACTATACCTGTAGTTTTCTTATTCCGATCTCCATTTCAAAACAGTTCTTTAGATGAAAGCTGCCCAGCTCACCAGCGGCTGTAGCATAGCATGATTCCCACGCGCAACAATGACAAACCAGTCAGAGCTTCCGCGTCATGGCGAAGATCCGTAACACATCATCGGGGCGTTCTGTGCTGCTACACGCCCATTCCGTGGTCCACCAGCGCCGATCCCTCTCTCATCCCAGCAGCATGCCGCCAATGACGCAGGCGACCAGGCCCAGCGTCCCCGTTGATACGGACTCAATGATACTGCCGCCGGCCGTGACGGTACCGTCGCCGGAGCTCGTCTGGCTGCCTGATGTACCCGAGGTCCCGGACGCTGCGGAAGTCGAGGAAGTGGCTGTGCCCGTTGCCGCTGACGTGAGTAGCGTGCTGGAGGGCAGAGGTTGCCCTGTCGCAATCGATGTGGTCGGGAGAACAGTGACCTACAAGAGAGTTGAGATTAGAAATTATGTGCCGGACCTCAGGGAGTTGGAGAATGAACGTATTTGACTGACCGGAGTCTCAGATGAGATGGGAGTGGGGACAGCCGGGGTAAGGGTAGCAATAGGTGTATTGCTCGGCGCGACCTGGCTCGCAGATGACGACGGCACCGCCGCACCACCAGCCATGTTGACCGAAATGCCGACGCCAGCGCGGGCTGCCTTCATATTATTCGCCGTCAGGAATTGGGCGACATCAAGGGTCTCGCCGGCACGGGGTAGGCCGGAGATGTCGGCTAGCTGCTGGAAAAGTAAGAAGGAGTACTGGCGCGAGCCAGTCTCGCCGAGGCTGCCCGGGGCCGCGTAGGGCACAAGCGGCTGGGCCTGCGAGGCAATGCCCGTCTGCACGCCGTCGGCCTTGAACTGATCCTGGGCAAAATGGAGCACTGGATTGGCGGCGTCCGTGGTGTCGAGCATCATAACGAGGAATTCGACCCGCGTGTTCACCGCCGACTGGTCGCTGAGCGCGAACACGGGGTTCGACGATACGCCCGCCGCTGGGACGGTACTCCCGTCCGGGATGCCATCAAACCGGCTGCCTAACCCTTGAAAACTGACTTCCAGGCCGATATTGTCTGAAAACCCGGATGAAAGTCCTGGCGGGATGATGCTCTGGGCAAAAACTGTGGCGGCTAGGTTGCAGAGCAGCCACAGAGCTGTGTGTATCAACGTAATAGACAGACCCATAGTGCGAATCTGTCGTCCGGAATTATCAGACCAAAGAAAGTCTGCTGGACTTTGATCGATCAAGCACAAGAAAACACAGACGGGGCATCTTAAAAATTAAGCTTGTTTATAACGTTGTGTCCAGCCTGTGGCACCTCATTAGGGGTAGGCAGGGGTTAAGTCTGAAGATCGGACCGAGAGGTTGGCGTTTCATCCATCTCATAACGGCACATTCACGACCATTCTCAACACGCACTGCCACTCTCCCGGCGCTAGCATTAATACCATGGCGGTTTCAGACGACTTCACGCAGTCAACTGGTGATGGCGGAACTCGTGCGCCAGCCATTTTCAACATTTCTGCTAAAGCTCTTATACTGCACTCGGCAGTTCTCTTTTCCAGCTTGGCATGACGCGCAGCTGGACTAATTTTAGTCGACTTTCAAGTCGTTACCTTGCCCATGTGGGCTCACTACCAGCTTAACTAGGTCTCTTTATCTGTCTGTGGCCGTCTGTATCACCTGATGATGATAACATGGCGCTGGTTCTGATTCTTTGAGACGGACGTGGACTGCGCAAACCCAGGTGCTGCCACCAATGAGTCCAATCTGCCCAAAACATTTATGAACGCCTGATATCAGTCTTCGTCCCCGTTGCCGTCCAATTGGCTACTGAGAAAAAAGCTGCCGAACCTCCGAAAGTGCCGGAGAACTTTGGACTCATCGCAAGCCCGGAGGACGAGGCCTTTAATTATATGCCGCTCAATGAATTTCTCGTCCGAGCCTGGGTCATATCGAAAGAAGCCTGAGTCGCTTTCAATGAGTGGAAGCAGAGATACGGCGCCGTCACTTCGAGCCGATGCTTGCCCTTAAATAGTCAATCATGACGGGGAAGATTCCAAATCCACCCTCGACCCGTACTAGATCGTCAGATTGTTCTCCCACGTTCCCATCTGTGATCATGTAGTCTCGAACAAGGAGCGTACAAGAGACGGTGAGCTCTCCGTCGGTGACCGCCCCGTAAGGATCTGGCCCGGAAGGCCTTGCCCAGGCCTCTAACACCTGAGCGTACTCAATGAGTCTCCAGAACTTCTGATTCCAGCATCCCCAGTAACTTATTGCACCATCTATCGATATCCATGACCAAGTCGGCGATCGCCAGTCGGGCCTGCGGCTTTTCTTGCCGACCAGTTGCCGTACCAGCTGTGTGATGAGCGATTCTCTCCACATGCCTGCTAGGTACTAGTCGCCGGTAATTTGTTGCTGGCGTGTAGCTATCCCAGAGAGCGCTGGCAACCGATCTAGGCTATAAGTCAAATTGGCTCGAGAATAGTGCCGGACAATGTCCCATCAATCCCAAGGCCTGTCCTCTGGGCTGACTAAATGCCATGGCGGCCCGGAAACCCGTCTGGTAGGAACTCTGAGCCAATGCAAGTACGGCATTCCCAAGAGACGCCTGTGTCGCCAAAGTAAATTGTCCGAGGTGGGAGGAGTCTTTCCTGGAAAGCCCAGGCTCTCGTAGCCAAGTGAGTTTCGGTGGCTGATTCTTCATAGACCTGTTTACTATGAAAGTTCTGCTTTCCGTAATAGTCACTTGTCGTTATTCGGGCAATAAAGCCCCCGTTATGCTATTTTGTCCGGTGCAGAAGTCCCTCTTGGACCAAGGTAGCGTATCGAGGAGGTGTGCGTAAGTTTACCATCAAAACCAATTTTAGGACATCAGGGCCAATCCAGATCAACCTGGACGGCAACCGGTGCTATCGTTTGCCACAGCAACGTTCGTCTGAGTCGGAGCACCTGGCTAACCACATTCTGGCTGTTTCGCGAGGATCGTCGACAGGAGCATTGCACAGATTCACTGTCCAGGAACATTAGCATTCAACTCATAACCATCTTTACTGTCACTCTCAGACCTGCCAAATTCCCCACCTCGAGGGCGCCTAACAACTTTTTGGGACTGCTGTCAAATTCGCCCATACCCTTAGTAGTCTAACAATAGCACCAATAAAAAGCACCTGATTCAATCAATACTAACACAATTCGAGTTGATCTATTTGACTGAGGATAGGACAAGATCTAATTCTAAAGTCTAGCAAACAAGACGCGCATAATATCAGGGCCAGGAGGCCCAATCTCCACTTCAACCTAAACATACTCAGCACAGATCGTCTCGCCACTCAGATCCATGACATCCTCAATCGTAACATTCGGCACGAGGCCTGCAATCCACAGCACGTGTTGCAGCGTAGTGATGTTGCCGTTGTCTCCGGAGTAATCAATCAGTGACGCTGAGGGATAGTCGAGGTACTGCTGCGACAGGTACGAGTAAGGCGGGATGTTTGACCAGTTTCCGATGTCGTACGTCCTCGTGTCCGGGTCGACCTGCTGCCAGTTCCACCAGAGGCGGTCCAGGTTGGTGTGGTGCAGGAAGAAGAGCGGCTCCGCGGGAGAACCGGCGACGCTTAGAACAGTGCCGCCAACACCGCCGTGGCCGGCTACGTGGGGCGACGTCATGTAGCAATCCAATGCGGTTGTGTCTGTGGGAGCAGAGGAGTTAGTTTACTGTAAAATACGGGGGTCCTGGACTGTGGAGAGAGAGCATGTCTAGGGTTGTCCGCCAGCTGACTCGGATTGTCGGGGCAAGGCCGTCTATGCTCTCAGAATCAACTCACAGTTTTCTGACGCGAGACACTCTTCGATGTACGTCGTATTTCCCATGTTAAAGATAGTATCGGAGAATGAGCGGGCCAGGCAGTATTCCTCCTCCCAGATCTGGGAGCCATTGGAGCTCAGGCTAAGCGTCAGGTTCGCGAACGGCCCGTCGTCCACACAGTCGCCGCCCTCGCCTCCGAATCCCGTGACAGGGTCAAAGACAACACTGGCCGAGATGTTGCCAGAGTCGAGCGACTCTTCCCAGTAGGGCTGATATCCGGTATAGTTGCATTCGTCACGAAGAAGCTTCTCGTGGGCCCACATGTAATAACGGTGCCACGGAAGGAAACTGCCAACGTCGTGGACCCAGTTGGTCTGAATTGCATGAGAGTAAGTAAGTTCGTCCCAGCGAGTCTTCGAGTAGGGAAGATTGTCTTTTGCGGGAGAGTTGATAAGACAGAGCTCCGCATCGATGTAGGCAGACTTCTCATCGTCGCTGAGGTTGTGCCATGCCTTGCGCTGGTGAACTTCGGTGCACGTGGAGTTCGTGCTGGACTGCCTGGAAGCGAGCGGAGATGCCGTAGCCAATGTTGCAAGGCAGACCAATCCGGCCAAAATGGATACACGCGCCATTTTTGCTGATCAAAGAAAGTTGAAAAGTCGGTAGGGACCAGAACTGAGCGAAAAAACGCTTGGGAATCACAATAGAGAGTGAAAAGTGATTCGCAGTGCACAAAGTAGAGACTGATCAGGATTGCAAAAGGAATGAGACAATCCTAGACAAGAGTGCGAAGAATGAAAAGAAGGTTGGATGAAGACATCATAGGAAAGTTATCATCTCACGGGTGTTTGGCTTTGCTATATATCTTGATGTGATCAACAATGACGGCGTAGGAGACATCGTCTTTCGGCGCCGACGCTCACTTTGATGTTGCCCAGTCTCGGTAAACAAGGATAGTGCAATTGTTTCTCATTCCGGCCCACTTACATAATGAAAATAGAACATTGCCCATAGCTCTACAGACCGGATCCGATTAACCGGCATTCGTCACCTTATCTCAAAATGCATGAGGCTCAAAAGCCTTCGTATGTGTATGTCGTGCCCCCAGCGCTATGGATGCTACAGAGACCCGCTTTGACGCGCACGCAGTGGTGCACGTAACGAGGATGCAAGCCCCTGGCGGCTCTATATGTGTTGATCTTACTTAATGCCTAGACCCTGCCCCAACTAGGATCTGACATCCTAGAATAGTGTCATGCAAAAGCTTGACTGACATGTTTCTTTAGAATGTTTTTGACGGTTTACACGCACAACTGCACCATAGTCTATTTCATTGAAGCTTTGCTGAGCAGAATGATCCATGGCGATAGATTTTTCAATCTCGCATTTCGGTAACGTGCCACAATTGGCAATTCGAGCATGTGCACCTGTGCCTCGGCAAGTTCATCTGCCAAGTTAAATGTAAACTAGTTACAAAGTATGCCTCAAGCCGTTGAAGGGAAATAAGAATACTCCACCCAAAAGACTTGCGCCTCGAAAGTCTTAATCGGTTTACATCAGTAAAGGAGCGGCAGAAACGACGACTTCTCACATGAGGTTGCGGTCTTGCCGACTAGGGATGCCCCTATCTTACGCCATCTGCTGCGGCGTCAACATAGTCATGGTTGGCTGCTATGCGCAGCTCTGGAAATCTTAATTTGGAGATGGGCCCTTTTGGGGAAAGATCGCCGTATTTAGGTATACAATATCAGCATGCCACAGATCCTATGTACAGAGAGACAGGGCCACGGGGAAACCCGAAAGGCAATTATTTCCCGACGGGGTCACGATGCTTGGCATGAGGCTCAGCCCCAGATTCCGACTTCTGGGCACAAAAGCCCACTGGATCCTGGAAAGGGGCGGACTCGGGACGCCTCGAGCTTCTGGGATGAACCGGCTGCTTGGCGAATTTGCAGCCTCTGTTGTGCGCGTCCTCGTAGAACTCCCCTGACGATTCTCCTATCTCGGCTCCGTGATGGACCCCCGGGCCTCCCGTTCCGCCACATCACGAAACAACAGCAATGCAAGCGACAAATAGGGCAAGCTTTTCCGTTACCCTGGTATCTTTCAAAAGTAAAATTCTACTACACATAAAACACTATCCCACCTCCGCAAAGCTTTATTTACGACAAATGACTAGCACGTTTGCTGCAAGCTCTGCACGCTGTGCCAGTGTCAAGTCCCCAGTGGAGGCTTCCTTTGACTGCTTCAACAGATATCTTTTCTTAGTGCACAATAAAAAAACGCTATTTTCAGCGCCCGACAGAGGTCTCGGCCGGAATGTTTGTGGCATGGCCTGACAACTCAGTTGGTCTCCTCGGGGATTCCTCAAATGCATCAATGATGGGTTTGCTGATGCCATGCTGCAGCCTCATAAATGTTGTGCCTTTGCCAATGTCGAAAATCAACGAGTCATTAGGATCTGAGTTTGGGAGAGAACGATCGAGATGCCCGTATGCATGTGAACTCTTTTGTTGCAATAAATTTCAGCGTGACAGATGAGGCACCGAGGCTGGAAAGACAGCGATGAATCAGTCCTCCAACAAATGCGTCATTTGCCAGTTCCTCAGATCAAATCTGCCGTCCTTCGATTCTTCCGTATCTCCAACCTACTCAAACGTCGTGTCAGAGATTTTAGACTCTGTCCCAAGGCGAACAATACATTCGCGGTCTTTATAGTTGTTCGTCTCGTAATGAGCCAATTTGTCCTTATTTTCCCCGCCCTTAATCTCATATGCTGTGCCCTTAGCCACATTTCCAGGAGGCCCATCGATCAACACCGGATACGGCCACCACATCTGAATATGGTACCCAACGATCTCAGCCGGCTTCAAGCTTCTGGGTCGGTCCTTGAGGCTGAGAACACGCTGCAGCTGCTTCGGGTCCATTAGAGGGCCATAAAAGAAGTAAAGCACCTTCCGCGCACCATTCCCTGCTGGACGGCGGTTGCTCGTCGATTCCAATCTGCCTACGGATCTCCTCCGGCCGCGTCAGCAGTCATGGACTCGCGTTGCGCTATTGAGAGCGGTGACTCTCGGAGTAGCTCATTCGTTGTCGTGGCTTGGCTAAGATCGTGCTACTCGCCGTGCTACTCATCTTCCGTTGCTGGGGGACTTCTGGGTCTCATGACTTCTTTAGACGAAAACTTTGCCTCTCGAATGAGCTACGATACATCAAAGTTGAGCCTCGCAAGCGTCTCTTGAACCTCGGACTGGGCCACGAGAGACGAAGTATCGTCGTCGAATACCAGTGGCTTCGTGGATGTGCAAATCTTCTTCTCGATCATATCATCGATGACAATTTGTCTGTGTTTCTAGTGTCTTGTCTTCACTGCCAAAATCTCGTGCTTACTCGCTTATAGTTGTTTACTGCCAAGGACCCACATCCAGCCACAATCTCAACCCCTGTTGTGGCTGCTCTGTGTTCGCCTTGCTTCACGGCAGTAGTCATGTGTGGTTTAGCAAATCCTGAGCGGGGAAAGTGGTGTACGTGAATACATGCGTCACGTCCATTCCACAATCTTCGAATTGTACAGAAGATCTATCTCACGGCTTACGGAATCCGAATCTCCAGCTGGAGGTCTGAGTGGTTCAATACACATATCTGACTTTGGTGGCCAAGCAGCTTTATTCGACCATCCGCTACCAATGTCTCCAATAAAGCTACCAGACGACCTGGAGCTCCAAGCCCTGACCAGATTTGATACTCTGGTTTCACAAGGGAACTTATTCTATGAGGAAACACAGGGCGAGATAGCCGAAGATAAGGGGTTCAAGGTAAGTGACCACAAGTCTAGACCTACTTTGTTGTCTTGTTTTTAGTAAAGAGCTGACAAACTTTACCAGTTCGAATTCCGCATAAGTCAGGCCTTATCAAAGAAACCTATCCTGACCCATGATGCACCTGAACGCCGTGGCGTTGGAGGGCCGTTCCTCCACCCTGATCCGGCCTTCGTGGTCAGCCACGTTGGACACCGGCATATCCTCGAGCTCAACATGCATTGCATCCATCGACCAATGTACATTTTGCATACTCGCGAGTTCGTGTCACAAGATGATGACCTCGACCTTGATGACTTAAGCGCAGTCCATGCTGTGATGGCGAACCTCGGACGCAAGGTGCCGCAAATGGCCATCTACAACTGCGGCGCAGAGGCGGGGGCTTCTCAAGGTCACAAGCATTTGCAAATATTTGCGTCTCCTTCGCCCTTTCCTTTGTTTCCAGAACAGGTCCAATCCACCCAAGGTCAGTAAGCCCCTCACCTCTAGTATTAATTTAGATCTTCTCTAACTTTCAGTAGACGTTGCAACTAGAATCTCAGGTATTCCTTACCAGCATTTCGTGCTCCGACTTCCCGAGCGTTGCCAAGCGCGTTACATCTTCCAATGCTATGCTCAGCTGTTGTCTGTAATGAGGACGGCACAGGATAAGAGTCGTGAAATTAGAGCTTACAACGTGTGCCTCACAAATTCCTGGATATGTCTTATTCCCCGTCGACATGGTCGTTTAGAGGGCGTTGGCACAAACGCTGCCGGTATGCTTGGCCTAGTGTGGCTTGGTAGTCAGGCAGAACGAGAAGCATGGGATAAGCTTGGTCCCTTGCATCACTTAGAGCGCCTTGGAGTTGATATCGCATCCCCTGGCGTGTGAATAGAGCAACAAGATATCATTGTACTACTATAAAATTTTCAAGTCTTTCATACAGATACTTTATCTCTTTCATGGAGCTTACACTGGTGCCGAAGTCCCGGTCAGGGTGCACGACGATACGCTGAGAGTTGTACTAGGAGAGGTGCCCCCATGATGTTGTCGTCAGGCCTTCGGTGGTAGAGCGAGCTCTTGCCCCTGGTCAATGAAAAGGGCTCTAGATCTGAATTTTATAATTTGGAGGCCATCGGAATACCGTGTCGCCGTCGTTCGTCCAGTCGATCAGTGCCTTGTACGTCAAGAGGTTGAAGTTGGCGAGAATGCTGGCAGTGGCGAGTTCAAGGAAATTGAGCAGCCCTCTCACCCGCGTTATCAGAGAAGTGGATTGAAAATTAATTCTGTTCTCCATGGGGTCAGGATTTGAGCTTTCGCATATGGTGCGAAAATCGGCATGCAGCGCGCGAATGAGTAGTGCAGATGAGCCGCGCGCAAATGCGCAAAAAGGTACCTGAAAATATCGCTGCTGATCCAAGCTCTATATGCCGCAGTTTACACCAAAGTCACCGCTGTGGGATTGTGTGCTTGCATTTTTCGTTGAAAGAAGAATCCAGCATCAACTACATAGTATCTTTACTTAGCGTGGAATATAGAAATCTGGGCTGAAAATTTGAACATTTAGCTGGGATTTATGTTGGGTGACGAGAAGGCAATAAAGACAGAAAGTCGTACTAGTATTCTAATTAGGTGCCATCGCCCAGCTTTGTCCCGACATCGGAATATGCCACTCGTCTTGTCTCGGGTAAAGAACCGCGAGGGGCTCTACAAATGTGTCCATCGCATACCGTTGTCGCATCTGTTATTCAATCTTCGACTGTTATCACTCAAGTATCTTCATCGTCTTCTCACAGAGCATCACCCTCATTGATAATTATGGACTCATTCGAGCGTAACCTTCGGTACCAGATTTTCCAGTTCTTTTTGGACAATTGTCGACCACCTACTGTTCAAGACCTATCCAGCAAACTATCAATACCCAATGAAGATGTATCTCGAGGCCTAGAAAGACTGCGAGATCTTCACCATGTGAAGCTGTATGCCGATGGTATACCCTCCCCTACTCCAATTGCTATGGCCCATCCATTCTCGCATTTGTAGGATTCCCTAAGCACAGCCATTCTGGCTTTAACGTTTCGATTTACTGAGAAACTCTACAATAGACCAACGCCGAATGTTGTGGTAAGAATAGTCATGCCCGACATGATCAAGTGACTAGCGGTGACGACTAATTTGCCGCTTGTCACATTATAGACGTCCGGCGACAAGTCGTAGTGGACGAACTGTGCATGGTGCGCATTCGGCGCTGCCGCCATGCTCTCCCCAGCCAAGACATTGGTCAAGGTTGTAGACGCCAGAGGAGAGCTGATCACCGTTAGCATGGCAGATGGCAGGCTGGAGCCGAGAGCTTCGCACAAGGAACTCTGTGCAGTCTTTTGCACACCGCCGTCGACGTGGTGGAACGATGTGCACTACGCTTGCAGCACCATCCAGCTGTGCACGACCAGGGACGAAGCTGAGCATTATCACGAGCGCCACGGTTTTGGGAAAGGTGACGTGATGGATGTCGAAACTCTCTGGAAGCTCTCCGTGGTACGTGAAAATTCGCAAGTGGGCTTTTCTTCGTGAGCTGACTTTCTCCCAGGCTTGGTACGGCGACAAGCACACATACGAATACGCACGAAAGACGCCCGAGGAAGTCAAGGATCTGTACAGCAGCCTGGGACTGGTATCCAGTTATTGGTCAAGCTAGAGTTTGTATGGAATAAGATCTGTGTACAAGAAGCGTCTCCATTTGATGGTCTTCATCCGTGATAGCTCTCGGTGGTGCTTTGTAACACATTCTCCCGCTCACAAAATCGCCAGAGCACCCACAAGCATAGCTACCATGCTGGCTAGGGGGACAATGACATATCCTGAGCCTCCACTGGCGGGCGACTGACCATCACCTTCCGCTCCTCGAGACGAACCGGTATTGCTGTTGGATACGCCAGAGCCATTGTTAGATAAACTCCATTGCAGCTCCCATTTCGAATTCCATGCCCCGTCGGAAGTCGAGTTTTCGAGACCTGTAATGCTAAGAATGTTGGTTGCGCTGTCCCAAGACCAACCACTCGTCACCGCCTGCCCATTGAGCGTCACATTAGATACTTGGCCAGTCACGCCCAGGACTGTAACGTTGGCTAGGGCAACTGAGTCCTTGTAGTTGCCCGTCGGCTGCGCAGTCACAGATGTATTTGAGGCAGAAAGCTACAAGAGTTGTTAGTCTCACGAAAAGCCCACGTCAAGGTATCACAGCAGAACGTACCTGCACCCAAGTGGTAGCATTAGGTACCAAGCTTTCGCCATCGTCCAGGTACAACGTCCCCTCAGCGGCGCCCTGCAGGTCCAGCGCCACGAGCAGGCCCCACGGATTCTGTCGACTCTCTGCGGTCGTCTTGCCCGGCTTCTGGGTGGGGATCACACTTCCACCCCGGATGTACACCGGGATGTGCCCCAACGGCGCGTCGATGGTGACATTCTGACCTCTTGACACACCCGTGATAGCAGTCTGGTTGTACCAGTCATACCAAACTGTAGTACCATCGCCCGAGCCAGGGAACACACCATCGACGCTCTCAGCGCCCTGTGTCAGGACCGGTGTGACCAAGACCGAACCGCCAAGAAGGAACTGGTGGTCCGCGTTCGCCAGCCATGGCTCCTCGGGAAATTCCCACACCAATGCGCGCAGGACGGTGGTCCCGTTCGAATGTGCATGTGCAAATAGAGTATACATGTATGGGAGAAGGGTATATCGGATCGCCATCGCTGTACGACTCGCCTCGGCCACGCTCGCCCACACGTAAGGCTCCTGGGAGTTTGCGCCAAGGGTGTTGTGGTTGCGGTAGAAGGGGAAGAAAGCCCCAACCTGCATCCAGCGGTTGCAAAGCTCCAGGTCTGAGTTTCCTGAGAAACCACACACGTCGGGTCCGAACATGGGAATGCCGAAAATGCTGAAGGACAAGGCCTGTGAGATAGCTAAGACCATGGAGGACCACACGCTATAATTATCACCGCCCCAGTGCCCGGCCCATTTGCCAGAGCCAGCGAACGTGGCACGGCCGATGATAAATGGTCGCTTGGTGGGTAGAGTAGCGAGAAGACCGTGGTATGTGGCATTTAGGATCTGATGACCGAATAGATTGTGGAAGTCATACTCCTGCGAGCCGTCATGGTGGGTAGCATTTGGAGATACTGCGTGTACTGCGAGGTCTCCGCTCACGTGATTAATGGAATAGGGCGGATAATTGACATTCCGAGCGCCAGGAGTAGGCGTCGTGCGAAGGTATGAGGTGGTCGTAGAGGATGCCGAGCTTGACGCTGTCGCCGAAGCCTGTGACGCGCTCGCAGATGACGCTGAGGCAGCCTCTGTTGCATTGGTAAGGTTGAAACCTTCAGGGTATCCAAGCACCTCGTTCCCTGGCTCGCCTGGAAGCAGGAACGGTGGGTGAACGGGGTTGAGAGAAACATTGGCACTGCCGCAGCTCCCGACGCAGAACGACGAGACTTCGCTCATGTCGATCCAGATCCCGTCAAAGGAGACATTCTGGTACCAGCTGGTAATCTCATTTCTCCACCAGGAGAAGGCACCTGAGCCATTGGTTGCTCCCAAGGAGTCTCCAACCCAGTCAGGGAATACTGGATTTCATGGTCAGCACTGGATAAATTCTACCGATGTAATTGATACACGGGAGGCACGTCCACCAGACATGGATAACCGGGGCCCAAATGCAGGCCAGGGTGGGAGAGCAGACTCACCAGTGTACCCAGGCCAAACAGTTCCAATATATAGCGATTCATCTGGGTTCATCATAAAAGCACCAGCCTCAACTCCACGGTCATAGGGAGCGTACGCATCACTCTCATTGTCCGGGTTCGGGTGGTATATAGCAGAATCGACGATCGGCACATAGTGTTGGCCATTCGCATGCAGCTTCGCGAGGAACTGGGTGCCTTCCTCATAGCCAAATCTTTTTTGATCGTTGTCGAAATCGCGATATTGATTCATGTAATCGATGTCAGTCCAGATCGTTTCAAGCGGAATGTCAGATGCAGCAAAGTTGTCGACCACCTCTTGCAGCTTGGTCCAGTTCTCGTATCCCCACCTACATTGATGGTATCCGAACGTCCAGTATTGCTGCATAGCTGGTAGCCCAACCGTGCTAGCATGGTAGGATTTGACCACATCTGCTGCTGATGGCCCAGAGTAGAAATACAGGTCGATTGTACCGCCTAGAGCTCTCCAGGTGATTCCCTCCGGCCGCAGTAGAACCTCCTGAGGATGGGCGTTCCTTTGAAAGACGCCGTGCGATGATGTGGTATACGTCGTTGATGTGTCAGTGGCGTTTGCTACGTATGTGCCGTCCTGAAAGTACCTGGTATCTAAATAGACTGGGTGTACTCCATATATATTCTCATCGATTGGGTTACCGACATCCGCAGCGAAGAACGTTCCTGCGCTACGCTTAGCTGTCATTGATCCTATAACAACTTCGTATGTACCTACTTGTGAGATTGTTTCCCAGTCTAAAGCCGTGCATGACTTCGCCGAGACCATAAAGATTGTAATTTTCCGGAAGGGGCGAGACGAACTCGATAAATTGGTCCTCGTACACAAGTTTGCTGCCCTCGGTGGTGAAGAGGGTGTCACCGCTGGACTTCCTCCTCACCGTGAAAGAGAAGGTAGGGTCGTTCGTCCATGACAGCTCGAAGTCGCTGCTATCAGAGCTTGTGTCTCCGTCACTGGATATCGCTGGCTTGGGGACGATAGCTTCAGGGAGCAGGAACCAGGTCTCATTCTCAGGCCCGATGTACCGCGGCTGGATCCCAACATGCAGACGGTCCGAAGCCTGATACTCGACGGTCAAGATTAGCTGCTCGATTTCGTTGCCGTAGACATTGCATGCGTCACCGCCCAGGCTCAAGTCTGCCGTGAAACCAGTGGTAGTATTTTGCAAGTTCGAAGCTGTGTATCCAGGGCAAACGCTTTGCGCATCAACAGCTTGAGGATCCTCAACATTCGGTAGGATGGGTTGTCCAACATCAGAATCGGCCGGGACGGTAAAGACTTCTCTATAACTCGTTGTCGTCTCCGTCTGACTGGATGTGGAGGAGTGAGTCTGGGCTAACCCAGCGGGACAAGTTCCCAGTAGAAACCAGGTCAACAAGAGCGAAGCCATCACTGCCATGTCCACGTACTTGGTGAACTTGCGAGGAAGTGCTAGCCTCAATGTGATCCAGAAAGAGAAGGTGAAGACCAGAGAAGGGTCGAACACCTTATATATTAGAGAAGATTCCAGGCGAGTATTTGGCCGAAAGAGGGCGGCCACCCCTCCAGGGGTGAATGTGCCATTGGGGATCTCTCCACTCATTGTGATGCCCACGAGATGTCATAGGATGGCCAATTGTGTCCGGAAGGGGGAAAGCCAACTATGAGAGGTGCAGTGCGTCGGGTGCCACAGAATCGTGCCATGAACTAATAACTAAATTTCACCGGGCCGACTGCAGACCTATGGCTGCATGTGTCGCGAGACTTGCAGCGAACGGAGCTGAGGGGCATCGAGGTGTGTCGTCAGTAGAGCTCCAGGAACGTAGCACCGGGCCTAGGAACAAGCTCCAACTAGAGCAAATTGCTTGGGGAAAGCCCCTCCCGTATACTCCGTACCAGGCACCGCAGATGGCGTTTCCCCAAAAGAAGAAAAGAAGCTTAAAATCCCGCCCCAGCTTCCCCGCAGTATCACCTCACGAACAGCAGCCAAGCGACGACGATCTGGGCTGACCGGGTGGCACTAAAGGTCACTGCCTCTATGAAGGGTATTTTCGCGAGAAATCTCGGCGATACTCTCTCGGATGTTGCATGCGGGCCATCACAGTCCAGACATGATTGTCATTGAATGTTGCACGGCTCAGCTGCAAGATAACTCTCGGCAACCTGCAGACCACCTCCACATGACAACGGATCGAACCAGAATCTCGTGTGGGATCAGTGTGTGATTCTTGTGTTGTTTCTTAGCCAGGTTCCTGCGCCACAACTCGTATACCGTGGTTGAATGATCACTGCTAAACCAAGGTCAAAACTTGATTGTGCTAATTATTTACCCCTCTTTCTGCATTTTATGGTTCACTCTTGAGATACTCCAAAACTGCAGAGGTAGATCGTGGATACAATGTCCTTTGGCCCACTCCCAGGATTCGCGTCTCAGTTCCGGCTGGAGCAGGTCTTTAGGCGCAGCGAGACTATGCCAAATGGATAGACCCACCCCGATCTTCTGCGTGACAGGCGGGCTTGGACGGATGAAGAGCTCTGCGTAGGCTCCGTTCTTGAGTCGGACAAGGAAGTGGTCTCTAGGCAATGTGTTGTCAACACCGGATTGCAGAATCTGACGATCAATGGCAACGAATACCATTATGGCACCGTGCAGATCCAACATTTTTCCGTTGAGATTTCCAATAAAGCCAGGGGGGCATGATTTTTTTGTGGACATCTTTCAGTAATTACGAACTGAGGATACATGATGAGAAGCGAAGTCTTACCAGGGCTGACAACGCCATCTTCTTGGGTTTATCTCGCAGACTCAGCCTCGTGTGCGACACTTCAGCCTTACCTCTCTTGTACTTGGAACTTTTTCCCCTTTTCTTTTCTCACAATCCATAGTGGGGATCCAATCACCGGGTGCAGCACCACGTCCGCGACGCTGGAGCGCGTGGCGATTCAAGACATTACCGTTTCGTTGGTAAATACAGTAACAAGTAATTGGCCGATTCCAACAGAGACATCAGTAATTATGAGGACCTTGCCACTCTAATTAGGGAGCTCCCACTTGGTCAGTGGCAGTTCCAAGGGGCAAGGGCAGTAAGTGAGGGATGTGACTCGTCATGTGGATGAATATTGTATGTATTGGGATGAACAAAACAATGCGATTGAGTTAGGCAGTGATTTGTTTGCAGTAGTAAAGAGCATACCTACCTTTGGTGTCCAGCCACCTTTAGCCAGTAGGGGCTTCATCTACGATCACTGCGACTACATATGATCGGGGTCGAGGCATGCGACAGCACCATACAAGTAATATCCCGACTTTTCGACGCTTGTATTTATTGAACTGGGCGAATGGTCATCCAATGATCTCGTCCTTTCCAGGTTGTGAGATTTGACAACGATGCACCTGATTAAAAATAGCATCATCCCGGCCCAGTCTCGGGAGTCATGCCGAGCTTGCAAGTAAGAGGTACTACGCTATGGCAAACTTATTCCTAAATCATATCTAAAGCAACACAAGGACGCAAAAGCGACTAACCATACTTGAGAGCAAGTGACGCCGTCTGCTGTGACAGACTGTAAGTGTTGCTTGAGCAGCTGAGGACATACGCAGGCCAGATATTGAATGGGTATCTGACAACGTTACAGGAATCTGAAAGAGACAGTAAAGCCGTGTAGTGTGATGTCCGGCACAAGTGCGTACTTTCAGACACATCATGTTTCTCGGCTACGTATTGCATGAAGGTCAAGGGAATTGAGTATGAGAACGTGAAGAGGGTGTGCTGCATGTTGAGTTGGAATGAATGGCTAGAGTTTTGGTCTAATCTGAACATTGATGTCAATTGATCGCTTTCAGAGTCATGTGGAATTGAATGGCTAAGTTGGTCGTAGAGATGTCAGTGTGGCGGGTGTCAAACTCTCGACGGCACACTGTGGTCACTGTTCCAATTTCTGCTTGCGCAAACGCCCATCAACGACGTGTAGAGGTGACTTTTGTGACTGGAGCCGATTGCTTAGAAGAGATGGGTGCTACAGTGTGGTAATCGAAGATCCCCTTGTGCTACGCTACTCTCCGCTCCTCGCTAATGTCCACGGAACCAACTGCTTGGTCATGGAATGGCACACTTGTGGATGTTGACATGCTGCTTGTTGTGTCCTAGTAGGGCGAGCTGTTCGCCCCACCAGAGGAAGCCGTGTGTTTCCTTGGACAATGGTGTACCCACAATTATCCAGCCTTACGTGTTTCTTACGACTCGGACAAGCTTCAGGGCCAAGGTAGAAAGATAGGACCGGAATCAGCGTGTCGACCTGCCAATTGGAGCTTGGTCTACTTGGCAGGCAGGATCAAGAGCAGGAGGGGTTCAAGAAGAACTGGTGAACGGATGTGCCCAGCCCGCATGCCCGAGCCGGCGATAAGCACAACGGAAGCGGAATGCAACGTGAGGGTGCAGCATAATCCCCGGCAAAGCGAGACCGAAGTGCCTGGGCGGCGCAGTGAATGGCATGTGGCAGCGTAGCTTGTCGAGGCCGTATCCCTGACTTGAGACCAAACGCGAAGCCAAAACCCCCGGGAGGTGACTGCATTGCATTGCATTGCGTGTCGTGCCGCCGTCGCGCACTATCAGATGGGGCCATAGAAGGGCCACAGACGCCCCGGGCACGTGCTGCTGGTCCGTCACAGAAGCATCGGGTCCGTGTCGCGATAGTTGCAGAGTGCCGGTGCCGCTTTGATGGTTGGCAAAGTGACAGCTCAACCCTACTCGGTATACTTTGTCGATCTCGGCTGGGATATCACCCACTTGCATGTCCTGCTGCTGAGAATTGCAGGTGGACGCGACCACATGTCGTCGAGACCATGGCAGGCCCAATTGACACCAGAGCAGATTAGCAGAGATGAGCAGAGCAGGCGGTCGGTGGTTGATAGTCTGCCACTCTGTACATGGCCGATGGCAGACATGTGCACGGCACTTGTCGAGTCGCGTCATGATAGACTCCACAGCGACATTCTATGGCCCATCCTCATCTCACGGTAGGGTGATGCTCCATTCGTACAGGATGACAGTCGACAGAGTGGCCCGTGTTCGGTTTTTCTTTACTTGTTCCCAATGTGATGATAAACATGATGGACGGCGTTGGCGCTGATGATGATGCCGTTTCGGGGGCCCGTCACAGGTCAACTGAGCACCCAGCAGGGGTCGCGGCGAGGCGCTATACCTAGGTAGCTGGCCCATGCCACTTTAGGGGGGAGCGCAAATCCACTGGGCTGGGGCAGGGCTGTGTGTAGTGGGTACTCTGTCGAGTCTGTCACTCTGCGCTTACAGTACTGGCACTGAGAGAGCCTATGAGTGACAGAGTGGCCACCCCAATCAGTGGAGACGAGCACGACGGGCGAGGCGGCAGGCGGATGTCTCTTGCCCACTCCCCTGGCCCCCTGCCCCCCTCCCCCCTGCCCTACCCACCAGGGGTCCTCCCCCCCCACGCCTAGCTCGTGCTCGTGCTCGTGCTTGTGTCTCCCTCCGTTCCGTTACTGATAGCGATTGCGTGAAACTCACCTTTCCCATATAAACTTGCCACCACACTTGGCTCTGTCCCTTGCGCGCTTCCTCCCTTTCTCCTGCCTCAACCCAACCTTTTGCCTTCCAGCAAAACCCACGCCCACACACGCCCACAATCATCACGCTTCTGTCGTGCTCAACCTCTGCTACGCTCTGCCAAACGAACTTCGATGAAGGAAACTTCACCTGACGAACCGTATATAGATCGCCTTCGTTCTTGGGCACAATCCAAAGTTCATGGCGGCAACCGTAGCACGGCGAGACGACCGACTTCCAACTCCAACACCCCCGACCCAGGCTTGCTTCCCATAACTAACAAACCTACAAACCGTACCACCTCGACTCTCGACACCTCCGAGAGCAGTCATAATGGCAAGGGCAATGGCAATGGCAGTGGCAATGCCGTCTTCAAGTCTTCCAGCAGTCATGTCGGCCTCGGCATCGATGCCAACGATGGCGCAAGTGGCAGCAACTCCTTCCCAGACAAGGGTCCGCATAACGGTCCTGGAGGAGGCCTGCCTGCCAATACATCTCCGCAAGCTTCACGGAAGGGGTCTCAGTTAGATTCCGGGCCCCCTTCCCAGAACGAAAAGTCAGAAAACGGGACAGACAAGGACAAGAATAGGGACAAACCCAACGTGTTCAAGCGTTTTGTCCTGGTCTTCAGGAAGATTCTCTTCCACAGCTGGATCAATGTCCTGCTGGTCTTCGTCCCTGTCGGCATCGCCGTCAACTTCGTCCCTGGCATAAGCCCCGGTGTGAACTTTGCCATGAATGCAATCGCCATCATCCCGCTCGCCGGCCTCCTCAGCCATGCGACCGAGACAGTGGCACACCGTTTCGGCGACGCCATCGGTGCCCTGATGAATATCACCTTTGGCAATGCTGTGGAACTTATTATCTTGTACGTGATAGCACGACATGTGCTAGGGGGTTCGGCTGGTTTCTGGGGTGTGGCACTCGTTTGCCAGCCAGCCGTCCCCCAATCTAGAATGCGTATACGGTTGCTAACAGGCTCTACAGCATGTATGTCCACCTTGCTAAAGTGATCAAGACAAGAAACAGAAGAGAGAAGCCCTTTACGGGTATTATCAAATCAAATCGCGTCCCATATCCTTGACCCATGAGTGCCCGCCTGTCCCTGCCGCTGTTTCCGAGCGTGCCTGTGGCCCACCCACGATTCCATCCTTATTTTGCTCACTAACACTCGTCGTCCAACGCTACAGCATTGCTCTTGTTAAGGTGAGTCCCCAGTCCTTCCAGAACACCTCATGTCTGGCCACGGCTAACAGTGGTCATCAGAATGAAATCCGTATTGTCCAAGCATCCCTTTTGGGGTCCATCCTGGCGAACCTGCTTCTCATTCTTGGCATGTGCTTCGTCTTGGGAGGTCTACGCTTTCGCGAGCAGGTAGGACTATCTCCAAACCACCCTCAACCGGTTACTGAACTGACCTCCGTTTTTCCCCAGATTTACAACAGCACCGTGACCCAGATGAGCGCCTGTCTCCTAAGTCTGAGTGTCATCAGTCTCGTTTTGCCGGTTTGTTCCGCCATTTCCGTTGACGTATCCACTGCCCTTGCTTACTGATATCTGTAGACGGCCTTCCATGCTTCGTTCAATGACAACAACAAAGCAGACGAGCAGTCTCTCATTATCAGCCGCGGAACCAGCGTGGTAAGTTAAGATGTTCCCACTTTCCCGGCCAGCCACTGACAGATCATGTTCGCTATAGGTGCTACTCCTGGTGTACATTATATACTTGGTCTTCCAGTTGAAGTCTCATGCCTACATGTACGAGTCGACACCCCAGGATGTCATCGATGCGGAATCCACTCCCGGCCCCGCAGTTGCGTGGTTTGACTCCTCCAGCTCCGACGACAGCTCCTCCTCCTCGTCCGACTCGGACTCATCCGGGCGTTCGAGAGACACCGTCTCAAAGCGAGTGAAGCGCATGGTACGTCATGGGCGTCGCCGCAAGTCCAGTGTTGCCTCGATGGATACGGTGGAGACTGCACAGACCGGCCCACTTCGCAGCACACCGTCTCTCGGAACGACGGTTAGCCCCACTAACGAGGATGGACCAACTGGAGAGCATCCATCACGACCGGGCTTTCCTGGCAGAACAATCTCATTCGAGGGCGACGAGTCGGCCATTGAAGATGAAAGATCTCACCGTCGGCACCGGAGGAAGCACCACAAACGCTCGAAGCGCGATCGCAAATACTACAAGAAGTCTCGCTCTCACACTCATGGCTCAAACAGCCCGGCTGAAGAGACAATCGACGAAAGCCCAGAGAATGTGGAGAGAATTACTGCGACTCCGGGAGAGCCCCGGCGCGTGGACTTTGCCGTCGACTCCAGCCCTGGAAATGCTGCGGGTACGGCTGGAGAGTCTACCTTGGCTAGGAGACCGTTTGATGCTCTGCTGTCCCTGAAGCCTACGGCTAGGAGCCTAGCTCCAACCGTCTTTACCCAGCAGACGAACTTGGCTGGGACACCTGCGGCGCCGACCGGCCCGATCCCTCGTGTGCGGTATGGGATCCGCAGGACAAACTCGCTGCCGGGTCGCCTCAACACGGAGATCCGCCCGCCTGGAGCAATGCTGCCCTCTCAGATTCCAGCCAGGGCCTTACCAACGGTCGTTGCGGCCGGAGAGGCTGCCGAGGACCCATTTGCAGACGACCTGTCACGAACGAGTGCGGTCATATTGCTACTTGCCTCAACGGGTTTGGTCGCTGTGTGCGCCGAGTTCATGGTTGACTCCATCAACGGACTCGTTGAGACCAGCACGATCAGCGAAGCCTTCATCGGTCTGATTGTCCTGCCAATCGTGGGCAACGCAGCCGAGCACGTCACGGCCATCACGGTGGCCATGAAGAACAAGATGGATCTGGCCATTGGTGTTGCAGTGGGAAGCTCCATCCAGATCGCACTATTCATCACGCCGCTAGTGGTCATCCTGGGATGGATTATGCAGAAGGAGATGACTCTCTATTTCACGCTCTTCGAGACGGTGTGCCTGTTCGTGTCGGCCTTCATCGCCAACTTCCTGGTCCTTGACGGCCGCAGCAACTATCTGGAAGGCGCATTGCTGTGTACTACGTACGTGATCATTGCTCTGGCGGCGTTCTTTTATCCAAACGCCAAAGACGCCAGCGTTTGGGGTTAGCGAGAACACCTTCGTGGTTTATAAGACGTTGAAAAGGAAGGATTGAGAAGGGAGTAGGCAATCAGAGTGCTATCGTCGCTACTTTGATTCTGCTCGGACTTTTGGGGACAGATTGGAGGAGAGATTGCCGTTGGCTCGTGATTTTCTGGGGTTATTGGTTATTCTTTTGGAACTGAACAGATGTCCAACTCGTCTGGGATGAGGGACTCGACGGTTTCCGCTACGGCCACCAGAGTTTTGGGTCGCCGAGATTGCTTTATACTTGAAAATCTAACTAAAGTCACTCGCTAAATGCTCTTTCCTTGTTTCATGATGAAATGTATGCCGACAACATGCAGCAGAGGCGGAGTAGCCTCTGTTGTGCCACCATAAATGAATAGTGCAGTGGCCAGCGTCCTTCTAAAAGACCAGTCGAAGGACGAGCCAAGTGGTACTGTAAGCGGGAAATTTGCTCGGTCTTGATTGGCAACGGGCTAAGGATTGGCTTGGCGGCGTTGGTGTTGGCACAGCCTCCCCTCGTTCATCCTCCTGTAATAGCCAGAAACGGCGTCATCTAGGCGGCCTCAACTCAATTGAACCACATGGCTGTGCTTGTCACTGGTCAAGATAACAGGGCAGCAAGTCACAGACAATTGCAGGACTAGGGTCAAGTGTTTGCACTTCTTGCTTGAGGACAACTGAAACCTGAAACAAACATCGTTGCTGTTTCGCTCACTCAATCAACGAAACGAACCAGTCTCTCAACATTTGCTCCTCTTCTACCAAACACATTAAATCCACAGTCGTGACGATGGGGTTCAGTTCTCTGAAATCTAACAACCCCTTCCGCCACTCATCCAACAATAATGTGGATGACGTGGCCCCACCAGCAGGCCCGCCACCCTCCTACGCCGGCGCCGGATCCGGATCTGGTCCGGGACAAGGAGACTACGCACCACCCCCGGGACCCCCGCCATCCTACGGACAACAGCAGCAGAGCAAGGACGACTACGCACCACCAGCAGGCCCGCCACCGTCCAAGCAGCACGGCCAGAATGTAGCCCACGATGAGTACGCCCCGCCGCCAGGCCCCCCGCCCACGCAGCAGCCACAGCCACAGCACAACTGGCAGGACGCCGTGCCCGACACGTCAGGCTTCCCGCCGCCGCCGGACATCTTCTCAGGCTGGGACAAGTCGCCAGCCACCAACGCGACGTCAGACCAGGCCGAGGCGGGCGAGGACTGGTGCAGGCGCTACACGCTGTCGGCGCCGCTGAACCTGGACCGCGAGCCCGGGCTGCGGGCGCCGGGGATCGTGCCGCGGCTGGTGACGCCGCCGGCGGGCGTGTTCGGCGGCGGCAGCCTGACGCAGTCGCCGGGGACGGGCAGCTGGGCGGTCAAGACCGACCGGCGCAGCGGCGACTGCTGCATCATCGGGTACCCGCACGCGTACCTCGTGCAGCGCGACAGCCCGCTCGCCACGGGGCGGCCGGCGACGGTGTACTTTGAGTGCTACGTGCGCGAGATGGGCAAGGACGCCGGGTTCGCGGTGGGCTTCACGGCGCTGCCTTACCCGCCTTTCAGGATGCCGGGTTGGCACCGCGGGAGTCTGGCTGTGCATGGCGATGATGGGCACAAGTTTGTCAATGACCGTTGGGGAGGAAAGGACTTCACGGCGCCGTTCAAGAAGGGCGAGGTCGTGGGCATCGGAATGACTTTCTCCCCTGGCGCGGGGGCTTCGTCGTCCTCGGGCAAGGGTAAGGGAAGTGGGGGAGCAGCAGGAGGGGCGGGGGCTGTCATCGAGACGGAAGTCTTCTTCACGAGGAACGGGAGGATCGATGGGCGCTGGAACCTGCACGAGTCCCTCGACGCGGAGACGGATCAGCCTGTCACCGGCCTAGAAGGGTATCACGACCTGACGGTCGCGGTTGGGACGTTCGGGCAGGTGGGGGCTGAGGTGGTGTTGGATCCGAGGGGATGGAGATACAAGCCTTACTAGGGCGGGTTGCATTTCCTCTTACTAGGGGCGTGGAAAAGGAATGTGGGTTTTGTCGGGAGCAGGAATTGGCAATAATCTACGCGAACGCCTTTTGGCTGTTGAATGATATCACATTTTCCATGTGACTGTCTTAGATAACTTCACAGAACTACGCGTCCAGATGAATGCTGAGAGCGTTTATGTCAAGCATTGACCTTGTCTTTTGCTGTCTGACAGATCTTTTGGGTCCATGCATGGGTATCGCAGATATGGGTGTTGATAAACGCTGCGTTCTTCTCGAAAGTCAAATATCGAACTGAGACATATCCACCCTAATAGCCCCTTTGCCAACGTTGCCTCTGTCAATTTTCACCTCGCCATTTATCTCATGAGATTCGAGATGATTCTTGTGACGATTCTACCCAGCTTACGCAAGCCCAATCTCGGGATGTCGACCTCGATGGCACCTCACATCCCGTCCCCGCATGGCGGGCTACTACTAAACGTTGCAAGCGCCCTCCACCATGCATCCGGCCCTGCAAGGGGGACTACAACCCCATGGGGAAACAATGGGCACTGACGTGGGGCATGGATATCTTCACTGGAAATCTGGGGTAATTGACGGCATATAAAGGTAAAGATATAAAGGCACCAGAATGTTGATATTTGAGCCATGGAATCCATCAGCCAAGCTTCTTTGGTTCTTCTGTGAACCCGTCGCTTCCCTTCCTCTCGTTCATCTCATCTTGTTGGAATAGGTTATTAGACACAGCGAGGATGATGCAACTTCGTTCTCTCCAGCCCCTGGGCCTCCTCGCCGCCAGAGTAGCCCTTGCATCGGTCACCCTCGAAGACCCGTCTGATGTGATCCCTGCCAGCGACTGGGCGGCGGACAATGCCATCATCCCCGACTATAATGTCCCGTTCCTCGATTACCAGCCCTCAGACAGTGAGCATCTATTCTCTATGTGCACATCAAATTTGCCTCTTTTGGGTTCCCTGTGACGTGTAAAAACCACCTCACTTATGAACTTCGTGGGAAACAGTCGTGGCCGCGAATACCTTCGACGAGAACAGCACCTCAATCGACCATGAGACTTATTCTGCGGATGCCAACGACACCAGCGTCATCCTCGTGGCTGGCGGGGCAGATCTCGACTTGTCGTATGTGGATGTGGTCAAGTATGGATACGCCTCAGACCTGCTCTCCGCCAGCTTCTGGGGTTTCAATGCTGCCATCAACGTGGTATGTTCCACCTTCACACGCCCCAGAACTCATACTGCCCGCCTCATTGCTGCCCGCACTCCACTTTCTTGCGCTTGCTTTGTTGACCACGAATTGCAGGCAAATGCATCAACAGCATCCCTGGACCATGTGAACGTGACCGTGCACAACGGAGCCGCAAATGTGTACGCATACGGCAGCGACACCGTCGTCAACGTGACTAACTCATGGCTGTACTCATCGGGCCCGGTATCGCACGGCCTGTACGCCAGCGGCAACGCCACCATCTACGGCAGCAACATCGCGCACTTCTCGGGCGGGTACCGCAGCTCTGCCTTCTCAGGAGACTCGCCCAAGGGCATAATTTATATTAGTGACAGTGTCGCCCACACGGCGGGCATCGGCTCGGCGACCTTCTACGCCCTGGGCGAGATCTTCGCTGACAATGTCCTCTCCATATCCGAGAAGGGCCCCGTGGTCTTCATGGACGGCGCCCAGAACGTCAGCATCGCCAACAGCGACTGCACGGCCGGCCTGCTGGGCGGCCTGGTCATCTTCAGCAGCCAGGTGCGGCTGTCCGGCGGGCGGATCGACATCAGCGACAGCCGCATCGCCGTCACAGCGGCTGATGCCCCCGGCCTGTGGTTCGGCAACACCATCGTCGACGTGAGCCTGTCCAGCACGCGCGTCGAGCCCGACAGTGGCGTCCTCGTCGTCGCGAACTACTCCCAGATCACCCAGGACTTCGACTACTACGCCTCCTACGCCGACAACTCGGCTCTGTCGCCTGCCGAGGTGTTTATCAGCGTGGCTGAGTCGACGCTCGCCGGCGACCTAGTCGCTTACAACGGGTCGTACATCTCGTGGAACCTGACAGCCCACAGCAGCTGGGATGGCGCCGCGTACTCTGGCTTTGGCGACTCGTACGTCGATGTGGCGCTGGATGCGACGAGCAACTGGACCCTGACTGCGGACTCGTACGTCCAGAATCTCACGGATGTGGACGAGAGTTTGGCGAATATTGCTAGTGGCGGCTTTAATGTGTATTATAATGCGAGCGCGCTGCTCAATGGGTGGTTGGCGAACTCGACGGTTACGCTTTCGGGCGGCGGATCGGTCACACCTGGAACGCAGGCTTGAGGAGCACGGACGCGGTGGCTTATATGAATTTTGGGTGCTCAAAAGCACTATTGGGAGTAATTAGGAAGGTCTTCGGAAGGAAGATGCCAATTGACAAGCATGGATCATGTAGACCGCGTGCACGTGGCTGTTCAAGCACTCTTTCTCTTCCGGCTCTCTTTGATGGCCGCTTTTCGGTTATGCTCCTTCTTCCTCTCCCAAGTACTCTTCGACGTAATCATGGCAGCTCCTGTTCTCCGGCTCTCCACGCCTCTGGTCTTGAGTTTCTTCTTATCCTCTTTCTTCACGTCCGGCAGCGCATCCAGCAGTGCCCTCAATACCTTTGACTCCTCCTTGCCCGCCTGCTTCTCGCTCATTGCAATCACATTTGCGAACGTCTTGATGTAGGGCATATCGTCCTTAGTGTACAGCGTCACTGCCACACCTCCCTCGCGACCTGCCCGTCCAGTTCGCCCAGCCCGGTGCACGTACGCTGCGGCGCTCGTAGGGACATCATAGTTGACAACACCGTTTACGCCGGCGAAGTCAACGCCTCGCGCGAGGACGTCTGTGGTGATCAGCACCCAGATTTCGCCGAGGCGGAAACGGCGCATAATATTGGAACGGACTGAGTCCGACAGTGACGAGTGGAGCACGGCAATGCGGGCTGAGCCGCCCGCCTCAATTGGAATGTCGTATTTCAATTCTTCGTGGAGAGCGGTGGCCCGATCGATCGTCTGAGTAAAAACAATGAAAGGCGGTCGGAGAGATGGGCCTGTTTCAGAGCCAGAGACGGGATGAAGGAGCTGGCGGAGGGCGTACAATTTTCCAGGCTCCGTGGCAGTGTATGTGAGTTTGTGTGTCACATTCGGTACCGCTGTGTCCTTCAGTCCAACCACCAGCCGGATAAGAGGCTTGGATGCGGTGCCCAGCACCTTATAATGAGACTTCAGCTGCTCCGTGGCGAGGGTCTCGATGTTAGATCCCATCGTTGCAGACCAGAAAGTCAGGTGTAGTTCTGGATTGGTGCAAGCCGTCCAGATGCCAATTGTCTGATCACGAAAAAGCTCATCCAGGAGCACGTCCGCTTCGTCCAAAATCAGAGACTTGACAGATGGGATCGTCCGCTTCGTTTTCCTTTTGTTGAGAAAATTGAGCAGTAGCATGGGCGTTGTGACCAGTATGTCGGCCTTCGTGACTGGCTTTGTAGAGTCGTCCTCGTCGCTCTCTGAGCCCGAATCTTCCTCTTCACTGCCGTTGGAAGACTCGCTCTCGCTCTCCTTCTCTTCGACCTCGGCGACACCGTCCTCTGCGACAATCCGCATGCCCTTTCTCATAGCCGCGATTTTGATTCCCGTGCCTGCAGTCAACTTGAGACCCTCATTGTGTATTTGATTCGCGAGTTCTCTTGTGGGCGCAACTATGACTGCCTCCAAGGTGTGCACCTTCCGATCCTCGGATCCAGCCCTCCTCTTCATAATGCTGTTTATGGCAGGGATCAAGAAGCTGACTGTCTTCCCACTACCAGTGGGTGCGACTCCCATGAAGTCGACGGACTCGGTTGGCACATCCTCGCCCAAGGCACTTCCGAGAGCGCGCACAGGGTCTAGTAGCAGAGGCAGACCAGCCATCTGCACTTCGGTCGGTTCCCGGTATCCCTGAGCATCGAGGTTGTCCGCCAGTCGGGAGGAAATGTTGTAAGTAGATCTCAGCTCGCTAAAAGCCTGCAGCGGTTGTGGAAACAACTGCTTCTTGTCTGATTTGACCTCTTTCGCAGCTGCCTTTGCCTTTTTCTTGCTCTTCTTGACTTTTGATTTCTTGTCAGCCCCCGCCGAGAGGAGCGTGAACTTTAGTCGGTGCGATCGCAGGATTTGTTTGCATTCGTCCTCCTCCAGCAGCTTCGCCTTTGGCGATGGCTTCAGGTTTTGTGTTGTTTTTGGTGGCGCGGAAGCCTTTTTGACGCCCTTCGTGGTATCCTTGGGGGCGAAGAAGTCCAGGTCGCTGACATCTTCTTCGTCACTTCCGTCCTCTTCGTTCTGGGCTGCCCTCTTTCTCTTGGTGCCTCTGGTCGTCCCCACGTCGTCGTGGAAGAGCTGTGCGTTAGCTCGACTCCCGGATGATGGGAGTGCGCCACTGGGTGCCGATTTGCCAGCCTTCCCCACGGTCGTGCCAAGTGACAGAACCCTGAAGATATCCATGCTGCGCAGTGAGAAGCCCTGAGAGACCTGGGCAAAGAAATCGGCGCAGTCTTTTGTTTTGCGTTCGGGTGTTCTGCTTGTCGCCAGCCAGTCGGAATGTCAGTAGTGGTCAAAGTGAGATTACTAGAAGTGATCGAGTCACTTCAAAATATATGGCAGCATTGCATGATCCGTCGTTGGTGTGCAAAGTGGTGTCTCGTCCCCCGCGAGTAGACTGTAATCGAGAAATTTCGAGGAGCTGTCCATTATCGATAAGAGGCTATGCCAGCTGGCGCCAGCTGGCACCAACCAGAGATCGAGTGGGAACAACGCCAAGTCTGGGCGGCGAGATAGACCAGGTGTGCAAGTGCAGGCCCGGACACGCCGACACGACATCAAGGTGCCCAAACTGCAAGCGGTAAGCGAAGTACTTACAATACACGATGGTCTACGATTGGGAGACACATAAAGACACACTAAAGCGGCTATATGTGGACGAGAAGCGATCCATCGAAGACATAATCTCGTATATGCAGACGAGCCACAGCTTCGCACCCAGGTACGTTGTACTTCACGTCGTGTCTGCTTGCACCTCGGGCAACAGCCGGTACGGCGACCTCTCATTTACGGACTGCCTCGGCGCGTCTTCTCCCCTGCCGTAGAGGCCCGCGCCGGCCAGCACGCACGGCGGACTCCGTGTCCATCCAGGTTCTCACGGCCGTGCCGGAGCCGCAACCAGGGGTGCCCAGGTTCTCACTCATCCGGCATTGCACTTGGTGCTGAACCCGTCTTTTTGTTGTAGTAAGCGCGCATATCAGGCTCAGTTTCGACGCTGGGAATTTCCCTCAAAGCACCAGCCTGCTCTCAAAAATGACCGGCTTGTCGCTCGCATCAAGGAGCTATGGGAGCGCAATCTCTCCCAGGCCGAGATGCTGCACGTCCTGAATGAAGAGGACGGATACAACATCAAGTCGCGCGAGCTGAATCGCGTGCGCAGCAAGCACAGATGGCTGCTCCGGGTTCCTACCGGTAAGACCAAGGATGGTGCCGACCTCTCCCTGCAAGCCGGGACGAGCAATGGTGAAGACGACGAAGATGATGATGAGCTTCAGTTGGCGATGCAAGATCCATCTTATGGCCTCCCTGCTGTGCCTGACCTTGCGTCGCAACTTAGAGAGGAGCGTAAACGCAAAATGCAGGCCGAATCTGCCGAACGCTGGGCTACTAAGAAACGGCGGCGGCGCACGAGGCAGTATGCTGGGATGCCTGCTGATCCACCCGGGCCCCCTCGATTTCCGTCCGAGACGACGCTCGGTGAAGGTCAAGCCATCCTTGGACTGGACAAGACGGCCTACAACGCTGTTAGGAACAAATTTCAGTCCATTTGTGAAGGTGCGGGGATCGTAAAAAAGTCGATAGCAGGCCATGAGGCCTGGGAGTCTGCCAAAGAGACCCTGATTGGCGAATTTAATGAACTACAGAACGCATTCTGGGTCGACAAGGAAAACATAGATAAGAAGAAGCTCGCGTTGGAGGTTATATGCTCGGATGTCACTAAACGCATGCGTTCTGGAGGCGACAAGGAACTGTGGTTGGCAGATGCGAAGAATATCCTTGGCTTGAACCCGGAGGAGTCGAGGAGAGTCCGGTCCGCATTCTACAAGATTTTGCAGTCGGACGGCTTTACATCTAAGGTGGCTATGGGGCCTGAGCGCTGGAAGGAGCTCAAGCAGAGGTGGATTGATGAGTCCGACATGCTGCAGAAGATTTTGAGCAGGCTTGATGATGCACAGAGCCACGACATGAAGACAAGGGCCGTCGAAGCGCTGGCAAGAGATGTCATGAAGCGCTTGAGGGACGACCAACGCAGAGGCAAGGGTTCTAAGCAGAGCAGGGCCAGGTCTTCTGAAGGGCTCGCAGGGGTTGAAGATTTCGAAGATGGTGCTCCCGTCATGGATAACATGGGCGAGGATGCTTCTGGTTTCGGCACACAGATGCTTGTTCCGCCCAGCGCTGGTGATACTCAGCAAGGGCACGCTCACTCAAGTCGTCTAATTCCTGATCACCAACTCCTCGGTACTCAGATGGGCATGCAAGTACCCATGGATACCCACCTTGGATCATCGATGCTCCTAGATCCAAATGCTCAGAACCCGTTTGTCGACCCAAATCAACAATTCCTCTCAGGACCGTCGTCAATGGCAGCTCCGTCACCATTCGATCCCCCGCGACCAGCAGCAGCCCCGGTCATGTTCCAAACAGCACCTGTCACGAACACTGGGACCATACCGATCTACATCCGGCTGTTAAGCCCCGCAAATATCGACCCAAGAGGTGAGGTCTTTATTGCTCTCTTGACCTCCCAGTCGTTGGAAGAGCTCAACCAGATCGTCGAACAGAGAGTTCCAGGCTCGACATGTGTCCGTGTAGAAGGTTTGATCAAAATGCCGGGTATGGAAGGACAATTGGTACCGCTGGAAATTGAAAGCGATGAGCACCTGGGCGCGTACCTTGCGCAGGCTCAGGCGCAGGCGCCGTCTTTCAACGTTAGGTTGGCATTTTAGCTGAACTTGTCCTTTGACCGTCACGGCCTACCCACCTTGCCACCACAGTCGTCGGTTTGTCTCGTCGACTTGCACCTAGGTGCGTTGAGCTCGTGGGGCCAGAGTAGTCACTACGGCCGTCCAGAATCCAGACACCGAAGATCAAGACGAGGCTTAGGTGGCTTGAGCATGTCTGTATAGCTTGTTTACTTGTGACTTCTTCAAACATGAACGCGAATCCCTGTCTTTCAAAACAGATGGAAATTCACGCTGTGTGAAGGAAAGACTCCCTTCGCAGAACATCACCTGCTTTTTGGCTTACACTGCCGAGTTCTGGACAACTGAAACCGGTTTGATGGACCCAAGCATGCTTCCAAGTCGGTAGCTCCACGGGCTAGCTACAAATGAGATGTGAAATCTCTGACAACTCAGACGAGGAGCAGAACGGTCTACCCATGTATATGCTTCTGGCATTGCTGTTCTAAAGTTCGTGTACTATGAAGTACCGCACTGTCCCTCATCCTAACACATCCTGTGAATCGTGAAAATTGACCAGTCAAGACTTTTGGAGTACAGTTTTCCATCTTCTCTACATCCGTAGCCAGAAGCGAATGTAATTTCTCAAACATTCCGCACACGGACTTCACTAATGACTACAAATGGATACATAGGTATTGTGGACTGAGCCTTTCCCTTGCGCCAACTGATCCACCAAATTCATGACGGTTTGGTTGGCTCATGACGGCAGCGGCAAGTAGTAAACTTACCATAGCTGGTATAGATCAAGTTCTTGCCAGCCGTACAACCGAATTGTCAAGTAGAGATTGAGGTTTGAAGGTGATAAGTATGCTATTACTTGCAGTGGTAGGGACGACGGGTTAGAATGCATGTCAGTCATTTTTGTGTACAAGGTTGGAATACACTGCGCGATTCTTCCTCAAGCCACGGCCTGCAGAAGTCTCGTGTAAAGCTCACCATCCCCTAGGTTATCTCAAGATACTGGCTCAAAGTTTGTCCAGGTGGTTTTCCCTACCTAAAATCAAATATTACCTGAGCCAAGATGGACCATTCATCCCATCCAGCGCCGAATCTGGCACCTTCATCAACAAGACCGCCTTGCCGTCCTTGATGGAGGCAACACTCGAGGATTTGGTATGAGCCCTGGAAAGAGGATTGCCATAGATCTCGTCAATGCCTATACTGCTCGAATAATTGAAGTCATTTTGACTTTGCAGGTGGTCACCGACCTGAGCCCAGACGCAGTGGACATCGCAGGGAGCTCGGATGCGGAGCGTTACGAGGGAGCCACGAGGTGGGGCCGCTACATGGCATTCCTACCCTCATCAGGGACAGCATCGGGGCTTATATGCTCTGCTAGATGCAAAGGTCCCACGCGACTCGACTGTGGCCGCCAAGTATCGTCCCGTATGTCGAGCCGACTACAGACATCGTGGATATTGCCAAGCAGAGGAAGTTGAAGGCGAAACTGTGGTATGGGGATCCATGTTTGGGCGTCGATACTGTGAAATGAAGGGGAAATCGTGAATAGAATGAAATAGAGATTAAGACGGGAAAGAACGTCCGATAGGAAATCACCTTTTCCACCATGGAAAACAGAAAAACACGTGTGATTGATTGCGGTGATGTTTGGATGAACAGGTGAAAAGTATTATTAGTCATCATCAGCGAGGATGATTCATCCTGCTTTAGACCTGCCAAACAGAACGTACTCCAAAAATTTCACTCTCATCCCACACCTGTTTAAGCTACGCGGCCCGGCACTTTGACTATCACGGATATAATCTAGCTAAACAGGAAAGGATGCTCCTCAGGCAGTCAGAGCCAGCAGACGTGGACGGCTACATCTCAGCAGCGACGATGGGCCCCGATCAAGCCCAGGACACCGCCCCACGGATCGACCCGCTGGACGACGTCTTCGGGTCCGATGGCGACGATGATACCACCCCTGCATTTGGAGGCAACGAAGCCTCGCACATACGTATTATCCGTGACACATCGGCAGCGCAAACGCACCCCTCGGACATCCACCGGCTGCGGCAGGAGCACACCACGGCAGGCTACCGCGAGGGCATCACCGTGGCCAAGGGCACCAGCATCCAGGCGGGCTTCGACGAGGGCTTCGGGCTCGGGGCGACGATCGGCCTCAAGGTCGGCTACCTGATAGGGTTGCTGGAGGGCGTGGCCGGCGCGCTGGGCAAGGACCCCTCGCTCGCCGCAGCCCACGCGGAGGCAGGCAAGCTCCTAGCTGAGGCACGCAGGGAGCTGGGCCTGCAGGCCGTGTTCAGCCCGGAGTACTGGGACTCGGACGGGACGTGGAAGTACGAGGTCGGGAGCCGGGAGGGGCAGGAGGCTGCTGAAGTCGTGTTCTCGCACGTCGCTGAGGCGCACCCGCTTGTGAGGAAGTGGACTGCCAGCGTTGAGGCCCAGATGCGGAAGTGGGGGCTAGAGGAGCAGGTGCCTCTGCTGCAGCGACGGGATGAGGAGGACGATGTCGTTGAGCCGGTGGCTAGGGTGAAGGCAGTGGCCCAGTCCCAGCCTGACGCGAAAGTAGGGAATGATGCGCTAAGCTGGTGAGGTTCCAGTTGACGTGGGTAGACATGGCGAAGGCTTGGACTGGCAGGAAGATCACGAGCACGGTCGCCGACACTTGCCCACGGGCTTGCGACCCGATGCTGCGGTACATGCATTCCGGGTGCCCGTACATCCGGCCAAAGCAGCAGGCCGGCAGCTCAGCACGGACGGCTCGACGGGCGGGTCGCCTTGGCCGAAGACATTCCGTGCGAACAAGCGGCTAAAGGCATGCACATGTCAAATGTGGCAGCAGTCTTGTGTAAGTCAGACTATCTAAGCGCCTATGGCTACTTCCTCACTCTCGAACCAAATTGCTAATAAAGCGGGCTCTCTGCAGGAACGAACTCGATGGCTGCCTGCCTCAGGGTCGATGGAGATCAGGACCCAGGGGACAAGAATGAATTGGGTCAGCATGCGATGATGCTGGACCTCTCTCTCGCTTAATAGATTAGGTTCCCTGCAGACGGAAACCGGCCGAGTGGAGAAGCAAGGTCCTGTATGGGTCGCCTCGAATGCCCAAAGGAGACTCAATTGTCTTTCTTTCTTTGGTGGTACCATGCGCCCAGTCTGCCAGTCTCACGGCGACGGGCCAACGGTAAGGCTCACGGCGTCATTGTGGATGCGACCTTCCTCATGCAGCGATCGATTCTTCTGCAGTGAGGCACAGTCACCATCGAGGCTGGAGAGCCAGATTGAAGAGTCAATTGATTGATTGTTCACAAATCCCGGCAAAGTCCCGAGAACAGAGAACAAGGGTAGCTGGATGTTTATTTCTGTCATCCAAAGAGTGGGAACAGTCAGTGGAAAGAGTGCAAGAGAGAGTGCAAGGGTGGAGGGGTGGAGGATGGTAGTATCCAAGCTTACTGAGCCACCTCTTGCCGAATCCTTCCCTCTGCAAGAACAGCCTGCCTGCCACCCTGCCCACCCTGCCTTGCACCTTACCCTTGCACACACAAAATGCCACACCGCGAGGCAGCTGCTTTCTGCTCCTTCTGCTTCTTGTTCATCCTTTCTCTTTGCTGGCAGAAGACTGGCGGGACTGGCAGGGCCCAGCTTAGGCTACCACGTACTAGGTCTATATGCTGACCGCATCCTTCCCTTTGACACAACCCCCGTCGCCCCGTCCCCTCATCCCAGGCTTTCCCGCTCTTGGCTATGGCTCGCCGCCAATCCCGTCTTCTGGAATGCGCCACCGAGGTCACCTGAGTCACTTCCTGCGCGCTGCTCAAGTGCAAGAGAGAGCGCCAGAGGCCCAGGATTGGCACCGTCAGGTCTTGCAGCTTCGCTCACCCCGCCCCGGCCCCAAAGTAACCAGTAACCACCCAGCCGGTCGTGCCCAGGGCCGTTGAAGCGAGCATGCACACGGCACGCAACAGCTGGCTAGCCTTGGCCTTAAGTCCTTAGGTAGCCCTATATGCTAGCTAGCCTGGCCTGAGAAGGGCTTGAGCTGCGTGGGTGCTGGTGCTTCAAGGCCCCCCCGCGTGTGGCCGTCTCGCATCGCATCGCATCGCATGTGCCCACTGATCGCGTCGCATTCCAGTCCCGGTCCTGGGAATCCATCGTATAAGGGCTGTCAAGGTCCCACCCCAGGAATCCAAGCTTAAAAATACCCTTACTCCCTCCCCGCCCACATTCACACTCACATCGCATCCCTTTGGCCATATCTTGAATATAATTTTTTTTTATTCCGGCCCTCACCCTCCAGAGTCGTCGCCGGAGACTCGTTTCTGATCGTTTCTCCAACATCAGCCGGTGCCCGCCCAAGCACCGTTCCCAGGCGTATACTCGGACTAGAACCACAACCAGCTTGCCCATCCATCTGACGTCCAACCAACCCCACACCCCACCATGTATACAACGGCCCAGAAACCGCTCGTCGGCGACTTTGCTCAGCCAGCAGTAAATCCACCACGGAATTCCAGTATGCTTCACCCCAAATATTACCAAGTTATTCTTCCAGCCCTGCTAACATGGTTCACAGGCCGCCCACTACACCACTCCCACTCTCACTACGAGAGCCCCTTCCAGCAAATCGACATGAGGCCTGGCGTGCTCCAGTCCACAACAGATTTCTTCTCGCAACAGCTCACCGCCATCAACGCCTGGCTGAGCCGGCAGCCCCTGGTGTTGACGGTGTTTCTGGTCGCATGCGCCGTGGCGCTCTTGGGGCTGGCGCTGTTCCTCTTCAGTGCCAGGAGATGTCTCAGGAGGCAGCGCCTGCTGCAGGAGTGCCGGCGCCACTTTGACGACGACGACGACGAGGGCGGGTTCGCGGTGCACGAGAAGGGCGGTCACGGGCCCGCCCGAGGCGATAGTCTCCCCGCTGAAACACATCTCGAATTCGGATTGAATGGAGCTGGTCACACGGAGGGCGCTAGCTTCAAACACAACCTGCCGTTTCACGTTTCTGGTTACTTATGAACAATTCAGCCTTGTTTTGTTTTAACCTTTTTCTGGCATGGCCGAGGCTGAACTGCTATCTCATTTTTTTGACAGCTGGAAAGCTGGGAATGTTTCACGACGCACCGACTGATGAGATCAACTACCTCTCCCGATTCAGACTGGCGAACCAACAAGAGCACTCACTCGCTATTCAGAGAGACTGCTTTCATGGGCAAAGATGCCCGGAGCACCGTGTCGGCTTGGCAGTGGGGTGTATCCGAAGGAAAAAGAGTATGTCAGTGAGATTGCCAAGATAAATCCAACATCTCAAAGCGGGAACAAGCGGCCGCTCCCACCATACTGCAACAACACCAGTGTCGACTCCGGGCGAATCACTCATCTACGAGGCCCATTACATCAACCAGATGAGTTGAGAATGCGGCCGCCAGATATTTGTGGCATCCAGCCCTGCGTCGGAGGACAGACGTTCATTTATAGAAGCACACATCTCGGAAACCCTCCTCGCATTGCCGCGTTGCGCGCAGCGCAGTGAACGCGTTTCAACCAAGCCGAGACCTTACTTGGCGAAGTCGAGTTTCATGAAGTCTTCGAGGAGAACAAATCTTGACGCCGTCACCGGCGCTTGGTCTCCGACACGTTGTGCTCCAGCACCTTTCACATCTGGGGAGCACAAGGCTGGCGGCGGCCGATCTGAACGCGTTGCAGCCTGCGCTCGACGGGCGTCATGGGAAGAATGCGGAATTGGAAGGAAATCGTTGCGCAGAGGATATTTGTGTCTATGCAGAGGCTGCTCTTGACGAAAAGCGCCGGCGTTTGGGGCTGGAAAGGCATGCGCGGGAACTCAGGCATGCTCGTCTATAATGAACATGAATTTAAAATGACTAAATACCATATCACAAAGACACATGTGCAGTGCACCATGTCCGTCTCCCTTGCCTTACATAGATACCGCCTGTGGTAAATCATTCACTCCATTCCGCCAGACCCATCCCGCGCTGAAAAATCGTCAGGGATGAATCTCGGGAGCGAAAATAACTTGGTTCTCACGACTGTCCACCCCTTCTTTCACCGGCGCATTCAAAGACAGCAATTCACCGAGGACATAGTCATTCATTACTCATCGTGGATATTTCCAGCTATTACACACACCAAGAGCCCAAGCAAGAGCCAGCGCCATCTATCCAAACTTCTTCTCAAATTTCTTAAACATTCCCGTCACCCCCCTCTCAAGCCTGCCAGCGTTCTCCTCGAGTCGGCCCCTAGGCTCCTTCTTAGGCCGGTACTTGACAGCCTGCTCGCCCTCTGTCGGCCGGTACGCCTGCTGGTGGATTCCATACTCGTTGGCGCCGTGCCCGCCGCCCTGCTGCGTGGCATACGTGTAGTTTGAGAATCCCCCGGGTGGGGGCGGCGGCAGCCCCGGGCTGGTCACCGGCGGCGTCGGCGTGCCGAGCTGCTGCGGCGGGGGCGGCGCGCCGGGTAGGCCACCCGGCGTCGACTGCTGGTGCTGCAGCGGCGGCGCCGCGAAGCCTGGGCTCCCGGGGAACTGTTGTGCGCCGTACGGGCTCTGCAGCGCTGGCGACGGCATCCCGTGGACGGGCATCGTGGCCGCGCGCGCCAGGCCCGGGTGGCCGCCGTGCGTCCCGAAGCCCTGCGGCGGCATGCCTGGGGTCTGGACTGGTGGACCCGGGAAGCTGGGCGCGCCCGGCACTGCGCTGAACTGCGGTGGGGGGATCCCAGGGCTCAGTGGGCTGAGGTGTGAAGGCATCCCGGACACCAGGCCCGGAGAGAAGGGCGTCGCTGCGTCCTGGACGAGGCGGGCGTGTAAGGGGCTCACGTCGCCGTCTTCCGGCGGAGGGGTCTTCTCGCGGTGGCGGATCTGCTCTGGTGCGGCCGGGGCTGCGGGGTTGTAGGCCATCGGGACGAAGCTGGCCGGCGAGGTTGTGGAGTTGGCGTCGTGATCACTCTCGCCCGTGGTCACGGCGGATAGAGGCGGAGGAGCGAAGGAGGGGATGTTGCTATTGCTTTTGCTGTCCCTGCCGTTTGGTTGAGGGGGAGGCGGCGGTAACTTCGAGTCTGAGATTGCGGCATTCTCCAGCTTCTGGACGAGAGGATTCACATCGACTGAGTGCTGCTGCTCGCGTCGTGGAGGTGGGCCAGGCTCATCTTGAACGTCGACCTGGTTGGGCGGCAGAACGCGCCGGATGCCATTCACGAACGACAGGGCATCCTGCTGTGTCCAGAAGTAGATGTCGAGAGAGTGAAGCTTGTAGTGGTATTTGTTTTGGTTCTGAGGATCGTAGGTCGGCAGGTGCCACTCCTCATGGCCTTCAACTTCGCCGACTGTCAGGTTGACCATGCAATGTTGCCTGTAAGAGTAGGTGACATGGACTTCATCCAAGACTGGCGGTTATGAGAACTGAGAGTCAGCTGGGCCGATCTCACTCCACTTGGCGCAAAGGCCTGGGCCTGGTCATAACTTACACCCATCGAAGGCATCCTGATCGTCTGTGCCAACATGATTCGCAACCTCTATTCGCGCTCTTCCCTCATATGCGTTCTCGAACAGATAGACATATGAGCCCTTGTCGAAGCGGTGGTGTGGAGGGGAGTCGGTGGGCGGGCCGTAAAAGTAATGGACATCGCCAAAGCTGTGAGTGAGCACGCACTGTCAGCCACGCTGAGCACAACATCAACCGCCCTCATTTGCGATCCAAACAACAAATCGATGCCGTGTTTCACACATACAGCGTAGCCACATTCTCTTCGCCCGGCCGGACAGCCATGATGTCGTGGTCGAGGAGCGCAGGAGCTCCAGCAAAAGGATAAATGCAACGACGCTGGCAGAAGAAGGATGATGCGCGAGCAGAATTGATCCAACCCTGTCTTCACTTGAACAACAATAAGAGCAATCGAGGCAAACCTCGTGACAGAGAAAAGAACGAGGAAAAAATAAAAAAGATACGCAGACCTCGTTCGTAGCTTTAATAGCGACTCACACTCAGCTGTTCGGGACGTCACCTCGGGCGGTCCACAGCGGGACAAGGAACTCTCAAGGTGCAGACATGCAAGCACTAGCGGGCATGTGCAACTCTGATCTTCAAATCACCGTCCGTTTCACCTCTTAGCAATCGCGACGATCCCGGTACAGACGTCTGCAGGATGCACGAGACTGGCCGCTGGTGAGGGTGTTGGGCGCTTAGCTGTGCTCGTCAAGAGGAGGCATCGCTCAGTGGTTGGCCAATGGCTGGGTGAATTCGACGGAAGCGAATGGAGGAGTGGGGTTGGAGGGGAACAAGAAAGAAGCAGGGCAGGGGTGCAGTAGGCTCCAGACCTTGCGGGAGCTACCTGCCTGGCCTGCATGTAGACGAGGTACCTAGTCTATGTACTTCTTGAAGGTAATCCCAGGTGGTCAGTGCGCCTGAGGCTCCCGAAATTTTGGAGACGATGATCGCGCTGGATGCCGGCGCGGATGATACATTGATGGCCATATCGCAACACTGCACTCCTACGACTTGGTGACAGGAATACCTCTCTGACGGTAAGGTCATCTCTCCCTCCAATGGCGAAGTAAACCATATGACTAACCTGACAACGCAGCCCGCCTCATTACCCCATCATCCAACTCGCGATCCCGACTCACCACCTACACACCCAGATCCAAGGGCGAACGACATCCCATCCCGAGCGTCACAAGAGGGACCTCTCCGGACAGCAGAGCGCTCCCTCTTCCCTCCTACCTCCCAGCCACCCGCCACACACCACCCACATCCCCAGTGCCCCCGCAAAATGGGCATCCTCAACATCACAAACGCCTGCGCGCACCTGCAAAACGCCTCCCGCGCACGGCTGGGGCTGACGTCGCTGCCCAACACGAAATACAACCTCATGTTCGCGCTGGCCCTGCACCGGTCGGGCCTGATCGCGAGCGTGACGCGGGCGGGGCCGACGCCGCCGGCGCCCGAGGAGCTGCTGACGTTCACGCCGGAGCCGGTGACGAGCGCCAACGTGGCGACGCGGCGGCTGTGGCTCGGGCTCAAGTACGTGGGCGACACGCCCGTGATGCGCAACGTCACGTCCATCAGCAAGCCGAAGCGCGCCATCACCATGAAGCTCCCCGGGCTGCGCCGCGTCGCCCGCGGCTTCGAGAGCGGCTACGTCGACGGGCTCAAGATGGGCGAGTGCATGTTCGTCGCCACCGACAAGGGCGTGCTTGAGATCAGGGAGGCCCTGGAGAAGGAGATTGGCGGGCTGGTGCTGGCGCGGGTGTCACCTTACTGAGGGGTTACTCGAGAGGAAAGGGAAACAAATGAGACATAGAGAGTGGAGTACGGATGTCAGTATGGCCATGGTTCTAAGAGTTGTGTCCATCTCATAGGCAGGGCCGAGAATAAGGAGAGTAGACTGCAGGAGTCTGCTACCGAGAGGGGCAGGTGAAGAGTCTCCCAAAACGAGACTCGACTTGGAGGGTGCTGGCTGCATGGCGAGGCAAGCCATGGGTCGAACAAAATCGACTGGCTCGGTTGCGGAGAGCAGCCATCGTTGTATCATACTCTCAAGCCCAGAAATAGAATTCACGGCTCACCTTCAAGACTGTTGCTGTACATGGAGAAGCTCTTGTGTCGGCGTGATTTCTTACGTCTTGGGGGAGGGAAGTGATCTACGCCGTTCGCAAACCACCAAGGTACAGAACTAGACTATACTGCCGTGGCTCTCACGACTATCCTAATTCATCCAGGTAGACATCACTCACAGATGTCCATATGCCAACACAGGCAACGTAACGTTGTCTCTGGGAAAATAAACCTGGACGTTCACAGCAGGATACTGATTATGAAGGTGGCCGAAAGACCGCAAGGGTATATCCATTTGTACTCCATACATCGAGTTCTATTGTGCTTTTCCCTGTTGCTCCTTTAGGTATCATATGAAACAAACCCATCGCTTCCCTAACGTCGTGATTTCCATGCAAAATGGACATCGAGAATAGAACACCACCCAGTTCATTGACAGACTCATTCACTTTCACCACTCTTCCTGTTCCGGCTGAGCTGTTGTGTCTTCCTTGTGAGTACCATTGACCAAAGGTGCCTCCGCTTCCTCGACCTCCGGTTCATTGGAGGCTTCAGGTGCGGCCGAGGCCATGGGGATTACTCCAGATTTCTCCTCCTCCATTTCCTCCATTATTGTGGCTTCGCGTTCAGGAGTCTTGGGGGTCTCCTGAACGTTCTCCGCAATAGACATTTTCTCAATCACTGTTGCAATATCTCTGTCTGCAGAAGATTCTTTCTTCGTTCTCTCAGGACTTGGAGCTGCAGAGGTTGTTGCAGAGGTTGTCTTGGATACCGGCCTCCTAGTCGTGACAGACTTTGCACTTGCAGATTTCTTGGGGGCTGCTGCTGGTCTTCTCGGAGGCGTCACTGGCACTTTTTCGTTCACCTTGGAGGCGCTCGACTGGGTAGGTCGCATCATCCTTGCAAGGAACCCTTCATCGACCCTAGCGTCTTTCTTCACAACTGGATGGTCCTTGGCAGGTTGCTTGGGTGGAGGTCCGATGCTGGGCCGTTGTCTGCTTGCCGCCGAGGATGACCTCTGAAGTGCTTTGGCTGACGCTTTTGATCGGCTTGTGGAGCGGGCTAGGTTCTCGTGAGAGGAAGGAGGAGCGCTGCCAGAAGTTCTGGTCCTGGATCCGGAGGCAGCAGTGTGGGTAGTGAGGCTGGCAGGCAGCTTGACAGGGCGTGTAGGCGACTTTGGCCTGGGTTTGACGAAGCCGCCAGGAGAGACACTGGCTGGTGCGGCTTTCTTTTCGGCAGCTGGTTTCCCAGCCTTTGGTGTCGTTGGAGGATGAGACGTCGCGTTGGTTGGTTTACTGGCAGCTTTTGGTTGCGGTGCCGGGTCGGGTGACTTCACAGCGTTGGTATTTGTTATCTTGCTGATAGGTGCTGGTGCTGGTGCTGCTGGTGCGGGTGCTGCTGCTGCCGCCGGCTTCGCTCCCTTCGTCTTGTCGGCTCCGTTTACAGTCGTGGCTGCGACGGTGCGCCCAACGGCGATCCCGACGGCGCTTCCACCGGTGCTTCCACCGGCACTGATGCCGTTACTGTTTTTGTGGACACTTTCGGGTGCAGCAGCTTGACCTTGACCTTTGTCACCAGAAGCTTGACTCTGGCCCGCTTTCCGAGCTTGACTGCCTTGATCGGATTTCCTGCCACCGGGAGTTTGGTTTTCTTTAATTTGCGGAGACTCGGCGAGACCTTTAGGGGCGCTGCTGCCGGCAAGGCTGGCGACTTCCCGGTGAGCCCCGGAGATGAGGGTCCCGGAGGTTGGGGGCTCGGCAGGCGGTGATGGTCTGTCTCCTGACTTGGATGCGGGATCTGGTGGGGGAGGTGAGGTGTGGAAGGAGGCGCGGGGTGGGCCCCGGTTGAGCTCTGGTCGGCTGGTCGCAGAAGAGACATCTGTGCTGGTGTTTTCTAGCTGGACAGAAGACGTTGCTTCGGTATCACCACTGAGCTTTCTCCCAGATATACTGGAGGCTTCGCTTGGGTTCCGTTGCTGGAGGCCTATGCGACCGTCCTTCTCGATTGCCACGAAGCTTGTGCGGACCTTGGAAAGGGGACGAGGGGATTCGGTGCCAGCTGTGACAGAGAGATCGAGTTAGCTGAGGGTTGGTAGACTATAGATGACAAGAGGATGCTCGAGCACAATGCTGTTATTCGCAGGGGGTCTTAGGTATTTCGGAGCTCCAAACTTGGATTGATACTCCGGTGGTTTGTTCAAGCGGGGTGTTGGTGTTGAGGGCAGAGGGCACAGAGCAAAGGAGAGGCGAGGAACGAGAGCAAGTGAGAAGGGACCAAACAAACAGGCAGATTCATTCGTACTCGAAGACACACCAGGTGATCGCCCTCGCTCGGGCGGACTTTCCTGCGTCTTGTTCTCGAACATGGCCCTGAGGTTCCTGACGCTCATTTTGGCGGTTGCGAAGGCAACAACAGCTCGAACACGGCGGGTAGGGTAGGTATCTAGAGGTGGTTCGTAGAGAAGGAGCAAGGGCAGGCTGATGCTGCTCCTCCTCCTGCTGCTGGGTCTCGAGGGGCTGCCAGTTGTGAAGCGAAGGAGGGGCCTGGAAGAGGAAGGCGTGAGCTGGCCACAGCTGTTGCGAAGCTGCCTTGGCTTACTACCGGGTGGGTGGTTTGCTCTGGGTGGTGGAAGCGGTAGTCAAGGAATGGCTGTCTTTGAGTCGGTGTTAAGGGCTGTTTGAAGTGCAGCGCCGGGTCAATAAAACGAGCCCGGATCCCTGGCCCCTTTTTCTGCGACGCGGGAGCGGGAGCTCCTGACGCTAGACGAACGCGTCTGAACTCAGCACAGAGTCAAGAGAGGTGCATGTGCAGCTGTAGCGTGTAATCCGAGGTTGGCGCAGCTGCAGCTGCGATTCGTCTCCCGGGAGGCAGTAGTAAATAGACGGATAGACTGTGGCAGTGGTGAGACCAGACCGCAATCACCTTCAGTCGAGACCCAATGCGATGCGTTATATGATATGGAATGGAATGGAATGGAGCAGGGTGTGCAGAGTACCGTAGCCAGAATGTGGGCAGACAGTCTGATATGGCCAACAATGGCTTATTATCTGAATTTGGTTCTGGATGCTCCAGAATGGATTGGATGTATGAGGCAAATAACAGGAGGGGTGTCGCAGGGCCCACAGCACCGACAGGGCTCATAGGGCTCGTTTGGAATATAGCAGAATCATTCACACTTTCCTCATCTTACCACTAGCTGCCCGCCTGACACATTGAGTCTGAGTCTGGGTCTGGGTCTGAGTTCAGCTCTCCTGACCCCCTTTGACCTGGGCCGTTGGTGGCCTCGGGACGATGCGAGGTGGGTAAAAATAATTGTGGCGCATTCGTCTGTCCGCTGTGAGTGCTGTGCCCATCGTGCACACCGCAAGTAGTGAGGGCGCCCATCGATTTGGACTCTGACTACCGTAGAGACTGCGTATACTACTACCATGTACATCCCATGGCAGTGTGGACGCGCCGAAAAGGGAAGGGCTGGTTTAAATTAGAAGTGCCCTCTGAAGGGGCCTGGGTGGGCTGCCTCATTTGGCCCCTCAGGCCCATTCGAACAGTCGAGCTGGCCATCATCGTGGCCACCATTGTTGCTCAGAATACACAAAATACAACATTGTATGGGTTGTAGGTGAGGCAGGCTCTGGGCGAGGTTCAAACCTAGTCGGTTGTTCAGACACGTGTGCGTGATGATCCCGTTCGAGTCGGCTGTTTCAAGTCGGGCTCTGTGCCTCTGTATGCAAGTCAGAGCATCGTGAGACGACAGGGGCTGCAGAGATGACCCAAGAAACAAAATTGACCATGTGTACCGAAATGATGGGCTTGGGTCAGTATCCTCTCGGTCATGAACGAGAGTCTGGGGAATCCTCTACCCAGATATTAGTTCGCCTGAATTCACAGGACTGAACCTCGCCGTTGAAGTAGTATCACAACGGTACCATCCACGGCTCTTAGCTGCGTCTGTGCGACCTGCCAACCAGACTGCTGGAAAGAAGGGAGCGATTGAGATGACTTGAAGGTATTGGTATTCATGGGATGGAAACCAAGCCGATTTCGGTTGCTTCAGCTACCTCAGGACCGTTAGACTCGGACCGTGATGTATGTCCAGCGAGCAGAAGCGCTGATAGAACTTGTGGGGAGAAATGAACAAGACGCAGACGGTCAATACTCGCTGTACACAATGATGAGGCCTAGTGCTCTAACCCAAACAGGCACAGGGTGTCAAATGATCCCACTGGACCCTGAACTGAGCTGAGGGCAAGGTCCGACCCCGGACTCGCTCGGCCCCACGTCGCTGAGATCTTCACAAGCTCTGGGGGAAGCACGCGTCAAAGTGCCGCCATGGCAAGCTTTTTCGAGCAGCCCTTCATCCTCCTCCAAGTTCCACGAGCCAATTGATCCCAAGATGGCTGCCAGAACCCTCAGGATCGGTATGCAAATTCCAAGACACCAGCAGCCCCCAGATTGAAGCCCCAAGAACCTCAAGAGCACCATCAACTGACAGGTTCGCACCTCTTTACCCAGGCCTTATTCCCGGCGATGGCATCGGCAAGGAGGTCATTCCCGCCGGCCGCCGCCTGCTCGAGGCCCTGCCCGCCTCCCTGGGCCTCAAGGTCTCCTTCGTCGACCTGGACGCCGGCTTCGAGACCTTCGAGAAGACGGGCACCGCCCTGCCGCAGAAGACCGTCGACACGCTGAAGGCCGAGTGCGACGGCGCCCTGTTCGGCGCCGTGCAGTCGCCCTCCAAGGCCGTCAAGGGCTACTCGTCGCCCATCGTGGCCCTGCGCAAGAAGCTCGACCTGTACGCCAACGTGCGGCCCGTCAAGGGCGTCGCCACCAGCCTGTTCAGCCAGCCCGCCGTCGACATGGTCATCGTGCGCGAGAACACCGAGGACCTGTACGTCAAGGAGGAGACGACCGCACAGGACGGCCCGGGCGGCCGCCCCGTCGCCGAGGCCATCAAGCGCATCACGGGCCGCGCCTCGTACCGCATCGCCGCCATGGCCGGCGAGATCGCCCAGCGCCGCCAGAAGATGCGCGACGCCGGCGCCAGCAGCATCCACTCCGCGCCGCTCGTCACCGTCGTGCACAAGTCCAACGTCCTGTCGCAGACCGACGGGCTCTTCCGCACCACCGCCCGCGAGGCGCTCGCCGAGGTCACGCCCAACGTCCGCGTCGAGGAGCAGATCGTCGACTCCATGGCCCTGAAGCTGGTGCAGCAGCCCGAGTACTACGACGTCATCGTCGCGCCCAACCTGTACGGCGACATCCTGTCCGACCAGGGCGCGGGCCTGCTCGGCTCCCTGGGCCTCATCCCCAGCGCCAACGTCGGCGAGGGCTTCGCCATCGGCGAGCCCGTCCACGGCAGCGCCCCGGACATTGTCGGTCAGAACAAGGCCAACCCCATCGCCACCCTGCGCAGCGTCGGCGTCATGCTCGAGTTCATGGACCTCGAGCAGGCCGCCGCCAAGATCTACGCCGCCGTCGATGCCACCCTCGCTGCGGGTGTCGTCACCCCTGACCTGGGCGGCAAGAACACCACCACGGAGGTCCTGGAGGATGTTCTGAAGCGCCTGTAAGCCAGCAGAATGGGAAAACTGCTGTTGGCCTTGAAAGAAATGAATAGGTATAGACAAAATGGATACCAAGGCGTTGAGCCACAATGCAAGTCACATCTTATGTGCTAAACTTGTCATCAAGTTGTAGAAGGTCACACATCATAGCCAGTGAGCTTCCCGACATACAGGAGGGGACAGTTTGTGTGTATTTTCCATACAGAGTCTCATCGGTCTATATACCACTTGTATGAGAACAGCGGCCGCTTCAGATTTCTCCCAGCCCTCGCCGCTTCTAGTCTGGCTTCTAACCATGCCAGAATAAAGAGTACAGATGCGCACTCGTCTATATGTTCAAGTGCGCCATGTCTGATATAGTACACTTCTAGATCACAAACATATTCGTGATCGTCTATGCCTTAGTTCCTCTCTTCAGAAGGCCGCGTTCCATGGCTGTGATCTCTCAACAGCCCATCTAATGGATATGAGTCTTTGCCATCACGCTACTTCTCTATTTCGCGAATCTCTCCTTCTCGTACTTGGCAATGAGTTCTTTCCTATAATTGACTTCATTAGTGTCTGTCTTGTCACGGTTGTGTTGAAAGTATGGTGGTAACTTACTGCAACTGTGGCGGTGCTGCCGCATAGTGGCTGAACTCCATGCTGAACTCTCCCTTACCCTGCGTCGCGGCACGAAGGTGCGAGCTGAAGCCGAACATGGCGTTCAGCGAGCAGTCAGCGATAAGTGTGAAGTCCTCGGGGCCGATCTCAGTGTCAACAATGGTGCCGCGCTTGTTCATGAGCATGATGATGTTACCCTGGAACTCATTGGGTGCCGTGATGGTTGTCTTCATCAGCGGCTCGAGCACCGTGCCGCCGGCGTCCTTGAACGCCTTGCGGAACGCCGACTGTGTCGCCATCTGGAAGGCATAGTCCGAAGAGTCCGTCACGTGCGTCGCGCCATCGTTGACCACCAGCTTGGCGCCGATGACCTTGTGGCCCAACAGCGGGCCCTGCTCGCAGCCCATCTCGAAACCTTTACCGCAAGCCGCCAGGAACTTGTCAGGGATCGTGCCGCCCACAACCTGCGTCTCGAAGTGGTTCTTCTCCGGGTCCTCCTCGTACGGCTCCAGCCAGCCCATGACACGAGCAAAGTCACCGGGTCCACCAGTCTGCTTCTTGAGGAGGTAGTCAAAGTCGGCGCGGCGAGTGATGGTCTCACGGTAGGCCACGCGCGGCTGACCCGTCTCACACTCTACCTTATACTCGCGGCGGAGACGCTCAACGTAGACTTCGAGGTGAAGTTCGCCCATGCCGGAGATGATGGTCTCCTCAGACTCCTCGTCGACTGTCAGGCGGAAGGTGGGATCCTCGCGCTGGAAACGGTTCATGGCCTTGGAGAAGGGATCGGCGTCGCTGCTTCGCTTGGGCTTGATGGAGAGAGACATGACGGCGTCGGGAACGTACATGGAGCTCATCGTGTAGGGAAGATTGCCGTCGGTGAAGGTGTCGCCAGATGCGCAGTCGACGCCGAACACGGCGCAGATCTCACCGGCACCGATCTCGCTGACGTCCTCCATTTCATTGGAGTGCATGCGGACGATACGGGGGATACGGACTTTCTTGTTGGTGCGCGAGTTGAACAGGTAGCTGCCCTTCTTGAGCTGGCCCTGATACACACGGATGTAGGTGAGCTGACCGTAAGGGTTCTCCTCGAGCTTGAATGCGAGGCCGACGAAGGGAAGCGCATTGTACGGGACCAGAGCTGTTGGCTTCTCCTTTTGGGAGCGGTCAAGAGCCATGTTCTGCACATCGGCGGGGTTCGGTAGGTAATCGCAAATGGCGTCGAGCATCGGCTGGATAGACTTGTCTCCAAGAGCGGTACCCATCAGCACGGGAGTGAACTTCAGGGCGATGGTTGCTCTGCGGATGGCAGCTTTGATTTGCTCGGGGGTAGGCTCCTTCTCGTCCAAGAACATCTCGGCCATCTCGTCGTCGACGTCGGCGAGCTTCTCGATGAGCTCTTGACGCTTCTGTTGGGCGAGTTCCTTGAGATCCTCGGGGATCTGATCGGAGATCTTGAGTTGAACACCTCGATGACCGTCGTTCCGGATGGAGCGCATGTGGATCAGATCCACAACGCCCTCGAATTCCTTCTCGGAGCCGATTGGGATCTGAACAGCAGCAGCAGGGAACCTAAGCTTGGAGTTGATCTGCTCGACCGCCTTGAAGGGGTTGGCACCCATACGATCCATCTTATTGACGAAGCTAATCCGGGGAACATTGTACCGTTTCATCTGCCTGTCGACGGTGATTGTCTGACTCTGCACGCCGCTGACGGCGCAGAGAATCATAGCGGCACCATCGAGAACTCGCAGGGCTCGCTCGACCTCGATTGTAAAGTCGACGTGGCCAGGGGTGTCAATCAAGTTGATGTGGTAGGTTTCCGTTTTTCCGTTTTCCTTTTTTTCCCAGTCGCAGAAAGTCGCAGCCGATTGAATAGTGATTCCTCTCTCGCGTTCCAGTTCCATAGAGTCCATCTTTGCGCCGACGCTGTCTCGACCTCGAACCTCGTGAATTGACTTGATACGGCCGGTGTAGAAGAGAACTCGTTCGGTACATGTTGTTTTACCGCTGTCGATGTGTGCCTGCGTCTCTCAGCCTCTGATCTTACAGTGGGAAGTTCCTGGGTGCTCGAGAGGGTTCTGCTTACTGCAATACCAATGTTTCGAACCATAGAAAGTCGCTTGGTCTCTTCGGGACTCATGCGCGCCTTGACAACTTCGGGGGACAGGTTGGCAGCTTCTTTGGCAGCCTTGAGACTGTTTGTAGGAAGCGAGAGTCAGTGATACTGCTAGTAACAGCCACAATATCTGCCTGGAGGACGTACGCTTCTTGGGCAGCATTCAAGGCAGCGCCTCGCTTGGAAGACTGGCTAAAGCTCCTCGCGCCCTCGAACTGGGCGGCCTGGTGCCATTGTCGCGGCGCATCAGAGCTCGTCCTGCAGCTCCAGCTCAAGTTCAAGAGCTTTGCTCCAGGGCTCGAGCTTAGAATGCGACCGTCACCAAGGACGGCCACGGCTCTTGAGGCCCTCATCTTCACAAAGTCATGGGGGATGTGACCTAAGGAAGGACTGGGGCAAAAGAGGAGCGTGGCGCGTTCCAATGTGCCCAGAGTGATTTCGAATAATTTTTTGGGGACCCCGGCAGGCATCCCCAGTCCCGGCAGCCCGGCCGTCGATCCATGCATTCGGTCCCGGTTCGGTCATTTCTCCCACACCCTCGCACCCACACACACTTCTTCACAGCACACGGCCCCGCATTATTCTTGCATTATAGTTTACAAAATTTTCACAAGGACATCTCCCGAATGAGTACATTCGGATATGGTGTAATGGTTAACATCGGTGACTCTCACTCACCAGCTCGGGGTTCGATTCCCCGTATCCGAGATATATCGCAGCTCCGGCTGCACCATGTTTTTGTTCATTTTTGCAATTTTTATTCTCGTACTAGTTCACCCTTTATCTGGGTGTTGAGCACTGTCTCAGACCTTCAGTCGGATTGTTGGTGGCGTTGAAATGGAGGTTGAGCGCCACATCTGGAGGCATGCCATGCAGCGAAGTATGGTTACTCCCATTCCGGACCACCAACAGAGCGTCAGGACGACATGCAGGTCTCCAGTTATCCATTTACGCGTCCTCCATATTTTTGCTCTCTCAGCTGTCAACTCTCCAACTCCGGCTTGCTTGTGTGTCTGTGCTTGACTGGATCAATATTCTCTTTGTCCTACAGCTCAGATTGTTTCCAGATTCTTGTGTATAGGTCAACCACTTCGTAGGCCTGATGCGACTTGAACAGTCATGCAGGAACCAAAGACAAAATTCCACCCCTGTCCCGGAGGTGTGGGAAGTGAGTCCATGGATTTTAAGCTCCTGGGTACTGAGGTGTGTGCATCTCGGCATTTCCCGAGAATGTACGGATACGGTCTTATGCGTACTCGGTACCCATCACAGCACAGAGATCATGCTGCAGGCATCGCTCCTCCTTTCATAATCATTCTCACAGCATCTCTGGTCCTAGCCCTCAAGTTCAGAAGTCGAAGTGTCAAATGTTAAGTTAAGCTAGCCTAAGGTAGCAGATATCGATCTTGGGTTTCCCGGCCGATCTCAATGGCACGCGATTTGACTCAAGGTCATGACGTATTTCACTAGCGACGGGAACGCTGGATCTACCCGTCATACATAACAATCACACTATAGCCATCTCGCAGCAACCGGGAGCTAGACTAAAATGCCTGTGATCCAAATAAAGACGTCCTGCGTCTGCTTGTCAGTGAAAGCATGTGCTAATAATGTCCACTGCTCCCCTCTTGCAGCAAGAAGAAGGCACCTAGTGATCAATGGCACGAAACTCCCTTGGCCCTGATATCGAAAGAGACACAGTCCGCCCCATGGCTCAGAACGGATCTTCGTCCAAGGATGGACGCAAGCGCGTGCTCGTCGTGGGTGCTGGAGCAGCCGGGTACGTGCATCGATCCCAATAAACTGAGCTGGCGCTGACTCTGGCAGCATGTCCACTGCATATCATCTTTCTCAGCATCGTGACAAATTCAATGTGACTCTCATTGACGCGGTCGACTATTGTGGTGGTCAGGCCTTCTCCATTCCATTGGACAAGGAACGTTATGGCGCCTCTTGGTGCAACCAAGGCGTTCAGGGAGGCTCCTACATCTTCCACCACACTCTCACCATGTTCCAACGCCAAGGTTATCACGCGGACCCGGTTGAATTGCAGGTCTCGTTTGGCAAGGATGAGACATTCTGGTCCAACGTCTTCCCAACCCACATCATGGTGAAGCACAAAAAGGAGGTGAAGCGACTAGTCACTCTGCTGAAGTTCATGCGCATGTTCGAGGTATTCTTTGCACTGCTGCCACTTCGATTGGTCTTCAAGCTGTTCATGTTCTCCGAGGACTTCATCAACATTGTGGCCTTGCCCATGACAGCTTTGTTCCTGGGCACTGGAAACGCCACACCTCAGACCCCAGCCATCATGTTCGAGCGGCTGTGCACCTCCCCGACCTATGGCATGTGGTACCCTCCTGATAAGAACTCCGTCGTCAGCAACCAACCTCCAATGGTCGTATTTCCAAAATTCTCGGACTTCTATGAGACATGGCGGAAGGATCTTATCTCGCGCGGGGTGACCATTCGCTTATCCACCGAGTTGACAGAAATTGTCCAGCGAGGCAAGAAAGGAATTGTCGTAAAGCTCAAGCCTCGCACTCCAGCGCCAGATGGGCACAATCCTGCCGGAGGAGACCCAGATGCGCCCACCGCTGAGGAGACCTACGACGAATTAGTACTCTGCTGTCTTGCTGACACAGCGAAGAAAGTTCTGGGAAAGACGGCCAGCTGGAAGGAGAAGCGAGTGCTTGGGTCGGCCAAGTTTAGTGACGACATCACCATCACCCACAACGACGCTGACTACATGAAGAGGCACTACGAGAACTTCTACCGCGAGGACCTGGCCGTGGGCAAGACCAACGGTGTCGACCAGCAATCTCGCCTGGACTTTGCCAAAACCAGCTTTCGCCCCATGTACTACATCAAAATGTATGACAAGGACAGGTCCAAGCTGGAGATGTGCTTCGACACCACAAACTACCAGTCCCAATTCCCCGAGAATGTGCCATTCGAGCAACACGTCTTCCAGACAATCTACCTGAACAAAGATCGTGACGGCAAGCTATGGTCCGACAACGAGATCGATGAAAGCAAGATCATCCGAAAGGACTGGTGGCATCAGCTCTGCCACTCCTGGACGCACTACATGTTCGTCATCCCGTGGATGATGTTCCTCCAGGCTAAGAACAATACTCGCTTCGCTGCATCGTGGACCCTGGTCAACGCCCACGAGGTCGCTGTCATGTCTGGCATCGCGGCGGCGGTGGACCTTGGTGCCGATTACCCCGAGGATCTCGAGAACGACAAATTCGCTTTCTTGTGCTTCAGACTCTATTACCTGCTTGCCTATGGGAAGTGGTACCGACGAAGACACACAAAGGGCAAAGCTGCACCAGCCACGCAGGCGGCTAAGGAGGGCGCGAGCTGGGCGAGCGGGCTGTACGGATCAAGGTACAAGGGCCCAGGTGTGGTTGAGCAGGAGAGGGCCACTTGGAGAGAGGAAGTCAAGCAGGGGAATAGCACTAAGAATCTGGCCAGTGGCAATGCTCCTGGGCGCAGTCAGCCGTAACCCTTGAAGGGAAGCTAGAACGCAGGCTGCGATATACATCAGTCAGGCCGGCCCGCATCTCGGACCATCCAACATATTCAATGTGTCTCATCATTTCGAGTCTACCGGCTTTATTACGACAATGGACCTCCCAACATAAAAGTGAGGTAAAGGCATCTGAGAGACTCCTTTCGTCATTGCCTTATCCTCTGAGACACACATGTGCTTGTCAAACTGTATTCAACATGTCCCACCCTTTGAACTATTGGAATCAGATTCCGAGGCGGGAAGTATCGTGACCGTAAAGATTATGTCTTCTGCCCGGCCGATCTGAGGTCTGCAAACATATAAATTAGCAACACTTCCTGCCAGAGACATGGATTTTCGGCTTCTACCAAACTCAACAAGTTTCTAAGCAGAAGCCCAAGACAGAGCCTGTAGAACAACGCTTCACAGCTATCTTGAAAATGTCAACCAAACGACGTCTTGCGGGTCATGAGCGAGGGCGGTCGACCAGCAGATCAACGCGCCCGCACTTCCGCCTTGTCCCACCCAACAAACATTCGCCACACGAACAAGCTGTCGTCAATGCCGGCTACCCATGGGTACGAACAAATTGTCTGATCCCGACCTGGCTATCTCCGGACATAGACCCTCGTCCCAAAACCGTCCCGGACCGTCTGAATCCGCACGGACATCACGGCATCAACACTCACCTCATCGTCGAGGGAGACTTGACACTGATACCGGTCAAGAAGTTCTTTGGCAAAGACCATGTCGCCGCCAAGACCATGTCTACGGACCCAGGCTCGCAGAAAGAGCTGTCTGTCGCACCCTACGAGATATACTGGGGAATGACTCAGCAAGCTTGCAAATTCGTGGAAGGGCACCGCAATTTGAGCCCCAGAAGCGCTCACCGGGTAAAAGCTTCCAGTACCCTTTGTACCACCTTGATGATCCCTTCAAATCTCCCAAGTAGCTTTCTCAGTACATATCTCGAAGCCATTTGTTAAGACAGCAAAGACTTTTCGTTCTTATACCCTCCTTTCATACAACATGGTTTTTCTCGGCCACATACGAACTGACACAACGCTGTAGTACATGTCGAGAGGCGGCTTGGAATGGATTGACAAGACTGGACGGGCCGTTGAGGGCACTGAGAGGACCTTCATTCTCCAACAACTCGATGGCGCGGATTTCAAGACTCATTTCGACTTCAAGGCGATGCGGAGGTTAGCGACTTGCTCCTTCAAGGAGGACAACCAAGTCACTAGAAGCATGCGACAATGGTTCCTACAAGAGTGGAACGACCCGGACGTTCAAGCTGCTAGAGGCGACCTTCGCCCTGCTATTCACCCGTTGGAATCCCCTCCACCTTCGCAGGCGCAAGACCATGACATGGATGATATTGATGATGAGGTTGATTTCTTGGGAGATGATATGGACCCTGACGATGAAGATGGCAGTGCGATTTTGACTGAGGCTTTCCAAGACTGGCTAAAGGGAGGCCTTCCTCACAATTAAAAGTGGAATATGAGAGAAAACTGAATCTCGACTTGGGCTGGACCACAAATTATGGAAGGGAGAAATTTTTGTTTTGATTTTACTCAACCTGCATTATTCCTGCATAAGTTTGCCGAACGTTGCGGAAAGATATACACGTCTTTGTCGCGCACGTTCGAGCCTAGCCGAGCTTCAAGTTTCTTTAGCATAAACAATCTGTGCTTGTGAAATTGAAGATCACACTCTGAATACCAAGCCATCGTTCCATCGTGAAAGACCCTGCTGAGCGACCGGAAATTGAATCATAACATCATTGCAGCCCGCCTCGTAAGTCTGATCTGGATTACTCATTATATAGGTACGAATAACTGCGCAACCAGCTTCCAATCCCCTCCAGCGAGTTGTCTCCACGTACTCGTGCACCACGCCTCCACCTTATCCATCTCATCCGGGTCCAGGTCGGTGCTGCCGCTATCCGACTTGATGACCGTGACGCGGTAAATGATCTGGACGCCCATCATATCGACCTCAGCGATGGCGGGCTCGGGGTCCTCCTTGTGGATCTTCCAGCTGATCAGCTGGCCCTTCTCGGCCAGCTTGTCAATGGCCTCGGTAAGCGTCGGCTCCGACTTCATATGCATAGGTTCCGACTTGCCGTCCGGATGGATCAGCGGGTTTACCATTACACAGTCGTATTCGATGTGCTCTTTTGCGTCCTTGGGCTCGTTGCAGAGGCTTCCGGCCAGGAGATTCTCCATGTCCTTGGCTGCTTTGCGGACGCGGGAGGCGATCGACCCGGGGTGAACGGTGCCGGATTTGCTGACCATTTTGTAATGCTGATATGGTCGGGGATTATGATGAACTCTGATTTAACTTGATTTGACTTTGCGATTATGTAGCTGACAGTTTGAAGGATATGTTTGGAACTGAGTTTTAACAGAGACTCAGAACTGTAACCATCCAAGTTTGAGGTCACGCAATCGCTTATAAGCACGTAGGCCTTCAGACTTCTAGAATGAAGGGAAACAGGTAATTGTTGTGGAAACCATCTACGTTGACTTCTTCCAACCATTACGAACTGACGTCAGTGGGTGGTCACAGATTTGCAAGTGCTGGGTGCCGATCTTTGCGAGGTTGTGCAAGTGATTGGTACCCACTCTTCAAGCATGAAATCTGACGAATTGCCAAAGCCCACCACCTGGTGAGCTTGACACCAACCCAAAATTTGTGCTCTAAAGGTGAAAGCTAGTGACTGAATACGATGGGAAGCTAAGAAAGAGGAAGCCTTATAGCTGCAGTGGGTTACAGATGTGTGCAGCACTGCATGGTGTATTCGATGAGAGACCCACATACAACCAATTTCGTCATAATACAAGGCCAGGAAAGCTCATAATATCTAATCGTAGAAATGAGAACCAATTTACAGAGAGTTCTGTCCTGGCTGATCCTGTGAAACTCAATGGTATTCCAGAGAATGGTCTTAACATAATTTTCAATAATCGCGCTGGATTTTATAACATCAACGTATATCATTGAGATACCCTGGATCTTTCAGGAGGTGGCTTATTCGAGGAAAATAGAGTCCACGTTGCCTCCATTCAACAGTGACCAGTTTTTCAGGAGCTGGTTCAATCCAATAAGGAAGTCCATATGGTTGAGATCAATTTATTGCCTTCAAGCAGTGATGTCTCTTCAAGACCTTGCTTTGTCAGAGCAAGTGGGAGATGCTCAAGTGATACCTTAAAAGTTCAATTTTATTCTAATAAACTTCTATATCAAAGGACTGAGCCTCAATTTTGCGTTCTCGTCAGTCTTTTGACGGTCTGTTGGTGTTGATATCTTTCAAAATAGCATCGGCGCCTGCTTTCACAAGTCTCCCGGCCAATTCTTCCCCAAGTGCCGTTGCTTCATCGTTGTTCTGCACCTTTGCATCGATAGTGTCTTCAACACTTTCGGAGCCGTCAAGGCTGACAACTATTGCCCTCATCCTCAAAAGGAGATCTTGTGGTTGCCCGACCCACTGAGTCTCGACGCCAATAGGAACACTGCAACCGCCTTCAAGGGTGCGCATGAGAGCTCGCTCCGCCAGGCAGGCAAGAGTTGACTTCTGATCGACCAGCTGGTTTAGCAATTCCAAGACTGCGTCATCGCCCTTGCGGGTTTCCAAACCGAGAGCTCCCTGGCCGACTGCGTGCAGAATGCCACCATCTTTGGACCCGAGGTACTGGGTGATGCGATGCTTCAGGCCAACACGCTCAAGGCCGGCTGCAGACATAATCATGCATGTATACTCACTCTCAGGGTTGTCAACCTTTGCCAAGCGTGTCTCGACATTGCCACGCAGATTGGCGAAGCGCAGATGAGGGTAGAGACGGCGGAGCTGTGCCGAGCGCCGCACTGACGAGGTGCCGACCACCGCGCCTTGAGGCAGGTCCTTCAAGCTGGCGTAAGGCAGACCCGCCTTGACTATCAGGGCATCGCGAGGATCGTCGCGGAGAGGGATGGCTGCCAGGTCGCATGATTCGGGCAGATTGGTCGGCATGTCTGCCTCAATAGTCAGTCATGGGGTCGCTGACAGACGAGAGGAGGAGGACACGGAGACGGCGGGTCTACATACCTTTGAGACAATGCACAATAACGTCAAGTTCACCCGAAGTGAGCTTCTCCTCCAACTCAGTCGTCCACAAGCTCTTTGCTCCAAAGTTGTAGAGCGCCGTTGATTGGTCCTTGTCGCCGAGGGTGCGGAGTGCCTCGATCTCGAAGGACCGGCCGGGTGCAATTTTCTGCAAGCTGTCCCGGATGCCCTCGGCTTGGACCACGGCCAAATTTGATCTTCGCGTTCCTATTCGCAGCGGCGCCTGGGCAGGAGAAGAAATGTCCGCCATTTTGATTGCGTTGTGTTCAAACAGAGTAAGAGCAGAAAAGAAAAGAAGAGAAGGATTACACAGACCTCCAACGTGTCTTGAGAAGCTGCAGTAAACAATGATTGGGCAGTGGATCTCAAGGATCCAGGGATCCACCGGCTTCCGCGATCAGGGACTACTGCATATGTCAGACGGGCTAGTCAGGCTGTAAGTCAAAGGAATGTGCTGATTGGATCAGCTATCTAATCGAATCTAGTCTAGTCTATACCATTTCTTTCTTGAGGATACATCGCATTGCACTTTCCCATTTGCTTTTCTCTAAACCGAGCCTGTAAATATCAACTCGTGTCTGCTCATTGGAAAATTGCTCCTACGATACCTCGCACGCATTCCAGTCCAGTGAAGATCAAGCTCTTCCTGTCGGTTGAGGGCTGGCAATTTCTCTCAACCACGATCTGGAATTTACACATACTCTGCGCAGATCAGGTCGCTGTTGATATCCATGACTTCGGCGATCGTGACATTGTCAGCCAGCCCAGTCATCCACAGAACATGGTTCAGGGTAGTGACATTGCCGTTGTCGCCAAAGTACGGCAGGAAGGAATCAACGTTGTAGATATCCGATGGTTGCAAATCTACGAGACTAGTCGCAGTGGCAACGTTCTTCCCTCCCATGTCGGTGAGGCGGGATGAATTCTGAGACTGCCACTCCCACCATAGGCGGTCGAGGTTGGTGTGGTGCAGGAAGAATAAAGGATCAGCCGGAGAAAGTGAGACGCTGTCCATCTAGTTTGGAGAAACGGTATCAGATGGCATCTTGATGCGTTGGGGGTGAGTTCCGTTGTCCAGTTCGGTTACTTACAGTACCGCCAATGGCGTAGTGGCCACTCGTGTGAGGTGTGCCGCCGAGACAGTTCAGTAGGTCTGAATATTGATTGAGTTGGAAGCATGAGTTCACAATGTCTTGGGAAACCAAATCGAATTGAGCCTGCTTGTAGTCACGCTGCAGGCAGGTCCCTTCTTCTGCAGTGCGCGTGAGGTTTGGTTGCAGGGTTGGACGGAGGCCGGTAAAAGGACCATCGACAACGCATCCGTTCTCATCGGTGGTATTCCCAAAACCTGTCATCGCGCTGGGGCTGAGGATATCCACTTCTATGAGAGGGAGAGTGGCTTGATCTTTCTGCTCGTCCCAGTATCTACAACTTATTGTCAGAGTCTGCCTGCTAAGTTACCAACGAGTTAGACTAACGGAAGAGGGCCAGTGTAGCCACACTCGTTACGAAGAAGGTTCTCATAGACTGTCATGTACCAGCGGTGCCACGGAAAGAATGCTCCCTGCGTATTCCGTTGTGGTTAGGGCGAAATAATGCTGAAGGCATTGAGTGACTTGACTCACTACCGTGTGGATGAACTGGACCTGAGCCACGTGAGTCACCTGAATTTCGTCCCAACGAGACTTGGATCCGAAGAGCCCAGTCTTCGCAGGCGCCATGTCAGGGTTCATCAAACACAATGTCGAGTTGATGTAAGTCCGTTTTCTCATCAGTTGTCAAGGTCGACCTGTCCACTCAGTCAGATGATTTGGACCCAGGCTGGACAGAAGAGCAGCCTATGCAACTCACCAAGACTTGCGTTGGCTGGGGTTGGTACAGGCCGCTGATACAGCTTGGAGCCCGGATACGGCGATGGCCAGGGAATAGAGGAATTTGCCCATGATAGATGGATGGTTGAAGAGACTGTCAAATGAAACAATCAAGGAGTGAAAATGTCAACGAGTGACTGTAATAGATTGTCCTAACGAATGTGGTGGTTTAAATTTGAGTTAAACAAAGAACGAGCGTGATGACAAGACGATCCACCTTGTATTGAACACGACCGTCCCTGAGATATATAGATTGATTCATGACCTGAAGAGTACATAAGACCTCTATGGAGAAATCTCGGCCGAGAAGTCAAAAACATGCATAGGTACGGAAATGAATCTTTGTTTAGTTCCTGGTCCCAGACCCGCTTGCCTGTTTACGCGTATTGTATGACCAGTATTTTGTGATGTATTTGAAAGCTCCCTACTTGGGCATGACAGCCCGGTCATGCCGCGTACGTGGTATTCGAATACCCCTGACTGCGTATCTGCATGTGCTGATTGATCCCTGTCTTGCATCCAATTTTGGGCTCGAGGCTGGAAAGAACCCCCAATATAGACTAGGACTCAAATTATACTTCTGTCACCCCCTTCCTGTGCTTGAGTCAAAGCGTGACACTCTATTCTCAGATTGCTGAACCTTGGAACCGGTCACGATTATAATTCTGCTTTCACTGAAGGTTATTGTCGTTGACTTCTACTTGAAAACTCCGCGATCAAGATAAGAATTCCGTTCGTTATCAACTCTTGACAAGGGGCGCGCATATGTCGGCACAGAGTGCCTTTGCATGTGGGTTGAGGCGCTCGCCTCCCCTGTGGACATGATACGGACATAACGCCAAGCCATGGCCTGGTTATCCATCCTCTAAAAAAGCAATCGAAGCCAGGACGCGAGTGTGGCTGCGTCGGGAATACTACTTTATCGAGGGGAAAATAAAAATAAGGTGGCAATATTACATTGCTGTGTAAATCCACGAAGATCCACTACCTTACGGAGATCTCCCAAAATAAGGAAGAGACTATTCAGGCGGATATTCGAATTTCTGTAGAAGTAAACTTTCAAACCTTAAGTCTCTGATTCTCGGGTCTTCCCGAACACCACTTGGGTGCACATGTGACGGAGTAGTGTCATGCTGATAAGAACTGTATTATTCGGTGTGTAGGGGTCAGATGAGAGGGGCTAAGAATGAAGCATACATGCTAAATATATAATACAGTATTTTTCTTCTGGCATAGTCATTTTGCTGGATGATAGCAGGTGAAGACGGAGGCAGCATGTTCTTTTTGTACATACTAGTGATCTGCTTCATCATAAGTAAGCTTATATAGGCTGAGCAAGGAGCAGCGCTTCTTGAGAGAGGTACTCAGTAGAAGAATTCAAGGTTATGACGATACTGAGTACTTTGAGTTCAGACAGTCTACGAATGTAACTTAACTAGGCGAGACTGGTGCAATTATTCACGGTGATCCGATATCAACCATGCGCCTCTAGAGCCCGCGCGCACGGGTACGCTCGTTCAGAAATTGCATTCTAATTCTCACTACGTTTGCACATTACTTACTATGCCTGATAATCTCCGATATCAATCCTTTTAAACGCCCCCTTTCACTCTCGAAGCGACGCCGGCTATCGCTCCGCATTTCGCCTCGCCAAGGCGATTGCGTGCGCGTTGTTTCTCAGCCCTCGCTGGAGCTCTGCCAGCTTTGCCGAGGTCAGCCCGCACGTCGCAACCGCGTCCCTGAGATGCCTCGATCGCGTGATTCGCAACGTCAGGTGCTCACTGGACGGCGGCGTGGGAGCACCTGGTCCAAATGCGCGGGGGTGCACACCTTTTCGGAAAGGTACTGCAAATTCGCGTGTCGGTAGGGCGATCACACAATGCGTGCGTTCTGTGTACCCCCGTCTTCGCCCACTCTGGACCACGAGCACGCCATTCGTCCGCGGCATTGGCGATGTGATCCTAGGGTCGCAACCAAGAAATCAAGCATCATGGAAATTCTTGTGTAATGTCTTTCTAGGCTTATCGATGTTTTTATATCAGTCGCATCTTGTACAACATTGCTTATTTTCCTAGGAAATCTTGGCTGTCTTCTTGGACAGGCTCGGCGAGCTTCAACACCGAATAATACGCCTGATCGATATAATACATGAATTACAGCACGTTTCGCGGACAACAGACACAGCCCAGCATGTCTGTGCCGCCGATCCAGTCCGGCTACCCCGTCGCGGGCACAGTCGTCGACGATGAGTTAGGAGACCCTTTACCCAGAAAGTCCGAAATCAAAGAGTTCAGCGAGGACTCGGGCCCGGAAGACGCGTACGCCGGTTATGGCGAGAACCCCTTTGCGGACGAAGCTGTCGCCGAGCACTGGAGGCAGGTTTACCAGGAATCGCAGTACGAATGTCGCCACGTTTTCGACCCTACCCTGACGTGGTCGGAAGAAGAAGAAAAGGCTATTATTCGAAAACTTGATTGGCGCGTCTGCCTTTGGGCTTGTGTAATGTTCTTTGGCCTCCAAGTCGACCGGGGTAATCTAGTCCAGGCTGTCTCGGACAACATGTTGGATGACCTCGGTCTAAACACCAATGGTGAGATGGATCCCATCCCAAGTTTACTTTCGTATTCAGTAAAATCTGTGCTAATACGCTGAAATTTAGACTATAACTACGGAAACACTGTGTTTTTGATTTCTTTCCTCTTCGCAGAACTGCCCTCGCAACTCCTTTCCAAAAAGATCGGACCGGACAGGTGGATTCCCACACAAATCTGTCTGTGGAGTATCGTGGCTTCGTCTCAGTTCTTCATTTCTGGGAATGGATCATTTCTCCTCACAAGAGCTCTTCTAGGAGTCCTCGAGGGCGGTTTCATACCTGACCTCGTCCTATGGCTGAGCTACTTTTACACCTCTCGGGAACTGCCCATTAGACTGAGGTAAATGAAAAAGTGTCCATTAGTCTCACAAAGTGCTAACCAATTGAATAGTTACTTTTGGACAACCTTGTCTGTCACTACCATCCTCACATCTTTGTTAGCTTTTGCGCTGCTTCACATGCGCGGTGTATTGGGCTATGCTGGCTGGCGTTGGCTGTGAGTCTTCTTTCTTTGTGTCTTGCCTCTGCTGGTTGTGGAAGAAATCTTCGCTGTTACAAGCAACCTGGACTTGACTTTGCTGACCATCAAAACGAAAACGTTCAGCTTCCTTATCGAGGGCCTCATAACATTGCTGGTTGGCATTGCATCCTTTTTCTTGATGCCCGCCTCAGCTGTACAAACCAAGACCTGGTTTCGTCCCAACGGGTGGTTCAGCGATCGTGAAGTGGCTATCGTTGTAAACCGAGTGCTGAGAGATGACCCTAGCAAAGGTGAGAGCGCACTGATTCTAACGCTGTGCAATACAGCGTTTAATTCCAGTTCGAACGTATTCTAAAATATGATGATATAGGTGACATGCACAACCGACAAGCCCTGACGCCTAGACGTCTGTGGCAAACATTGAAGGACTATGATCTCTGGCCTCTCTACATTCTTGGCCTGATTATCTTCATCCCTCAAAGCCCTCCGTCTAAGTACTTGACTTTGATCGTCAAGTCTCTCGGTTTCAGTACCTTCAATACCAACCTGCTCACCATTCCATCGGTAAGATGATCCCTCTTTTACAGTTTGAAGTTTCACCATCAGATTCATAACAGACTGACTTATCACAGAGCGTATTTCACATCATCACTTTGCTCGCGATCACAAGATTATCAGAATACTTCAATGAAAGGACGCTGGTGGCTATGATACAAGCTGTGTGGACACGTAAGTGCTAAGCCTCGTCATGAATGGTGTGAGAGAATTAATTGGTAGCACTTACTGACCTGATCCAACCAAAGTGCCCTGTGTCATCGCCTTGGAGTGGTGGCCGGGCATGATTGATAACAAATGGGGAACATTTGCGCTTGTCACTGTGCTGCTCAGTTATCCTTACTGTCATGCTATACTTGTGGCCTGGACATCGAAGAATTCGAACAACGTGGGGACGAGGTCCGTTTCGGCAGCGCTATACAACGTAGGTCTAACGTACTCCCGTTCTCTCAAGATGACGCTTTGCTCGTTTCGCGTCTGACCATAATGGCTCGATGAAAGAAGTACAACGCTAATACGCCTGTAAAATAGATGTCGGTACAATTAGGAAACATAATCGCCAATTTCATATACCGCGACGACGACAAGCCGTACTATCGCCGGGGAAATCGCAACTTATTCATCATCAACCTCTTGGCTATTGTGCTGTTCTTGCTCACCAAGGCATACTATATCTGGAGGAACAAGCAGAAAGAGCGGGTTTGGAATGCGCTTAGCAAAGAGGAGCAGGATCACTATATCAAGAACACGAGGCTGCAAGGGAGCAGAAGGTTGGACTTCAGGTTTGCTCATTAGTCAGGGAGGAACTGCACATGGAATCATCGTATATATCCTGGTACTTAAGTAGAGGTGCGTCCAGATGTATGTACATACGCATGGAATGCAATAGACTGGAGTTGATACATAATAAACATGCAAGACCTAGATTCAGACTGAAGCAAGGTCACATGTCAACATCACGCATTCAGCAGTCCTTTCAACATCTTCGAGACATCCTGTATTGGATTGACTATCAATATTCTGGCATGGTCCGCATTAAGTGTCATTACGCGTACAGTGGGCTTCCAGTGTCCATATAGACAGCCCATGCCCTGTCACAAGAGTAACAGGCTTGATCCCCCGAATTCCTGAGCTAGAAATCATCACCTTAAAACCCCAGGGCCTGGTTGAAGGCATCCGCAGTCGAAGCGTCCTTGGTGCCAAGCTGCTCGACAAGCGCTTGGGCCTCCTCACAGGCTGCAACAGCAGCGTCGTTGGCCTCGCAGACGTTGACCAGCTGGTCACAGACGCGGTTGGTGATAATGTTGGGGTTAAGCGCGTCCTGCTGTCCCTCAGCGACGAGGGGGTCGGTAGGCAAGAAAGTGCCTTCGTCAGCCTTGCGGCCCTCGCGCCCCAGCTGGAAGTCGATTGTGGGTGTGCACTGGCCAAAGTCGGCTCCGGCGGCATCTGCTCCAGCACCAGCATCAGCGTTTTGATCTTGACCGTCTTGTGCTTGGTTGTCCTGTCCCTGGTTGTTCTGGTTATCTTCATTCTGGGCTTGCTCGTCCTGGGCTTGGTCTTGACCAGCATTCTGGTCCGCGTTCTGATCGGCCTGGCCGGCTCCACAAGCAGCCGCATCATCTTCAGCGTTAGAATTTCCAGCATCGGCTCCAGCGCCCGCATTTCCGGCATCGGCCCCAGCGTCGGCTCCAGCATCAGCACCGCCGACATCGGCATTGCCACCCGCGGCATCCACGGCCGTGAAAGTCGAAAAGCCCTGCGCGGAAGTGATGTCGGCAACAGAGAGGCCGTTGGCATCGAAAGGCTGGGTCAGGGACTGGGCCGAGTTGGCATTCTGGACATCAGAGCCGTCAACGTCGGGGTCGACGAGAGGGACGATTCCACGAAGCTCCTCCGTTGCGGGCAGGGTGGCGTCGGCACACAAGCTCGGTTGGTCGACAGCGAAGGGGTTGAAGTTCTGCTCCGCAGCAACTAGTCCGGCAGCAGCCTCGATCACGGCCGGGTCGTTGCCGAGGGTGGTCACAATCTCGTCTGCCAGGGACAGCTGGATAATCGGGGTCAGTATGTGCTTGCGGGCAGATATATGGTGGGAAAAGCAGCCGGCATACCTTGTCGCAAGGGCTGGCAGCAGCAAGCAGAACTCCGGGCACCTGACCAGAGAGAGTGCCAGCGTCACCGGGGTTGCCAAAGTCACTCAGGGCCTGGATGGCAGCAACAGGCACCTGCTCCTGACCGAATCGGGCCTCGACGTAGGCCACAAGCAGAGCATACTTCAAAAATTGAGACATTGTGACTTGAGATCTTCCAGAGAATCTTGAAGGGAGAGAAAGGGATATCAATAAAGTTCGACCGGACTAGCGGTTGAAGCACACACAGAAGAGAATGTAAACAGCTGGAGAGAAGTAGAAGTGTAAACGAGAGCTTGACAGGAATGCAGTGGTGCCAAAGAGGGAATTTGATGGACGGGATTCGCGATATACATAGAGTATATATATCACTCTCGATCCAGGCATCGACACCCTTTGGGTGACGCCGCGCTGTGTTTCCTGCGAAACAATGATTCCATGGCACGGGGAGCACTTGCTCGCCAAGATGTCAGTTGGAAGTATGCCCAAGGTCATCAGCCCCTTCAATGGCGATCATACTGGGAGCGGGCGCGGTATGAGATGTGCCATGAAGTCTCATGACAGTGCCGCGAGGAAGCAGAGCCTGGTCGCCAAGACGGGAGGAGACGAGCCCATCGGATGGTGAGATGCCATGCCAAGAAGTCTGCGAGGTGACGACGCAGCCCGAGCTGAGGGCACTAAGGTAGGTGGTAACATCTCGGTTAAGAGTGGTAAGCCGACAGATACCAAAAGCATGCGAAGTGCATACTTCTGGGTGCGTTTCCAGTTCCAAAGCTTCTCTCGAGCCACGCAGGGAGAGACATGAAGCTGAACCAGTCTGGCGCATGTTGACATGACTGTGCTTGCCGCCATCCGGGCCGTAGGTCACGGCCAAAGTCCGACGAACAACGTAACGGGTGGATGCACCGCTAGCGAGAGAGCATGGGAGCGTTCCATTCCGAGCTTGGCAGGTCGTGGACTTGACCCTCTTTCCAGTGCCAGCGCCTTCGAGCGGCCGACAAGACTAGCTGACGCGAAACTTCTCCTCTTCAGCAGACGACCTTGCGACAGATGCATCCTCAGAGCCTTGAGAGTGAACAGCTGAGTCTGAGGTGCCATGGCATGATGGCGAGCAGGGGCTCATGTCGGCTCGCGGATCGAAGAAGCGAGACTTGGCAGGACGTTGTGCGCGCCTGCAAGGCAGAGCAGACGCAGAAGTTTGGGTGCATCAAGCTTGGCCTTCCTGAGCATGTCTGATATCAAGCGCGGCAGACCCAGACTAGCCAGTTACCCAGTCTAGTCCAATATACGCGCGCGCCGCAGGCCGAAGCGATGATCAGACCCCATATGGGATGAAGTCTTGGTGAACAGCTCGGCGATCGAAGAGCCAAGTGAGTGATCAATTGATGTGCTGAAGCTTGACCTGTTCCGCAGGCAGACAGACCCCAGAGCCCCTAAACGCCTAGGCCCCTAGGCCATTGGCTCCACCGTCGCTTAATCATCGTCAACGTCCACCATGAGACAGTTTCGTCTGACCATGGTTTGATCTGCAAAACTTCCCCAAACTTTTCATTCCACCAGATGAACTTGCCTCTTGGACCGTTCATAAATTACATCCAACTCAAGCGTCGCCTTCTGCATGTACACTATTTCCAAGACTCTTGGCGGCCCCCATTTCAGCCATGCCGAGCTCCCTTCACACTCCCCAGTCCCTCAGGAGGGAGATTTGTCCAAGCTAAAGACACGATGTGATACACCAAGGGGTCTTCATCGCCATCACCAGTCGGCGGGATCAGCACCGATGAAGCCGCCGCCCATTCGCATACTCTATTCGTCTTCGGCTGATCGGGCCGCAATGTTCGACTTTAGGTGCTTCGACTTTAGGTGCTTGAGAGGGCTTCAAGACGTGCGTACCGGTGAGGCCAGGCCGCACGTAACAAGTGTCTTGGCGGTCAATGGAATCACACGAGGCGCCTGGCATCTGCTTCGTCCCTCGCGCGTGTGATGTTCTCAAGAACAACGCCGATCCTCAGCAGGATAAGCTCCGACAAGACGTCTCCGATGTCTGAAATCCCATAACTATCACAGCATTAGCAACACGAATTGGCTGCTCGAACTCGATAGATGTACGGCGTGTTGGCCCCTCTCAAACCCAGATTTCACGCATTGTTGTATTCCAAATCCAGACTTGCAGTTTGATAGTCCAGTGGGACTGTAATCTGCGGGAGACCACCGCAAGCTGCAAAATAGTTTGCCGGTCCTCTGGATGACACGATGATTGCGTCCAAGGAGTACGAGTTCAGCGCTCCCTTGATCTTACCATCGCCTGTGATGGTTAGCCAGATACTTTGCAGAGCCAGGCATGCGATATGCAGCCTGTTCGAGTTGTGGGGTGTCCCTGTCCGGACACTTCGCCTCCTCTGATCTCAAAAAACTCCCTGATGTCCACGGTAATATGCAGATTGTGGGGGTATTCCGTCAGCTTGCCGAGATAGTCTGCAAAAGTAATATTGAGATACACAGCCCTAGCGCCCATCTATTTTTCTGATGACAGACGGTCCGACCTTACCTGGCCCCTGAATCGGAACTCGACTGTCTCTGTGACCTGTGTTCTCAGCATGTCGACTATCCCCCAAACCGACTTGAGAATCCCCTCCGACTCAACCTTGGCGACGAAACTTTGTGAAATACAGACGTTGAAGCCTGAGCGTCCGTCTGTTCGCATGGCCCTCCGTAATTTAGTATGGATCTGAACGGCAATAAGCCCGTCTTGCTGTCAGCGCCGTCCCACCCAGTAATGACACCTAACATTGTAGCCGCATTCTATACAGTCCTTGCCATCGGCCCTATAGTATCTTGCTCCTAGGACGCAAGAATAGTCTTCGCGAGACTATGCCAATAGTTGGCTTGATGTCGACGGTGCTGTCTTCTCGGCAGGACATATAATACTGCCTGACGTCTGATACATCTCTCATAAGCAAGGGCCTGAACCGGGAGCTCACGGAGTTCGACTGCGCTTGGTACCAATCGCCAAGACACACATCCCAAAATCACATATGTGTGGAAAGCTCCGTCTCAGGCTCTGTTGCCAATGCTTCCAATGACGATACTTGATTGCCGAGACCAACATGGACGCCTTCAAGTCAGACTCATATATCAAGTCTTCCCGTTCGTGAGTGCTGCTCTGGAGTATTACCACCGGTAAAATGTGCGTCAGGGCTTGCAAGACCCGTGTAGGACTGAAAATATACGTTCTATATCACAAGCTCGTGGAAAGGCCAAACCTACCGGCTGTCGAATTCGACTTGACAAGACTCAAGCATACAGCTTACCATGCCGATGGCTCCCATGTGCATGCGCGCATTGTCAAGTATCACGCAATCCACCTCTGATCACTCAACGTCGGTGAAGACAATGGATTGAACATCAAGAGGTTTAGATTGTCTATAAAAGATACAGCGGACTGCCGGAATTTCGGTTTCAGTAGAGAGCACTACTATGAGAAGAGATTGGGGCCGTAAATTGGTCAAATTGGCGACGCAGATGATTAGAGACACAGAGCAGGAAATTGGCGTCTATATGTCCGAGGTAGAAAGGCGATTGACCACACAGAACAGGCAGCTGAAGTTCCCGAAGCCCACATCACTCAGAAACCTCTTCAACCTCCTCCTCAGCTGGCTCGAGACTCTAAAATGGAGAGGTGGGGATATTTCAACATTAAGAGCTGTGAGTAAGTTTTGGGTGCATTTTCCGATAAAGAAAGGCCCTAAAGAGAAATGCACCCTGAACTGGCCGCATTAATGGGCCTGAGGTACCCGGTACATAATTGAAGTAAAAATGACCAGTAACCCCCCCCCCCCCCGATGTAGTACTGGACACTGAAATATTATGCGGAGTAGGTTTTGTGAATCGCTAAAGCACTTGATTCCGCGCTACATACACAACTCCATCTCCTTAATTATTTTCTCAGCCAGCTTTAGACTCAACCCCGCCTTACTTTAGCACAGTCGTATTCCGGCCTCGTGCCTATTCAGATTCAGGGCGGCTCAACTCAAGTGGTGAAGATACAGGTAAATATATACTCTCTATCTATCCCTGAACATCCTCTCCTAACCAGTTTGAAAGTTTCCAAGGGCAGGGCTGAGCAGGCTGAGAAAAAGCAATTGAGTCACTGATACGGGGTATAATAACTAGCTAGTGATGTTGTGTCGCCAGCGTGGTTGGCGCAGTACGCATGCACGCTTCTACACAGCAACCGCTGCACAGGAAATGATCATCACTGTTAGTCCATTCACGAGCCCGAAAGCGACGGTGTGTGTAGTACAAGAAACAATCGTCTAGGGCACAACTAAGCAAGGGAGGTCTAGGCTACACCCAAGCCACAACCTTGGAATGGCTGTTTCACTCGAGACATGCAGAAGATAAATACGAAGTCGACGTCCTGATGTGGTGTTACAATCCCAAATTTAACGCTGTCTGGCCTTTTCGTATATATATATATAGATGCAAGATGCCCATGGGAAATGCTTTAGTACATGTGCGCATGTGTACGGCTAGGAACATCACACCCAACGGCTATCGACGCTTTTCAACTACTTGAAATCCCACTACAGATTGACATCGCTTACCGCATACAAACGTGCAAGATCATGGGCGGGCTATCTCCCAAACCCGGTGACAGTGACAGTGATAGTGACACAAGTCAGCGCCGCCGGTGCCAAAAAGGCGCCACCAAAGTCGTCGAGTTCCTCCACTACAAAACCGACGGTAGTTTGAAGAAGGGCAATATCCAGAGCCTATCTGACACTGAGCTCATTAAGAAACAACACCTAACACGTACCGCAGTGGCATCATCGGTTACTGGGGTGAGCGCGGGCTCCATCATCTCCGTGGCCTGCCCGGTGGCTGCTGTTGGCGTAGGCATCAGCGCATGGACAATGGCCGTTTCATGTATCAACCGTCATCGGGTTCGTCAAGAAGTCAAGCAGCGAGCGAGGAGCAACGCCGACTTTGCAAAGACTCTCCGTGAACAAGATCGGAATCGGAAAAAGGCCCGCGACATTGCCGTAGGCGTGAGTCTTCGCGGGGCCCTTTCCGTTAGCACGATGGGCATTGTGGGCTTCGACACAATAGCACAGAACTTCGCCGACCTAGGAAGCGCAACTATTGGGAGTACAGCGGCCGCCGCAACCGACGCTACAAGCAATGCAGCAGTGCAATCAGTATCGCACGGCGCCACTCACGTGGCCTCGCACGCAGCTGTACACGCGACTGGAGAAGCAATCGACCCGCCCGATGTATCCGATTCCCCGGCCACGATCTACCAGAATTTCAAGGTGGAGCACCCTAACGCCGCGGTACTCGACGCATCATTCCACAAGGTAACATCGGGCATTGCTGACAAGACCGCGGAGGTCATAAGCAGCCAGACGGGTCTGCAGATCACTGGCGACAGCAATCTACACGAGATACAGGATGTCTGGCATGCGCATGATGGAGATGCAGAGGCTAAGCTGATTTTGCTTGCTCAGGGGGTGATTGATGGCGGCATGTCTGAAATGGCGCAGCCGCTGCAGCAAGCCAGCGAGTACGGCGTGGAAAAGGCACGCGTGTGGCACTGGAATTGGAACACCAATCAGTACGAGAAGCTTGAAGACATGTAGATACCCCGAGTCAGCTGTAGGCTCTTTGTTTGAAGTATATTCGATTCTCAGTGATGTTAAATATGCATTTACAGATCTGAATCTCTTTGATTCATTAGACGAAGGGCGCTTGTTTGAAGAGTCGCTCATGTTCCAGTGAAGCAGGCATGTAGGTGCCCAAGCCCAGAACGTTTAAATGTCAGGCACATTTCCATTAGTCGGTCTTCTTACTTTCACTTTGGAAGTAAGTATCAGCTACAGACCAGTACAGTACCCCACCTCGTTGACCTCCGTAGCCAATCCCGTTCCCTACTTCTTACAAGTACTTGATCATCACAGCGGAAGCCCGTTTGAAAGCTTCCTTCACAGCATTCCACTTCCAGACTCCGGGCAGCCGAGTAGCAATCAGCCTTTGATTCGATCACTGGATAGGATGCTCTCAATAACCCATTGTCCTTAGGCCACCTTGACAGGAATCAATAATCTCAGCCACTGAATCTTGACTCACTTACAATGTATCTAGGCAAGCAGGCTCAGGCTTCATGATCAACAAGCCTTTAAGGACAGACAGGCATCTTAAGTCTCGTAAGGTGAGATGTCACTCCATCTTGAGATAAGGCTGTCGCCCAAACGTCTTCTCGGAAGCCTGTTGTTGCCCGCATGGATATAATAGCCGCTGACAAGGGTAGCATGCCTAAAACACCGTACCCCTCCAGCTTGGCAACCTTTAATGGCCGCTTGGGCAGACTATAGTAACATCAAGGTTTACTCTGTTCTCCGTTGTTCAGTATAGATTGTCAACATAATTCTCCCAAAGATGGGACAATCGCCACCTCCACACCACATGAAAGCTTCACGGCTCAGACGAAGCAGCCGTGACTTGGGATCAAGATGAGCTTTGCCATGCTGGAGATTGCGACGGCGAAGACAGGCAGTCGATTGTCTGTCTTGGCCCTCCTGTTCACGGCTGCTCTCTCATCGTCATCTCATTCTCACCTCAACCCACGACTCGACCACCTTCCTCTCGGACTACCCGACCTGCCTCCTGGCCTCTTCATAACGTACACCGGCGTACTGTCCGGCTCACTCCAGCTCAACTCGTCCAACTTCCCCTTCGACGCGACAAAATGCGCCGCCGGGAGCGGGACCTACTTCTTCGCCGACACGGCCAATTCGACCGTGAGGGTCGGTGTCAACCCGCCATCCATCGATCCCAACCCCATGTTCTTCATGATCCAGCAAGGCGAGCCAGCGCTCCTCCCGCCGGTCCCTGAGCCAGGGACAGAAATACCGACTCCGACAACACCTCCTCTCGGACCAGACAGCACAACACCGTTGGAGCCTAGTGCCCCGTCCTTCACCTTCGCCAACCCAACCGTGCAACCCGTCCCGATATTCTCATCGCGGCCAAGGGCGTTGCTCGCAGCACCCGGCGGTCTGGACGTCAGCCAAGCCATGTCAGGTCCCCTTCTCCCGCCCAGCACCACTGGGTCCGGAGGCATCCAGAACCTCCTCTTCGCCTCCATATACACCATCTGCACGCGGGACTCCCGGCCCTGCGGCATGGTCCGCACAACAGACCAAGGCACAGCAACATACAACACCCTGGAGATGCTGAACCTCACGGGCCCGGACCTCCTGAGCACCACCGCATCGTTCGACGACGACAGCGGGCCCTCTTACACCCTGCGCGGCGACCAGTCGACCTGGGCAAGCAACGACACCATCGACTGGTCCGGGCTGGAGTTCTTCCCGCCGTCCAACTACACCGCGGAGCCTGAAGCGTGCACCGCGTACCGCTACCCGCCTCTGGTCTGGAACGCCACCACCCCCTTCACGTACGCCCTGCGCTTCGCCAACGCCTCGGCCACGCTCTCGCTCGTCCTCGCCGCGCCGCTGGGGACGGTGACGCTCGAGTTTGCGGGCGCGCGCGCCGCGGGTCTGGACGGCGCGGATGTGCTCCAGGTCGGCCGCGGGGCTGGGGGCGCGCCGAGGTGGTCGTTTATCAACGGGACGGGGTTTCACTTTGATGGGGTCACGGCCGTGACGAACGATTCTGTTGAGGGTGGTGGGCTGTTCAGTGGGGAGGACGGGCTGGGGAGCGGTGCTGCGGGCGTGGGTACGTGGGCTGGCTGGGGCGGCGGTGTTGCTCTTGCTGCCTTTTTTGCTGCGCTGTTGCTGTGATGTTGTTCTCTTTGCTACAACGGTACATCTCGTGGTGAAGGTTTACACAATAGGGGTTCTTGTCAGAGGGGTTTGGAGGGGGGCCGGGGCGTTTAGCACACGGTTCTGCTTTGGGCTTTGGGTCGTGTCTGATCAACAGTCTTCCGCTGATTTGATGTCTCATATTAGACAGTGCGCTCACAGTATAATGACAATATAATGCAATGGGGTCGATTCACCATAAATACTACGGCCAGAAGATATCGATGGGAGTCATGTCCAATTACTAGGGGGAATCCCCAGAATGGAAGTTTTGTCGTGTTCAAGCAAAGGAAAGCTGAGACAAGATACCATATAGGTGATATTCTAACTGCCAGACTTTCAGAACCGTCGGAGTGAAGATGAAGTGCTGGATAGTGGGTGTACGTAGTCTTCAACTCCAAACTAGACATGTGCCGTGGATATTCTTGTGGAGCAAACACTGACAGGGGAGACAAGTCAAAGGGGGTCTTTCGAAATACAATTTATTGTCAAATAGTACCTCGAAGTAAAATTCTGCAAGATGAGCAGACGGAAGGGCCAGATCAACCAGCCCATCAAGTTCTGCCCGGCGTACATACTGTCGTCGTGAGTCGTCATGAATCCAAAACTCAGAAAAAAACGTATCCCTGGTATCCCCGGAGGTATCGTGACCACATACAACCGCCTTCTCCACATCGCCAATTCATTAATGACACATATTCCGGCCCATTTCCCGTATAGTATAGCATAATCAAAACATCGTGTATTCATTCCATCCGTCCATCGGCCTCGTTGCCGAACCCCCGTCTTATCCAGGTATCTGTCGGTCTTGGATCAAGGAAACACAACCCTCAGCTCCTCCACGCCGGGACGCTCCTAGACGTAGACTCGGCGGTGCGAGTGGGAGCTGCGCCTCCGGCTGCCGTGCCTGCTGCCGGAGCTGTGCCTGCGGTGGCCGCGGCGCGAGTAGTGCGTCTCGCGGTAGTACCTCGTGTCCTTGCCCACGCGCTCGCCGTGGAACCAGGCGAGCACGGCGGTGAAGAAGAAGAAAATGCAGTTCATGATGCCGAAGGCGAAGCAGGCCTTGAGCATGGCACAGGTCTTGTTGGTGTCGACCGTGATGCCGTTGCCGTTGAACGACCCGAATATGCCGAAGTCTACATCGTATGTCGTGCCGCGGACGTCGGTGCAGTTTGCGCCGGCGATGAATCGGAGGTAGTAGACCGCTGCGATGAAGGCGCCGACAAATCCTGTGGGGAGACGCGGGTTAGTGGGCTGCGCTGAGGTGTCCGGGAAACGAAGCGATGGGCCTCGTGGGAGGAGGTTCGTACCGAGATCAATGATGGCGACAAACAGCGCATTGGAGCTGCTCCTGTGGTAGGAGAAGAGCGTGAATATAGCCCACGCCAGGGCTAACACCGATACTATGAATAATATCAAGATGTAGTTTGGCGTCAGCTGATTGGCGTTGACATAGCCATTGACAAAATAGGCCAGCATGCCCATCGTGGGGATCTGTCAAGGCGCAGAGGGACTCATGTCAGCTGGATTGAAAATTGGTGGTTGCGACTCGCAAAGATGATGCACAGGTGCGCTCCCGGGCGTGTGGAACGGACGACATGGATGCGCCGAGGTCGCAAGAAGTCTGAGTGCTTACCAAAGTGATGATCTCCAGGAATCGCCAGAAGACGAAACCGATGGTGAAAAGAACTGCCATGATGAATGACTTGGTTGCGAAGGCCTGGTGGTGGGTGGTTGGTAGGCCTTTGGGGGGGCAGGGCGGTTGCGGTTCTCGTGGGTTTTAAGGTTTCCCGGGAGAGGTTGCGCAGAGGATGCAGCGAGGAAGAGGGATCGAATTGCTCAGTGCGCAATGACGAGCAGATGGGTTATTCTGGGCGGTGGTCGCACGATTGGCCGTTGCAGGCGGACTGACAGGAACAGGAACAGGACAAGAGTGGTGCCTGAGGGTAAATCGAGTACAGATGTAGAGTGCTGCACGGGTAGAAGTATAAAAGTCGGGTGGCAGGGCGAGGACGAGAGCGAGGGTGAGGGTGAGATAGCCTTGTATCCTGGCCTAGAATAACAACAACACCGTTGGCCCGTCGGTTTTGGGATGGCTGTGCAGGGGTGGTTCCCAGTTTCCACAAGGCCTGAGAAGGTTGCGTCGATGGGGGAGCCCTGCTTGCCAGCTTGCTTGCTCAGCCCAGGGTCGGAGAGTGTGGGATTGCGAAGGAAAAAGGACGAAGACAAGGGACCAATGCCCTGGTGGGGAGACACTTGATTCGGGGAATTGTTTTGGACTCTTCTCTGATGATGAGCTCAAGCTGCAGCGACCTGCAGGTGGGCGTCAGTGCCAGCTGCCAGCTTGGCTACATACAGCACACATGTGGACTAGATGCTGATGCCGGCTAGACCAAGCATAAGCAGCCAGGCGGCCCTTTTCCCTTCGATGAGGCTTCCAAGAAGCAAACCAGCAGCCCTCCAAGCCTGTGCCTTGCAACCATGTGACGTCGCTGATCGCCAGCTCGATTGCTGTTTCGGTCCAGGGCTTCGCGAGATGTGCGGCCAAGATCTGGGGGCCCTGCACTGTGATCGCCTGGCAATCCGGGAGAGCGACCCGATACAATTGTGACAGACAGGAATCTCGTCTGACGGACTGTTCAATCTCTTGGACGGAATTGGTCGTGTCGGTCTTGTCTTGACAGTCTCGCGTGCGGAAAGGAAGTTCTGCCCAGGCGACGATGATGACGTTCCCTCACTCCCTCTCATCCGTCCATCCATCCCTCCTTCCCCTACCTGCCTTCCCACCCCACGTTCCAACGTTCCAACCACATTGGAGGAAACGGAGGTGAAAATCCGCGGGGCTGGGTGTGGACGGTGGGCCATGAGACGGCCGACTGGGGGAGCTTGGGGTCGCATCAGGCCCAAGCTCCCTGTCTCCCCAATCCTGGGCCCCGCTAGCCTATGTTTTTAGCACCCGTGTGGGTCGGCGGGAGGCTGGGAATGACACCCAAAGTCAACCCGTTCATCACCAACTCAGCTCTGGTCAACCAAGATGCATCAAAACTTGGAATCTACCGTGACATTCGTACAGTACCCTTCTGACAAGGGGCCTGAGGACTGTCTCTTGGTTGTCTGAAACAGATCGACACAGACCTCGCTCTCCTAGCAGCTCAGCCCAGCCCAGATCAGCTCAGCTCACCCCACGTGCCACATTCACGACAGTAGATGCGAGATTCCCTCCATCACACCACTCACACCATACCACAACAAGGCACAATTACCTGCGCTTCATCGCTATTCAACCAATGCTGGCCAAAAGGACGATACGGTGAGATTAACCAGGCTGGTCTGTGAATCTCATTGTAGACAACTTCCACACTATGCTCTCACAGCAAGTATTCCAAGCCCGTCAACGCACCTTGCGTCTTCAGTAGAACAAGACACAAGACACAAGACACAATGTCTTTGTCCTATGCCGGCGCCCACGTTTAGTGTTTTGGTCTCGCCCATGTGGCATCAACACGGCATGACAGGCATATTCCTCGGCTCAAGCCGCTTGTCGATCTGGTGAACCTCAAACGGGCAATAGTACAGAGGATCGTCCAGACTAGTTACCAACATCAGCAGATGAACAAGATGCCACACGTTAAGTCAATTCGCGACCACGCTTGCGTTAAGAATTTAGAGATTATCCAACACTTGAATCTAGGCTGCACCTTCTCACCTCGGTCCAACCCCCCAAGATGCCAATGATATTGTCCTTAAGTCCCCTCCCAGAAAAGCCCACCAGTGCCTGAGAATCCCTGCCCCCTCCCCCCACACACACACCAGATTTTATATGTGAATATTATATACCCAATATATGTTTAAAAGACCCTATCGAGGAATAATATCGTCCACGTCCAACTCATCAAAGTCCCGAATGGCCTGCGCAACACTGCTCGTCTCGCTCGGGCTAAGCAGCGGCCGGCTGTGCCTCCGCCTCACCCCCCAGCCCTGGTCATCGCTGTCCTCCTCGCCCTCCCTGACCGCCCCGAAGCTACCCTTGCGGGAGCCCGACCGCCGCGTCCGCCCCGACGAGTCCACCCCCGTGGAGATGTGAAGCTTCCCGCGGTCGCGCCCCGATCTCATGGGCCACTCGCTGCCGCCGGCGACGGCCTCCTCCATCTCGTCGAGCCGCGACGACGACGCGTGGCCGCCCGGCGCCGCCCCGCCCCGCCGGCTCCCGAGCGTCTCCGTGCTGCGCGCCACGCCGCGCAGCCCCGTCCTCGACGACGCCTTGCTCGTCCGCCCGCCCGGGGGCGCCGTGGTCACGGACGACGTGGTCGACATGTGCAGCCACGACGACGTCGTGCCCGCGTCGCTCTGCGCGTCGTACGACGTCACGCTCCCGGCGTAGTTGGGGTACCCGCGGTGCTGCCCGCTGGCGCTGGGGGCGCGGCTGGACTGGGTCGATGACGAGCCCATCAATATGCCGCGGCCCGTGCTTGATGGTGTGGGTGGCGGCTGTGGGAAGGAGTAGCCGTGCCTGGCGTCGATGGGTGAGTTGTCGTCGGACGCCTGACTGTCGATGCCACCCTCCTCGCTTGCCGAAGTGTTGCTGTTGTTCCATGCCTGTGGCGCGAGCCAGCAGTACGAGAGCTCGTGAGACGCTTCTTGCGGCTGGATGCTGGGGGCGTGTTTACCCTTCTTTGCCCAAGGTGGGAGTCTCGCGCCTTTGAGCCGGGGTCCCAGATGGTACGCCACCCCTTCAGAATACCGGACAATGGGCGCATCGGCTGAGATGCTTGCCAGTGTCTGCAGTATGCCGTAGATCAGGATCCATCGGCCCCTCCGGGCAAGGCTTGGGTCGATCTCGCCGACTCGGTCCAATTTCTCGAACTTCACAAAGGCATCGATCAAATCGGTCTGTTCGAAGTCGCTGCCAAGGATATAGACATTAGTCGCCTCCGTGTAAGCCAGCTGGATGCGGCGCTCCACGGCCCCTGGACGCTGCGGGCCCCCGCTGCTCACGGGCGCGGTCTCGCCGGTCTTGCTTCGCTTCCTGCCTTTGTTGCTGGCGCTCAAGGCTGACGCCGGCGGGATCGACTCTGGCACGAGCGGATATGGGTGAGGGAGGTGAGGGTATCGCTGCTTGTTGTCATATTCGATCAGGACGTCAGTCATTGGCAGATCGTCCGTATCCGCCTCAAAAGCCTTGTTCCCGCTCTCTGATATCATGAGCCATTTCCGTGAGGAACGCGTCTCGGACCCATCCCACACAATGTCACGATTGACGAGATAGTCGTAAAGTGCACCAAAGTCCTTCTGCAGGGCCTGAATGACTGTCCTTGTGAGCCACAACGGCTCCTCTGCTTCGTCAGAGGTAACGGCGTCAGCGGGTGGCGGAGGTGGCCAACGTCCCCATACAGTGCGGTAGTAAGACAGGAAGAATCGCTGCAAACGATCGGCACATGCCTTCGCTGGGCTCGCGACGATTGGTCCAGAGGTTACCGATACGGAGGAAAGCGATGGCGGCCACATGTCCTCGTACGAAAAGGTCGCGAGTGGCTCTTCTGCAGCCTGTACTCGGAGATGCATCTCCAGGCTTGCCCTTTCCAGTAGTGCCCTAGTGATAGGGCTTATCCTCTTGAAATCCGGTGAGGACTCCATCAGCGACCGCTCTCTGAGGCTGCCGTACATGCCGGCTACGTGTAAGAAACTCTCGCGCCAGCCCTCTTCCCACCGAACCTTTGGATCTTCGCACCATGCCAGCAAACTGATGGCTGTCTCTGCATCATTACGAACATCGTCGATGCCACGCGCACCGATGTAAGTGATGATGGTGATCAAATTGTCAGTTTCCGCCGAAGGCATGTATTGCTCCATACGCGAGTGAAGATCTGAAAGAGCCTGATACAGGGACAGCCCAACAAGAGAGGCGTGGTAAAGTATGGCGAACACGTTCCGAATGGCAACATTATATCGAATTTGCTCCGTCTTGCTGGCGTTCGAAGGCGGGGAGAAAAATATCTCATAACTAATTTGGCCATCCGTGCTGGTGAGGACCGTATCCTCGGACAGTGGAGGCGTGGGCTGGCCACCGCTGCGATTACCAGATTGGGACTTGTAACCCGTCATTTGATCTCGGGCAGCTGCTGACAAGCTGCTTTGCCGAGGCAACAACATCGGCGGCGCGCCCCTGGGTGATGGCAAGAGTGACATTTCGTCCTCCGTAGACCCTTCGCGAAGCATGGTGATGAGAGGCCGAGACTCAGTCGATTCGATTACATGAGAAGAGAGCCTGAAGGATGGGTTTGGTCGGGGATTCTGCCCCCTGTGGCCTAGGTAGATCAAAACATCGCCATTCGGATCCCAGAGTTCGGGGTCCTTGCGCAGCTTGTTCCATCGCTGCACTGGTCTCCCTGTCCCTATCCACCGCTTTATCTGCGGCGATGATGCTAATGACGGTATTGCAGGCAGTTTGGCCGCTGGGGGTGGCGAGGCCGGCCCCAGAGATGCTTCCCACTGCAGATCGTAGGAGGCGTAGTTGGCATGTGGATAGTGCGGTTGCTCTCGATCCTCAAGTGGTGACAGCTCAGGCTCGCCTGACCGTGGTACCTGGCCAGGCCGTACTGTTGCCGAGGACTCGGGTCTGATTTCCGATGGCCTTCCCACATCCTCAAGTCTGGTCTTTTTGCCGCCAAAAGTAAAAGCCTTTGCAATACCTTGGCGGACCTTCTCACTGCTCTGGTCCATTTTACTCCTCATTCCGGACTTTGATATGCCTACGCCCGAAATATCTTCCGCCTTGATGATAGGCTTCCTGGCTCGGGCATAAGCGAAATCATCCAAAGGATGTTTCGGCTGTGCACCGCCATCGTGTCTCCGACCATCGATGCTGCCGCTGCTTTGGCTGCCCTCTAGCGAAAGCACGTCGCCCTCCGCTGCTGCGCGCCCATTGGCAGCTCCAGCCCTGGCCGAGTCCTGTCTAGCTGGGCCCAGAGCTATCGTGGGCAGCTCGTCAAAATTCGCATCCGATCCATTATGGCCCTTAGCCTTTGGTTCGGTGATCTTCTTGCGCACATACGCACTGCGTCCTGACATGGCTAAGGAAGAACAAGTTCGGACACTTTACAGCGTTACTCTTCTACGGCGACCAGATAGCGTGGGCCGTCCAATTTGGCGCCCAAAAAAAATTAGTTATCCGTCGCCGTGGTAATCATCAGGCGACGCTGACGATGCTGAGCGTCGGTGGGAGGTGCCTGTCAGGTTGAGAGGTTGCCTGTTATCGCTGGTCCCGGACCGATACGGTATCGGGCCGTAGGTGATCGTCAGTCTGGGGGCCGGGCGCACGGAGACGTTACACTATGATGACCATCCTAGTCCCACCACGCATAGAATCATGACTTGGTGTGACTATGACTGGTGAAGCTGATGTGATAAGCACGAAAGGATGAAGAAGGAGAATTTATGCTGAAGAAGGGACGAACAACAGAAGGCGATGGCAATGGCGAGGACAACCTGAAGCATCAGGATGCGACAGACGCGAGTCTAATCCGACGAAACTTTGTGGGCCTGACGAAAATAAGCTTGGTGAGCTGGCGGGGACCCAACTATGTATATGGCCAAGGCGACCAACGAGTTGTGCTTTTGCTGGGTAGCTTCACGGCGGATATTGGGAGCTCTCCGCGGCAGGATCCTCAACCCCAGACCCCTTTTAGCTGCAGGGTATGCAACCAGCTTGTTCCTGTCTGCCTTCGATTTGGCTCGGTTTGGCCTTATCGAGACCCTTGCGTGCAGCTTACATAGTTACATTCCGATCCCTGAACCTTTTCCTAGCCTTACTTCCCAGGGCGGATTGATGGAGCTCTTTGGGTGGACAATACCGTCAATACAATAGAAGACTCGTGTCCTTGATCCAATCAGGATGATAAGAATGAGGGTAGTATAATAACGGCCGGCGCAATCCAACTGAGCAAGAGGGGAGCACCGAGGTGCTTGGAAGGTGATCACTCATCGAGACACAGAAGTACGCGTAACAATATGTTGGAAGATAGAGTAAACAGCCTGCAGGCAGTCCACCAGCAGGCTGGTCTTGGACCACAGCTTCATGCGGCACAGCACCCAATCAAGGCGAAGTAAGGGGACCAGGAAAACTAGCAGCGCAAAAGTAACCAACTGTGGGTTTGGACGCCGATATGTCTCTGTTGCCGGCCTGCCTGCCTGCATGGCGAATCAACCCTGATCGGCATGGGCTTTCTTTTGGGCAGGTGTCGCGAACGTGGAGGCGCACTGGCATCTGCCGTAGACACACAATTCTGAACCAGATGAACAATACGAAGGCGGCTCGATTGGCAGACCAGAGTTCCGTGGTTGCTCGCAGGGGTCGAGGCGCAGAGGTGCCGGGGAGCAACGTGGGAAAGTGGGCTCACCCACCTGTCAGCATAAGTGGCAAGTTACTTTTATGGACACAGCCTCTTGGCGCGATGTAGTTTCGATGCCATTTGCCAACGCCAGGGTTCGTTCTGCCAATTTCAATTGCTGATGATGGTCATTTGCTTGCAAAGCATGAGTTGGTTTCAGAGAAGCTCAGGTTGGGCCTGGCGCTGTCATCGGGGAGAGCGGCGAGGAAGGGCCAGCAGTTTGTTGCTCAACGGGGGTGTGACCCGGTGAGAAAGATTTCGGTTGGGTGTTGCCATCACTCAATGCATTGGGTGAGCGCTGCTCCATTGGTCAGCTAGCCAGCTATCAGCGCCATGCCCTGGACCCCTGGTAAAGCCGAGCCTCTATCGAACCAACACCCTCGAGCAATCTTACCCGTGGCTCCAAACCTTACCACCGCGGCGGGTTCCAATGATTGGCTTGGGTGAGGACGTGAATTCAGGCACGCCGAAGCCCTGAGATTTGGTCATTTAGCGATTGGCCTGTCTGATGAGGGGTATGGCAATGGTTGCATGAATCCTTGAGGCCTGGAATCTGGGCGGACGGAGACGATACAAAAGTCCGCGCCCATAAGCTGGTCGTCGGGAAGCAGCCGGTGAAGACAAAGAGCCCTGCGCCCCACTGATAAGGCGCGGCGTTTTCTCCCTTCAGGCAGGTCGGGAATGAGCTCCTAGTGTCGCTGAGCACTTCAAGACGGCACACGCACTTGGTAGGCGTAATAACGAACCGTCGGGCTCTCGACACCCATCTCAGACCTCTTGATTTCTTACCAAGCATTACTCTTTAGAGTGAAACTGCCGGACACCCGAAGACAGCAGATTGGTGCTTTTTAGATGTTGTATGATGTGTGACCAGAGGACAGCTCGACGGCCCAATGGCTTCTTGGCACTATCAGCTATCGGTCTAGAGGCAGGCCAGCCTTGAAAGTCGGCTCGGCTCCGAGGCTAATGGACGATTGGGCCGTAAGTCGGCTCCACTGATATCAGAAGCACGAGGACTTCTTTCGGAATAGGGCAATCTGTCATCGAGTAGAGACTCGCAAAGACGCGTATACTGCTACCTGATGAACGACCCTGATGAGCGGTGACTCCGAGGGGTTACGAACACCAGCATGGCGTGCTGGTCCTCCGCGCACATCTTCCACCCCCGGGAAATCTTGACCCAGATGAGTGGACCACGTTGATGACGACAATCCTGTGCACCGGAAGAACAGAGCGGGATGAGTGGCTTCTTCTACGGCTCAAGAATTCTGAAGGCTTGAGGCTCGAGGTGGAAGACTGGTCGTGGCTGAAGACGGAGCGAACGGCAAAATTCGAGACCCCACGGCTCTGTGGTAGACGCGTGTGCTTCCCATAAAAGCATCGCGTTGGGCTGTGCTTGTGGCCAAACCAAGCATCAGCGACTCCGAACCATGCTCAAGGAGGGCCAATATTGTCACTCCCTGTGGTTGAGGTTTCCACGTTTACCTGTTCAAGCCCTCCGCCGCGCAGAACAGCAGCGGATAGAATCATGGAGCAATGACAAGGGCTGAGAGCTGAGTCTTTTTAAGAATTGGAGCTTCCAATGATCTTTGTTTAACGGCAAGGGCTCACTTGGATGAGCGGTGGGATAAAGTGGACACGACCTGGGAGCCTGTGTGCCTCAAGCTGTGGTTGCATCTGGCCGGCTTTTGGTGGCTCAGCGACCGCGACGAAGTGAGGTCAGAGAAAAGAAAGTGCGATACAACTCGAAGCCTTGTACTTCTGCAGAATATGCGGTCGGGCAGCGTGGCACCGTCAACGGCGGGGCAAGACGGTGAAAAGGAGGGAGGAAAAGGAAACAAGTCGGGCATCAAATAAGAGTGATGCGTCCGACAACAGGAAGAGGCAGGGTTGCCGCATTGGCAGGGGAATGAGTAACTGACGTCAATCGTGAAGTATTTTCCATCGCATCGCCGTCGACGCACGGCACAGCTTGATCTCCATCCTGCTGTTGGTCGTTGTTGTTGGTTGTGGGCCAGTCAGCGAGTGCTTCTGAAGCCCGACAAAATTGCTTGTTGTCTGCAACTCGGCCTTCAACCCGGAGTTTTCCTTCTCTCCAAACAAGCTGCAACCCCAAGGCTGGGGTATGTCATGCATATCAGGGCCTCGATTGTTTCCATCTCGCTGGATGCTTTCTTTTTTTGTTTTGGATGTTTCCGTCGGAGCTTTTGGGAACTGTACCTGTCGATCAATTCAGTTCTGTCCCAATTAGGGGTCCAAACCCCTGAAGGACCCGGTTTTCCATAAGCAAGCCACACCTCAGAGGTCGAGGTCTCGGATGATCGATTCAGGGTCGTCACCATCCTCACCGGGAGCGGCCCGAATGCGACAGTACGCTGCGGTTGAAGCATCTCAAGACGCACCGTCGATCATTAAGCATAGTCCAAGATAAACGAGATTGGCTCGTGGCGGACCCTCTGCCCTCCTCAATCCCATGCTGAAGAGCCTCACTGTCGGTCGACCGGCCTCAACACCTCGCTTCGCGATCCATGTTCCGTCTTGCCTCGCTCGCATCGAGGCCGATGACCGAGCCGCCCTCTCCCTGTCTTGTCCGGGTCCACCTGGTGTTTCACTTGTCGAAGCTGGATGTTGTCCGTCCGCCACATCACTTGTTTATTTCTCGCGTCCACCTCCCCGGCATCATGCACTAGAACAAGTCCCGTGTATGTCTGGGCAGGCAAAGCGTCCAGGAAAACTACTGCCCTCTGAGCCACAATCAGCAGTACAACACTTGTCACGACATTTCTATCTATCAACCCTCGGCACTCATATAAATACGTGAGCCCACAGCGGGGCTTTGTGGTCGGAGGTTTTCCTTCTATGGGACTGCCGCTATGGATCTTGTGCTAACGCTTACACAATACGGACCTCTGGATCCGAGTGGATCAGCCCCAATGAGGTCGTGCCGCTTCCAACCATGCCATCCACGCGAACGCAGGCATCATATGTCCCAGCAAGACCCGCCGTGCAGCTCGCTAGGCGTATGACGGGAACAGATCATCATCATGAAGATCTGGAAAAATTTGCTGTGTTTCTGTAAGGTACTCGCCTTGAAAGCATTCGGAGAGTCATGTAAAGAGACCCTCGGAGGAAGCAGGGCAGGGAGCCGAAACCTCAACGGCCATATTCATTACCGACAGGTCTAGAAGCGCCTCTAATGCCCCCTTCGCTGAATCGAAACATACCATCTTTGTATCCACCCATGTTCTCGTTGCCCCGGACCGTTGTGTCTGCCCGTTCAGTTTTGCCTACGCGCCCCTGTCTTTCTCGGCACTCCACCCAAAGCTTAGACTCCCGCAAGATGAGATATTGGAAAGGGCTGCACATGCAGTCCTGCGTTTCATCAAGCCCCCATTCACGGCACTTTCAAGGAGTGCCCTGAGAAACACTCTCAGCCTGTAATATATTACTCGCATCGCCCCGTCAATTCCTTGTCAAGTCCAGCTCTATCCTCGCCACCTCTACATTCTTTTGTTGTGTTCTCTGGTCTGTTTTTACACTTTGTTGGTGAGGACACATCTGATTCTCACCATGTTCACTCTTTCCAATCTGACCAGAGGCCTGGTTGCCCTGGCTCTTTTCGCTCTCCCCGGTACCCAGGCAGCCTATCCTAATCCAGGTGCTTGTTCAGGCGACTGCTTCGCTCATGACCCAGCCTTGATAAAGAGATCCTCTGATGGCAAATACTTCCGGTTCAATACTGGTGGAAAGATCATGATCTACAACTCTGACTCCCTGAGTGGACCATGGACTTATCAAGGAGCAGCAATTCCGAGTGGGAGCTCTATAAATCTCCCGGGCAAGGATGACCTATGGGTAAGATTCCTTACTGCTAGAGCAGCCAAGCACATGATTTGCATAACAAATAGTGGCCTCGAGGAGTTCCAAGACATCCAAGGCTAATCATATATCAGGCTCCAGATGTCCGCCTCGTTGGAGATACCTACTACATGTACTATGCCGTCTCAGCCTTCGGCAGCCAAGCGTCAGCCATCGGAGTTGCGACATCAAAAACGCTCGAGGCCGGTTCCTGGACAGATCACGGCGCCACCGGTGTCTCGTCCAAGGCCGGAAGCAACTACAACGCCATCGACCCCAATCTCGTCGAGAAAGCCGACGGCAGTTTTGTCCTCAACTTCGGCTCGTTCTGGAACGATCTTTACCAAGTCCCGATGGCCAGCACGCCCACCAAAGCCGCCGGAAGCAGCTACAACATCGCGTTTAATTCCTCGGGTACTCACGCCGAAGAGGGTCCGTTCATATACTATCGCGCTCCTTACTACTACCTCTTCTGGTCGTCAGGCATATGCTGCGGTTACGATACTACCAAGCCGGCCTCCGGCGAGGAGTACAGGATCAACGTCTGCCGTAGCCAGAGTGTCAACGGGCCCTTTGTCGACCAGCGTGGCGTGAACTGCGCACAGGGCGGCGGCACGACTGTTCTGGCGTCCCATGGAAAGGTTTATGGTCCCGGTGGTCAAGGCGTGTACGCTGATGCAGCCCATGGCGGCGCAGTCCTATATTACCATTATGCGGACACCAGTATTGGCTATGCCGACGCCAAATATCAGTTTGGCTGGAACGGCCTGAGCTGGTCTACTGGCTGGCCTGTCGCTACGTAACGTCACAGCTTCTCCCCTCTCACAACACTGGTGGCTTGCCGGAGCTACTACCTATCATTGTTACTTTCTTGTGCATATATTCTCTCGCCGCATATACTCGATATTTTCTTGCATATAAATAACTCAAATACTATTTGCTGCTATGTATTGATACCTCTCGCAACACTTGGAATTCGTGCAGCATATCGTGCCCAGCAGTGTTCATATTTGACTGTCCTAACCACGCAGGGGCCCCTAGGTGCCCGGTCAGCAGTCTTGCGACGTCTGTGACGAGCACACTCATTGCTATGCTCCAGTATTTTTGAGAGATTTGTGGGTAATCCAGCTTGCTTGTTCAAGGCCTTGCTCATAGTGACTCGCCCACAAATTCACTGCATACTTGAATGATCGAATCATCTATCCCCAAATGTAAAACTTGCGTACGGCGTCGCTTCGACATTTGAATCTCCCCAATTTGATGTTCACATATAATCAATACGTGGCAGCGAGTATCTTACAGTGGCGCATCAAGTAATCTTACTGCTTCTTGGTGTTCCCATTTCGGCAGTGATGATCTTGTTTGTTTCCCCCCGTCTAGCCCACAATCGTGATCTGCTCAAGTATGCTGACACAACAACTTTGTCTGTGAGCTTACATCTCATACACCGTCTTGCTGCGCCCAGATATCGCAATGATGCTCTCTTTCACCCTGATTGGAGCGACTCGGACGAAAGCCTCAATTAAAGGTAGAAACTCGTGCGAAGTGGCCAAACACATCCCCCTATCTGCTGAGCAATGGGCTATCGTCACATTCGCTGACCACCTAATAAATGCAGTGTGACGAACCCTCCATCCGGTAACAGCACCGATACCCGCGGTGCTGCAGGAAGTCGGCCGCTGGAGTGGGTCATGATACCCTTGTTCTTACCTCTCAAGGGCGACGGCCAGTCCTCTCATGGCTAGAGGTGGCACTTGCAGATGAGCGGTGGGTTGGGAGGAGACAGAGTGATTGTTGTTGAAATTGTCTCCATGCGTCCAGCGAGAAGAAAACTTTAATCTTACTCTTCGTACGAACTCGTCTTACTCTCCTCCAAAACAGTGACAAACCAGAGAATCACGACCATTACAGGCAAGTATGGATACCAAAGAGTTCAGCGGACCTCGATTTATCGACACAATCGCTCGCCCTCAAAAGGTGAGGCCCATCAAAGTGATTGTCCTCAGCGCGAGCAGGTAAGCGTTATCAGTAACCCCATGAACAAGAACTAGTCATCCTGTCTAACAAGTAAGCAAGGACTGGGACCTTGAGCTTGTACAAGGGCCTAAACATGCTGGGATACAAACCTTATCATGTGGTTGAAATGTGCGCTGGCGGCTTGGACCACTTTCGAATGTTTAGCGACTTTATCAGGCTTAGCCGTGAGAACGGCGGTAGCTTGAGACCATACGGGCGCCCCGAATTCGACAAGTGGTTCACAGGATTTGACGTGAGTGCCTGCCTTTTATTTTTGTCATGACCAGTGCGAGGTTTAACATACAGCACAGGCAATATGCGAGATTCCAAGCTATGGAGGGGGCACACCCTTCGTGGATGCCTACATTGACGACCCGGACGTCAAATTCATCCTAACAGAAAGGACACCCGCGTCCTTTGCACGGTCCATCAATAATACGGTCGGGCGCTTTTGCACGGCAGGACACTCGTTCCCTATGGGGCTTTTGAAATACTTCGATACCTACAATCGGGAGTTCTTCAGACTCGGGGATGAGATGTATCAGATCTATGCACAGGGTAAGATGCCGGATGATCCAAATTGCGGCGAGATGATCGAGCGTTGGTACGAGGAATAGTAAGTACACGTCCATCACATGTATCAAGCTCTGCTCTTTGAACGCCATTGAGAAGAAGTGCCTAACTCTATTTCTCCAGCATAAAGAAAATAAAAAAGTCCGTGCCGTCAGAGAGGCTGCTCCATGTACGGCTGGAAGACGGATTAGGGTGGGAGCAAGTATGTCCATTCCTCGGTGTTGATATTCCTGAGACACCGTATCCAAGGGGAAACCTGCCAGATGAGTTCAAAAAGATTTCCGAGGGATTTTTGGAACCCGGTATCAAGAAGGCCTTCACCACGCTCGCAGTCTCTGCTTTGGCTGTTATTGGCGTCAGTGTGTGGTGGATCCGCCGATAATTGTGTGACAAATTTAAAGAGAAGCCGACTGGGCCTGTGCAAACTTAGAGAGTTTACTCGGAAATGGGAACTTTTTCTTGCATTTTGCCCACTGAGTAAATTCTAGCTGTATATTTTAAATTACTGTGAAAGTGACAGATCGTAGCACTCTAGCTTTGTTAAAACATACTGATGTCTGATCAACTGAGTCTACTTAGTCTCGCTTTGCGATCGCGACATAGAAACTTATATCATGTGCTAGAGAACTAGCATTCAAGCCGAAGCTAGGCAGGGGAGAATCCCTAGTAATCCAGTTTTAGGTTATGCTAGTGGACTTTAGTTGTAGGCAGATGATCAAGGAACGTATCGAAAATAAGGCCTTTCAATATTATCCCTTCTTCACTACCTACCTAGTTTGGTACTTAGGTACACACCCAGACCCGTGCGCAATTTGCAAGTTGCACCTTCCGGACTTGATATGTTATCTTACAAATGAGAAAGAATCAAACAGACCTTGCCTTCTGGTCTGGCTTCGATAGCTGTTCAAAGTTGTTGGTAGGCCTTCCATCTGCCTGCCCGTACCAGCCACAATCCTTACTTCTCATTTTAGGGAACATTCTTCATCAAGAACAAGCTCAAGCTTCTACGCAAACAATTGCATTATTACATTCTCATGAAGGAGCTTATGGTATCGCAAAACTGGAATACGGGTATCACTAGTGATCGTCGTCGATGGAATGACCGCCCTGCTTTGCAGATACCTACACTGCTCTTTGCTTCGTTTTCGTTTTTAAGCTAAAGCCATTTGTCGTGGCTTTTCCTACCAGTAAGTGATTCTTATCTTCCAGTTTCAATGGCTAGCCAGCCCCTTTTTTCTGTTTCTGTCCGCATGCCTCATACACGCTCCTTTGTGCTTAGCCCCGGCTTTCATCACCATATTCGTCTCAAAAGCATTCCCTGTAGCCCTCACCGCCGGATGTCCACAAGCTCTACAATGCCTTTCTACGTTCAGATCTGTTATCCATTCACGGTTCTTGCCGCTGTCCTTCGTTTCCTTTCGCAAACGCCGGCAAATGCTAAACATGCGCTAACCTCCCGTGCTTGACAGAAAAAGACGACATCATGACATCCGAGGTTGGCATCGATGCTGATTCTCCACTCAGGACGAGGCCTGGAGAGAAATACTGCATTATCTGTGCTAAATCCGACGACAAAATGAAAAAATGCTCCGGCTGCAAATCTGTTTGGTACTGCGACAAAAAATGTCAAATGACAGATTGGCGCAGCCACAAGATCCTCTGCAGCAAGTATGTCGAAGCCAAGAAGCTGAGAAAACTTAACCCTGGCCGCCAATACGGAGGATTTCTCTTCCGTTTTGACTCAGTAGGGCCAGAGATTGTTGCTCTCCCTAGCCCAAATGTTGGGAGTGGTCAGCTCTCTGTTTTCGTCAACCTTTTGCGTACTCCTGGAGACCCAGAGCTTGGCCCGTCGTTCATGCCCTTTTCATTTGGATTTAATCGCCGCTTGCGCCGTGAAAATATTGGTAAATACCAAATCTCAGTCACTCTTCGCACCCGGGTTATGATCAACAACCCGATGCCTAACAAATCCCTCGTCACTTCTGTCAAGGCCATTGGCTCCGAACTCCCACCCCATTACTGGTATGGCAACATACTGGTTTCACGTAACAATTGCGAAAGCGTCACAATGGCTGACTTTCGCCACACCCTCGACTGGTTCGCCATGTACCCTCGAGATGCCCTCTACGCAGTCGCGGCAGCAAGGACTCCCCTGGACCTAAAACAGGTCTGGCCATCTTTTTGTTTTTCTACGATCAGAGGTGTTCAGATCCAAGGCGGCCGGGAGTTCAAGGAGACGGAGCGCTACAAGGCCGTTGATGTCCCCGCCGATAGCTCGATCCGCGGGCTCTTCAGCCGGCTTCAGGGAGAGATTTCCCCCATCTCCAAGCGATTGGGTCGGCCTTTGCGCCTCATCTCGGAGCCTAGCAAAGTGCACGCACCCAGCTGGGAGCATGAACTACCGTCTTGCGGTCCCGTGACGGCCCTCCTGCGCAGTCTCACCAAAGACTTGGACGCCCCCTCCCCTGGAATGTTATTCAGTCTGCCCCGTGGAGGTCTGCTTCGGGACAACCGAGCTCTTGTAGTCCGCGCTGACGACAAAGACCTGTCTATCGACGAGCTCAGGGCCATGGCGTACTTTGCCGAATACATGTGTAACGTGAAAATTTACGGCGTCGTGCGGTTACCCCGGGAGGACGAGCCAGCCCTTGAGGCTGCCATGAAGGAGGCGCTGGACTTCATGACCTGGGACAACTGTCTCCTGGCATTCGACAAGCTGCGCATACCTCGGCATCAGCAGCCAGCGAAGGAAATGTTCGTCGACACGCGTGATGCGGCCAGACCTGAGGATCTATAAGATGAGTGTGGGCAGGATTAACTCGGGTGCGGCTCGAAGAACTGTGCAGACAAAGTTACCCCTGAACGATCAAGTATAAATAATACTAGCCCAGCATCAAAAAGTTAAAAAGAAAGTTGAACGTGTTCAAGCGCTCTGCAAGTGTAAAATTTGAGATTCCATCAAATTGCGAGCCGTACATCTTGATCCACAAAATAAAGTTCCGTCCCGTAGCGGCGTTGATTCTAGTAGTAGCAATCTATTTAGCCGCAGATAGATCTTTGCACCGCAGGTAAGTATAATCCAGAGTATCCCAATACACTGTGATGGTGCTGCTTAGCAGGTATGGCAAGAGTTCGCCCGCATAACGCTACCGGCAAACAGTTGAGTAGCCGGGAAGAACTGCTTGAAGGTGCTGTAGGCCAGCGCAATGTCACTGTTAGCGTTGTGCTGGAGATTAATGATGATGCGCTTCATGCCAGCGGCTTTTCTTTGGATGAGAAAGTCCTATACGGTATCCGCAAACGCCTGGATGGCTTCGTCGTCAGCCCAGAACGTCGGGTACTAAGAACGGCCAAAGACTTATCGCGCAAGAAATATACGGTGAGGTCGCTGGTAATGGTGAGGTTGCTGGTAATGGTGAGGTTCTTTTGCTATATATCGGCTTGGGGAAACGTGCCGCGGCCCCCCTGCATCTTCCGCGACGTTGGCCTCGAACTCGTCCGTCGTAATGTTGTACAACGCGGGATAGAAGCCGAGGACGAAGAAGTTGTAGAAATTGCCGCCAATTTCCAGCGGGCCTGTTTCTTTGGGGTTGTAATACGCTGCCCAACCACTGGACGTCCAACGTCGACTCATCCTCAAACACATATGTTAATGTGTCGCCGGGGAGAAGCTCGAGCTTCCACCCCAGAGGGAGGCATTGGCGTCCAGCACATCGATGCCAGGGTTGTCCACCAGCAGGTTCCAGTCTGCATGAGCTTCTGACGTCCCCCAGGAGTTTAAGGCTGCAAAACGGGTGAACTAGTCGACGACATAGGTGCCATTGATGCGTTTGGTTCTGTCTGATTCATTGTTAGCTTCCAAGTACAGTTCCATACCTACATGCAGTGAGGACTTCAGGCATTCTCACCTATCAAGTACACCTTGAGCAGCTGAATACCATCAATCGAAAGGGATGTAAGTCTATGAGGAGTGCCAAAGCTAAAGGACGATACTAGGCTGCCGAACAGGCTGATATATGAATCATTTCCTGAACAGATAACGTTCTGGATGGTGGCCTCGAACTGATACTCATTGGCAAACCAATTATTATCGATAGCAGCATAGATCTCATTCAGACCGGCGATGAGGTCTACTGCAAGCTGCTGGCAATGAGTCGGGGGCTCCTTGAGGTAGTCGAGAGTGCTCTGGAACTGCATCGTGTCGTTCCAATACTGTATGAAGCGAGTGGCAACCGCTCGGTCTATAGGCACCGTCACCCAGAAGTTGTAAACATCAACAGCCAGCACAACACCATCTTTTTAGAGGTATGTTAGTGCATTCCACACTGAACTTGAGCGGGATTGGCAGGACCACTTTCTCGACAAACTGGCACGAGTATTACGGATCAGGTCTTCGCAGGCGTGGGAGGGCTCTGGGTTGACGTTGACGCTGTCAGGGTCAAGGTTAGGAGCAGGAGCAGCTAGACTGATGCTATTCAGGCCACGTCGCTGATTGACGAAGGCGTGGCACACAATTTGTGACTGGTATTTGTGGACGCCTGCTGATTGTAGTGACTGAAGAGTGTTGACTACCGAGACGGCAACGGGGAAAAACGCGAGACAAAAAACCCCATAGTCTGATTATTGTTGAAAATTGAAAGTTGCTGACAATTCAATCTGTTGACAAGGGGGAAAAGAGCGAAAATAAAGCCATATGGTCTGAGTATTGTTGGAAATTAAATGTTGCTGATGATTTGAGCAATTTGTTTAGGACTTTGTGCATTTGTTAACTGAGTCTTGTTCATGACCAATGTGGTGTATAATCGAATAGGGAGTGGTAAGAGTTTAACTGAGACTGAGGAGATCTAGAGCCCAAATTATAAAGATGTAGCTGCTGAGGATCCTGCTGAATGCCCCGTGGGTGATTGATGTTCTTTTTCTTATTCTCTTATTCCTTTTTCGTATTTCTTTCTTTTTCTTCTTATTTTTTTTCTTTTTTTCCCTTTTTTCTTTTTCTTTTCTTATTCCTTTTATTATTTCTTTTATTTCTTTTTCTATTTCTTTTTTATTTCTTTTTTTCTTTTTCTTCTCTTTTTTTTCCCTTTCTTTTTTCTTTCTTTTTTCTTTCTTTTTTCTTTCTTTTATTATTCTTTTATTATTCTTTTATTATTCTTTTATTATTCTTTTATTATTCTTTTATTATTTTTTTATTATTCTTTTATTATTTTTTTATTATTCTTTTATTATTCTTTTATTATTCTTTTATTATTCTTTTATTATTCTTTTATTATTCTTTTATTATTTTTTTTTTATTTTTTTTTTATTTCTTTTATTTCTTTTCTTTTTCCTTTTTATTCTTTTTCTTTTTTCTTTTTTTCTCTTTCTTTTTTTTCTTTTTTTTCTTCTTTTTATTATTCCTTTTATTTTTTTTCTTATTCTTTTTTAATTTTTTTATTTCTTTTTTTTTTCTTTATTTTTTTTTCCCTTTTGTTTTTCCTTTTTTTTCCTTTTCTTTTTCTTCTTTCTTTCTTTTTCTTTCTCTTTTTTTCCCTAGTAAATTCTAAGTGGAATTATTTAATTTATTATCTAGTTAGGTACTTTTGGTATATCGGTAGGGTAAAGTGCGTTGTCCTTCCTGGCATCCTGTGCTTAGTTCTGCTGAGGTTCACCCTTGCCGTCAACCAAATTCCCCTGCTGGCAGCTTGCCTCAACGTCCCCCACGGCTTCCTCGGATCAGCGCTGGATCATCCATGATGCGCGACTGCATGCTGGCTGCCCTCCTCTGGGATAATATCCTACGAGGTGATCTTTGTGAACACCCGAATGAGATGACATTGTACACCTTTGGCTCTGAAATAAAGGACGTTTGAGTGGGCTGGAATAATTCTAGTGGGTACTTCGCTGTCCAAGGAAACACTATACTTTTTATCCACGGCTTGCCCTACCCAGCTTAAAAGCATATATTACAGCAGTCTGTTTATACGTGGAATCGCCGACAAACACGCAGTCTAGCTCAAACCTGAGGAGGACCTGCCAGGTGGCAACCAGCCTATAAAAAGCGCAGGCGTGGAGAGGAGGTATACCGCCACTCACGTCCCAGGAGCTCATCTCATCAGATCGAGTCTGCCACGCGATCTGCAACACGCATGCTAGCCGCTCCTCATCGTCGACCATTGTGAGGATGCGTATGCTGTTCTCCACCGCCGACTTGGCCTCCCTGGCGTGGACACCCCAGTAGCATGCTGCGTAGGGGCGATGGGTGCTCTTGTACCGCCTTCTCAAGCGTTCAAGGGCCATGTGGAAGGTTGAATTCAAAGGAGATGAGGATCCAATGCCAGCACCATTGGACGGAGCGCTCTTAGCCGGGAGTCACGGATCATTCTTTGCCCTGTCTGGAGAGGAACACCCTTCTATAGACGCTTGAGGCACGGCATCAGATTGGATCAATTATGCAATTGATACCTAATTCGCATTTTTTCTCCGGCTAATGAGCACTCAAGACTACTGCCGGTTGAATACGATTGATAGACTGAGAGTCGATCAAAATTTGATGCATAATAGGCACAGTAGCTAGGCAAGGACCATTGGACAGACGAAGTCACAGTACAGCGGGTTCTTGAAGCACTCATCGATGAATTAACGAGTAACTCGGGACAAAACCTCACGAGGGATGAACACGGAATCCCGAAAGCTGCGGTCACGATTGAAATTACTTCATTGCATTATATTCACGCATACAGTAGAACATTTATAAAACAACAGGCCAGCGACCCGTGTAAGTACAAGCCCATTCCGTCGCGTCGCGTGTCTATGTGTTTGTGTGTGTGTGTCATATTGCCCCGAACTCCCGGTTCAATACCTCGGAGATGTCACAGCCCGGGGCGAACCCCAAGTTCGCCATGAACTGCGGGTCCGCGTCGACGCGATCTATATAGTCCATGGACGAGAGGTCGTCCAAGATGGCGTCGTAGTCTAGCGAGCCCCCGCCGAAGCTCTCGCGGTGCACCGCGCCGGGGTTGGCGTGTGAATGTTGTCCCATCGCGCGCGGCCCAGGGCCGCCATGTATGATGGGGTTGGTGTCCATCATGTTGATGCTTGCGTTGTTCACCTGTGGGCTGGCAGCTGGGTTCAGGGCCGGCTGTGTAGATGGAGAGAATTGGCCCATCATGAAAGGAGATGCGCCTGGTGGGCGTTGCTTTGCAGCAAGTGTCGGAGTCTGGAGGCGGTTTGTTGGTATGAACCCTGTTGTTGTGGCCGTTGGTATACTTTTGGATGTGTGCATGGACGTGGAACCCATGGATGCATTTGATGCACCGGCGGTGTTTGAGACGGCAGAGCCTGGCCGAGGCTCACTGGAAAACCTGTTTCCAGCGGGTGTCCAGATCATTGTTAACATGATCCTAATAGACTGCCACCTCTCCCTACTCGGTGTCTGGAGCTCGGCGAAGCTGCGGTGCTGGCTAAGCATGGCCAGGCAGGTGGCGAAGAAGGGCGGTGTTCCGCAAGGGCCGAACTGAGCCAGGTATTGCTCAATGGATTCTAGAATGAGAGCGCACGGCGACTCTGCCGAATTAAGCAATGCGCTGACCCATAGAAACAAGACTCGTAGAACATAGGCGGATGGTATCGTGGCGGAGCTAGAGTCCCGAGCAACTATGAAGTTGCCGAAAGGCAGGCGCGGTTTTATTGTCTGGTGTAGCAGTATCGTTACTTCTGCGGGAGTCTCCAAAGCCCGACCATTCTGCCTGTGCAGCGATCTTTTCCGCAGAAACTTGAAAACATCGTAAAGCTGGTTGAAAGTGGTCAATGAGTAGGCCGGACTTCGCGAAAGGGTAGCCGGGCCAGAAAAGCCCTGACCGAAACCATCACATGGCGCCCATGGCTGCCATTCATCCAAGTTATCTTCTGGAATACTCATGCCCTCGAGTATACCTGCAGTCTCGAGACTCGGCATGCCTCTCCGATGGACGAATATCAGAGTATCGAGGATGTAGCATCCCATTAGCGTCGCTGTAACTCGCCGCGAGAACCGCTCATCGCCCAGATGGGCCTCCGAAACGTCTAGGGCAATCCGATGGGCGAGGCCGACCAGTATCCACGCGCATGTCTTCTGGCCTTTGCCAACACTTATTAGCGCCAGAAGAAGCAACGCCCTAGCGTGCTGAATTTCGAATTGGCCCTCTTCGGAAGGCACGAGAGACCTGGCAATATTGTAGAGTTTATCTGGTGAGTACTTGGCGTCGACAGAGTTACTGTGAGCAGAGAGCTTTGCGCTTGAAACATTCTGGTAGGAGGCCAAAGCCATGGCGGCCCAAAGCTCAGCATGAGCGGCAGATGCAGGGCTGGTGCGCTGAACGTCGATGCCTTCGGCAGAGTACAGGTAGACCGTTTTCAACAGGTCTTGTTTCTCGAGGATAGGAAACCAGCAGTGCGTGTAGCTGAAGTAGATATCGAGGAGTCTCCAGTGATTTGGAGGCAAGAATAAGGTCCCAGACACGTCCGCTACAATTAGGCCATCACTTCGTGCCGAAGGCGGCTCGGGGCCCGCACTCGGGGTCTGACTGTGAGTGAGGATCGATGCCTTGTTAGCCTGCTCGGCATCACTGTCACCATCGTCGGATTCAGGTCGCGGTTGGGAGACCTCGCCGCCTGAGAGGATGCGGTCGATGCCCCTGTGGACTTTGCTCCTCCTCCATCTCTTGTGTAAGCGGTTGGACTTCTCGGAATCCTTGCCGACCAAGAGGCTTTGGCCCTGGCCACCCTCGTGCATCAGCAGGTTCTCCAGAGACTCCTCACAGCCGGGGACCTTGTCGAAGAGCCATGCCAGGGCGACCTCGAGGGTCTTGATGTAGCCGGTCTGGACGCCTCTCTTTTTGGGGTTGGCCTCGTATGTGCAGGCGCGGTTCTGCGAGACGCAGGGGAAACACAGCGGCTGGATGCCATCGCATTTCTCACGGGCGGCGCGGCACTGGTCGCAGGCCCTGGAGACGCGCTGGCGCTTGACGGGGGCGTCACGGGCCGAGTTGGTATTGGAGTTGGCGGGGCTCGCGGTGGCGGAGGGGGCATTGTCGGCCTCGGAGGTGGTGGAGGTGGTGGTGGTTTGTTTTCGCTTGGGAGGCATCGCAAGCCAGTGGCTTAATAGTTGCAGCACGTCGTGCCCAAGTGTGCATGTCCCCCTGGCGATCTCATCTCTGTGTCATGGTGAAGCGCAGCAGGGCGAGACAAGATGGATTGGCATTCATCCGCGTATCTCGTCCGGGGGGGCAGCAAAAGGAAAGGGTTGACGGGTGGATTAGACGGATCAATTGGGAGCTGGTGCTGGTGCTGGTGCTGGGTGCAGTCTAGAACTAACTGCTCTGCACTCGGATGCAACCGACCTCGGGTAGCCGACGGTGACACAAACCAGCAGCAAAAGCAAAAGTAGTCCACGGCACAGGGTCTTTCTCTAGCCTAGTGGGTGGGTGTGTGTACGTGCCTGGCACCCAGTCTGCCAGTCTGGGGGCAGGTATTAGGCTAGGCTGCGTATTGGCGTGGGCGTGGACGTGGGCGTGTGCGTGTGCCCGTTTGTGTGGAGGTGGAGGAGCAGAAAGGAGCCAGACAGACAGGCCAGAACAGGACCTTGTGGATCGGATCTGGGGAAGAAGCGTGCTCCTCGGACAAAGGTCGTGGATAATCACTTAACCCCCAAAGTCCCGCACCCACATCCACCCCACCATCTACCACCCACCATGACCAAGCTACCCTTGCCCACGCATTACGAGCCTCCCAAAACTTCTCAAAGCCGCGGTCAGTTCCGCGGCCCCACCCCCAAGTCGTCATTCCCTTGCTACTCCCTGCTGCACAGGGACACAGGTTGTGACAGGGTCCATTGATGTGCGCCGCCCACCATCCGTCGGGCCTTTACCACTTGTCCGCCCGTCTGTTGGCCCGCCTTCTCTCTGCCTCAGTCGGTCTGTCACTCAGTCTGTCAGTCAGTCTGCCCTCCCTGCCTCTCTGCCTGCGCTGGGCTAGTCTGTAGCTGATCTGATTACACACAGTACTGTACACCCTCTGATTGCTCTAGCTGCTCAGCTTGGTCAGCTCCCCAAAGCTGTCTGGACTCTCGTGTGCCTCCTTCCGCCCGCGGCTCGCTTGTTGTGTTGCAGCAGACGATGCGCAGCCGACGACCGAAGTAGACCCGCACCTTTGGATCGTCAACCTCGACTCGGTTCTCTCACCCCTTGCACTCCTGCTCACCCTCGCAGTCACCCTCACCCTCACCGGCGCAGGCACAGGCACAGGCACAGGGACCAAGCACATGGCCGTGGCGTGACCCCCTCCTCGCCCCTCTGGCCCGCAGGTCAAGATGGCTTCTGTCATGGCTGGCAGTAAGCGCAACTTTGCCACTGTCGCCGCCGATTGGGAGGACACCCAGCAGCAACAACAGCCCGTCTCGAGAAAGCTGAGTCCCTTCTTGAGCCATATCGTCAATGCATATGAACCATCCCCGCCAACACCGCTCGGCTCGCCCTCCAGAGGTATGTGGTTTGCTCCTGTCTGCGTATGGCGTGGTCTGTCCAAGCTGTCTCACCGTATTAACTCGGATACACAGCTTCTCGCTCTGCGCCGAGCTCTCCTCCACACTCACCTGACTTCTCCACCGCCAGAGTCTTCGATGCCGATGCCTCCATAGTCTTGACTGGACTGCGAGGCGCTGGGAAGTCTACCCTGGCCATCATTGCCTCAGGCGCCATGAAGCGCAAGGTCATGGACGCCGAGAGGGCCTTTCAGGACATGACTGGCCTCCCTACTCCGGTCTTTAAAAAGAAACATGGCCTGACCAGCTACCACAGCCGCCAGGCCGACGTACTGGAGGATCTTTTCCATCGCTATCACAAGAATACCATTATAGTGTGCTCGTGGATGGAGCGCAATGCCCAGGCCCTACTGCGAGAATACAGCCACATACACCCAGTCATTTATATCGTTCGGGACACACAAGCTATCAAACATCACCTTAAAATAAATGACGATGCGCGGCTCAAACAAATACTCGACGCCAGTGGTCTTTTCTTCAGGAGGTGCAGCCACTTCGAGTTCTTTAACGTCTCCGAGGACATGACAAAAAAGAGCAAGGCCGACTCGCTGGATGGTCTAGAGACTGCGCTTGACAAGAGATCGCCCGCCCCATACCTTACTCTCAAAAGGGCAGAGAGACATTTTCTGAAATTCCTGTCGCTTATACTACCGAGGGGTTCCATACCCTTCATAGAATCCGCCTTCCCCCTCGCGTCAATCCCAACCGAAGACAGACAGTTCACCTACGCCGTATCGGTTCCCCTATCCGCCCTCTTGGCCAACAAAGTAGACATCGAAGATATTGAAACAGGCGCAGACGCCATCGAAATCGTGGTTGACGACTTGGTTTTGCCCTCAGCCTCGGATATAGTCAAGGATGGCCTCAGTCCTGAACACGCAAGTGACATTAGTCGTGCCTTGGGCGACATCCGGAGGAATCTTGTCATTCCTATACTTTACCATGTGGTTTTCCCCGAGTCAGCACTGCATGATGGTGCATGGAAGTCCTTGTACCTGGCGTACCTACAACATGGCCTGCGCTTGGCCGTCGAATACATGACAGTTGACCTGCGGCTGGAAAACGACTGCATCGCCCAACTTCGCATGGCCAAAGGGCGTTCGAAACTTATCGGCAATTTTCAGCTAACAACAGAACCCGCACCGTCTTGGGCTGACTCCCTATGGCTCAGGTCATATCAAAAAGCACGAGACTTGGGCTGTGACCTGACCCGACTGTCGCGGGTTGCTAGCCATCACCTCGAGAGTTTCGACATCGGCACCCTACGCACAAGGCTCGATGACTTGGGCGAGCCGAAGCTGCCTGTCATTGCTTACAACACCGGGAGGAAAGGGAAGACTTCTTCCTGTTTCAATCAAATATTGACATCGGTCCTGCCAGTTGGCTCGGCCGCCAACACAGGACAAGATGACGACGAGTATTATCCGCATCCCTCCATCACCGCTCTCCAAGCAACGCAGAGTCTCTATTCGTCGTTTGTATTCGACCCAATGAAGCTCTACGTTATTGGCGGTTACGTGTCCTTCAGTCTGTCTCCTGGCATGCATAATGCTGCACTGAAAGCTCTCGGTATCCCACACCACTACCGGCCGCACAGCACATCATCGATTCGGAGCCTGCAGGAGGTTGTCATGGACCCCTACTTCGCTGGCGCATCCATCAGCCTGCCTTTCAAGGTCGAGATCATCAGCATCACACACTCATTGAGCAAGCACGCAAAGGCAATCGGGGCTGTCAATACCTTGATACCCATTCGCGCACTCAACGAGGATGGGACTGTCCCTGAGGATGCTCGTCTCTTCCATTGCCGCAACCGAGCCGGGCCGATTAAGGCACTATACGGAGAGAACACAGACTGGATTGGTATCCGGGCTTGTATTCGCCGGGGCCTGTCGCCGGCGAACGCTGTGCGGTCCACCAGCTGCGGCCTTGTTGTGGGAGCAGGCGGCATGGCAAGAGCTGCCGTGTACGCTATGCTCCAGATGGGGGTGAAGAACATTTGTGTTCTCAACCGCACGTGAGTTTCACATACGCTGCTGAACCTGTCGATATATTCTAACCTTGGACATATAGTTATGCAAATGCGGAAAAGCTCGTCGCACATTTTACAAAATTACTAGCGAGGGATGACCTACCCTTATTCAGCCCTGACACTGAAGTTGAGACTCGTTTCCACATCCTCAAGTCGAGGGAAGAAGCATGGCCTGAGACATGGCGACAACCAACAATAATCGTCTCCGCCATACCGGGCCACGGTGTCGGCGACACGCCCGCCCCGGATTTCACCCTACCTCCACAATGGCTCGACAGCCCGACAGGAGGCGTAGTGGTTGAGTTCGCCTACAAAACGTTGCACACACCGTTGCTAGACCAAAGCCACCGAGAAGCCCATCGAGGCTGGGTGACGATGGACGGCCTCGACATCCTCCCAGAGCAGGGGTTTGCCCAGTTTGAGCTGTTCACCGGTCGCCGTGCACCACGGCGGTTCATGAGGCGAGAGGTTTTCAGAGCGTACACCGATGAGCAGGGACGCCATCCGGCTCACCTGCGGCCTCGAATAGAAAATATAGTAGAGCAGGAGCCTTGAGGCACGTCAAGTCCAGAACTCATTTTGCCCAGCGGCCATCCACTGGGCTTAATACCGCAGGCGGTTGTTCCGCGGGAGTTCATCTCACGAGATGTCATCTCACGGAAGGCCACAGGGCCTATTTACAAGAAGTTGGCCCATGGGATACTGTCCCGCAGAAAAATGGCTAAAAAGGAGGCTGTCCCGTGTAGCAGCATAAACACACGATCTAAATATACCCGCGAATTCCTCGCCGATTGTACACACTGGAGGGTCAGGCAGTGTACAGAGGGACGCCATACAATCAAATTATTTTAATTTCCCCACAGCCACACTTTGAACATGAAAAGTGCAGTTGTTCGTGGTGATCCCATCCCCTCAGATGCTAACCAGAGAACATGGTGCGAAGAACAGGTCGCTTACATTACTGGTCAATATTTCACCGTATCACTTCTAGGACATGTGCGTGAACACAAGCAGCCAATCCTTTTCTAGCCACCTACGATTTGTATGAGAAGATGGTTGATTTTCGGAAACCGAGATGTTGCCGAGGCACCGGGGTCTTTACTGGCTGACTTGCGCGGCCTGGTGTCTCGACCTAGACAACACCACGATGGCCTCGGACGTAGGACCGAGGGTGATAGGGTACCGACGACGGGCAAATGATGCAAAGACCAATAGTCTGGAGTAAGTTTTCCCGCCTCCACTCTCACAGTAGTGGCATTTTCGCCGTGAAACCTGTTATTTCCCCAGACGATCTGAGATTATGCAGCGACAGGTCAGCTGGGGGAGACCAGTCGCAAAACCTGGAGTGCGCTAGCCAAATCGCCAAGGTGACTACCCAAATGGACGGTCGGGGTGGTTAAGCATTCTTCCCGACCAAGACGCCAAATCCTCGTCGGCTTCCTGCTGAAGAATGTTCTGCTTCCGATACGTCAGCTCTCTCCGTGGGTTGCTCGGTACTTGCGGGCTTTCTGCACAGACGTGCAGACCGCTGACCTCCCCCAGGCTCCCCCGGATTGTGGGGTCGGCTACCGATTTCGTGCTCCATCATTTACGCATGGCCTGGATGCGGGGGAGTTCATCATAGTCCTGGGGAATTGGCGAGTCAGCGGGTCTCGACCGAAGTTAGCGGCCAAGCCTGGCGCAAATTCGTACGCAGCCACCTGGTTCAATCCTCATCCGCACCCAAGAGAAGAGCAGAACGCCACGAGAAGGAGTGCACGATCGGATAGATGTATACCCCATAGTTGTGTTCGTGTGTCTGGAATATGATAGGCGTCAAACGCCGAGACTCTGGCTCGACTCTGGGGACCCCGTGTTTGCTATAGGGGTGGCCCTGGCATAGTCAATACCACCGATACCGACTCCACGGTCCCGCAAGATTCCCCCTTTCATCGAGCCAACCCCTGGCACGGACTGCAGTGAAATCTTTTCTATATCAACCCGTGCCTACCTCCAACCACCTCGCTGACGACTCAACCCCAGGCGTTGCATCAATACAGACAATCCAACCTCGTCTCTCACATTATTCTTTCGCTTTGCAAAGGAAGAGACAGGTCTCTGTTGCACACACACACCATGACGCTGCTGGAACTCAAAGAGGACCGGCCCACGCCAAAGGCCGTGTACAACTGGCGAGTCTACACCACCGCCGCCATCGCCTCGTTCGCATCATGTATGATCGGCTACGACTCAGCCTTCATCGGCACGACGCTTTCGCTCCCATCGTTCGAGGATGAGTTCAAGTTTGACTCTTACAGCACGTCGGGCCTGGCACTCCTCAAGTCCAACATCGTCTCCGTCTACCAGGCCGGCGCCTTCTTCGGCAGTCTGTTCGCCTATGTCACCTCCTACTTCCTCGGTCGCCGCAAGTCCCTCTGGGTCTTCGCCATCATCTTCAACTTGGGCGCCGGCCTCATGCTCGGTGCTAATGGCCAGCGTGGCCTCGGCCTGATTCTCGCCGGCCGTGTCCTCGCCGGTATCGGTGTCGGTGGAGCGAGTAACATGGTGCCTATTTTCATCTCTGAACTGTCCCCTCCTGCCATCCGTGGACGCTTGGTCGGTATATACGAGCTTGGCTGGCAGATTGGAGGCCTTGTTGGCTTTTGGATCAACTATGGTGTGAACACAACCCTGCCGGCCAACCACGCCCAATGGTTGATCCCCTTTGCGGTGCAGCTCATTCCGGGTGGCCTGCTCCTCTTCGGCGCCTTCTGGATCAAGGAGTCGCCTCGCTGGCTGTTCATGAAGGGCCAACGCGAGTTAGGCATGGCGAACCTTTGCTGGATCAGGAACCTCAGCCCCACTGATATTTACATCGTTGAGGAGGTTAGCTACATTGAGGAAGACCTCGAGAGGTACCGCAGGGACGTTGGCGCCGGCTTCTTCAAGCCTTTCGCCGCACTTAAGCAGCCCAAGGTGCAATGGCGCTTCTTCCTCGGCTCCATGCTCTTCCTATGGCAGAACGGATCCGGTATCAACGCTATCAACTACTACAGCCCCACTGTCTTCAAGGGCCTCGGCGTTACTGGCACAAATACTTCTTTCCTGACTACTGGCGTGTTCGGATGTGTGAAGACAGTTTTCACATTCCTCTGGCTCTTGTAAGTTTATTATACTTCGTCATGCTTTACTTATAACTTCGATTGCTAACCGCTACACAGGTACATGATTGATAACTTCGGCCGACGAAACCTACTTATATATGGTGGTCTGGGAGGCTCAGTCTGCATGTGGATCATTGGTATCTACATCTGCGTTGCCGACCCAGCCGGCAACCCCAATACCTCGGGCTCGCTTTCATCTGGCGGTATTGCTGCGATGTTCTTCTTCTACCTGTGGACCGCCTTCTACACGCCTTCTTGGAACGGAACGCCCTGGGTCATCAACTCAGAGATGTTCGACCAGAACACCCGTTCCCTCGGCCAGGCCTCCGCCGCAGCGTCCAACTGGTTCTGGAACTTCATCATCTCGCGCTTCACGCCGCAGATGTTCCTTGCCATGAACTACGGCGTGTACATGTTCTTCGCCTCCTTGATGATCCTGTCGGCCATCTTCGTCTTCTTCCTCATCCCCGAGACCAAGTCCATCCCCCTCGAGACGATGGACAGGCTGTTCGAGATCAAGCCGGTGCGCAAGGCGAACAAGGTCATCATGGAGGAGCTCAGGCTGCACGACGAGGAGTTCAGGCGCGCCGCGGGCGACCTGGACATTGGGCACGACTCGGATAAGGCCGGTGTCAGCCAGCTGGAGGACGCGGACCTGAAGAAGGACATGGTGTAGATAGGCTAGGGTGTTTTTCTTTTACAGCGGGTGTCTTACTACTATGCATGATACCATCTTTATTTAATTGTGTTCCTGGCAAGCGAGGCTGGATTCGAGCGTTACGAGCAATATCTTTGACATGAGATAAAAGATTATATACACACCAGTGTCAACCATTTTTCAAACGTCACTCTGCGGTTGCCGCAAGGGCCATGTTCACGCCACGTGTTTGCGGGTAACATTGGATGCTACTGTACCTTTCATCCCCACTGAAATCAGTCCACAATTCAGTTCACAGCTCCCTAGCCCAATGATCGTCCTCCTGTATCTCATAAATGTATGCATACATACCTCAATCTGACAGCTTACGGTCACACGGCAGTGTCTTAAAAATTTCATGTGCATTGTCTCAGTCTAAGCCTTTCCGACCGTCACACAGACTGATTGAAAGCACCGTCAGGGTGACACGATCCCCTTTTACTCATCATTGCCCATGATGTGTAATATTACACTGGGTCCAATCCTGTTCCGCGGCTTTCGCCGCGCCTTGGGATTGGCTGCTTCCTCGACTGACGGGATTCGAGAAGCAGCCGCGAGTCATTGGTCGTGGTTGACAAGGCGAGATGAGGCGAGCCGAGCTATTCTTGGGTATTCATTTTGTCGTCTTGTGGATAGAGCCTCAAAGGCGGGTAGCTATACGTTCGGTGTGCCCTTGTTTGCGCTCTCGTTGTGTTTTCCTGGTGTTGGTGAAGGCGTTGCTTCTCGTCGCGGTCTCTTCCACTTGTTTGTCACTCGTTTGTATCGACGCTCTTTCTCGTTGCTCCGTCTTTCAATATGAGGGCTTTGGGCTTTCCGTTCTTTTCCACGTCTCTATCGCTTTTAATCGTTTGCGGTAGAAGTTCGCCCGTTACGAATGGCTGGACTGCTGCTGGCAGGGATATTCACGGACGAGGTATGAGTGCCGAAATCTTGTTAGAATTGGTGGTCCCACTAACAGCATACCAAGATATCGTAGCCAGTGAAGAGGACCTTGAGAATTTCAAATTGTACTCGCAATGGGCCGGCTCAGCTTATTGCAACGATGACTCTAGCCCCGGCACTGTGATCACATGCAGCAGTGATGTCTGTCCAGATATTGAGGCTCACAACGCAACAGTTGTGGGTAGCTTTAGGTAGGAGTGTCTTTCATGTCTGCCACAGATATAACATCAAGCTTAATCTTTGTCATAGCGATGAGACCATCACTGGCATGGAGGGTTATGTTGGGATCGACACTGTCCAATCAAATATCGTGGTGGCCCTCCGAGGCTCCGGATCTGTGAGGAACTGGATCGCAGACGTCAACATCTTCCTCAGCTCGTGCTCGGACCTGGCAGAAGACTGCAAGGTCCACGCCGGATTCAAAAAGGCATGGGAAAACATCGCGGATGAAACTATCTCGCTGGTGAAGTCGGCGCGCGATGCCAACCCAGACTACCGAATTGTCGTGACGGGCCACTCGCTTGGCGCCGGCGTGGCCAACATCGCCGCAGCCTACTTGCGCGTGAACGGCCTGCCGTGCGATCTCTACACCTACGGCAGCCCGCGCGCAGGCAATGAGCAGTTCGCGAGCTTCGTGTCTGGACAGGCTGAGGGAAATGAATACCGCATCACGCACACGGACGACCCGTTCACCCGTTTGCCGCCAAACTCGTGGATTCTGGGCAGCTACCGGCATGTCACGCCCGAGTACTGGCTTACGCAGGTGAACGGGTCTGCGGATGCTTTGGTGTCGGATATAACTGTCTGCGAGGGTACGAATAATGATGATTGTAATTCAGGGACGGATGGGTTTGACACACTGGCGCACCTGTGGTACTTTGGAGGAATTGCTGGGTGTGCTCCAGCAAGTATCACTTTATGATGTGTGCTTCAGCAAGGTTCACTTTATAAATTCGAACATCACGGTCGTCAAATATACGTGTTGGACTGGCTGTACCGTTCCAGTATGCTCGAGTCCTTGATCAAATATCATGCTATTACTTGGGTGTCTACGTATCAGACTGAGCCCGGTGGTCTTGCACAGCGTCGTATCGCAAGGTATGAACAAGTTCGGACAGTTCCGGGGTAGGATTCTATCTTGAGTGATCCCAAGCGTGGGAGGTGCATATGCAAATGCATGTTGTACCCTGTCACTGCATGGATAGCTTTCCTTCGCTGGGGAAAACTTCCTGTTTTGATTTAAGAGGACATAAGGCGCATTGGGATTCGTGGGAGTAGTGTAACGTCGAGTGTTGGGGATGCAACATCGTCCAATATCAAGAGCGAATATCTCCCAAGGGGTTCAAACTGTACGACGGCAATTGACCATCCCAGCAAACCTTGGAAGAAAGCCGTCGGGAAATAACAGAGACAAAGTTCTCGTGCACGTGTTCGTCTTCGTATGTGTACGTAGTACAGTTTCATCCCTTAATGACCAAGAGGGATGTAATTGAGTGCTCTTGCACGATCACGAGAGAATATCCATTAAGCACGACATATTCGGCACCTTTCTACCTTGAGCTGCAGAGCTTTTACATTGTTCCGAGCTGTGGAGACTTCATTATCTTCATATTCGCGTCTATGATGGTATCTCGTGTATAAACATGCAGACTCTGTCTGTGTCTACTCTAGAGAAGTAGATGCCTGTATACCAAGCTTTCTCGAGATGAATGGTTGACCTTTTATCAACATTCCAATACTATGACCGCGCTTGAGCCCTCAGTGCGACCTGTGCCCCTATCACTTCCTTCACCTTCTGCACGGGCAATTCTTCTGTGCTCCGCCCAGTAAAGTAACGATCTTGCTCAATACCCTGCCATATCATCGCCTCTGTGCCCAAGATCACCTGCCATTCCGCATCTTCCGCGAGCTTACCCAGCGCTGTGAAAGGCGTCGGGTTGTAGCACATCTCCAGGATGGCGCCCTTGTGCTCCTTCTCCTTCAGGAACACCTCGGTCACAGCGCGCGCCTGTTTCTCCAGCTCAGTCACGGGCGGGAAATCAGGCACGCACGCGACGATCGCGCCGGCGCCTTCTAATTGCCGAGCCTGCTCCACGGTCTCGACATGGACCAGCCCGTCGCCGTAGCCCCTCTCCGTGCACTCGGCGATAACGGCGTCGACCTCGGCCTTGTCGCGGTTGACAAGGTAGATGCTGGTCGCGCCCAGCCACTGCCTCAGCGCGTAGACGGCCGAGCGCGCAGCGCCGCCGCCGCCGATGACAAGCCCCGGGCGGCCGCGGAAGACCGTGTCGTACTTGTCAGCCGGGATGTTCTGCAGGAACGACTCGCGGACGCCAACGACGTCGGTGTTGGTTCCGCAGAAGATCCTCCTGAAGCCAGTTGGTGATGAGGAATCTGGCTCGTCACGGATGTACATGGTATTGCAGGCACCCACGGCCCGGCATTCGGGCGTCAGCTCATCCAGATGTGACAGGATGGCGACTTTGTGTGGCATTGTTACTGCTGCGCCTGTTGTCTGAGTTAGAACGGGCTGCGCCATGACAGGTTGGAGCAGAGGGGATCCTACCGTAGAATTTTGGGTGTTGCCGGAGCTGCAAGAACAGGTCCATGTCTGTTGAGTCTAGCCGGACTTGTGCCCAGTTCAGCCCGATTTCTTGGTAGATGGTGTCATGTAGCAATGGAGACAAAGATGCCGTGATCTTCTGGCCAAACAGATAGCCATGTCTGTCGAGGTGGTCTACATTTGGCGCTTCTGTTGGTTGTTCCGCCTTGCGGCGTGTGGCACTACGGGTTGTGGTTGCGCTGGTGGTCCTGGAGGACACGGTCATTGTCGCCATGATGCCGGTCGAAGGGGTTTCCAAGCTGACGGAGTGAGGCATGTGCGTAGATGCACTCAATTGACTCAGGTGAGGAGCTACCGGTGTGTCGGATCTTAAGAGTAGGTGAAAGCTAGTCTAGTTGGCAGACGGATTGAGAATTGATAGTGTCAGAAAAATAGGGGCGGTTCTGAAATCCTAATGGTACAAACAGAGTAGAGTAATGGATCCCATCAGGATCCTTATACTCATTCTTCCGAGGTGTCGGGGACAGATTGTGAGACCGCCGAGGACTTTAGCCAGGTCCCGACTGTGATGAATGATCTGATCCACAGAGGGATGCCCCAACTCCCGAATTGGCGCGACCCAATCCACTGCTAATCGGGCGGGAACTATGCAGTGCCGTACGAGTGCTCGTAGTCCACGTAGTCGTACTGCTGAATACTTTCCCGCCAGGGCTAAAGACTTTTCAACCGCCACTTCCCGATGGGTCCACCCAATCTCTTCGAAGCAAAGCCGACGGACCTCGCTCTCCCAAAGTTCCGGCCATTCGTTGATGTGTATCCTCAGGGTGAGGCTCGAGACAGCCTCAGCCTCCACTTACAAATGTCTTGATTAACGTGCTTGGCATCAAGTTAAGGTCCTCCTGAATAGGTTGAATCAATCTTATCCACGTTTGTTCATGAGTCTGGGAACTCCGACCAATCGAGTTCTGCTGCCCGAGTAAAGGAGCAAGTTGACTGACTAGGGCCGCCCTTTTTGCCCTAGGCCTAGTCGGGCAGCTCCGCAGACTAGCCTATTCTGGCAAGCCTAACATCGTGTCTCCAAGTTCGACTGGATGTCGTCAGTCGACTTTGGGTCTCGAGGTGATGAGCCGGGCCATCATGTATCCCCTGAGGCCCCCCACCAATTGCCGACCACACCTTCTAGTTTGCCCAGGCCAAAGGCTCGGCAGGGTCTATTGAATGTTTAGCCGGTCAGTGTCTAGTTGACATCACTGGCATTAAGCAGGCCATCACTCTAGCACACCCACGCATCAACCAGTGTCTCATGTCTGGAAGAAGGAATACTCACTGCCAGCCCGCTTATCTTCGGCAACACGAGGAGATGATCTTATGTCTCGTCATGGTGCAATCTTTGCTGATAAATAGGGACGGGCTCCCGTGGGGCTTATTAACGGGTGCTAGGCGGTTGTCGTTTGTATATTATGTATACTTAGGTACAGCCTCTGCTTGCTCGCTACAAATCTAGTCATTTCCACACCTACCTCAGCAAATCAGTAAACACATTTCAGCGGCTTGGTTTGAGGCATTCAAGGCAAGTCGAGTTAGAAACGGCGCAATAAAAAGCGGTGTCTGACATGTTGCTATCATTGTAGAACCTTATTTCATCCTCTGGACGACCGCGCGCCTCATAATATTGATTCACGATCAACAATTTCCGTCCCCAGAGAGCTGCATCTGAAACAAAACATCGTCTCGTTTGCCTGTCGTATCTTTGTGAACCGACGCTGCTCACGAGTCGCAACCGTGAGCAACCATCTCAAGATAGAGTTCGGACGTCGTCCTTGGCTGACTCGTCTAGACCAAGGTTTTGCATCTCGATCAAGCAGAAAGGCTATCGCATGACAGGCTACGACACCTCACGCGGGTCTGCACAAGCTCGAAGTTCGTAAGGCTGCTGCTACGCGAGGAAGGGGAGCCGTGCTCCGGGTATGGCCGACAGCAACTCAGGTCAACCAGGTAGGTGATTGTGTCTTATGGCCCCTTGTCAACTGTCTGCTTGTTGGCGAACACTCGAAAGTGGAACACGCTGGAGTTCGAGTATTTAATGTTCGACTTCTCCCTATCCTTTTCAGTATCGATCACAATCATCAGCCTCATTCAGCTTTCTGGACAAGCAGCTTACACTGTCTCTGAAGTATACAAGCCAACTAGTTCTTCATCGATATTTACTACACAACAAACTTCCTGAGAGAATTTCACCACAGAAATTACTCTGAAAGATACCCTCGCATCTTCATATTTAATTCAAATTTCACACCACTTCATTCAAAATGTCATATAAGCTGGGAATCACTTCCATGTCGCTGGGCCGCGCCACAGCTGGCCACTCCCTGACACACAAACTCAACATGGCCCAGAAATACGGCTATAACGGAGTTGAGCTGTTCTACGAAGACCTGATCGAAGAGGCAGCCACCCGCTTCGGGTCTGGCGCACCCCCTTCCAAGGAAGCTCAACTGGAGACCGCTCGACACATTCGGGCTCTCTGTGCAGAGCGTAATCTGTTCATTATCTGCTTGCAGCCTTTCGCTCACTACGAGGGCCTTGTGGACAGAAAAGCACACGACGAGGCGATTGAGAAGTTATACTTCTGGATCGACCTTGCTCACGAGCTCGGCACGGACATGATTCAAGTCCCATCATCATTTCTCCCCGCAGAGCAGGTGTCCGAAGACATGAACCTCATTGTCTCCGACTTGCAGAAGATCGCAGACATCGGGGCGGCGGCCTCCCCCCCTATCCGATATGTATACGAGTCCCTTTGCTGGGGAACTCGCTCGGATCTGTGGGAGACTTCGTGGGAGATTGTGAAGAAGATCGACAGGGACAACTTTGGCCTGTGCCTTGACAGCTTCAACATCGCAGGCAGAATATATGCCGACCCCTGCGCAGTCTCAGGAAAATGCGAGAACGCCGAAGAGGTCGTCCGCCAGTCCATGGAGAGACTGGTAAGGGAGCTGAAGCCATACATCCACAAGGTGTTCTACGTCCAGATCGTCGACGCCGAGAGGCTCTCTGCGCCACTTGTCCAGGGCCACGCTTTCTACGATGCCCAGCAGCCCTCTCGTATGAGCTGGAGCCGCAACTGCCGTCTCTTCTATGGCGAGGCAGAGTATGGTGCCTATCTGCCCGTCCGAGAGATCTCTGACACAATCTTCAACAAGTTGAACTTCAAGGGCTGGGTCAGCCTGGAGCTATTCAACCGCCGCATGGCGGACACTGGCAAGGACGTCCCCGAGGAGCTGGCTCGCCGGGGTGCCGTTTCCTGGGCCAAATTGATCAAGGACATGAAGCTGAACATGGACGAACCCACCCCTGCGCCATACGCGTCCGTAGTGTCATATTCCCAGTATGTCAACCACCTCTCAACCCCGCCGCCTTCTCCACACTAACCATCCTGATCAAACAGGTCCCTGGAGACTGCGCAGAAGGCGGTGTCGGCTTGGGTCCATGGATTCAGGTCCAAGGTGGTTGACTTTGGTAAATGAGTAATGAACTTGCAGCAAGGGGCGAAGCATAACAGCATTCGAGCACAGGTTTCAGAGGTCTCGTAGGCGTTCAGGTTCAATTTTTATTTCTTATTTTAGCATAGTTCATCAGATTGAGCACCTTCTACGCCGATCTCCAATCAACGAGTTCATATTGTCCATCAATTTCTATTGCTACCATTCCACGTGAATCCTCAAAGCTCATCAAGCCTCGTGCAGCTCCTTTGTAAAACGTTCGCCGGGAAAGTTAGCGAGTCGTTCAAAATCACACGCAGTCAGGATCCCAAATATTTGGGCAAAGCATATCGACAATGAATCTTATCCTTATCTTGTAATTCCAAGACATGAGGCAGACGGAGATCAAGGATCAATCTTGGTCCTTGAGACCGATGAAGACTCAACATGTGAAAGTGAAGCTGGGAAACGCGAGGCTGAGCCATTCAGCCGAGAATACAAGGCTGGGGTTCCTAGGAAACGAACACGAATTTGCGCCCCACCAATCAGCAAGATTTATTGGCAAGAACTGGAGCGAGAAGGTCCCTGGAAAGCTGTGACAGTCCCACCAAGGATTCGTTATCTACAGGACCTCCCTTCTCCCGAAAGTGAAGGAAATGTTGTGACCCACGAGAAATCAGCCCTCTCTCTGGCCGGGGATACTCTGAATCTAAACATGCGGGCTTTCTCTCGCCTGAACATCTAGGACAGGCATAACTCAGCCGTATTTGCAATCAACAACTTGCTTCCCTGCGTACAAAACTGCGTTCCGAGGGGTATCCATGAACCTTAGATTTATCACCGTCTGCCAGATTCTCTGTCGACGAGTAAGAAAGAATGGGACACAAATCCTACTAAACACAGCTGCTTCCGTCAATGGCACGGATCTTGAACCTTTATCCACTGCGGACTGATTCAACCAATTCAATTATCTTCAGCTCTATTGGGTACCGGCCCAATATGTTTGGAGCGCAGAGAGCAAAGCACAATTCACGATTGGCAACAAGTAGCTCTATTGTGTCTGCCTAACTTGTCACAGAATGGACTAACAGCAAGAACTACGTCTTTCGTGTTGCAAAGCAGACCACTATGCTAGTCAGACAACAGCACAGAGAGGTCTGAGAGCTCAGGCGGTGGCCTCATCAAAGACAGAGTGCCGGATCTCTCCAATCGGATTGTCCTCAAGTAGAGTTCGAGGTGGGCCGGGTTCGTCGTTCGCCAGCTGCGCGATTGTCAAGAGGTCTGCATAGGGCCTTGTTACTGTTAAGCTTTTGCTGCGTCCTTCCTGCATAGTCCCCTTTCGGAATCCTGGCTGAGATTCGAATAGTACAATAGCGGAAAGCGGCGGCGATTTGTGTGGGAGGAGACTAATGACTCGGGACATACTTTACGATATGATTCGAGATACAATTCGACTAAGCATGTGAGATAGGATTGCAGATACAATTCATGATATGAATCAGGAATGACACGAGACGTATTTTCAGCCCTTCTGAGGAGAATGATTCGAGATTTGTTGAACATGCGATGCAAAGTTGAATCCTACATAGACTTCACGATAGGCTTTGTGATTTAGTTGGCGATTCACTTTGAGCCAATTTACGAGAGACTCACGTCATCTTTACCTAGGAATTGGACCAGCAATTTGGAGACAGTATGCAAGGAGAACTAAAGTTTCGGTGTTATCCGAACTATACGTAATTGCCTCTTAATCTAGGTGAAGCCACTCACTGAGCAAAAGCGATGCTATGTTTCAGAAAATGCTTGAACAATACACAACTCGTGCATACGCAACATGATTACTTCTAGTATTCAAGCCACCCAACATGGAGAACCAATGATAAGTTGTTCTCGACCCACGAACTATTTGTTGGGAAATTCTCACTTATCCAATAATAGCTTTCAGATGTTGTCCCCGAACACATCGTACAACAGGCTATCCCGGTGTTCATCAACATTGGGCCCTGTGGTAAATGATTTGACGCAGGAACTGACTAGCTATCTTGTGGAAGAGGATCCAGGTCTCAAAGAATAAGCATTCCCGTGTTAAAGGGATGTGGGGATTGTGGAAACTGAGTCCCTCTGAGCATGACATCGAGCTATTGCGGCCCGCTGAATCCCGTAGCTATCCAGCCAGCCCTTACCCAGCCCTTACCCAGCTAATGAAACTGACTGGGTAGACTGAGTCTTTACCAAAAGCTTGGCCCACATCTGGTCAAAGCTGTGACACTACACGCCGAAGACCCATCGCGGCCCGAGAAAGCTTGGTGCTGGTCCTCAATGGGATGAGTGACCGTCCCCCCTGACATGACTAGGCCTAGACCTTAAGATATGGGTCCGATGTCCTGGGACTCAGCCTCTACTTGCTGTAAGCATGTGAAGATACGAGGATGCTGATAACGATGCGGGAATGGTCACCAGTTTGAACGTCACCCAAGGCATGAACCCCGTCTCTGTACTCGGTCTCGCACTCGCAGCTTTGCCCCCTGAAGCAGTCCAATAAAGACGGCGAGGTGAAACCCCAGAATCTCGATTCATTGTTGCGGAGATGAGAATGGAGACGAACCAGGGACCTGAGAAAACTCATGCATCGCCGGAACGATTACGGACGAGGGTCGATCACGGCCAAAGAGAGGTCGAGACAGTTTGGAAATAGAACCTTAAAAATTCAATTTTCTCAACCAGGCAACAAGCAGCCTTGTCCTCGTCGGCGCCTCACCGCTTCAGGTGCTTCGCCACGAACTCCAGCGCAGCCTGGTACCCGTAGACACCGAGCCCCGCGATAACCGCCGTAGCCTTGTCGCTGAAGTAGCTGTGCTTCCGCCACGCCTCCCTGGCGTGCACGTTTGACACGTGGACCTCCACAAAGGGTATCTCCACGCCCAGCAGCGCGTCCCTGATACTGGTACGTGTCAGTCGCATGCAATGGAGCGCTGAATCAAGGCATTCCGGGGGAGGAGACCGGGGGAGGAGACCGGGGGAGGAGGTGATCCCCACGTAAAGGGAGACAGAAAGAAAGGGGCATCACTTACGCAACACTCGTGTGTGTGTACGCCCCGGGGTTGATGATTATTGCCGAGACCTTGCCCTCCTTGTTTTGGTGTCCGTTGGGGCCGAAGCCCGCTGCCTCCTGGATGCGGTCTACTATCGCACCCTCATGGTTGGACTGAAAACTCTCGAGGGTGACGCCAAGGGACTGGGCTTGTGACTCTGCTGTGGAGATCACGTCGGCGAGGGTGGTCGAGCCATAGATTTGAGGCTCGCGGGTGCCGAGCAGGTTTAGGTTTGGGCCGTTGATGAGTAGGACGCGGCGTGCCATGATGAGTGTTGATGATGGAGGTGAATGTAAAGCTTATGCAATGTGTGGATAGAGACTAGGTGCGTGTCTTGAAGATTTCCGTATTAATTGTAGTGCAGATTCAACAGCATGTATAGTAGAGAACAATGGCGTATTAGTCGTCCAGTTTGCGAGCAACCGATGCCGGCTAATTTCATCGTCGTGCTGCAGCTGTACTACGGGACGCCCTTGGGTGCCACATAGCCCGCATCCCGAGTCGGTACCGCTGCGGCCGATGTCGTGCCTGAATCGAGCCGTGACGCCGAATGGTAGAACCCTAGGCCGAGCGCATGCAGAATGGACGGTGCGACTCGGGGCTAAAGGCTCTCCCGAGCGGAAAAGTACTTATCCCACAGCTTACGCCGCCGAGCGGTGCCGTCCAGTGCTGACCCGAGAATGCGGTTGTACATCCGCGTGGGCAACATTGACATTATCCGATCCCTGTCTGGGTGTCCACGCACATTCAAGCCATATATAAAAGAAAGTGGCCCTCTTGTTCTTGGGGCGAGGTGTGGTGGTGCATATGGACACATAGTCGACTTGAATGCTCAATAGTGAGTAAGCGACTTAAGGTTTCCTGTAGACCTCGGGAATCCCGCAGGCGTGCGCTGCGATTCAGTGGACTATGAGGTAGTTACAGTGGGGTTATAGAGCGTCATGCCGCTACAGCGGAAATAGACCGCTCGGTTTGCGGCGGCGTTGTAATGACTTTGGCGGGGGGTCCAAGCCTGTCGTGCCTGAGGCGTTGAAGCTCTCCTGCCTTAGCTCTGGTTGCTGTCCTCACGTAGAGCCGGCCTGCGTCTTCACCTTGATACGACCATAGATTGTGCATAGAGCCCTTATCACCCTGTCTTTATATACCTAAAATGGCGCCTGAGATCAGTGAGAAGGAATTGGATGAGATTTACGCCTTCGCAGTCCAGCTCGGCAAAGATGCGGGCAAGATGCTCATGGATGCCGCGAAGCTGCGGATGGCAAGCGGAGGAGCGGCCCACGAGTCCGTGGAGAAGGAGAACGCGGTTGATATTGTGACCAAGACGGATACAGGTGACTTCGATGCCTCTCTTAGCAGTGCTTTCGCGCCATTGGCTGACACAGGTCCGCACCAGACGTTGAGGCGTTCATTCATAGCTCTATATCAAAGACTTACCCGAGCCACAAGTGAGTCACTTAGATCTGCTCACTGATATGTTGTGATATTGAACAAGCCATACAGGTTTATCGGCGAGGAGACTTATTCTGCCGGCTCAACAAAGGATTACCTGATCAACGATGAGCCCACCTGGTGCGTCGACCCGCTGGACGGCACAGTCAATTACACGCACCTGTTCCCCATGTTCTGCGTCTCGATCGCCTTCATCGTCGCAGGAAGGCCAGTGATAGGCGTCATATACGCGCCATTCCTCGGCCAGCTCTTCACCTCGTGCCGCGGGCGCGGTGCGCTCCTCAACGAGACGCAGAGACTGCCCCTGGTGCCCGGCGTGCCCATTCCGGCCAATGCGCCAAAGGGCTGTGTCTTCAGCTGCGAATGGGGCAAGGACAGGCGAGACCCGGACTCAGGGGAGGGTAACCTGGGCAGGAAGCTCGAGAGCTTCACAAACATGGCCGTCGAGATCGGCGGGCGGGGAGGGAAGGGGGGAATGGTCCACGGCGTGAGGAGTCTTGGAAGTGCGACTCTAGATCTGGCATACACGGCGATGGGGTCCTTTGACATCTGGTGGGAGGCTGGCTGTTGGGAATGGGACGTCGCGGCTGGCATAGCCATCCTCGAGGAGGCAGGCGGTCTCGTAACGACGGCGAATCCACCTGAGAACCCGGCCACAGCAGACGTCCCGGACGTGAGGCTGGGCAGCAGGCTGTATCTCGCTATTAGACCTGCTGGGCCCTCACCCACAGAAACTGCGCGTCATGGCCAAGAAAGGCTCGTGAGGGAGGTTTGGAAGCGAGTTAGGGGGCTTGATTACAGTCGACCGGGTGCTTGAGTTCCAGCAGTTCGAGGCCAAACATTGGTGGTAACTGAGATATCAGAATAGAGTTGGAAGCTTTTGGACCCGTGTCGTCAAAACGACTGGGCCCAGGTCTTGATACATGTCTATGAGCAGAGATGCCATCTTGGTTTCCCTGTGGCGTGTATGTTCAGTGGCCCCATTAATGTACAGGTTGGCCTTTGGCCCGTGGAAATGGCTTTTGGTGGGTATCATGCCGACGTTGAAACTTTTGTGGTGTCCTAATCTAGACCAGGGAAGGCCTCGCCCTGTGGCTGGCCCTTCTTGCCGCCCTTCCTCTTCTTCTTCTTAGGCCTTGGCCGATCACTATCGCTGCTGTCATCACTGTCTTCGGAATCATCGTCGCTATCGGCGGCGCGCTTGCTATTGCCGTTGGCGCCGTCTTCCTCGCCAGATTCCTCCTCCTGGTTACCTGATCCGTCTGGTTCTGCCCAGACTTTCACAACCCTTCCGCCGCCACTGATCATGCGCCCCTCACAGTCGAAGCTGACAGCCACGACTCCCTCAATATCATCGTGTCTCATAACGGCCTGGGTCTCCCGTGCCTTGAGATCCACGATTGCGAGGCTGCCGTCGCCCACGCCCACAGCGACCTTTTTGCCCCAGCCAAGCTCATCTGGCAGGCGCGCAATGCAGTCCAGGCTCTCGCCGTCTTTCTTGTTGCGTCCACCTGCGACATAGATCCGTTCCTGCTGGTCATCCCACGAGCCGCGGTCCCAGATCGTGAGCACACCAGAGCCAGTCCCAACAGCCACTACAGCATTACTTCGCAGCTTCTTGGGACCCAGGCCGGATGGGATGAGCTCCGCGCACAGCAGCTCATCCTCTTGGTCTTCGCTCCTCGTGATGATGCCACTCCTGATATCGGTCACCGCAACTGTTGTTCCTCCGGTCGAGACCCACTGCCGCGGGACACCAGATGTCGATTCTGCGCTGGGCGGTAACGGCGTGATGCTGGTAACGTAGTCGTCGTGGGGGAAGTGCTTGCGAACAGGGTGCGCACCAATCGAGCCGAGCGGGTCTCTCGAGCTGGGGTCCTTCTCGGCGCGCAACTTGTCGCGCAAGTCGTAGATATACAGCGCCCCGCTGTCGGTCCCGACGAGGAGGTTCTGGGGACTCAGAACGCGCATGATGGCAGGGTCGTCGGCGGAGGAGCCGCGGGGAGGGATGTTGATTTTGGATATGACCTTGCCCGTCTCGGGCGAGAAGTGCTTGACTACCGAGTCTGTGCCGGCCGAGTAGAGAGCTATCGAAATCGATCTTGTCAGCCATTGGGATCCCAGACACATGTTCCACGGATTTCAGGTTTGGGCGGAGACGTACATTGCCCATCGTAGCTGTAGGCCAGGCTGCGACAGCTGCCCTTGTGCCTCCTTGTGCTCCACACACTCTTGATCAGACCTTTGCCGCTCGTGATACTGCTGTTCTCGTCGACATTTTCCTCGGAATCGTTGTCTGAGGATGGGATCCGGAAGGTCTCGACATGACCGCTCGAAAGGCCCACGGTCAGGACGGGCTCGGTAGGGTGGACTGCCTGGGTGAACAGGTCCGAAGTCAGCGGGAGGGTGCAGAGGTTCTCAAACATGTTGCGTATCGGCTTGCGTGAAGGTCAATTGAGCTCAGTGGACATGATCCATCACTTGTGTTGTGTCAACAAGCCATGCAGCAAGGAGGAACGGGTCTTGAAATTGAGCATTCAAAAAGTTGACCGACCTCGAAGCCGAGTCAAGAAACTGAAGATTTTCAAGGTTCTAGAAGCAAGCTCCGGTCAGTGCACTAAAAGCTGAACATGGGGGACGGCCCGCGTTAGTGCAGGCATGTTGTACCCAAGTACCGAGGTACCTCGAGTTGCTTGCAAGAGTTGGCGACATCAAGTCAACTTATTCTCTGAGCTTGAGCAATAAGAAGAAAATTTGACCTTTGTGCCTTGGTATCCAAAATTTACCTTGAGGTGGGATAAAATTCTTCATCATGATAAAACATTCTTAAGTTGTGAAAAGTCATTCCCGAGGATCAATACCCACTGGATTACCTCAATGAAGGGAAGGGCTTGATGTAACACGCACGTCGAAGGTCTTCATCGTTGTCCAATGTCCAAGTTTTTTTTCTTCAAATGTGCATAAATGCTCGAGAGCTTGGAATGTCATTTATTTATCCGAGAGCACACTGCCCGACTCCGCACTACGGTCACCACGGTCAGAATAACGGGTCCCTCAAGATCCCTCGATACTTGGTCAAATGGGCATTATGATACATCGAGAGAAGCAGACAATCAGTCTTGAGTCTTCTAGTACGAACCGGGTTAAAAGTGCATCAGCTTTTTTGTCATGATTGCTATATGCGCCAATAATTACAACTCGTCCCTCTCAGTCCTAACATCTTCTTTAATAGCTCCGATCAACGATTTTAAACGCGTGAAGTCTGGAGCGTCTTCTCCCAGTCCCCAAGCAAACGTACCCCGTACATTCAATTCTTTGTTCAACTGCTTGATTTTGTTGTCGATGCTGTGAGGATCATCGAATGTCCACCAAAGAGCCTCTTCCGAGTCGTAGTAGTACGTTGCTCCTTCCTCATTGTCGTACTGGCGATTCGTCAGTGCCCGTTGAAAGGAAGTTCTCTTGTCTTCAGGCACCTCGTCATGCCAGGAGAACGCCCCCGCTCGTCCAAGGTCTCCGCCTGTGACAGGGTCTTCCAGAAGCAAGGTCTTGCAGCCGATAGGCGACCTTGCTTTGTCACAGTCTTCTTTATCTGCTTTGAACCATTTCACGTAGAACCCGAGCCCAAGATTGATTTTATCTGGAGGAACTCCGTCAGAAATGTATCTCATAATTGTCTGACGACTGCCCGCGATGCTGGAATGATGCTTCGTGGCGTTGTCTCGGCGATTCATTAGATCGTAAGTCATGACGTTCAGGAAGTCCAGGTGTGGCTCTATGTCTGCGATATTGTGTCTAAATGCAATCATATCGCGCTCAATACCGGGGACTGCAGCTGTGATCAACTTGAGAGGGCCCAATGCGGAGCGAAGCTCGCCGAGCAGGAGCGGGTAGGCGTCGATTTCCCACTCTTTCTTCGAGTTTGGCACTTGCTTGTAGTCCTCGCCGTTCCCGCCCGGGTACTCCCAATCGATGTCGACGCCTACAGAGGGGCCTGTCAGCTTTCGTAGTCCGCTGTATTTGCGTGAAAGGGTAACGTACCGTCAGCACCAGTGGCTTGTACCATCCTGGCCACATTATGGGCAAACAGCTTTCGCGAGGTGTCATTCCAAGCCGCGAGAGAGAAGTCCGTATCACCCCATCCACCAATAGCCACCAAGATCTTGGTGCCCTCGGCGAAAGCCTGCCTTGCCGAGTCCACACTGCGATCACTGGGCCACTCGGTGCGATTCGAGTCCAGGAACAGCCCCGACCGCATGAAGGCAAGCGCGACGTGGGTGATTGGGTCGATCAGAGCATCGTCGTTAGGGATCACATCATGTTGTCTACCAAACCTGTCAGCATATGTGTCTCAAGATATGCGAATGAAGGACGACTGTTGTTACCCAGTGAGGTACATAAGACAGATGGGTTCCTTGTCGCTGGCAACGGTGAAGGTGATGAGGCCAGCGACTAGCGGCAATAGGGCCGTTACAATACGACGACCCAGGAAATGCATGGTTTCAGAATTCTGATGATCAACCCATAGGACCTAGTTTCAGAAAAAGGAGTTAATTTACTGTTACGTTTGATAGCAGGAGGTTGGTGAAGACTCCAGGTTGATGAGGGAGCTAGAAGCTAAGCAAGCTGGTGAGGGATCCACGTTTTAGGTCGTCCCCACAAGCTCAGACCCCGGCAAGCAATGCCCGCAGAACACTTGTCCCCCACAGAGTGCTGGAACTCCAAAAACAGGTCATCAATGATATTCACTTGATCCATTTGTTACTGAAAATTACAAGCCAGAGTATTCAATTGATCCCTTAACTACCTCAATTTTGATTAAATAATCAGTCTGTCATTCTGTACTGTTCCTTTGTGTGCGTAAGGGAGCGTGTCTGTTCTTGTGGCCTTGCTGGTCCATGTAACCTGAATCAAAGTCTCCGGCGAGGGCTGTTAAATTAGCAACGGAAAAGAAAACGGCCCCACGTAGAGTGTCGAAAGGCTTACACATTAGCCAAGAATACTGGCTGCTTCGTTAAGGAAGTCGTCCTGTCGTTTTTTAATCAGGTAGTAATATTGCCCTAAATCAATGGGCTTGTTAGGGGAAGCGTCGCCTTGGAACGGTCCCTTTCCATGACCTTCGAAGTGAACCTTCCATGCTGTTGAGATGTCAGTACCCTAAAAATGGGCAGCAATAAGGCATAGAAGGAACGTACTGCTAGCATCGAAGCTGAGATATGACCAGCTGTCGTTCAGATAAGCCTTCTCGGAACCCACGCGAATTGTCTTCACCACACCCATTTGACCTGGCGCGGGACGAAGCTGCTTGAGACCAGCCACAAGCTTGACAAGACCAACAATGAAAGTTCTCGCCAAATCTTTAGCCAAGCACTCGTGCTGGCCGTAGCTGAAAGCGGACACATCTTCAGCCTTGCGCTGCGAGTCAAACTTTTCGGCGTTGACAACCTCTTTCGGGTTACGAGCAGCTTCGCCCTAGACACGTGGTTAAGATCCTTCATCTGCCTTTCTGTTATATTTTTTTTAAAGGTCTTTGTACTTACAAGAAGCATGACAATGGCGTTGCCGGGCTGGACTTGCTGGCCATCAAGCTCGGCGGGCGCAGTAGCAATGCGCATGTTACGTTGCGTGCTGGTGAGCCGCTGCGCCTCGACGACGTACGCATGAATTCCAGCATCGTCCTTCTTCTCAGCGAGATTCTGAACTTCAGCCCAGATATTAGAGTTCTCGGGCCGAAGGAAGAATTCCATGATCTCGTAGAACTCCACAGGAGTTAGTCAGAGGGACCTATCACGCCGTTATAGTTGGACGTACCACCGTAACAGGGATGCCGGTACCGCCGAAGGCGGTAAGCCACAGGTTGTCGACGACTTGCTCTGCTGAGTTTCCCTGTTTCATGAGCTCTTCGACGAACTTGTAGCCGCATGAACGAAGCGAATCCTTTTTGAAGTTTGCCCTCCGTCCGACCACGCCAGAGACAGCGTTGGCGATACCGAGACCCAATCCATTGCCGGCCGAGACCTCGTTGACGAGAGTGCGGGTGGAATCAATGATGACCTTGGCACTCTCGATTGCGCGGCGGCGGCGGTTCCACGACTGGGCTGGGTCGTTGTCGTTGACGCCCCAGACGCGAATGTTGAGCAAGTGGCGATAGAGATCAGTTGCTCCGAGGGTACCGTTCGGGTTCTCATCTGTTTTCAGGTCGAAGTAGAAAAGATCGGCGAGTAGCTGTGCATTCAGTGGGATTGCGATATCACGAATGAGATCCATCTGGTACAGGCCTTCCTTCAACTTGAAGCTCTCCTTCTCGAGGAGCAGCGCGCCCACACGATCGACAAACCCATGAATTGCATCATGAAGATTTGGCAACTTGCTTATTGCCTTCTTGATATTGATCCGGTGTTGGAAATTCTTCTGCTCGTCACCTGAAAGCATGAACCAGCTGATGTCCTTTTTCGAATCTGTGAACAGATCCTGGAGGGGCTTGAGCCATGGCAGAACGAACTGCTTGGGGTTGTTGAGGACCTGCTTTATTGCGGCACTCGTGGTGACAACAACGGGCTTTGGTGGGGGCTTGGGATCATCTGTTGTGTACAGATGGAAGGTGCCGAGTTCTTTGGCGATGTTCTCGTTGGCCTTTTTGGTGTACATGGGCTGCATGATAGCAATGGAGTTGTACGGGAACCAGCGTGGAAGACCTCTCTGGATGAGCTTGTACAACATTGAGCCTCCGAGGGTCTTATAGTCCGGCTGCACTTCATTGTAGCCCCACGCCGTCAGATTCGACACTGTAAAGTCGAGTGTGTTGAATCTGTCTGAGCGCACAAGCGTGACTGCATCGGAGAGGACAGCTCGGCCAACGGAGTATGTTGGGCAAATGCCGCTGCCAGTGTTGCGGACAGGTTTGATATCCTCAATCATTAAGCCTGGGTAGAGTTCAACCATGTCAGGGTCCGTGTAGAGCTTCTCTAGGAGATTGGCAATGTCGGGGTTCGAGTTGATCTCGCTGAACTTGTCGTACTTCTTTAGGCCGAAGAACTCTCGGAACTCATTCAGTGACCCAACCTGCCACTTGCGAGCCTGGTTGATGCCCAGGATTTCCACGATTTTCAGCGCCTTGGGGACCATACGAGCGCCAAAGCAGCCAGCCGGGTCGTCCATAGCATCCTTCAGGACGCGAACAAGGTCATCGTCTTTGAAGCTGCCATCTTCCTGGCGCTTGAGGTTGCCAAAGACGCGGACACTAGGGTCACTTGGGATGCTCTGCTCAAAGTTGACTAAAGCCTGGCCAAGCTGAGCCATGCCCACGTTCTGTAGATCTTCCGGCTTGGTATCAGGGAAGAGCTTGGAGAAAAACTCATCGATCCAGCGCTCATCCTTTTTCGAAATACAAGCGTGGAAGCGGTACAGCAAATTGAACTCAACGCTGACCTGGTTACCAACCCCGCGAGGCACGCCTTCACCGTCGAACTGCTTGTCGATCGCAACGCGAGGATCGAGCGTCCAGTCACTTAAGGAATGATGAGTGTTAGTGATGGCACGCAAGTAGTCGTGTAGACTGATATTGACGTAAAGTCCGCCGACGATGAGGCGAGCCGTGTTGAAAAGGTCATGGTCTTGCTTGGCGACTGCTTTGGCCTTGTCCTCGGGGTTGGCGTCCGCTGGACACTGCAGCGTGAAGCGCCCGTTCTCGTTGATCTTCAGTAGAATGTCGCAAACGTAGTTATGGAAGCGGCTGTAGAGAACCAACATGACGCTGACACCTGCAGGCTGTCCAAGGAGACGTTTTTCATGAAAGGTATCAGGCTTGAGCCTTCCCTCCTTCATGGTGCGAATTTCCAGCTGATCTTTCAGTGATGAGCCGTACAGAGGTGCCAGGTCAAGATAGGATGAGGTGTCCGACTTATTCATGTCCGTACGATTAGTTCGGAAAATATCATGAATAATCACGGATGCGTGATAAAAGAGCATGGACGAGATTCCAGCGGGATTCTCCTTGAACGAACCCTCGTCACGGGCCATCAGGAGGTCAAAAAGCAAACCTGGGTCAGGCTTGACACCATGGAGTCTCTTGATAGTCCGGACTGTCTTAGCGTAGGGAGTGCCGGCCTTACCTAGGTTGGGCTCAAGGATGTTGTTGTAGCTTCCATCAGGCATCCTGTACTGGTAAAGGCCATCTGGTGCTCGGGGTACATGCTCACGCAGAACAACTTCGCTGTCTGGGGCCTTGAACTCAATCGAGTCGGTAACCTGGGTCTCTTTCTTAGACTCCTTGGCGTCGACAACCTCATACTTGACATCACCACCAACGTAGCTTAGAGGTGGATGCTGGAGGTTGTCCCATAGTGTGTCGATGAGTTTGTTGGTGAGCTGTACTCGGGCGTTTGAGGTAGCAGGAAGAGAGGTCAGAATTCCAATCAGGACCTCAGTCGTTCTATCAAGTGTTAGAGCTGAATTCCTGTACAAATCTTTTCAACTCACCCTTTTTTATCGTCAAGAGGCTCACCCTTCCGGAGCAAGTCCTTAATGACGCCCACAAGCTCAGCCTGGGAAGTCTGGCTCCGAACGCTCACATAATCTTTGAGTATGTCTGCAGCCACCTTCACGGGGTCGGAGAAGAAGTTCGAGTGATCCTGTTCATCATCTCCGTAAGATTCACCAGCCTGAAACTTTTCAGTAAGGGATGAAGCCATGATTTGCGTAAAGTCTTCGGATACGCTTCAAAGAAAGAGAGGTTGAATCAATTTGATAGAATACTAAATGCCAAAGCTCTAATTTCCCATCCACCTTATACTAGTAACGGTTCAATCAAATGGCGCTCATTTCTGCTTACCGCTTGGTCAATGAGTACAGTGTTGCCCGTGATATTGCAGTTTTCGGAACCCCTCACTTGGCGAGAAACAATCTTCGGTGGCGTCCAGTCATGTAAATTGCCTCAATGCAGATGCACACGAGCCCTTCAGTACAACACATGTCACCGGCGCCGTAGCGGTTCTTTTCTTGCTCAGAACTAAGTCGGGTACACACCATGCCATGTGAAAAGGTACTCCAAATGCCGTCGGGGGCATGTCAACTGTGGAGTCTCAAGTTGGTGTGGGGACCCAGACTGCAAAGAATGCAGATGCAGCAATAGTATGACTGAATAGAAGTTGTGCTTGTACACATATATGTATAACAAGCTTGGTTGCTTAACAGCCGAAAGGGCATCGGAAGTGAGGGCCAATGAGATAACATTCAGCTTCGACAAAGAGCAATAAATTGGCTGAGTGATCAATTGCGCCTGAAATGGGCTCCAAGCATGCCCAGGACGGTTGCACCGCATGAAGATTCTGAGGAGCTGAAAGTTGAGTCTCATCTTATAGGAGGGAAGGGAATGCCGGCGTAGAACATGTCCTCATCGGCTGTGGCTGGCATGTTGTACTGCGGCACTGTTCGAGACATTCCAATGGGACAACCTATCTTCTCCACAAAAGTTGGGCGAACTGCAGATATTTCGGTGTAATGCTATTCGTCAGTGCGCTCAGTGATAGCAAATCATTGTTTTACAATCCAAGTACAATTGCAAATCAGAAGATCGTGGCTGGCTGAATGCAACGCATCTTACTGATTGACACGATAATTCTGCGGAGATGCCGTTCACCGGTTGCCTGGCATTGCATTTCAGCCTCAGCCAACAGTGAGGTTTGTCCACACTGCCTCAAGACGGCACGAAAAGAGACACATGCAGTGCCTGATCTCCGCAAATGGCTTGCTGAAAGCAGTGTTCACAATACACGTTGATATGCACCGCACACTGATAGGCCCGTTGTAAAAATAATTGTTTAGAATTAAGAATACGTAACAGTTGAGATGATGAGTGGTCAAGCCCGAATATGTGTTTTCATGTCGTGAGACGGGTCCCCCACGGAAGCCACAAGAGCCAAGTTGAACATGATTGACAGGCTGCCAAGACCCATCCCTTGCTTGCGAAACCCGCGGAAGTATCGAGATCCAAGCTCTGATGGTAATCGAATAGCTGTTGTGGCAGCAACTAGGAGGGGCTGCGAGAATATTTCACTTGGCTGTTGAGACAGCGGGCCTCTGGGACCTCAAATAGCCACTTCTTATCCTCCGATCATCTCGATGCTCATCAAATCCTCCAAGTCTCTTCGATTCCACTTTTTCAACTTCTGAGCTTCATTGCCACTATGTCTTCAGCTTTAATCAATGGCAGCCCAAGCCCTGAAATAGCGAAGATGCCCAAGAAGCTAGTCCTCTGTTTCGACGGCACGGGCAACACATTCACAGGCTCCAACTCTGACACGAATGTGGTGAAATTGTTAAGCAAACTTGATCGAAATGATCCTCACCAGTACCATTATTATCAAAGTCAGTCTCCTTTCCGCTGAAAATGGTTCTACTGCTCACGAAAGTAAAACGTTAGCTGGCATTGGAACATACGATATCAACGATGAATCTGTGAACAAAAGCATTTTTGGCCAGATTAAGAGTTACATTTCCCAGACAATTGATCAAGGAGTTGGCACTACCTTCGATAGCCATGTCATGGCTGGTTATCGTTTTCTGATGCGCTACTACGACTCTGTAAGACTGTTTTGTTCTCCAATATAGTGTTCCGGCTGACGCTAATATATCATAGGGTGATAAGATCTATATGTTCGGATTCAGCCGCGGTGCATTCACTGCTAAATTCTTAGCGCGCATGGTCAACACCGTGGGACTCCTTTGCAAAGGCCAAGAAGAAATGGTTCCCTTCGCGTACCGCCTGTACCAGCGCTACCTGGCTGGTGAAGTCGAGGACTTCAATGTGGCGCATCCCAAAAAGTCTAAGAAGAAAAGGCATGAGAACAATGGAGACGCAGCTCATAGCACTGCGCCGACATCGCGACCGGATGATGACGCCGTACCTCTTCACGACGGCCACGAAGATGGTGCATGTGATGACGCAGCTAGACATGGTCACAGGTTTGAGGTCGCTCGCGACGAGATCGAAGCTTTCAGCGATACATTCTGCCGCAAGGAGAAGGTGATTCACTGCGGGAAGATGGAGGAGACCAATATTAAGGTCTTCTTCCTCGGCATCTGGGACTGTGTAAACTCCGTTGCCGTCTTGGAACGGACTGCACCAGTACCAGTGCCGGTCGTCGGCACAGCACACCACGTTCGCCATGCCGTGGCTATAGACGAGCGCCGTGTCAAATTCAAGGCTGCTCTTCTTGCCCAAGACAAGGAAAAGGCCGACGATAACCATGAGGACATCAAGGAGGTCTGGTTTCCCGGTGCCCACGGTGATGTTGGTGGCGGATGGCCTGCCTCCAAAGACAACCCATTCGACAATGGTGAAGAGATGACGTTCTGGCAACGCGTCAAGCACTTCTGGACGACGCGAAAGAACAAAGAACCCGGCAAGGCTCTGGGTGCCGATCGTCTCCAATTGAGTGACGTCCCGCTTGCTTGGATGATCCGCGAGGTTGAGCTTGTTGGAGAGCAAAACCCTTCCGCCGCGGTCAAGTGGCGCAACAACTTGCATGCATTCAAGGACCGATTCGCAAAGAAGAAAAAGCATGCGATGAAAGGTGCTATTCACGACTCGCTCGCGTTGGGCTGCGGTACAAGCTTTCTCAGAGTACTTCTGTGGAAGCTCATGGGTTCGTAAACATTTTTACTAGTACACCGGATATTCGCTCGCTTTTATGGCTGACTTGCCTTGACAGAATGGCTCCCTTTTATTACCCGCTGGGAGCTTGAAATACATGGATGGGAGAACGTCCGCTTTCCACTCAACAAAGGCAGCACCCGCGACATCCCAAAAGAGGCAGTGCTTCACGAATCTCTCCTCTGGCGCCTGAAGCATGACGACAATTACTGCCCTAGAAACAACCAAGGCGGTCGCCAACTACCTTGCTTGAAGCACAACCATAATATTGCCGAATGCGACCCGGTCGACAAAAATGAACATACCGAAGATTGCGATCACAAAACCTTCAAGATCACAAGATCTGCATCTGATATCAGAACTATGACTTAGGAAGGCCGTGCTAGATCAGTCGATAGGCAGTCGATCAACTTTTCGAATCGCTCATCCGCATCTTCTGGCCGAAGATCCGCAGGAGCAAGAATGGCACGAGAAGAATAATGTTGATGAATGAGAACACCAGCCAAGCGTACTGAAACCCAATATCTTCAGCAAGAGGGAGACTGAGTTTTGATTAGTATTCGAATAGGCACGCAATACAACACTGTATTACTTACGCGTCGAAAGAGACCAGTGCGCTGAATATGTGCCTAGTAAAGTTGATCACTGTCCCCACTTCTGCACTTCGAGATCTGTAGCACTGCCCAAGTATGTCAGCAAGTCTTTTCATCTAGGATTCTTCTCTCAACACTTACATCTGTACAATAAGTGTACGTGACAGTGGTCGCAACCTGAAATCCCACACTAGAAATTGCCATCCCGATGGCATTACCAACCCAACTCGTGGTTGCAGAATGCGAGATACACACGCCGTTGATGATGGTCCCAACTGGTAGTGCGAGTGCAAGCCAGAGCGCATCAAGTCGTGCCTCGGGAATCTCAACCCCATTGTGCTTTTTTGCATGTCTATACACTAGCCAATCCACAAACCACCCGGCGGTAGCCTCGCCTAGTAAGTTACCGACGAGTAGTGGAATGCTCAATATCAGACCGACTTGAACTATGTTGAAGCCATAAATCGTGGTATAGACCACAGAGCCTGTAGTAGCGAAAAGGACAGAGCCGTACGCCATACAAGTCATGTAATAGATGTTGGGAACCAGAACACACACGTAGCGAGCCATTTCGAACGGGCCCAGCAACTCCCGTAGGTGGAACTCCTTTCGGAATGCACTTGGTAGCCGTAGTGAGAAAAGACTCAGAAAAGACCTCTCGGGCACAGATTCGCTGTTTAGGGCCGAGTATCGTCTAAAATAAGTCTCAGGAAAAGTGAAAAGTACCACGACGAAAACTCCAAGCTGAATATAACCCTAAAAGTACCGTTAGCGAGGCTTCTCAGCTGCTAGGGAAGTGGCACCTACTGGAATGGCAAAGCAGTACCGCCATCCAAGACTTCGACTGATAAAGCCCCCAATTAAGGGGGCGATATGCGGTCCGTTATTGATGAACAATGCAAAAATTCCCATATAAAAGCCACGTTCGTGGAGGAAATACATATCGCAGATGATGGCTGGTCCCAGAGAGACGGTAGCGCCGACGGCAAACCCGCTGAACACTCTCGTGACAATGATGCCGGCCCAGGTAGAGCAGTAGCCAGCGAGGATGTTCATTACGGCACCAATGAGCGAACCTAGCACCACGATGGGTCTTCGGCCGGTCGTGCTCGCAAAGGGTACAACGAATAACGGCCCGACGCCGGAGAATACGAGGTATACCACTAGTTGGTACGATGCCTGAACGGGCGTGTTATCAAACGCGCGGCCGAGCGTGACGAAGGTCGGGTTCGGTGTCGCGCTTGACATGGGTCCGATGAAAGCCAGGAACGAGACCTGAAGACAGACTGCCAGTTTGAGGGCCGGGTGCCAATTCTGATTGAGATTAGAACTTCGCACACGCCAGAACAGGAGCGAGGTGGGTTACTAAGGGATCATCTTTTCGCCCACTTGGCTGGGGAGATAGCGGAAGCCCATGCCTATCCAGCCGAAGCTCAGGCGCGGTCGTGTCAATTTTCGAACCAACGTCTCCTCCTGTCTCACCGTGATGGATTTCTAGCTTTGGATTCTCGGGTGCGGTTCGGGACGCCATTTTGAGTTTCCCTTAATGCCCTAAACAAGTGCTAGTGTGTCTCAAAAAAACAAAAATCAAAATTATGAATGCAATTTAATCGCGTCTGTATATAGTGAGGCCGTGTAAGTTGGGTCAAGAACAACAGGGACTGAACTTCACGAGAAGTAAATACTTGAGGTAATCTTCAATCTGCCCCACACGGGTTCTTGTCAGACTGGAGTAATGACACAAGACTATGTCGGCAGATGTTTTGCTGCACCGAACCTGGTATAGTGCTTACTTTTGGGCAATCTGATTATCTATTTAATATTTTGGCAGGGGTTATCGAAGCACGTCACATCGACTTCTGTATTTGATTACTAGGCACGCATGATTTTTGTGGAGCAAAGGGCTCCCAGAGCTCTATTTGCAAGTCAAGATATGTATAGTTAATGAAAGCCGAGAATTCATACGAGTCGTGGGTTGAGTTGGAGATAACGTATTGCCAAATCTCAGCAAGACAGCAATCTCTACCTTTCAAGCCGACGTGCTCCGGGTTTAGAAAGTGATTGAAGGGTATGAAAAATCCTAGTCCCTAGCATTTCTCCCTCTAACACTAATCAACTTCTACCACTGCGATCCACGAGCATTCGATGTCTTTTGACTTCAGACCCCGCGAGTATGGTTCCGTGGGTAAGTTCAAATCATACTCAAGCGACATCTTCATACTAACCGAGGCGCATAAATTGGACGCCTCGGACCGTAGTTGGCAGTGATCACAGGTCCCGATGTACGTTAGAAGTTCAAGATTGAAATGCCCTGCCAAAATGACTCCTTAGGGGTGTAAATACATCTCCTGGGGCCCTAGAAGGCTCCTCATCACAACGGGAGGCAACGTTGCTTCTATTTCGGTACCACATGTTCGTGGCCCTAGTATGCCTCATCTTTATTTGCAGATGGAGCACAGTGTATCTTACTGCCTTGTTAACATCATAAATCACAGCTTCACCAGAATTGAGTTGGAAATTTGTGAATACATTTATGATCACCCATCTTATTCTTGATCTAGGAAGAGTCCTCATGTATCATAGAGTACCAGACACCTAACTTCAATACTCTGTCGAGACTCTTTCCCTCGATACACCGGATCCTCAAATGCCGAATGCAGCGCTCGTCGAGCTACGGACTCATTCGAGTCGAAGCATTTAATCAGAAGCACTTCGTCGGGGCTCAGCAAGTGCTTGTAATACCAGCGGTGAGCTGCATTATATCGCACAACCCATTGTTCCCCATGATAGTCATCCTCGACCATTTCCGCTGCGACAAGATCTGCATCAGGAACCGAGAATGCATCAGCAACTGCAATGGGATCCTTTCGAATTGTCTTGATGGGACGCCAGATATTTATGATCTGATATCTTTTCTGCGCCAAGTTTTCAGCCTCCTCAGGAAGCTCCCATCTCAGGCGTAACTCAGCTCCGTCATAGGACTGATCCACGTGCGTCTTTGTGACAGGCCCGCGATTCGCGAGGTTCTTTAGGCCCAAGTGATGCCACTGGGTCGGACCACGTCGCACTTTGTGGTTGAAAATGACGACACGGCTAGCTCCCGTGACGTCTCTCAGAAGCTGCTTGCACTCAGAGTAGTACTCGGCTTGGATCTTCGCATCGTCGGTGAACTCTTTTTCCTTGCTCTTACTTCGACAATATTGAAATCCGTGGCTGTCGAGAGTGTAGTGGTCCTCATCGCCGCTTACATCTGATATCACAACGCTGTGAGGTACATGTGGTCGCTCATTTGTTATTCTCCCTTTTCCAATCACAATAGGCGTCGGCTTGGAGCCGTCACCAGGGTCGTCCCAGTAGCTCAGTTCGGTCGCTACGTCGTGTTTTTCCTGTTGCGTGTTGAGAGCTGAGCGCTGTCTTGGAACTGGCACTTCAACTTGAAGTTTTCCGATCTCGGTCGCCATTGAACCGGAATCGATCTCCAGTGTTTGGGTATAGTTGACATAGGTTCACCTCAAATTTTCTTTGCTAGGTTCGCAGTTGTTTAGTGAAATTTCCGTCTGCGCTGCTGCCGTGATGTGTCTATAGATGAACATATTCGCCATGCGTGTTCCGCGAATCGGATGTCGTTGCTCCGAATTGACATCTGCCGATCTTGGCACAGTGTCGAGCAGACGGTAGTTGCTATCAAACTGGTGTGGTAGAGCAAGTATTCTGCACCTCCCCCCTCTCTCCAATCTGGGACGCGGCTGAGCGGACACTTGTTATACTGGAGTGTTCACCTGCATTTATCTCTGCCTGAAGCGATCAGTGCTGTGGATCCATTCCTGAATTGGCCAGTCTAGGCATATATATCGGTATATTTAACCGGTATTGTCTTTCACTGACAGGATCAACGGGAGGTCATCGTGATTTATGGGTTAGGCAAGTAAGTGGATACGTGAGTGTAAAGACAAGTTTGTGGCCGCAGCTCGCTCCGTTAATTCTTTGATCGCTTGGTATAGTGACGATCACAACACGAATTATATGTCGCAATTTGGTAGATTGCCCGGACTTCATACAATGTCGTAATGTGCCAAATTAAGCACAGCGGTGACGTAAATTCATTTAAGCTGTGCTCGGGGGGTTGGGGCACATGTGCGTCACTGGAGTTGGTAATGATAGAAAGCCAAGAGAAAGCAAGTATGGTTCATCCTATATATCACCAAGTTTAGCCAGATTCAAATGAATAAATGGGAGACATGAAATATCATTTTAAAGAATGCATCTCCGCAGCGTGAAAGAGGGGAAGCTATAATCGGCATTCGCAAGCTATAGTCGGCATCCGCTTGGCTGTAAAGCAAGCTTCCTACCATTACCTCAAAAGTTGATTTATAAATGAGTACAGCCAACATTAAGGCGACCGAGGAACGACCCATTAGAAAATTTTGTGTGAACCAACAAACTTACCTTGCCTTGTAAACATCTTGTCAGTATTCGTCACCATGGCTATCTCGGAACAAATCCCAGAGTCTGTCGAGTGGAACGGAAAGAAGACCCCCATCTATCCGATGGAGACGGTCAGTTTCGAGCGACTTCTCTCTCAGGAGCCAGCCGAACTTGAGAAGGTGGTTCGCTGCTGTGAAACTGAAGGTTTCTTTTACCTCGACTTGCAGAGCATCGACGGCCGACGGATGTTGGAAGACCAGCAGAAGACTCTTGAGCTTATGCACCGATTCTTTCAGTCGCCCCTTGAGATAAAGAACCAATATGGGCTTATATCCCCCCATCTCGGGTAGGCCACACATGATCAAAAATTCATTTTTGCCTGTATTCATTTTTGTGCTGATCAGTTGGAAAACTAGTTACGAGCCCATTGGCTCACGTACCGGAGTTTTCAAAGACACCAAGGATGGATATGAAATGATCAAGGTTGGACACTTGCCACCATAGACAAGGCAATTGCCTTGAATTGTTAATTTGGGCTAATTGAGTGTTCTGAATCAACATTAGGTTGCTCGAGACGAGATCCAAAAGTCCAGCCCCCACCTGCCCAGCGTCATCAAGAATAGCCCGGATATCAAAATCCTGGAAAACGCCATTGCGGGCTGCAACATCATCACAAAGACTATCCTATCGTCGCTGTCCACGGGACTCGGGCTTACGGGCGCTGCACGATTCGAGAACACTCACCGTAATGACCGCCCGTCTACCACGACCCTCGCCATGATGCACTACATACCGTCCGATCCTGCCGCCCAGAAGATCGGCCACCAGAAGCACACCGACATCAGCTCGCTGACCCTGCTCTTCAGCGAGGAGTGGGGACTCCAGATCCGCCCGCCGGGTGCCCGCGAGTTTGGATTCGTCAAGCCTAAGGATGGTTGCGCCATTGTCAACGTCGGCGACTCGCTTCGTTTCGCGAGTGGACACAAGATGCAGTCGTGCATCCACAGGGTCGTGCCCTTCGACCCGACCGAGCACCGTTACTCAATCGCGTATTTCCTCAGGGCCGAGGACTCGACCATGTTCACCGACAGCGAAGGCAGGTACATTACGGCCGGCCAGTGGCACGATGAAAAGTTCTTCGCTTTCACCAACCCGCCCGAGCTCCTGGCCAACGTTCCGCCCTCGATGATTCTAGGTGGAATGAAGGAGGAGGAGGACAAGGAGGTTACTGCAAAGGCCCCAAGTGCATCGAAAGAGATTGTGGTCGAGACATAATTCGTCCACTGTTGCTTTGTCTGCCAGCCTCAATAGATGTTGGCGCTGATTTGAATATGCCAGATGCTTCAAGGGAGATCACGTTCGTGCTGTCAATCGCTACTTCTGGGGAAAGTCTCCAAATCTGAGCATATCGCCTCTCGTTTATAGTCAATTGACGATCTATGACATAAGATGTCTCGTTCAAACAAGCAAATAGCTATCGTTGTATCGTATATGCATGTGGTATTGGGGATGCAATGTGACGGCCGCAATTTGAATGCGCAGTTCGATCATTGTACGACTTTACTAACGACCTCTGGAGCTTGCTCTACACTGTTCTGCGAAGCTTCTTCAAATATGTTTTTGGAGCAGATGCCTTCATCGCAAGCGCTTTGTAGGTGCATATCCAAGGCGCATATCCAGGACTCGGTGATGCACTCATGCCAGTGGAATTTTCCGGGTCAATTAAGAGATAATTTTATAGTAAACGTCTCGTAGTGATGTACGCCTCATGAGCACGTGTGCATTGATTTTGGGCGTTGTTCCGTTCCTTTTTCTCTTTTCTTACCTACCGCGTTCCCCCTTTCACGACTGCACCCCAAGATTGCGTCATACCAAGTCTTACCGGCATGTTAATATAGCCGTGATAGCAACCCAAGACGGCTGAAGGTGGGGTGCAACCCTACTATAGTTCTCATACCGTCCCGCAGAGCTGACGAATGACGGCACAATAGGTATATCCGACCTACCTTATTTAGATGGAAATCTTCTGATGGGATTTGCATTTTCTATTGTGGTTCTTTAATGGCTGTCTGGACAACTGAGAGGATGGAGGAAGACGATTACGTGCTTGTATGCCTGGACGATTTCCAAGATGATTCGATTGACTCCGACCCGAAATATCTCAACGATGTCAATGATTCCATCGAAAAGAATTCAGACCAGTTGTGGCTGATCAACAAAAAGATACACGATAACCCGGAGCTCGGATATGAGGAGCACAAGGCTCACGCGCTATTGACGAAGTTTTTGAAATCCAAGAAGGGCTGGGAGGTCACGACTTCTGCCTACGGGATGGAGACGGCATGGGTGGCGGTTTACGACAGTGGTGAAAGCGGTCCGGTGGTATCGTTGAACGTTGAGATGGGTAAATTTACTTTTCCCGTGCCCGTGATGCTGTTGACGAACCTCAAACAGACGCTCTGCCCAAAATGGGCCATGCATGCGGGCACAACCTCATCGCAACTGCATCATTGGCCGGCGGCCTGGCAACGGCTGAGCTGATACAGCAGCACCAGCTCAAAGGAAAGGTCGTTCTCTTTGGCACACCAGCAGAAGAAGGGGGAGGCGGCAAGATCCGCTTACTCGAAGCGGGAGCGTATCGAGACCATGAGGTTGATATATCTCTAATTTCCCACCCGGGCGTCCTACACGATAGTGCACTTGTTCATACGACGGGTTACACCCGATTCAAAGTCGAATACTTTGGCCGTGAGGCACACGCGGCTACCAGCCCTTGGTTAGGAATAAATGCGCTTGACGCGTTGGTGATTGCATATAATGGGCTTTCTGTACTTCGCCAGCAAACAATGCCAGGTGATATCATCCAAGGCTACATTACCGACGGCGGATCGGCGCCACAGATCATTCCCGCATACGCTGCTGGGACTTTTGTCGTGCGTGCAAACTCTCCTTCGCGTCTTCACACCCCTTCCCGCCTCCGAGAGTTGCGCAGAAAAGTCGAAGCCTGTTTCCGAGCCGGAGCGGAAGCGACAGGGGCCGAACTTAAGATCACTGTCGAGGAGGCCTACGCCGAACACGTCCCGAACCGAGTACTGGCCGCATCATACGCAAAGTATTGGAACGCGCTAGACCCGCCACATCCAGGCTCGATAGATCGAGAAATCCATATCAGTGCGAGTACAGACCAGGGCGATGTCAGCCACGCCATACCAAGCTTAAACGCGAGTTTCTCTATCGAGCCCGGGCCGGGTGGCCAAGGGCCGCACAGCCCCGGCTTCGAGAAAGCATCCGGGACAAAAGACGCTTTCCAGAGGTGTTTGAGGACGGGGAAAGCACTAGCTGGGACAGCGGTGGATATACTCACAACGCAGGGTTTGCTAGAGAAAGTCGTAGTTCAATGGAAGAAGGATATGGAGCAGTCTCGATAGCTGCAGTGGTGCAAAATGTACCATAATATGGCCCAGGGAAAATCACATTGTCGAGAAGTAAGCAAGGATTCAGCAGATCTTAATTCCAGTAATTTTTTTGAGGCGTCTTGTCATACACGCACACGGAAAATCAAAGCATCAAATCACTTTAAAACATCTCTCAGCGCAATTCAGAAATGTCATCGCATTATTGACCCTCCATAACTCACCAAGAGAGTCTACCACGCTATGAGCAAGAAGCTGCTCTAGAATGCAAGGTTTTTCTTGCTGCTACTGTTCTTTTGAGTAACATCCCAGTGAGTTTCGCCTTCTTTTCCGTATCAAAACCAGCATATGATCCCATCATTCACCTCGCTTTCATAGCGATATCAGAGAAGAATGCCAGCCCCTTGCCTGCTGCTGCATGGGAAGCAGCCCTTCCTGCCTCAAGATGTCATCCACACTAGACGCCGGCCCTAGAAAGCCTTCCACTTCATGGATGGAGATGACTCAACCTCAATGTGTGGTAGAGAAACTTCGCAGCTGTCCGCTCATATTATAGCTCCTTTCCATAATTCCTCGAAGTTCTGGCCATAGTGAGGGAGCCTTCCCCCAGACTATATGCCAAAGCCCAGTAAAGCCGTGACTCATGATGACTGCCAAACCTAACCTCTAGTAGCGCCTCGACCACTCCGCGATAGTGCTGCTCGCAGTAGCCTCATCTCGTAGTCTCCCAAGAGTGTGGGTAAGCTACCCACGCTTGCGAGGGCCGGCCCACTTTCTGGAAGCTGGGCTGCTAGGCGAAGAATTTGCTTCCCATTTGAGGTGTTGAAGTTCATCTTCGGCCCTGCAAAGTCTGAAAGCTTCATTCTGTAATGTTCGTAGAGAATTTTGTGGCGACAAGCCCAGGGGATATAACTCATGTTGTACTGTGCACCTAGTAGCTGTCTGATCAATTCACCGGCGCCAAGTAATTTTACCACGTCCAGTTTTGGCATGTCCCGTCTGAGCGTCTCCAGAAGCTTTGATAGTTCTCGCTTGGACATCCTGTGCTGACGCCGGAATTCGGACATGTTGCGGTCGATCTGAGCTTCCACGCGCGACGCCAAGATATCCAACCGGTCACCCAGCACACCGAAAGCCAGGAGTGAGACAGCGTATTTCCGAGACTGTCGATACTGCGTATAGTTATCGTACGAGCTCTCCATCGACAAAATGGAGACTACCTGTGGTTTTGTCTGGCCGACGCGGCGTATGCGTCCGATGGCACTCAGCATGGTCGGGATGCTGTCAGGAAGCTCGAAAATGATCATGTTGTGACAGTCTTCATGAAGATCGACGCTGTGCCCCAAAACGCGCATTGTGCTCAAAAGGAAGTCATATCGCTTTGCATTGTTGTTGAAGTCGTCAATGATAGCACATCTGGTTTCATCCCCATGCTTCGGCTTGCTCCTCAAAGATAAGAAATTGAATTCGGCCATGGCGCACACTCCTTCAATGATCCATTGTGTCAAGGGATGGACGCAATAGATGATAACCTTTTCCCCCTTCTGCTTCAGCTCTTCCAGCTTGACAAGCAACCATCGCAACTTGGGGGAACGGCGAACGATATGTCTGATCATGGAGGCTCTATCGGCAGGGGCGTGAACGGGATCGTTGTCGCGCCTTGTCATACTGTAGTAGAAGCTCATGCCAGAATCCGTATTGGTCTGTTTCAGAACATCAATATCTGGTATAACCTTACGAGATGCTGGCATGTCAAAAGATGGGTTCTTTAGAACGTCGGCTAGACCGAAGTCGGCTGTGATTTGGCTCAAGAAAGTGTCCCAAGAATTGTTGAATGCAGCTACTGGTGTTTCGTTGTCGTTGATGACACGAGCTGCGCAAGCTGCTGAATCGTCCTTACCGGCCCGAAAGATATTGTCGAACCCTACCCCGGCCAACTTATCGTAATCTTGCTGCTCTTGTGTCATACCTACTTCGATGGTACTGATCGAAACTGGCGGTAAGGCAAAGATTCCCGATATTGTCGAAGACCCACTGCTGGGTAAGTGAGCGACAGAGACGACGCCTCGACGCAGAAGGCACAGGCGGAGAATTGATCCCAGGACTCTACGTGAGAATTCCGGACCAAAATTCTTGTGGTGACCCAACCACCTATACGCGTGTGGGTTGAGGCGCCACAAGTGCTGGCCACTTCTCAGGGCCTCCACGTACTCGGGTGACACATTGGGTGGGACGAAGTTTCCCGAGCCTCTGGCCTGGAAAGGATCGAAATCATCATCAAACATTCTCAGAAACTCCGCAGTCTCTGCGCCTTGTGGCCAATTGATTTGCCACGTTTTGGAGTGGTAGAGCGCAAATAAAAGACCGCGGAAGTCGGATACTTTGTTGTCCACAGGATTTGCCGTGAGAAGAAAGTGAACTTCCGCGTCCAACAAATACGCAGCCTGGGCTTTGTTAGATTTGGGATGCTTGATTTCATGTGCTTCATCAGCAATGAGCGTTCCAATCATGGCCGGATCGAAGTTGAGGTCGTAAAGTTCGGGCTTTTTTGCCACCTTGAAAGCTTCTGACGCCTCCTCAGTGAGCTTGGAACCGCGTAACGATAATTCTTTCTCGCGGGCATCTTTATCTTTCCGCTTAACCAAGAACCTCCTGTTTGAGAGCTCACCATATGTAGAAAGGATGACGGTACGACTCGTTTGAGGGTCGGAGGGCGACAAAGCACCCAAGAACTCAGCAAGTGCTGATGGCGACGGAGGATCGATCATCTGGCTACTTTCGCCCGGTTCCAATGATTCACTGCAGATATACAGATTCAAAAGACCGGAGAAGTATTTTTCGTAAACCTCCTTCCAGCCTCGAAGAGCTTGATGACGACAGAGAATGAAGATTACTTTGTGCGCATTGAAGTCAGGTAGAGCTTCTTTCCTCTGGGCCAGGAAAAAGATGGAAGCAAGAGCCTCGACTGTCTTTCCTGTGCCATAGTCGTTTGCATTCACGCAACCTTTCAGGATCCCTTCAGCCTTCTTCACCATGAAAGCGATGTTTTGTACCTGATCCAGTCTAAGTCTCAGTGTGGATTTTGGAGAGATTTCGAGTGACTGCAAGTCCATATCCAGAAATGCGGCGGCGTCTTTCGGACTGTCGACAGTTGCAGAAAAATTGCTTAAAAAGTCCAGGCCAACCTTCATTTGCGGTCCACGGTCTTCTATCTCATGACTCTGTGAATCAGATGTACATACCGGAGTGGCGAAGCCCTCCATCAGTCGTTTGCGCTCATCGGGAGACATGTGAGGGCGGGAATTGTGGCCTTTGTCCTTTAGTTCGTCTGAGAAATACCCGGTGTCGTTGCCGTATGTGCTGAATTTGTTCGTGGTCTTCTGCCATTTTCTGCGTTCCGAAGAGGCCTTAGCTCTCTTTAGATTCGTCTTTCGAATTTCTTCGGTCGTATCTCCTTCATTTTCTGTCGATGTATCTGTGTCTGGATCTTGTTGAGTTCCTTCTTCAGGTACTACACTTGCTGAAGTAGCAATAGCTTCCTCCTTTTCATGCGCTGAATCGGAAAAGTGACTGTCGTCTTGTTGCTTCTGTCGCTTATTTGGCTGCGCTTCCTGCGCCGTATCAGGCGAGGCTGCTCGCTTTAGGCTCTGATCGACTGAAGACATTTCGTGGGCAGCAGTGCTGAGGCAGCAGTCGGTAGAATCGAGATAAAGGGGGCGAGGGTCTGACCTGCCTCAAACAAAGTGTTGAGCTTGATTCGTGGAAGACCATGAAGTTGATACTTGTTTCGTGGAGTGAGTTCTTTCGATTCGAGGGGCAGAAAGATTCAAGAGTGAGGATATTTGACGAAAGTTCTCACTTGTCCGAGTCTTGAGGGCTTTGAAAAAAACGGCAGTTCAGAAAAGCCCAGAGAAAAGCCGCACCTTGTGTCAGGTAACTTTGATGAGGAAGGTCCCTGCCCTGGTTGAGATGATAGCTTCTCAGAAATGTAATGCAGCTCTGTACTGACCACTTTCGTCAGATGGTTTTCCTCAGTAAGAAGAACGAAGAAATCCTTGGGGGCTGAGTTGCAAGTCTGTCTGTCCCAAGCTAAGTGTAAGGAGATAAAATAGGGCATGTATGGACCCTTAAATGTCTAGAGCAATGCTCATTGATAATTTCCGATCACTTGAGACGATCGAGACTTGATTACTTCGCCGGAGGGTAAATGAAGACCTTTGTTACTGGACTGAAGATATGTGAGGATGGGAAAGTGTTTTGCAGCGATGGCAGGGAAGGCTACACAAGCTGCCTGAGAAGAGGTACTTTCCTAAGTAGAATGGAAGAAACGAGGATGTGACTTGAAGCGGGCGTGTGATGTTGCTGTAGACTTGATATCAAAGTGTCTCCAATAAACTTGTTTCAGTAGACTGCGAGGGAAAGAGCACGATCTGATGAAAGCGATGCTTGTAGAAGTCCAAGCTTTGGAAATGGGTATGCAGGGCGTGCTTGAGCTGCTTGTATTCTGGGGGATTTGAACCTCGAAATGATGCCTTTCTCAATGATATAGAGGTGGGTGGGAAGGAGCAAGACCCAAGATGGATCACAGCGTAGGGAGGGGATTGTGAAAAATTGAGCGTTGTGAAGACCTAAAAATGAAGTGACCAATAGATTGTAAGTCTTGTGTCGACGCGATGAGCACGTATGTGTGCTGTGCCAAGTCTTGAAGAAAAAGAATGCTTGAGAGGACTACTTGCAACAGTATGTTGTTCGTCGCAGCCTGGCTTCATCAGACGAGGAAGCTGGGTACCCAGGTAGTAGGTGGGTATGGGTGTGGTGCGAGCAATGTGTGAGTCTGCTCACAATTTGGGGTTCCGTCAGGTTTGAGGTCAAAAAGCCCCGTTGTTGCTAAGCTCTTCTCTATTTGTAGATCCAGGGAGTCAAAACTTAGGCAGGTGTCGAAGACAGCTCAAGGTGGTTTCATAGCTACTTGCTCGTGTGCTGCAAATCAATCCAAAGAACAAACGGCTGATCAAGTACACCTGCAGTCATGCGACTGGTCACGACATGTTTTAAACAGCGCTGCTTTCGAGAATCAGATGTTGAATACCACTACAATTCATCTGTAAGAAAGGAGGATTCAATTTGTTTAATGGTCTCCAAGTACGTAAGTGGCATCGTTTGACAATTCATCGCTCGAACCGGGCGCCGTCAGCGTCTAGGTACTACAGAAATAGCAACGGTCCTGTCAGGAGTATGTCACAGTATTTGGAACATCGTATCAGGAGACAGTCTGCTGTACAAAATTGCTCATGTGATAAGCTTCGTGCAGATGTAGTCGACGGGCGATCGTCACCATCCTCCAACGTCCGACGTCTAACCTTCATAATGCAGAATCCATGGCGATATCTTTGGCTGTTGGCCTTGCACGTTGAAAGAGACGACAGCCGGAGTCTTTACACTATGACGCAGGCTGTCGAGATCAACTCTTGATTTAGCGGCTTCCGAAGTCGCGGAAAAATACGATGGTCCAGAAGCGGGCTCTCAAAGTCAGAGCGACACTGTGGAGAAATGCTACTTTAGATGGTGACCATATGAGCTGTAGGTTCGTTGACTGTAGAACATAGCTAGTGAATACAAATGAAGGAGAGGGATGCGCATTCTGATGGAGTGGTCGACACTGAGCAAAGTGGTTGGACGGTGCAGCCCTCAGGTAGCACCTACGTGAGCGGGAGGATCACAGACTTTGCCCATTATTGGATCGCGGAAGAAATGACGTACATGAACATCACCGAGGCATTTCTAATGAATCCTAGTGAGGACTTCGCTCCCTGGGTCCAAGGCGAGTATTGATTGAGGTGATTTATTCGTTGGAGATCGACTAAGGTTTCATATATTTAGATACCTATTAATCTGCCTGGCTACGTATACTTATCCTCGTGAAGCAAATGAGCCTCTGTCTTCCTCGCCAAATCGATGGCTAGCCCGAATCTTGTCCTGAGAAATATCAAATGCAATCACAAGCTCACGAAGAATGGAATTTGCGTGTCCGCACAAGACATGACCATGTCTCGTTTCTAGCATCTTATCACATGTTGGGGCTCGAATTCTCGCAAGTACGACAGAAAGTCTTCTCATCCAAGTATATAGGCATCTCACTATATTATGTAGATGTGAACAATTCTCAATCCCACGCACTACCCAAAGAACGCCAGTTTCTATCCGCACATAAGAAATATACTGTTAGGTATCAAACCAAATAAATCAACCTCCTTCCCATTGCATGCTATGTCCAATTTTTGTAATTTCGAGCGCAGTCCACCCACACCAAATGGAAAGTGGTTTCCAATGCTTCTGTTTTCTTATCCCCTAGACATACGAAGTAGGGCTCTCGGCTTCTCCTCTGAACCGGCCACTGTCATAAGGCATCGGAGGCGGTGGTGTGTAAGTTTGGCCTTGGCTGTCCTGAACCGCGCCTTGCGCCCACCACCCAGACATGCGCTCACGTAAAGTCTTGCGGTTGCCGTTTGGAGTAAACGGCGTCATTGGCGGGCCTTGCTCCAGGTCCTCATGATAGCTGTATCGCTCTGATGGCGAAGGACCGGGCCGAGGAGACAGATTCATCTCGTCGAATGTCTGCGGGCCTGTGGGGCCGGAGCCACGCTGGTCATGTGGCTCATACTCGTCGTCCTCGTCGTAGTAGTTTTCGAACTCCTCTTCAGGGGAGACGGCACGCTCGACATCATAATTCGGGTCATACTCGGGCTGTTCAGCCTGATCCATGTCGTCCTCCTCTTCTTCTGGTGGAGGAGTCGCCAGCGGGCGAGGAGACAATGGACTAGCGGCGATGGGGCTCAATGCCTGCGACATCGTGGACATCCTTGCTGACATCCTCGCGCTCCGCGTCTTTGCGAAGTCAGGGACTGGAGCCATGACAGGGACATCAAAGGTCTGTCCCTGTTCCATGGTCGGGGACTCAGCGATGGCAGACAAGCCACCGTCCGAGTTGGGCGACTGGAGAGTTAGAGCCATGTCGAGATCAACACTCTGCCGGTACAAATGCGAGTAACGGACTGGGTCCATGGAGTCCAGGTCCTCGTCTTGCGGGCTGTTTGTGTCCTGCTCAGGTGGCGGGCTCGGTGGGAGAGGTGATGTGAGAACAGGTGAAAAGATCGCGGATTGTCTGTAGAGCTGGGATAGTCGGACATCGCTTGTGCTCCCGGGCTCGTCGGTCTGTTCGTCCAGTTCTGCCTCGTCTTCTTGCTCTTCGTCATTTTCAGGGTCCTCGGGTGACTCCTCCACGCCTGGAGAGTCCAAGCCACGCTCCCCTTCTGAGCCAGTCGGTGAACCAGGGTTCGAATCGTCCATGATCCCTTGGAGATCTTCATCGTCGAGCCCATCGTCCTCGTCCTCTTCCTCTTCCTCTTCATCTTCCAATTCTTCGGCCGATTCGTCCATGTCGCGATCGCCTTCAGAGCCAGTTGGTGAGCCAGGTTCCGAATCGCCCACCTCGTCTTCCAAGGGCTCTTCGTCTTCCAAGGGCTCTTCGTCTTCCAAGGGCTCTTCGTCTTCCAAGGGCTCCTCGTCTTCCAAGGGCTCCTCGTCTTCCAAGGGCTCCTCGTCTTCCAAGGCCTCATCGTCTTCAAGTTCTCCCTCCTCTTCCTCCTCGCCCTCTTCGCCGCCACTGCCCAATTCCTCCATGTCTTCATTTTCCTCCTCGATCTCTTCCTCCTCTGGGAGTTCTTCCTCTTCTGGGAATTCTTCCTCTTCTGGGAATTCTTCCTCCTCTGGGAACTCATCACCATCAATGCCTTCTTCGTCCTCTCCAAGTTCACCATCCATCATATCCTCTTCAATCTCTTCACCGTCTTCTCCTTCAAATTCCTCGTCGCCAACATCGTCTAGACCCTCTTCATCTTCCATGATTTCACCATCCATCATGTCTTCATCAAGGTCTCGATCTCCGTCGCCTTCTTCGTCTTCCATAATTTCTTCGTCCATCATACCCTCATCGTCCATCATCCCTTCATCGTCCATCATCCCTTCGTCGTCCATCATACCTTCTTCGTCCATAACACCCTCATCATCCATCATACCATCATCAAATTCTGGTTCTTCATCACCCTGGTCGTCGGCGAATTCATCGTCCATCATACCATCATCGAATTCTGGTTCCGCGTCTCCTTGATCGTCGACAAAGCCGTCGTCCATCATGCCATCGTCCAATCCGCGATCTCCGTCGCCTTCTAGGTCGTCTTCGATAGGGAATTCCTCGCCGGCGTCTCCGGGAAAGTCTTCGGCGAAGTCCCCTCCACCCTCAGATCCTGCGAACTCGTCATCTAGCTGAGGCTCATCCCCGCCGTCGAAGTCATCTAGCATCGGTTCTTCTGGCTGGAAATCATCGTCGAGCCCGCGGTCACCGCCGTCATCGAGACTTTCGAATGGCTCGTCCATGCCTGGGTCATCCATGCCTGGGTCATCCATAACTGGGTCATCCATAACTGGGTCATCCATAACTGGGTCATCCATAATTGGGTCATCCATGATGGGCTCTGGTTCAGGCTCGTCGAAATCAGCCGGTTCGTCAGCGGAGCCAAAGTCGTCCTCCGGAATCATCTCGTCATCTTCAGGCATAGGTTGGTCGTCAAATTCTCCGTTGTCGCCCTCGTCCAAGGGCTCCTCTAGGTCGAGGCCGCGATCACCCTCGTCCATGTTGTCGAGTTCGCCCTCGGCCCCGTCGTCAAGACCGAGCGGCTCTTCGTCTCCCAGAATTGGCTCCTCTTCAACACCTTCGACATTGTCTTCGAAGCTGTCCAAGGGCTCATCGGCATCGAGAGGCTCTTCAAAGTCTCCCGCTGGCATATCGCTTTCAGGCTCGATTTCTGGCATAGGCTCCTCCATATCGAGACCCTGGTCCATTTCGAGATCAGCTGGAGCGTCATCGCCAAAGTTATCACCGTCAAAGTTGTCACCGGCGTCGTCAAAAGCGGGCTCGGGAGCCGACGAGCCATCGTCGAAAGAACCCGGCTCGCCACCGAAATCATCCATTGCGGGTGCAGGCTCAGAGTAGTCTTCGACCGGGGCCGAATCGCCCCCGAAGTCATCGAAGGCAGGCGGAGGCGAAGACATGCCGCCAGCAGGGCTAGCAGGGCCCCCAAAGTCATCCTCAGCGGGCGACGGGAGTGCTTCCTCGGAATTGTCCATGACTGGCGACTCTGCAGGCATGCCCATGTCGCGTGAGTCGGACCCAGCAGGTGGAGAAAGAGGAGTCTCCTCGACAGCTCCCATATCCATGGGCTCAGGCTCGTCGGCCATATCAGCTGGAGCAGCAAACTCGGACTGGACTGGCGACGGCATGCCCATGTCAGGCGCCGGTGAGGGCATCCCGTTCTCTTCGGGCGTTCCATCATCAAAGCTGTCCATTGGGGCAACCGGCGACTGGGCGTCCATGCCAGGCGATCCAAGACCACCGGCATCATCGGAGGCAAAGTTGTCCATAACGGGTGACTCCGCGGGCATGGACTCGGCATCTCCTCCCATGTCGTGCGAGGGCGAGGGAGGCACGCTGTTGTCCATTCCGAAATTGTCTTCGCCAGCAGGCGATGGTGGGAGACTGTTTGATTCTAGATTGTCCATACCACCAGCAGGCGAGGCAGGCATGCTATTGGTGTCGAAGTTGTCCATACCACCCGCAGGCGAAGGAGGCATACTGTTGTTACCATCGAAGCTATCCATGCCACCTGCAGGTGAGGGCGGCATGTTGCTCGTGCTGAAGTCATCCTGCTGGTCGAACCTGTCACCATCATCCAACGCCATGGGGGCAGTGTCAAAGTCGCGGCTCGACCGGCGGCGGTTGTCTTTCTCGCCATCGACGCCGCCGACCTTATCAAAGAACTTGCGCATCTTGTCCTTGATGTTCAGAGGTGCAGGCTTCATCTTCTCCGGCTCGTTGGGGCTCATCGGCTCCTCGGAATACAGAGGAGAGTTGCCGCCGAGGGATTGCCGAGGCGAGGCCATCGAGTCCTCGAAGACGGGAGACTCGGCTATTGGTGGTGAGTTCGCTGGGAGTGAGTCCATATCGGCAGACAGGCGTGGGTTCGATTCCATACCCGGTGATCGCGGAGGGCTGTCGTTAAGGTTGAAATCGTCATCGACCGGCGAGGTTCGAAGGCTGTCTCGGTTCTTATTCTTGCCCCATCCGAAGATGCCCTTGCCGCTCTTGTCCTTCTTGCCCACTTCAGGTGACATAGGAGAATCTTGCTTAGGTGATAGTGGCTGATCATCATGACCATCAAAGCCATCCATCGACGTCGGTGTCACTTCTCCGTCCTTGCTCTTGCCAAAGCGCCCGAACAGTCCTAGACCCTTCTTGTCTTTCTTGTCCATGTCGGGCGACACAGGGGACCCGAGCTCAGGCGAGCCTAGCCGGCTGTCTTGGCCGTCGAAGGTGTCATCGGTAGGCGACAAGACAGAGTCTCTGTTCTTGCTGTCTTTGCTTTTTCCAAGACCGAACAGGCCCTTGCCCTTCTTGTTCTTCTTGTCTTTCTCAGATGGGGAAGAGGCGTCTAGCTGAGGCGAGAGAGGCCTTTCATCGAGGTCGCCATCGATAGATTGCGCGTCAGATTGACCAGGCTTCTTCTCGCCAGATAGCACTGGAGAACCTGGCTGCGACTGTCCTTGGAGAACGAGCAGAGCTGGTATCATCACTTGGCCGTTGCTTCCAAGTTGCTGATCGTCCATCATGGTTGGAGATCCAGGCAAGGATCCTTCCTTGCCGGGTGACAGTGGCTCCGAGTTGGATCCTCTTCGTTTCTTCTTATCTTTGTCTTTGCTGAAGAGACCCTTGAGCCCTGACTTCTTCTCTCCCGGCATGGTGTCTTCGAGCTGATCGTCGGCAGAATCTAGCAGCATTGAGTCCCGATCAGGAGAGATTGGGTCTGACTTCGATCCTCGGCGTTGCTTCTTGTCTTTGCCAAATCTACTGAACAGGCCGGTTCCTTTGTCTTCAGATCCAGGCATGCCATCCTCATCTGCGGAAAATGGCTCCAAGCCGGGGGACATGGCTGAGGAGTCCCTCAAGGTCGGCGAGCCAAGAGGAGAACCTGACTTGTCCTTCTTGTCTCTGCCCTTTCCGAACTTGCTGAACAGCCCAGTCTTCTTCTCGTCGGGGTTCTTCTCGACAGGCGAATCGTCCTCTATAGACCATGGATCCAGAGGAGGTCTCTCTTCCATTATCGGGGACTCTCCTGGAGAGCCAGGTTGGAGCTTGTTGCCCTTGTCCTTGCTTTTACCGAATCCAAAAATGCCGTGCTTCTCTTCTGTAGGCGACTTAGATCCGAACTTGGTCTTGTCTTTGCCACGGCCAAACAAGCCAGTAGTCTTGTCACGTGGATTCTTCTCGTCAATCACATCACTGGTCGACCAAGTTTCACCCAGCTCAGGTGAACGCGAGGCGTCGTTCATGAATGTTGGAGACCCAGACATGGATCCTCGTGAGCCACGTCGCTCCTTCTTGTCCTTCTTGCCGCCTCCAAGTCCAAAGAAACCAGGCTTCTTGTCGCCAGAGGCCTTCGAATCCTTGCCTACCGCCCACGACTCATCATCTCCCAAGATAGGTGAGCCGATGGGAGACATCTGGTCCTTGCCACCGAAGAGACCGCCAAGGAAGTCAGGCTTCGACTCTTCCTTGAGGGAAGACTCATCCTTCCTGTCACCTGGGAGGCCACGAGACTTGTCCTTAGACGCAGACTGCGCAGAATCAAGATGACCGTTCTTCCTATCAGCAAGCGATCCTGGACCATCCCTGGGTGTTCGCCCATAGATGTCCTCGCGACCCTTGTCCGTCTCCGAGGTGAAGGCACTGTAGGATTGAGGTGGCGAGTTGAGCATCGATTCTGTGAAAGACGCATCTGAGAACCGCTCCTTCTCGCTCCTGACTGGACGGGATGCTGAAATGCTGTCCAGTTCCTTCTCCATGTTTGCCAATCTAGACGTGGGCGACAACGGCTTCTCGTTGCCGATTGTTGGCGAGCCCATGTTCCGAGAGACGCCGTCCTTGCCCTTGCCCTTGCCCTTGCCGAAGAGATCCTTTAGCTTGTTAGACTTAGGGCTAGTAGGCTTTTGCGATGAAGGAGGCATGTTTCCAAATTCTGCACCGAACGGTGACCGAGGAGACATGTTTCCATCGAGGGGAGAGAGAGGCTGGCGGGTCTGCCCCTTGTCCTTGCCGCGCTTGGCCATCTTGGACTTGGGGCTGCTGGGCATATCTGAGTTCTCTGATCCCATTTCTCGAGAATTGGCTGGGATAGTGCCAGCCGCCAGAGGAAACTGCTCGCCATCCTTGGCGTCAAGCTTCAAATCCGGTCGTCCTGGCCTCAGGGAAGGAGGCAGGTCTGACGCCTCCGTTCCGGGAGCTGGTTGTGGAGCAAAACCGTTGTCGGCGGGGTGAGAAGGTTCCTTGGCCATTCCACGCGGGGTTGGCCTTGATGGAAGTCCTCTCCTCATACCCATTGGTGGAGGCATCATGCCGGGCTTCTCCTTCGCAGACTCATCCACCAGGTCTCGTAGTCCTTGCGGCATTTCGTCGGAGACGCCAGGGCGCAACGAGGACGGCATATCAGGCACGGCCGGGGCGTCATTGTCAATGGACATTCCTGGACCCTCACGTCGAGTCGAAGGAGATCGTGAACGACCCATGCGATGAGGCTTGCCATCCATTGGCAGTGCGTCTCGGTGTGCTGGAGGCTGCTCCGGCATGCCAGGCATAGGCGGCATTTGAACATCTGCTGGACCAAAGCCAGTCATTCGTGATTTCCTGTTCGCGGCCCGCCTTTGCTTATCGTCCAATACTGGAACCGGCGGCATTTGTGCACTGCCAAGATTTGGGTGCTCATCCCCGTCTTTGAGTGCGGACGGTGGTTGAGGGACCGGAGGAACGGGCAAGGGCTCGTCTGGACCAGGCATTGGTGGCATCATACCAGGTAGCACATGTGACTTCCTGTTCGCCTTCTTCTGCTCCTTTGTCTCCGTCACAGGCGGCATCTTCGAATTTTGCTGCTGGTCTTGTGCCAGATCCCGTGAAGGAGTCGTGGCAGAGTTAAGCTCGGTGACGTTGGCTCCCGTTGGCATGGGTGGCGATGGCTTCTGTCCGGGACGCGCGGGGAAGGGCGAGGCACGACCCCTTGACTCGCGAACAGGCGGTTCGGGAAGCGGTGGTGGCAGCCCATTCCGTGAGGGAGGAATACTGGGATTCATAAGAGATTTTCGCGCGCCATCAACACCAGTTTGGAGGGGCGGGAGGTCCTTTAGTCCCCGGGGCAAATCTCTGCCCTGCTGCTGGTCGGGACGTACTTCATTTGGTTCAGACAACAGAGCACGACCACGCTGATCAGGCTGCACTGCCCCATCGGCAGCCACATTAGAGAGGACAGATTGTCGCTCCCTGCCTGGTGGCAGCAGAGATGGTCGTTTTGCAACAGTTTCAGGTGGTATATTGGAAGTCGTCATTGCCTCAGCTTGCTTATTTCCCTTCTTGCCTCCAAACAGCCGCTTCATCCAGCCGCTTGGCTTTGAAGGGCTGCTTGTACTCGTAGCGCTGGAGGGCTCGGGTGATGGTGCACTCCGTGCGTCCCCAGTGCTCATGTCCCGCGAAGAAGAAGTAGAAGGCCTTGCGTTGTCTCTTGTAGGCTCATCTCGTGATGAGGACGGAGGGGCTTGTGCGCCATGGCCGTCTGTCTTGACACCACCTGGGAGAGGCGCCTGTCTCATATCCATAAATCGCCTTTCTTCACGAGGACCCTGAGATCTTGAGGTTGGGTTGCGAGGGTCATTTACAGAGCCACCGAGAGGAGCAGGCGTTTCGTTGACAAGGGGTCTTTGTTCTCGAGGGTTAGACGGTGCCTTCGATTTGTCTGACATATTCCGCTCATCGACTCGAGGACCTCTCTGGTCATCTCTCAATGGAGCACGGAGGCCATCAAGGCCAGGTTCCCGAGGTGGGATTGGTTGGCCGTTAGGTGGCACAGGCATGCGAGTGCCATTCTTCTCGTTGCCACCTTGTCCAGGACGGAGAGCATTGGGAGTAGCAAACTCAGAAGGCAGGTCTCGTGGCCCACTCCGAGACGGAGAGGGCATTCTCGGCATTGGAGCAGCACCGGAGCCTTGAGAAGGCATACCAGGCTGGAAGAAAGACTGCCGGTCCCTGAGTCTGGGAGGCGGTCGCGATGTGGATCGCTCCTTGGTGGCAGCTGGGTTCCCAAGTGTCGCCGGTGGCAGCACTGGCTCACCAACCCCAACAGGAGGCATTTGGCGTCCTTGATCGCTGCGCAAGGGTGTAGGCCCCGAGTTCAATGGCCTGTCTTGGTTGGACGGCATCGGACGTCCATCTCGGGACGGCGGCTGGCTCCCTGGCAACACTGGCGGCATACCTCGCGATGCTGGTGACTCGTTCCTTGCCGATGGGTCTCTCAAGAAAGGCGGCGGTTGAATTGGCTCTCCAGAGGCAACAGCAGGTGGCATTTCCCGGCCCCGTTCCCGCTCACCACGCATGTGAGGAGGTTCTGGTCCAAGAGATCTTTCCGGGAATGGAGGCACGGGACGGCTGTCCTTCATCATAGGCTGGCGGTCTGCCGCTCCACGTGGTCCTCGAGATGGAGAGGATGTGTTGGCCATTGATGGATCTCTCAGAGCTGGTGGCAAAGGCATTGTCTCATCAGGAACGCCAGCACCACGAGGAGGCATAGGACGACCCTTCTCCCGCTCATTTCTCGCAGACAGGTTCGATGTCTCTGTGACAGGAGGCATGGGGCGGCCGCTCTTATCAACATTTCGTGGGTGGTTGTCTCCGAGGAACATCTCACCCTGGTTCTTGTCGGTACCAGGGGGTCCTCGCAGCTTGGATGGCGATGGAGGTCTGCCTTTCGACGGAGACGGCTGACGACCGCGGCTCCCAGCGCGTCGTCCACGCGATGACTGCGGTGACGATGGCCTTTGAGGACCATCGGCGTTGCGGCCTGGAGGAGAGCGGCGTCGGCCACTGCCATTTCGAGGCGAGCCAGGCCGTCTTGAGCCGTCTCTGGGAGAAGGCGGGCGGCGGCCGTTTGGAGCATTTGCATCTCTTACAGAGTCCTGAGATGGTCGACCACCAGGAGCTAGGGCACTCGGAATGTTATGCGCCTCAACGTCATGCTTCTGAGGTGTCGGTCTTGCTCGGTCATCACGTGGATTCCGCCCAGGAGCCAAAGCGTTCGGAACCTCAGGCTCGCCACGCGGCCTTGCATGTTCGTCACGAGCTGCGATAATCGGTTGCTTGGGCTCATTGCGCATAGCGGGAGGTTCGCGTTGGTTCCTGCCACCTGCTGAAAGTACACCAGGAACCTCAGGCCCAGTGGTATGCTGTGCAGGACCCGGTCTGCCTCGTGGATCGAGCTTGGCAGGAGCTTGATGTGGAGGCTGGCCAGCAGCAAGAGCAGCCGGCGCGGCTGGTGGACCAGCTGTGCGTTGTGGGACAGGGCGTCCACGTTCATTGGACACGGGCTGCTGTCCGCCAGGGAGATCGCGATCAGTTGGCCGTGGAGGCATGGGGCGTCCCTTCTCGTCACGCAGAGGCAAACTACCCTTCACGTCCTGATTCGGACCAGGGCGCTGATCGGGCCGCAGGTCTTTACCGCCACGGATTTGTGGTGGAGGACCTTGCTTATTCTCGGGATGGCCTGGGGGGAAGCGTCCAGCTGCAGGTTGAGCAGGTGGATTCGGCTTGACCTCATTGCTAGGTGGGCCAGGGTGGCGCTGTGCCTCTGGAACCAGACGACCTCTCCCGTCACGCTCTGGATGAGGCGGCATGTGAGGAGGCAAGCCCGCCTCCACGTTTCGTCCGGGTTGAGGTTCAGGCCGACCCTTCCCAGCCGATTGCTGTGGCTGCTTCGGTTGCTTGTTCGGAGGCGTATTCCCAGCCACAATCGCACCAGCACCAGCGTCAGACTCGAACGAGTTCCTCTGAGGGTGCAAGCGATGGGGCTGCTTCACTGGGGGCTCTCCAGTCTTGGGCTTTGCCTCCAACTCACCCTTCTTCTCAGCGCGCGTCTTGCCACGTCCAGTAGCTTGCTCCGCGGCCTTGTTTAGGGGTGTGTCCAAGTAGCTGGCCTCAGCTGCACTCAGTGCACGATTGCTCAGTGGATGCTCACCCTTGGCTGGCGGGACGGCGGCCTTCTTGCCTTTGCCTGGCACACCAAGTCCACGAGACGCGTCTTGCTGATTTTGGCTCTCGGTAGGGCGAAGGTTCTGCTGAACGACAGCGTTCTTGCCCTGTGCCGGTTTTGCAGGGTTCTTGAGATCGGGCATTGGAGGGCCACGACCTTCTTGACTCTTTTTAGGGAGGTCATTCGCGGAAGAAGCTGGCAGGAATCCATCGCCCTGCTTGTCTTGCTTGGGCTTCAGGGGATTCTTCATGTTGGAGAGAAAACCGTTTCCAGGCTTGGCTGAGGACCCATCCTTTGTCATGATCTCTTTGTCACCAGGCACGGGTCGTTGACCAGGCACAGAACGATTCTTGAATACCAGGTCAGTATACCATACATTAAAGACAGAGAAGCCCACCGATGGTTGTCAGAACGTTACTCACCGGTTCACTTAGACCAGTCTGCTTCTTGTCCAACTTCTGGCCGTCACGTCCAGGGATGGGAGCACCTCCTGGTTTCCGGATATCAGACGGCTGTGTGTATCCAGCAGCAGCGTTCGGCGCGCCAGGCCGCTGGAAGCCCATGCTTCGCTCGCCTTTTGCGTTGAGGTTGCCGATGGTAGCACCGGCTGCAGGGCGTTGGTCCGCGCCAGCGGTGAGGTTTCTGCCCTTCATGTTTGGGTTTGCTTTGGGGTTGTTCAAGTTAGTAATGTCAGTGTTGTTCTTACCATTAGTTGCAGCCGGCGGCATTCCTCTGCCGCGCTGCACGCCTGCGGACGACGAGATGGGGCCCTGGGTAGGGGGTGGGGTGGGACCATCTTGACGTCGAGGGGGTATACCATTCTTTGGACCAGCCTTGTTGTTGTTGTTGTCAAAGGGCATAGGTATCGTGGCCTTTGATGAGGAACCTTGACCATTGGGTTGTCCTCTACCAGGGGCTGTGGGACCGGGACGACCATTGCCTCTGCCATTCGGGGCAGGAGGGGCCTGCCTTTTGCCCGGCATACTTGTGTCGGCGACGGCAGCACCTTGCAGCGACCGAGCAGAGTTGCCTGCTTGGTTACTGTCAGGTGAGAATGGTTGTAGTGGTCGTCCTTGAGGGTCAAGAGATCTGTTGGGCTGAGGGGATGTTGACGAAATGTCTCTCGATTTGTCCTTGGACCGGAAGAGACCAAGGAAGCCCTTGCCTTTTGATTCTCCTTGCTGGCCCCCAATGTCTCTGCTGCTAGAGGTGTTGGTGGTGTTCTGGTTGTTCCTGCGCCCCTGGGGTACATCCGTAAGCGCGATGTCCTCCTGCTGATGGCCATGTGGGGCGGTATTTTTGGAGCGGTCGCGGCGGTCGACTCCACGGCCACCCTTCCTCCAGAGCCTTCCAAATCCAAAATTCCACTTTCCGGGGGTCTCAGACGAGCCAGATTGTGGCTCTGAAATATTTTTGCTGGGCGACAAGTCGGGTGCTTGGTTGTTCATGGTTACGTTTCGAGCCGACGAAGAGTTGCCGCTCGAACCTGGGTTGTTGATACCGCGAGAAGTTGAAGATGACGAATTTGCAGAAGAGCTTCCAGATGCATACCAAGTAGAGGGCTTGAAAAAGCTGTAGCCCTTGTCATACGACGATGCTTGGTTCTGTCCGTTCTGTTGTTTCTTCTGCTTCGACTTCTTGCTCTTCTTTGGTGATCCAGGTCCTGCGCTCCTCGTGTTGTTCACGTTTTGACTCGTCCACGTCTCTGGAGATTTGTAGCCCTTGATAGGCTTGCCTTTGCCAATTCTCCAGACATTCCACCAAGCCCATTCCCGTCCCGCCGCCCCGCGCCCTCAATATGGAGCGCCGTATTTATCGCCATACCGGGCGGTGTTCTTTCCGAAGAACGCACCGTTGTAGCCATTTTTCCGCTTTCCCATAAACATAAAAGTTGCTGCGAGTGCAGAAAAGGTGAACAAGATGCACAGCGCAATCGTAAGACCCCAGGTGCCTTGCAGCTTGTAGCAAGTCATCTGATCAGAGGCGACGAAGGTAAGGTATGAGAGAGTTCCATTGCCGGCATTGTCGGCCGGGTTCAGTTGCAGCGTGGTGCCATTGCCAGAATCGGTCGGCAAAGTCGAGCACTCTGTCTTGCTCAGTTGTCCACCCAGGATGATCACCACCACGACATAGGGGATCAAAAACACGGTGTCGACGATGGCTGTAGCCAGGTAAGGAATGTGAGTGTCGTCGTAAGCTGTGAAGGAAAGTAGCACCCAGAGCAACGCGGCGGCGCTCACGATCAGGGCGCCAGTAAGTTGTGGCGGTGGAGCGAGGCTGGCCTTGTTGATGATGGATGTGAAGCTGGCCACCAGGCCGATGATGGCGAGGAGGGCAATGCCTGAAAGCAGACGCGAGAACACAAAGGTATGGCCATAGTAGCCGTGGTTCCTGAAGCCGGTCCTCATGGTGGATGAGTGGGGTCGGCTCGGATGACGGTTCGGTTGTGCAAAAATGGGAAGAGAAGAGAGTGAGACTCGGCGTCTCAAGAACAGGCGACTTTGATTATATCTTTGTGGTCGCCGAGAAGTGAAGGTCAGGATGCCGGTGCCAGGCCCGGGTCCAGTCGTCAGTGAGAATCAGAAGTATCGCAGGTATTATCTTTAGTAAGTGCAGGTAGGTGGTTGCTTTGATGACAACCTGCAGACGAGACTCCGTTGAAACCTGGGGAAACAACCCAAAGAGAAAAATGACCTAGAAAACCTGACGAAAAAGGAAATAATGACAAGAGGAAAAGAAAACACTCGTGATCTCAATCCGTCAGATGAGTTTGGTAGACAGAAAGGAAATCCAAAGGAAAAAAAGGACCCCAAAAAGAGTCCCGGCCATGCCAAAGAGAAGAGGCCGGCCAGCTTATATCAGGCTGAATGCTTGTCTTGCCTCGACGACGGCCGATGTACATGCTCACTGAGGTCTAGACCCGGTCCCCAGCCTGGCAAAGGTGGGTAATCAGACGGCACTGGGAGTGGGACAGGGCGTTCGAGATGTTGCCAAATACAGATGCAGCAGTACTTTGTTGATGAACCATGTCCAGGGCGGGTTTGGCCCTGTTCCGGGCCGTCGACGACCAACACATGGAGCCGCATGGGCGTGGCTAGGTTAGGTGGTAGTCGTCATGTCATGACCAGGACCCATTGTCAAGGGCATGCAAGGGCAGCCAAAGTAAGCATCCAACGAGAGGCGGATGCACCACGAGGGCACGCTCCGGTTCTTTGTCCATCCATGTCTCCCAGCGGCGCCTGGCGAGATTGGAGGTCCACAGATACAAAGTATATCAAGGGATATCAGTTCATACGAACGACGGGAAGACCAAGAAAAGAAGAGAGACAGGCATGAGTTAAGGTGAAGAGGCCAATGGGAATAGAGGGAAGGCTTCTCAGCTTGTCGGCGAGCGCTTAAACAGCCGCGATGGCGTGCTGCTCAGGTACGCTGCACGATGCCAACTCCACCGCGTCTGCAGGGCCGGAGTGATCTCCACGGCAGTCGATGAGCTATGCTTCTTCGAGGCTGAGAGCAGCAGCAGCAGGGAATGCTCGACCGGGACTACTGGGCGAGGGTCCAGAGCCATTTGTTGTTGGCTGATCGACGTGAGAATGTGTTCCTCGTACACATGCAGAAGTCCCATTGGGAGCACAAACATCCAGCCAGCCAGCCAACCAGGAGACTAGACTCTGCCCATGCCCACTGCGCGGGATCCACCTCAGCGGCAACGACGCCAGGGCCTCGATTGGGTCGGGGCGTTTCTCTTCTGTTTCCATCGGATCCACCAATTTCTCACGCAAGGTTCACTGCACCACTCTCCCGCAGTAGACTGATCTTGGTGTGTTGTGTCGTATGCTATCTACTGGAATGCTCGTGTTGTTGACGACAACACAGTGAACAGGTGCATGGCAATAGCACTGTAGATCGAGAGTGGGACACGAAGCCAAATCCAGATCGAACCCACAGTATCGATGCGCGCAGGCGCGCGGATGAAACAACCCGGCCACTCATGGCGACCCCAGGCCCCCGGCCACGGTGCTGACCTCCTCCGGGATGCCATCGCGGCGCAGGCCTATGGTTCTCTTCTCTTGACGGCCGCCGCCTCCCTTGGACTTGTCTCAGCCGTGGTCGCGCTATCGGCTGGGTGGCCGGGCCCTTCTGCCGCGAGATTTTGGCAGAGGCGGAGGCTGTGCTGTTGTTTCTAAACGGGAGCCGCCTGTCTGTCCTATATGTCATTTTCTTTAAGACTAAGCCAACAAAGACCAGCCACGATGATTGTAACCTGTTGTGGGGACTGCTGCTTTCGAGGCACGCCAGAATTTATGTCATACAGTCCTGCTTGACTAGAATGACTGATCACCCCGAACCAGTACATTTTGCCCAAGCATAGTGAATACCTTTAGGGCGCAGAAATAAAACTTGATTTTGAACGCCGATACGCCTCGAGATCTCAAGTCTAACAAAAAACGCATCAGAAAACTGTCGATCCTCCTATGCTTGTATTATGTCTGTAGCGAGCCCGCGAACAATCAATCGAATCTTCCAAAGCCTCGGCCTTGACCAGATCTGCAACCTGGCCTAGCCTTGTCTTGAACCACTACATACGTGCCTAGCTCATATCATACACCGTACAGCTCATCATGACGATTTATCCCAGTAGATCATCCAGCCCTGAGCTTCCAGTGTTGGCGGAAGGTTGGCTGCTCCCCGCTGGCTTCGACTGCGTGGCGGGAGCACCCCATATACCAGCGCTGCTCTTCTCCTTCGCCAGTTGGCCCAGAGCAGGTCCACCTGCCGTGCTCTGTTTCTTGCTGCCAGTCCCGCTTGCGTTTGCCCACAGTGCACCAAATGCGTCACCACCGGCAGGCTTCTTGGCCGCCGATGACCCAGTTCCTGTGGGTCTGAGGGCCGCCATGCCGCCCGCGGAGGTTGGTGTCGAGGCCGCCTGAGGAGTGGCGGATTGCACAGAAGTGAAATAATTCGGCCCGGATGGCTGGTAACCACCGCCCAGAGGCTTGTTGGCGGCAGGCGACATGGTAGTGGACGACGCGAGAGGAGTGCTGAAGGAAGAGTAGTTCGCCGCGGGAGTAGTGGTCGTGCTGCTGGCTGGAGGTGGAGTCATGGACGAGAAACCCATCATGTCCGTAAGGTTGGCTGGTGCAGAGACCGGCGCTGGGGCAGCAAAGGTGGCGCCAGAGGCGTTCGATGTCATGAGCGGGTTGCCGAAAGCAGAGGACTGGGGGACAGAAGTCTGTCCTGCCGGTGTGGCAGACTGAAAGTCGTCGAAGTCGTCGTCGTCGTTAGCGGCGGCAGCGGGAGCAGAAGTAGTAGACAACGAGGCAAGACCAGAGCCGTTGGATGGAGCTGCAGGAGCTGCGGAAGACGACGAGGGCGCGGGATCGTCGAACGAGAACAGATCAACTTCGGGCTCTTTCTTCTTCGGAGGCTCGGCAGGTGCGGGTGCAGGCGTCGTCTTCTTGGTGCCAGCTCGTTCCGTTGTCTTGCGGCGTGCTGGCTCGGGATTGTCATGTCCGTCAAACTCGTCGTATTCCTCAAACTGGTCTCCGCCACCTGTTCGTCGGCTTGTGTCTCGGAAGTCGCTCGATTCACCGCCAAAGCCGCCTCCATCACCATATACGCCACCAGAGTACCCTCCAAAGTTCGCAGAGTTGCCGCCGCCGTAGCCACCACTCTCGCTGCCAAACCCGCCATATCGGCTGCTGCTTCCGCTGGAGAACCCACCCCCCAAGCCCGCGCCTCCTTCGACACCTGTGTATTTTGCCTTGTTTGCTCGGGCCTTCTTCCTTTCTGAGCGAATTCGGTCAACATCGCCGAGGAGGTCAGTCAGCTCCTTGGCGCGGTTCCGCACGTTGATGCCCTGGTCCTTGCCGTTTTGGTCGATGAAGTGGAATTGTCGCAGCATCTTCAGGAGGGTCAGGTGGGATCGAGCGTCGTCTATGACACGCTCCGAGCCGTGCTTGATGAGGTACTCGAGCAGTTGAAGGGCTTTGTAGATTTGTCTCCATTCCTCGGCTGCCTTCTCTGTGAACCGCCGGTAGATCATGGGCATGATCTCGTTGAGGGTTTGGCTGCGATTGAAGCCTTGGTCAGTGGACTGTGATGCAGTGACGGTCTAGTGGATACACTCAATCGTACTAGTTAAAGGTGCCATTGGCGATCTCCTGCATCACCGATGATGATGCTCCCCATGGCTCGTTGTTGGTAGCCTCGCGCACCTGTTGATGGTCGGGTCAGCATTGTAAGCATCAGCGCAAGTTACGTTGTGGCTTTACCTTTGACTCCATCTCCGTGTAGTTCATGACAGCTGTCGCCGCGAGAGTCAGTAGCCATCCAAGCCATCGCTGCTTGCCGCAAGTCGCTCACCATTTTGGACCTTCCGTACTCCTGCCTTGATATCATACAAGGTCAGGTTGGATACGGTGTCTTTCAGGCTGTTGAGATCCATTTTGGTGGCTGATTGATCTGCGGATGCAGACGATGCTGTTAAATATGAGTGCAGTATCGTGGGGCAATCAGGTCGGGTGAGGTTGTCGAAGCTGGCAGCTTTCTTTGTCTGGGTCTGCGTCTGGAGTTGGTGTCGGTGTCGGTATTGCTGTCCCCAGTTAATTAATGAATTGGCCAGAATGCTAAAGTGCAAGTGCCCTGCCGAGCACCTCAAACTCCAACCGGCGTGTCGGCCCAAGGGGCGTGTGTTAATGGATTCTGACTAAGACACCTCCCTCCCCTTTTCCTACTGCCAACCGATGTTCCCTTATAACAATGTTCTGGTGGCTGCTGGGCTGTTCAACGCATATCTGAATTAGATGCAGCACAAAATCGGTCGCTGTAACGAATAAGAAATACTCGACTGCGTAGTTGCCAATCTGAGAGACCAGTCCGCATTCACAGGGCTGGCAGACCTCGTAGGACTCGAGGGTCAAGGTCCACGGCTATCACACAATGCCGCCCCTAACCCGCTTCATGACGCAAGGGAGCTAACTGTCTTCCACCGGGTTCTTATGGTCATCATTCAACAGCCTGGAAGTCCATGGGAATTCAAGCTGGCTTTCATGGGTTATATAGCCATCCATCAATAATCTCGCTCGGTATCAGTGACTTCCCTCTTTGACGGGAATGTAAAGAAAGCGTTGTCAAGGCGGTCGTGGTGGTTGTTCTCGTTGTTGCCTCAGGCCAGAGTTGGCAAGCGGTCATTGACAATGAGGACCCCTGGTGATGTCTTGCATCTGAAAAGTTTCTCCCGCCAGCTCCTCAGCAAGTAGACGATCAGATCCATCCACAACATCATCTTCTACAGTCTCTTTTCGACTTGTACTTGTTCAATTGACATATTTGAGTGCATTCATAGCTGTATTTTATATCCGAACACGCCGAATAGGTATGTTGAGAGCTCTTACTATGCTTCTTTCTCCCCCAAAGGACAAGCAGCTCGAGCTCAGCCCATAGCTCCTGTTGCTGTCAACCCGACACCGGTGCATCCAGCTCGAGGATCGTCGCGGTACCTTTCTGGAGACCTGATGCTCCCAGCTGTCATGACACCGGAAACACGTTCGATTCAAGTGGGGATCAGGGCTCAGAGGCAGGCAGAGGAGGCTTGCAGACGAAACGGATGCTCTCTCGCGCCCAGCGTACGAGGACAGCTTCGGGACACCTGAGGCTTGCATAAGCTGCTCCCGCCTGGTACTGGATGGAGCTGAGCTTCTTCCTCACTCTGCGGGCGTGAGGAGTGTGTCTGGGCTTGTCTCAAGAGAACTTCTCCAGATCTCGATCGGGGTGTGCCCAAATCACAGCCACCACAGAGCTTGCTGGAGCTGATTCGAGACTCTGGATGCCCAAACCCAACACTACAACATGAGGGCGTGGGCGTGTCATCATGGTTGGGGAGCTTCCTCTGCCGATCTTGGCTGGTCTGTCAGTCTGTCCCTCAGTGCCTCCAGGGCTGCCTCGAGATGCTCGAGCAATCCACCCCCTGAAACCCCCACCCCCCTTTTGCCCAACTCGCGCAGTATGCCTTGGTACCTGGGTACAGCAGGCATTGCGCGTGAACCGCAGCACGTGCATGTACCTGGGTACCTGAGCTGAAGCGGGTGGTGAGGCAAGCGACCTCGGGACCGGGCCCAGGCAGCTTTTCCCAGAAAGCTTGGAAGCTCTGCCCGCCCTCTCCCAGTCTTTGGGCCCAGGTGAGCCGTGAGCCTGAGGGGTGAGGGTGAGGACGGTGGTGAGTGAGGCGTGGGTCCCTGAGCCTCTGGGCCTCCCCGCTGTCCTCTCTGCCTCTAACTTGCTACTCTGACCTGCTCTTGGTCTTGGTCTGCTCTGGGTCTGCTGCTTCTGCTGTGTTGTTTTCCCAGGCCTGCTTTCGTCTCGACTTTTCGTCTGCTCTCCCAAAACCCCGCCGTGCTTGTCTGCCTGAGTCTGCTTATTGGGTGTATCCCTGGTTGCCAACTTGCGCGTACCCCCGTTTTGCTAAAACATCACATCATTCGCCCAGATCCGTCATGGCCGCCCCGCTCTGCATGCCCCGCGTTATTACTTCCAGCTTCCGAGCTGCTGCTGCCCCTCGATTTTCTCCCTCTTCCATCCCCAGCTTCGTCAACAAGACTTCTTCGATCACTTCCCCCTTCCAACAACGATCAACTCTCAACACTCCTCGCTTCTTCTCATCAACATCACCCATCATGTCTAAGGTGTAAGTATTGGACCCCATTGCCCTCTCCTCACCCCTCTGTCGATGGCTTCGCTCCCTTGCCGTCGACAATGTTGCCCCTCCAATCGCTCGCCGCGGCCTCTGCCTCTTCTGGAAGCTTTCGACACTAACACACCTGTTCTGCAGCTTCTTTTCGCTCGAGTGGGAGGGTCCCGTCCTCGACGGCAGCAACAAGCCCACCAAGGAGGTCAAGGGTAAGCAACCTCCATCTATGCGTCTCGAGTGCACCATCACCATCGCCAACGTGCATCACCTCTCTTTTCACCCAAGCTACTGTTGGCTTCGTTGTCCTCTCCCCCCACACAGCCACACTGCTTCGGGTCAAATAGGCCCAGCAACCTGCCCAACTAAAACTCTTCGAGCCATCATCGAGCTTCCCCACCCCTCCTGACGCCATTGAAAACGACTTGCTAATATCAATCCCCATCATTTAGTCCAGCAGGGTGTGATTAACTTCACCCTCTACGACGACGTCGTTCCCAAGACCACCAAGAACTTCAAGGAGCTGTGCACCGGTGCTCAGGGCTTCGGCTACAAGGGCTCTGCCTTCCACCGTGTCATCCCCGAGTTCATGCTCCAGGGTGGTGACTTCACCCGTGGCAACGGCACTGGTGGCAAGTCCATCTACGGCGAGAAGTTCGCCGACGAGAACTTCCAGATCAAGCACACCCGCCCTGGTCTGCTGTCCATGGCCAACGCTGGCCCCAACACGTACGTCGCCGCTCAGGCCCAAGTTTGTCTTCCTTTGGCATGAGCGCAAGCTAACAGACCCATCACAGCAACGGCTCCCAGTTCTTCATCACCACCGTCGTGACCTCCTGGTTGGACGGCCGCCACGTCGTCTTCGGCGAGGTTGCCGACGACGAGTCCTTCAAGGTCGTCAAGGCCATTGAGGCTGCTGGTTCCGCCAGCGGTGCCATCAAGTACGGCAAGAAGCCTACCATTGTCGACTCTGGCGAGGGTCACCAGTAAAGGATTGCGTGAGGAACTCGGTACCGCCCAAAATGTAGGCGTTGAACCAGCTACACCAATCTGGAAGGTGGATGGATGAGCAAGTGAACTCTACATGATAGGTCTTTGATCGTTGGACGGCAAGCTTAGTGCTATCTGGCGTAGGCAATTCAAAACAAAAAGGGATTTGCTCTTCTGACCCGTGCGGGCCCTATATACTCGTGTTGCCGTCAACAGTGAATGCGTAATTAATTGGTCGTAAATGGCTGATGTTTCCTTTCAAATGCTATCCGGACAAGCTACTTTGAGCTGCTGCCCTCCCGTTCTTCCCCGGACTGGTGCAACAGAAGCGACTGATGTGGGACAATTCTCGCTCTATTTAGGTCCACACTACATCCGTTTTGGTAGAGACGGCCCCGTAATCGTACAATAATTCAACGGCCAACAGTCTCCTAACCCTTTCAATGGCTATGGGATATCTCAAATAATGCGTCCTTTTTTGGTCCGTGTCACCCTTAAACGCCGTTCCGTTCGCTGCCCATATGCAGGACAAGCAAATGCAAATCGTTCCCTACCCTCTCTTGGTCCCTGTGTTTTACATCGAATTAAATACGCACACTGGCATATTGTCCCCTCTTTCGATGGACATATAGTGAGCCGAAAGATCATCTCTAGTCGCCCAGCCACCTCTGGAAGTAGACGCAGTTCCCCGGGTTGACGGGCCCGCCCTCCTCGCACAGGTCAAAGACGGGGCACCTGCCGCACGGCGCGTCCGTCAGGCCGTTGCTCATGGGGCCGGCGCCCATGTCCTGGGCCTGCAGCTCCATGACATCCTCGTCCATGCTGTGGTCGCGCATCAGCGCCGTCAGCGGCGTCGGGTCCACCTTGGCCGCGCGGACCGTCCGGTAGCCCTTGACCTTGCCGACGCGCACCGGCTCCACCAGCCCGTCCGCCACGAGCACGTCCACCAGCTGCTGCACGTCCGCGATGCCCAGCGTCGTGTTGTTCGTTATCCCGCTCGCCGAGATGAGCTCCGCGATCTGCCGCACAGTCGGGTAGGCGTTGTAGCCCGCGGGCAGGGGCAGGAGCTGGGTCCGCTTCGGCTCGCGGTGTCGGTGCTTCTCTCGTGGCGCGGGAGCGGGTTGTGGGTCGTCGCCGGATATGTCCTCTGCAGCCCTCTTCTTGCCCTTAGCGACAGCTGCCTCTTTGTCTCCCTTTAGCACGCCCTTCTTGGGTTGTTTCTCCTTGTGCACGCTGTGAACGCTCCGATATGTGCTCTGCCTAGTGATGAAATCGAAGATGACCTTCAGCAGCTCCGAGATGAACGCCTCGTCGAGGTTGCTATCCGTATACCAAGGCCCGCCGGTTGCTTTCTCGGATGGTCGTAGGCTGGATTTGATGTACATCTTCTTGTTGGGGTGCTCCACGCTCTTCATGTCCTTAATGTAGCCCTTAGACTCGAGGAACTTTAGGTGCGCCTTAAGCACGGAGTCATGCATCTGCAGCCTCGCCTTGAGGGTGCGAGACCAGATCCCGTCGGCGCCCGCGTCGTCGATCATCTCGTACACCATGGACTGCTCCCTGTTCAATGCCCTATACTTGGCGGCGTCGGCAGCCGACCGCCATTTCCATAGGTAGCCGCCGCCCTGGCGCGCAACGGAGATGAGGAGGCGGTCGTTGATGAGTGCCTGGAGCACGCGGAGGAGGGTATTGGCATCGTCGGTCACGCCCAGGGAGAGGAGGTCTTCTTGGCTGAAAAGCCGGGTCTCGTCGCCGTTGTGTTGGCATGATTCGTAGAGGGCGTCTTTCAGAACGCTAAGCTTGGCTGGGTCCGCGTCCGACCCAGATGGGGAGACGGCGGCCATGTTGTGGTTCGGCAGCGGGAATTGCGGTTTCGATTAGTAGTCGAGAAGTCAAGGGTCGAATTCAGTTCGGAAACTCAGGTCGAGATTTGGATGTTACGTGAGTCACGCGCCGAGAAAGGTCGGGGACGAGGAGGTACAGGGCTGGTTCGCGATGCACTGAATGTCCGATATTAAATATGAAAGAAATGGGCCAATTTAAGATCGAAATCGATTTCCCAGAAAAGATGCTCTACACTCGGCTAGTGAAAGTAGGGTGGGAGTCGTCGTGGAATACTCGAGACGGCGAGCTCTAGCAAACGAGCGTCGTTGCATTTCAAGCAAGCCCCGCGAAATTTACTGCCGCTCTCAAGCACACTAGCCGCCGATCTCTGGGTAAGCTCCTCACCGCCTACCATGTCGGGAGTTCTAAGTCTTCCCGGTCGGATTCCCTAGCCAGCATTTCTATCAAGTCTCTCAGCACAATATCTCCAGTGGTCGTCGGATTCAAATGACTTGATGTCTCTTTCCGTATTTCTTTGTCCCTCACAAAGTCAACGACAGTTTGCAATTTTTTCCCTTAGCGCTGTGGTCATGCCCCAAAACTTATCTTCATCCTTCATCAAGTCGATTCAAGGACGAGATGAATTTGTTGACAACCTCCTGACAGGATCAGGAGGATCAGGGAGCTTCGCATGCGTAGCTCACAAGTATCACATAGCTTAACGCAAACATAGTACAGCAAATTGGACGTGTTCGGTCTCGTCCTGGGCTACAAAGTTGGTGCCCCTTTCATCGACTCCTTCTCGTTGGCAAACGGCCTGGGGAGGTTGTGACACAAGAGTAGACATAAGTAGCGAGATGGTTCAAAGGTGCCTCAGAGTTTTTTCCTCTTAATTTATCGGTCGAGGTTATTCATCTCTCATCAGATAGTGGTAAAGCAAATGCTCACTTGCCTGAGCCCATGTTCTGAGAGCAAAGCCAGCAGGGCGGGACTCATTCAAGCGACTACTTCTTTTGGAACAATTAAACGGCAATGTCGTCGTTTTTTCTTCCACATAAGTTGTTGAACTGAAGCCCTTTGACCTTACCTACTCAAACTTTTTTGGATGTGCTTCTCCATTTGCTCCATGTGAAGCCGCTGCCTGTCTACCGTCGACCGGTTCCATGGAGCCTCCCAGCTTAGGTGGTCACCAACCTTCTTCTCTAAACGCACGCACCACAGATTCGACTTTTCAAGAACGATTCGCTGTTTAAAGCTGTCATCTGAAAATTTGGTGGTTTCCCTGAACACAACTGCCATGGTGGTCACCAAATTCGTTCCGTCTGATATCTGAGCCTCACAACTTTCAGCAACAGCTTTGGACTGATGATCAGCAGTACTCTCGAGGCCTCCTCTGCCTCGATTTAGGAAATTTGTCAATTTACCTTGACAGCTTTCCAAGTTGTCAATACTCCTCTCGCTGCCCTCTCTGCCTTTCTTTCTTACAAATCTCCCTCTCCCGGTGTCGTCCCTTCACATACCTGGTCCTCCTCAGGGATGCTGTCCTCATACTAAAAGCCGTTCTTCCACCACTTCATTGCAGAAGTGCCTTGGAACCGAACCTTCTACTACTCGACTCTCACCCCTCCTGATCCTGCCAGTTATTTAGCTTGCAACATTGTTGTTCAAACAACGCAGTCACACGGCAGAGCTTCAAGGTGTCTCACAGGCAATCGAAGCTTAGAGGTCTCGATTACTTGCTCTTTTCTCTTTCTTCCTGTCCACCAAATTCATTGCAACTTCTTCGTTCGATATTTGCAACCTCGGATGCTTTCCCAATTACTTAAGCATCAGGAGCTCACAAACAGCCTCACAGGCTGTTTATCTTACAATTCGGAATTTTGCCTTCTCGCCAAGCTTCGCAAAACCAACTGGAGTTTTAGTTTGTTAATTGCTTTCTCAGCACATTAAGAGATTTCGCCTCTATCATGGCTCAACAGCCACCTCAACTTATCAGCACAGCAAACGGTGATGCTCTTAACATGGCTTCTCAAGCTGTCGCATCGATGGATACGCAAGCCAGTGGAGTGTTGGCCAAGCCTAGCGACCTAACCACCAGCCACATCTCTGGCGATTCCATTGACCCTTCAGTGATGCCAAGTATGATGCCACCGCCTACGACGAACGTTCTCAGCCCTTTTCCAGAAAATAGAGCACAGAATTATGACACAGAACCTGACTGCTCTAATCTCGAAGCCAATCAGAACGCGAAGCAGCTCCAGAGAGGTGGAATTCAAGACGAAATAGAAGTCAAGATACCTCAAGAAGACGCGGAGCAAGACGCCAAAGTACAAGAAGAAGCTCAAATCTTCGACTTAGTCGCGGAGGCTGGAGAGCAACGAGACGATTCCTCATCTGATGACCTGTCAGACGTTGAGATGAGCGACGAGTCTGAGTCTCGCATGTCACTCAAATCTGAGGAGGAAATTGACCGCCTTGACAAATACGCCTTCAGCTTCGCCGGTCAAGCCTACAACCATCGTGTTCCCCAGAATTTGACCGGGGGCAGAACCCTTTTTGCGAGCAAGCTATTACAGAGCACCACAATTTCGCAGTATTTCGAAGGGGCTCGGGAGCAAGACGCACTCTACAAGAGCCCAAAACTTATTCCACATTCGCTAGAGATGAAGACCGCTCCCAAAACCGTTGAGTGCATTTGGGTCGGCATGCTACCCAGCTCGCAAAACAGCCATAAGCGTACGGCATCAGCTTCAGTGGAGCCTCAGCTTCTGAACGATCCCACCTCTCCTGGTACGCAGGATGGCATAACCGACGCCGCCCAGACACAAGTCGATGGACCAGCCAAAGCTCGCAATAAGACAAAAAAGAGGGCCACGAAAGTCCAACCACCCATCGTTGACCTTGAGGATGAGCAGTTGGATGTCATCTCCTTCGACCCAAACGCTCTCCGCGTCGTCGCCAAAAAGGTCGACAAGCCCGTGAAGGCCCGGTTCCTGTATGCATTGGCGAGACAAAACAGCATTTCCAAGCTCTGCCAAGGCTGGAAGATACCTTTTGAGGAGGTATTTTTCTTCAAGACATTCCGTGACGATACAATCACGGGTTTCATGAAACGGAGGCAAGCGACAGACTCGAGGATTAAAGCTGTGACCTTCCCAGCCAATCCAAGTCCTTCTTTAGACACTCGCTCCGTCTCAGTCGATCAGCTGTCTACCCAGTTGTCCTCCACTCCCACCCCACCATGTAGTAGTCTCCCAGCACCCCCTTCTTCGAAGCGGAAGGGAAAAGGCAAGGCTAGTCGCGTTACCAGTGGTGGTAATATTGGACAAGCTGCTGGTGTCGGACAGGCGGACAATGCTGAAGGCTCTCTGAATCAGGAGGGTGGTCAATTCTTGGGGCCAGTTGACAAAATTGACGACTGCAAAGACTCTGTTCTGGACAACCAGCTCGCTGCTAAACCTGGAACCAGAGGTGTTGAAACAGCTCGCTTGGAGCCAGGTCCACCCGAGCTTGCCGGGATCTTTTACGAAGATGGTGACGACGACGCCTACCCCGAGCACGCTGTGTCTCCCACCAGTCGCCCTTTCATGACCTTTATCGACGATATGGTGCGCCATCTTTCGGTGATCGGGCCAGTTGATATGAATCCAGGTGAAAAGAGAAAGAGGGTCGCCTTCGAGCCCAGCAGAGAACAGGCTGCCAACAGCCGTAGAAAGACGGGCGGTAGCCTCGGCAGCAACGATTTCGTGCGAGGCCACGAGGTCAGAGCAGAGTCCGCTTCGTTCGTGGCTCAGCAAGACACTGAATACCTTGTAAAGAAGCTGACGAGCCTGGTCGATAAGTTGGCAGCAAAACAGGATACCGCAGGTCTACGTCAGTGTGTTACAATGATGGATTGCATTGAGAAGCGATGCAGGCCTGGTCCAAAGAGCGCTCTTGGTCCTTATTTAAGCATTTCCTCGCGCAATGACCAGGACCCCGAATTTTGTTGTGGAAAGCTGCGAGAAATCTTGGTTGGTTCCTTTCCTACCTGTTTTTGCGTGGCTCTGAAGAGCCGAAGCTAATTACTTTTCTGCACAGGACCTGTTTCCCAATCTCGAGGACGTCGACATAGACAACCATGTCCTCGCTTGGATGATCAGTGGCCTCCGGGCTACCGGCCAGTCGGTAGACATCAATCTCATTGAGCCCTGTGTCATCTGCTTTAGCCGCCTCTACAAGCAGAAGTACGGAGAGACCGCCAATCACCAAGTCAATATGAAGAAGGGCGTTCTCGTCGACATGATCTGTCAGGCACGGGATGATGCAGAAAAGATGGTCAAGAGAAGTCCCTCCAATTCGGATCGAAAGGTCTGGGGCCCTCATCTCTGGATCGATCCTCGCCAGGATCTCGAGGCCGTCAAGATCGACCAGGTTGGTCGTGGCGGCTCAGACAAATTTTAGGGAGGAAGAAGATTCCATGACAGACTTGCTCTGGTCTCATGGTGTTTTGAGGTGCTTCCCGGGACACGTACCACTGCAATTCGGACAGAGTTGAAGTTTCGGCGGGATTGATGGTGTGGTTGGGTTTGTTTTGGGCGGGCCGTGAATGGCTTTTTTGCGATGGGTTCTTCTCTTAGCCTGAGCTCGTATTGGAGGGTAGTAAGGTGAGTTGCCAGAGAAAACTTGATACAGGGTACTGGTACTTTTCTCTACATGGCTGCTTTGCTACATTGCGGAGAGGATCGACCATCAGCCCATGGTACTGGTTGACTCTAATTAGAACTTCAACGCGGCAATGATTTCAAAACTTTGGTGATCAGTATTTTTCAGAATAGCCGTTGAACAGTCTGTCATCTCATCCGACCACCAGATGACATTTTTGTCTTTCGTATCTCATGGCATACCCAGATTTGGCCCTAGGGATAGCCAGGCAGAGTTCTGAGATAGAATGCTGACACTCAAGCAATGCAGCTTTCGAAGAACACAATCCCGTCTTCCGAGGCTCACTTCATGGAAGGCTCCGTCCTGCGCTGACCTCGGCGCTCTTAGTCTCTTTTGCACATGCGATGGTATGAATGACCCGCGAGGGCTGAGATTTCCGCTACTCAAAGGAACGGTCTCGTGTATGGGTCAATGGAATCGTGGACCTTCCCACTGTTCGGACCCTAGTGCCAAGCTGAACCTGCTGTCAATTCGGCACTCCTCCACCGTCGACCACATGACTGCACATTTGAGACTGACGTACACGAATGCAGCCCAGCATTGAGAGACACAAGGGTATCGATGCAAATTGGGAGCATCATCGCTAGCCACAATCGCTCTGGGATCCCATACCTGGACTGGTCTAGGCAGCTGGCGCGGCTAGTCCAATCGACACAACCATGTTTGGTGGGGCGAGGATTCGGAATAGCGTCCACGGGTCGGTCGTTGACTGAAACATTTCAGGCAGAAGCTAGCCTATCGTGCCTATTCACAGCGTCAATATGTTCATCTCCTCTTCTCAATGTTCTCGACCAGGTACAAAACCCAAGTGATCTCTCTCTACTTGCATCTTGGACATCGAAAAAGTCCATTTGGCAGCCGACGAGCATTCAGCATCATGTCGTCACAAGAATCTTCCGCCGCCACGGGAAAACCTGGCCAAAAGTTGCTTAACCTTGCACCTGAAGTTGTCGAACATGTCATCAAGCAAGTGAGCAAAAAGAGAGACCTCTCAAACGTCCGGTTGGCATGCAAGGAATTGGACAAGCATGCCGCAAAGGAGCTCTTCAAGGATGTGTTTGTCTCTCCGTAAGTGCAAGCCTTATTCCATGACGGTTGCCCATCCGTCATTTTTTTAGGCTCCACAGCAGGTGGCTAACGCATAGCAGATCGGAAGAGCACGTCAGCACTTGGAACAGTATTAGCCAGGATGAAAAGGTTCGGCAGATTCCTCGGCATGCGATTATTCACACACATTCGGATACCGAGGACAGCCACGCTGGATCGGAGAGGGAGGACGAGGAGGTTGGCGATGATTTCGAGGAGTCCCTGACTGCACTGGCAAAGTTTCCCAACCTCGACTCGGTGGAGATCCGCTTCACCCCAGAATGCTTGGGTGATCGTGAAACGAGCTGGTATGAAGACGTCGTTGAGGACGTTTCGCGACGGAAAAACATGCTCGAACTGATTTTCCAAGCCATCAAGGACAGGGCAGCAGACGAGGGGAATAGGACGATTCGCAAGCTCACGATCATCAACCTCCAGAATTGCCCAATCCCGGACTTCACCTCTTCTGACCTCTTTCGTGATGTCATGGGCCAGCTAGAGGAATTGCATATCTCGATCACCCAAGAATACAATGAACATGGGCCAGACCACGATTATACTCGGGTTGAACTGCAGACCTTTCCGGCCCATTTAATCTCGGAATGGCTTCAGCCTATCTCGGAGAATCTAAAGGCTCTGTCCATCTACCATAGGACGGACAATTGGGGTCCTTTTCCGGGCTATTTTGACCCCAGCGGTCTCTCATTCCCGAAGCTGGAGACACTGGCCCTTGGGTATTACACGCTTGCGCACGACAATGATATCGACTGGATTCTCGCCATTAAATCACTAAAAAAGCTGATCCTGCACAACTGTATGATCGCCTCATGGATACGCGTCGACTCGGAGAACATGGAGGAGTGGAAAGTCCGGACGCATGACTGGGCCGCGCTGCCGCCAAGTTACGAGGGCAGCGAAGACGGCGAGTTTGCATACGGTGGAAAGTGGAGCCAGAGTCTCGACCGCATCGCCGGAAGCTTGCCGAACCTGGTCGACTTTCGGTTCGACCAGGGCCGTACCTATGATTATCGGGACCAGGCGACTAAGTACGGCCTTAAACACCGCCACAACTGTGGTGTCAGGATTTTCCCCCGAAGATATATTTGCTTCGACAACGGCATCTTGCCGACTCACTGGCCAGAAGCAGATGACGACGGAACTCTGCATTCTTGGATCGACGAGGGGTTCCCTACTAACGTCCACAAGGAGAATCTAGAGGAAGACCAAAAAAGCTTGGACAGGCTGTTGGAAGTGTGCCGGCTTACGAGGTCGAGGGCCTAGGCGATGGCGAATATGCGTCGGGTATATCGCAACGCTCGGAGCAACAAATATGGGACAGTTGATCGACCCTCGTTTAACTCCACAGTTTGATGGGATGTCTGACCGCTCAATATGCTCCGTGGGGTATGATGGCCACCTGGCACGCTACCATATACATGACAACGGACTTCTCGCGCGATTTCATTGGCAAGCCTCAAAAAAGACAAAACAGAGTGCGCGGAAATATCATCAAACTGGGGTAAACAACACTGAGCAGGATGGGGGAACAAAGTTGTGTGTTATTGGCCTTGCAGAAATAAGATCTTGTAGACACTGCGAACTAAAGGTGCTCACGACGTGGGGCCATGCCGTTCTTTTTTTCCGTTTCGAAAGGGTTTTCAGATAAAACTAGCCTTCAATGACTTGCAGCATGGTATCTATTTCATTACACATTAACCCCCGTCTATAAGTGTGGTGACCGAGACACAGACGAGACCGCTTCTAAAGCCACCAATCCGATTTCACGTGCTGATCCGAGCTCTTACAGAGCCAGAGCAGCGACAGCAGCCATACCGAACCAGCTGGCGACGATCTTGCCAGCGCCCGAGGTGGCACCGGCGGAGGCGGTAGCGCTGGTGGAGGAGCTGGAACCGGTGGCGGATCCGCTGGCGCTCGCGCTGCCGGAGGAGGAGGCAGAGGTGGAAGAGGCATCCGAGGTGGAGGAGCTCTTGGTGGCCGTGGCCGTGGCGCTAGCGCTGCCACTGGAGGTGGACGAAGCTGTGCCGGTAGAGTCAGCCCCAGTGCTGGACGCGGAGGCAGTCGACGAGCCAGACGCCGTAGCGGACGCGGAGGAGGAAGATGAAGACGAACCGGAGGAAGTGCCCTCGGTGATGTTGAACTGGCTCTATAAGACGCGAGAATATCAGCAAATGGCCCGTGTAAGTTTGGTGCCTGGGATTGAGCTTACCGACTGAGCGTAGATCTGCTCGGTCTTGGTTCCGTTGGTGAAGTTGATGGTGTAGCTGTTTCCATCCGTGAGCTTGCTGCCGTCGACGTCGTAGGAGCCGTCGCTGGAGGAAACATCGGAAGCGAGGAGGACGTCGGTAGGGGGGTAAGAGGCCTTGTTGGAAAGGTAGATGTTGAAGGTGGACTCGTCGCTGGAAACGGTGTCCCACTTGATGGTCTGCTTCTCGCCGGTGCTCCAGATGGTGCTGTCGGAGGGCTCGGTGACCTTGAGGGCCATGGCGCCGGAGGCGAGGGCGAGGAGAGCAACGGAGGAGAGCATCTTGAAAATTATTGTTGGAATTATCGTTCCGGAAAATTAAAACAGATTCGTGAGCGAGTGACGAATGGCTAGAAGCACAATAAACGATCGTGGGTATGTCGTAGACGAAGTTGAACAACGATAAAGACAAGAAAAGGCCCTCATCCCGGCGACGCGGATGCACCTTAACCTTATATCAGAGGATCAACAAACATGCATGGCTGTCAAGTGGTTCCGTATCCCAAATTTAGCCCACAGTAGCTCTGTTCTTGCGAGTCAGGGGTGGACGTGGTGCCTTGCAGGGTTCATCTGGTCTTGTGCAGATACGAAACGGCTGCTCATCAAATCGGCATTGGCCGACTCGCTGTTGATTCGTGTTTGTGGAGTGACAGCCAGGGCCCGCAGAGATCGTCTGGCGTGGTCTGGCTTTTCTCCTGACCCCGGGAAAATGGGGAAGACTACACCGGATGGGGAGCTGAAGGAGGAAGCAGGCGCCGACATAACCGAGAAAAAGGGGCATTCGAGTAGAAATCGCCCCCCCTTCGGAACCGGGCCTCGAGGCAGATCAACGAGGGCGTCTGCATATCGAGTGAGTGAGAAGAGCCCATGATCGTTGGGGAGCCTTATCATGCTTGTGGGGGTGGCTCTTTGGTTGGCAATGATTGCTCGGGATTAGAGTTGATGTGACAGAGGAGGATTCCACTAGCCTAAACAGAATCTTCCATGCCCCTGGCGCTAATAGCCTGGGTACTCTCGGGGTGTCCCCGGGAGGGTGTGAGGGTGTGCTCCACGAGGATAAGGCCCGAGATTAACGAGATTGACAGCGGGTCTGTGTGACCTGGCCGCAGCACGCCTACGCGAACAAGACTCTCACTAATCCTTGCCAAGCTTCTCATGTAATTATCACCCCAAAGCTTCTTGCCAACGAGTGCTCGTGATGGTCGAATTTGAACACCAAAACAGGCAAAGATCTCTAAAGCCAACGCCCAATACGGCCATTTTCTGGGAGGATCGCTCTGCGAGATGATAAAGAGATTCCTCTTCGTTCGAGGCTAAAAGCATCGCGATGCTTTGGCTGTCCCACTTCCTCGAAGGAATCCCAAAAGCGCCACGCGCCATCTGGTTTTCAGCCCATCCGCCACCCTTGATTACCCACCATTCGTGCCTAATTGGGAGCTCTATATGGGTATTGCGCGAGTCTCTGCCCAGCCCACCAGAAGTGCTGATCATTGTACCACGGACAATCGGCTTGTCCTCGCGGCCGAGATTAGGCAGGACAATGGGGGAGTGTTCCCAGACGCGTCTGTCATTGGATAGTCACGCTGCCCGGGCCTGGCCCGAGACACTGCAATGTAAGTCAAACCAAAGGATCCGAATCGGTTGCGGCAATAAAGACAGTATGAGATAAATCCGAGAATGCTATCGTGATTTGGTCTAGAAGGCACGTTCTCACGTGTCTCAAACTTATGTCTCGTAATAGGTGGATTCCGTTCAGGACTGTTTTCCAGCCCTGCCAGCACCGCCCCGGGTGTCACGCAGAATCACGCCATGTCGCTAATAGGGCTGCATCCCTTGCAGATGGAATGAGCTAAGCAACAAGAAACGATTTATTTACCCACTGCAATCAATATATACACACAAGAAGCATTGCTTTTCCAGTGCCTTCAGCTGGATCAAAACACTCGAAACTTCCTCTTGGACGCCGCCGTAGTGTTCGAAATACCGAACCACGCCATGTCCTCATCCCCCATGACCGGGACCGTGTGCCCGATGCCCGTGCCGTATATTCCTACGACGTTATCTCCATACACATATTTGGTATAAGCGGCGGAAGGCGTCTGCTCCAACGTCTGTTCAGGAATGTCGGAGTACCCGAAGACGCCAGTCCACTGCTTGATGGTCTCGTTGAAATTCTATACGGATCTGGTCAGCTTTCTCTCCAAATACGAGTCCTCAAGGATGAGGTAGCAGCCTTTTCCCTTACCTGAGGCAACAGAGCCGTGTCCGCGGTTCCGTGGAAGATCAACATCTTCGGCCTCGGGCCAGTATAGCCCGGGTACATGGCCAGTGCGGTATCTGCCCATTCCTTCTGCGTGTGGATGCTCTCACCCGAAGAGCATGTCGAATTCCATCCGTCTATAGTGCCCGTGTAGAAGCAGCCCGCCGGCACACCAGAGTACACCGTCGCAGCCTTGAAGACGTCCGGGTACGTAGCCGCCAAGACGTTGGTCATCATCGCGCCGGAGCTGCTTCCCGTTACGAACACCCGAGAGCTATCCGCGCCGTAGGTGCTGATGGTGTGAGCAACCATCTCCGCGATGGAGCTTGTGTCCGCGCCGCCGCCGTGGGTGAGCGCCTCCTGCGAGGAGACATCCCAGCACGTTCCCTCGTAAGGTGATTCGGGATAGATAACAATAAAGCCATACTGCTCGGCGAGAGTTGGATATGGCGTGGCAGAAAAGTACGCCTCTGCGGTGCCGGTACAGTAGTGGATGGCGACGATGACTGGTGCGTTCGTGTTATTGCCTGCCGAACTGAGAGAGTCTGGCACGTATAGATACATCTTAGTTCCAGAAGTGTTGGGGCCGAACTCGGTGACCTGCTGGAGGGAGGCCGCTTGAGCAGTCGTCGCTAGGGCAGCGACGGCCGTGATGAACCGTACTAGCGAAGCCATCTCGTAGATATCCTGTTTCTCGTGTTCGAGTCCTTGGCGCGGTCTTGTGAGATCCCGAGTTTGTATCTCAAGTTCTGTTTTCTTCACAGCCCTGGGAACTCTTCTATCTTTAATAAATGCTCAAGGAGTCATTTGCCAGCGGACACGGGCGAACTCGTCGCATTGTTGTCTCCGTTGCGGACTGGTAGGTCCCGGAGGTCTTTTCAGGGGTCGGAGTCAGTACTGCGGGCTTCACCGGCGTGCTGCCGCTGCATTACCCCTGTCGGCGGTCGGAAGATCAGGGTCCAGCCTAGAACTCCGGGAGGTGTAGCAAAAGGGGCTTCAACTGCACAATTTGTTCCTGTCCTGATCAAGACCTCATTGAAGTTCAACACTGACTCGGCCACAACGTAAATCAGGCGAGATTGGAGGACATCGTGGGCCTCGCTCAAGATCCATGCAGGGCGCCAATGTATTATTTACGACCAGTAGCCCAGTTCTTCTGACTTCCGTAGACAGACGGGTTTGCACAGGGCGACATGACAAAATTTCGAACCGGCGATCCATCATATCGAGTTGTGGTAGGTTAGCAGTTCATAGACTTGTGCAGACGCCTCCTTGATCAGACGAAGACTCAGATGTGGGAGGATGTCCGTTGCCTGTACCAATGCGAGACCACTCCTGAATGATGCATGAATCCAGTGTTTGGAAAACCAGAGAAGCACAGCACGGAAAGTTCGGGCCCCTGTGGAACAAATCCTGGAGGGGCTGTGAGCCTTGCCTGCGGAAAATATGCAGTCTGCCGTTGAATTAAGCTTCAGCTAGAGCAACCAACGGGATCCGCACTTAGGCTTGCTTGCACTGAACCATCGTCATGCATGCACCCCTGAGCCATATAGTTACCAGAGTTGTCTTGGTCCTGCCATGACGGGTTATCCCGTGCCTTTTTGAGAATGCGCTCTTTCAGGCCATGAGTCGAAATGTCATCCCAATTCTGACAAGAGTCAGAGTTCAAAGATGCTTCTAATCGATCATGGTATGAGAATTCCCTTGTCGACTCCTGAATCGTCAGACGTTGCGCGGCAAGGGCAGGTAGCACTCCGTGAGGTCGATGAGTGAGCCATAGCGACGATTCCATAGCAGACCAGGGTCTGCAATGGCCCGGTGACATGAAGCGATGCGAGATCGAGTGTATTTGCCGTAACCGCACTCCTCGGAAGTCCTGGAAGACCAGAGCGGTAGGCGTCGCCACAGGTGACTACTGCATGCTATCTGCGCGTCTCCAAGCATCGCCGGAGGGATTCGCTGACAGCGCGGTGTTCTGTCTGAACGCCCATATGCTTAGACCCATTCTTGCACAAAAACGACCGGGTCATATTCATGTGTCCTTTGATGACAAGGAATTGTATGTGATACAGCGCTGACCTTGTTCTGAGGCAGCACCGAGTGTGGTTCAGTGTTGTGACAGGTAGTCCTGGACCAGAGAACCGTAGGTCTCGTGGTTCGACCTCGGCCTCTTGATCAAGCTTGAGAGCCCTCGATTGAACAGAATTCCACGCACGGTAGCCCGCGCCTCCCGAGGCGATTCTCGGACCTCCCTGCTCAGTGTCCAAGTGTCTGTACTGATGGGTACGAAGCGTATCTGAGCCCACATCCTGGATGGGATCCTAGATTTTCCTTTCCCTAGTAGTGACTTCCTCATCCACCCATCAGGTGTAGAGGGAACAGTACACATTGCCCGCTCCGTGAGTTTGAACAAGTGCACAAGTGGCCGCAGTAGCCACCATGACACTAGTCACTGAACATTAGCGAAGGAGATTTGGAACACACCCTCTCACACAAGCATGACGCCCGTCCCCACGCCTCTCAGCCCCTCTGCCATGGTCCAGTCCGGCCCGAGCTGGCCCCTCCTAGCCCACACAGCCTCCATAACCCGCAGCGCACCGGCGATCGTCCCGAAGCTCGACAGCGGGCCCAGCGCCTCGACCAAGCCGCGGAAGATGCCCTCCTCCTCGGGCAGCGCGAGGCAACCCGTCACGCAGAACGGCCAGACGACGCTCCGTACCGACGCTGGCACGGGAGCGCTGGCGAGCAGATCGATGGTGGCTGCCACGCTGGCGCGGATCTCGGGGCACGACGGCTGCCAGCCCGACACGACGGTGCACAGATACGTGAGCGAGGCGTACGCCCAGATCAGGCTGGTCCAGACGGTGCTTGAGCTCGGGATGATGGGGAGGCCGACGTTGTACTGCGCGATGAAATCGATCGGGTTCGTCATGGGCGGAACCTGGTTGCCGTGGCCGTCATTGGCGCTTTGTCTCTGCTGTTCCAAGCATGCGATCAGGCCCCGCAGGGGCGTCTCGATCTGCGACGCCCGGGTAACGAGCTGCACCATGGACAGCGACCCGTTCTTCGTCATCTCCTTTTTCCACGCGTGTAGGTCTGCTGCCTGTGCGAGAAGGGTGATCACGGAGTTCTTGATGCCAACAATACTCTCTAGGTTGATCTGCGGTCCAGTGATGTCGACTCCGGCGAAGCTTCCTGAGGAGGATTCAAGTAGGATGCCATGAAATCTGTACAGCCTCGGCGTCGTCTCCAACGCTGTAGCAGAGATGACATCCGCAAAGAGCAAGAGCGCCGTGAAGAACCTCATCGCCGCCTGATCGGAATTATAAGGGTAGGGGTCGCCGGACGGCGAGAAACCCAACGTGGGCATCTGCGACCCTACGCCTAGTTGCCCTATTATTGCATGCCAGCAATAATGCTTCCCATCCCCTTCTCCGCTCGAGGCGTGGTGCTCCATAATTTGCTCAAACATAACGAAAGCGCCGTCAAGATGCACCATCCAGCTCTCCGCGCACGCTATCCTTCGAGTCACAGCAACCTCGAAGACCACAAGCTGCACAATGCTCTCCATTATGCGTGCACTCTCGATGAGGTCTGAGGCAACGCCTCTCTCGTTCACTACTGCAACATCATGTTGCAGTTCCTTGAGGGTGAGCTCGTGCTGCTTCTCCAGTTCCGAGCGGTTGTGCTCGCGGCATAACTCGTGTCCTGATAGCAGGTTGTCTGTTGCGACAGCGAAGAAGTAGGTGGCCAGTGACAACGCTGAGTGCAACAGAGTCCTCTTCCGCAAGAGCAGAATCAAGAGCCATCCTCGCCCTGACTGCAGCAAGGGTGGCCGGTAGAAGGGGAAAAGGAAAGGGAAGACGTAGTCGAGGTACATCGTGAGGAAGGTGAGCTCACGTTCGTTGAGGCTGTGATAGGGTACTGTGCCCACAGGAGCGGATGATAAGAAGCTTTGAGTCGTGGCATGGGCAGCAAATTGCTGCCCTTGAATGTACATCCCGTCCCCTGAGGACAAAGCGCCTGGTTCGGCAGTTGAGGAAGGAGGCGTGGTGTTACTAGTTGCCTCGGAAGAAGAATTCTGCGGAGAGTCCCACGAGCTGTTCGTCGATGAAGCAGCGTTGTTCGCCCCCACGGTGGTTTTCTTTCTGCTGGCATCATTTTGCGTGGTGAAATTCAACTCTGAAGCGCCATCGGCCACGCTCAACTCCTCGATGCCAGGCTCAATTCCGGTCAGATATTTCCTTTCCCTCCTCCAGGCTGCCTTCTTCTTCACCTCTGCTTTCACTTCCTCAGCTTTCTCGGCTTGCCTATCCCCACCGTCCATCCACTCTGGTTTCTCGTCACTGTAGAGGCATGATATCTCCAGTGCCTCGCATGCAGCGCATTGAGGCCTGGCCTCGTCGCATTTCTTGCGGCGGAGACGGCAGGTCCAGCAGCCGTCTGAGCTACGTGCTAATGGCTTGCTGGCCATCCTGTGTCAAGAATGGTTTTCTCACAGGCCAAGCCTGAAGTGGCCACGGAGTCGTGAGAAGCTGAAGGAAGGCTAGAATAGATAGTGTTCCTTGATCTACGTTGCAAGGTGAAGGCTAAGCGCAGAGGGGGCGCGTTCTTGGTAAGCCGGGCCGTGCCAAGAAAAGGGCGCCGGTACCGATGGCGCAACCGAAACCGTCGCCACCGAAAGCCCGCAGGAATTGTCAGCAGGCCTTCAGATAGAGTGATTTATTTGGTGCTGCGCAGACTCTGCATTGCAGTACGGATAGGTCTCTGATGAGATTCGATTCGGCGCGGTAGTGGAGCTGGAGCTCTCGATGAGTGGGATGGGTAGTTGGGCTAGAAGTCCTCATCGCCTCAAACGATGCTCCCCTTTGGATCTCACCCGTGCATTGCAATGCGATGATGAGTCAGCATGGACCCCGACCACTCAATCAACAAGACTTGCTGCTGCTGTGTAGCAGTCCCTCGTTCGAGCAATAAGAGACAACACTATTTGTGACCCTGGTTTCAAATCATCAGGGAACCAATATTGAGTTTGAACAACAGTTACAGGCTTGCTGCTGCCGGCGCGAAGCTTCAAGTAAGTACATAGCCAATCCCGAACACCCAGCCAAGAAGACGCCAACCATTATCCCAAACCGAATACACAGAGGGAGTGTTGCCATATCCTCGATTTTGTACATGATGGCTCACAGTTGAGAAACACTCTTACTTTCCTTTTCATGCCTACACATAGGCACAGGCTCAATACCTCTTCGACAAACTGCCTCATGAGCAGCACACGGTCGGCTCCTCCGCCGCGCTCGTGTTCGACCTCGGGCCCTCCCACAGCGTCTCCCACGAGAACAAGAAAGCGCCAAAGTATGCACCAATAATGATCGAGATTAGTATGTATCCATTGTAGTTCATCGCCAGCCTGTGATACAGGTCAAGAAGGGGTCAGTGTCATCGTCTTTCCAGACGTTCGCAGACAAACTGAGATGGGGCCAACCACTCACATCATGATGATGTACGCGACAGTGAACTGTGCCGCATGCAACAGCGCCCTGATCATCTGCTGCCACAGATTAGGGCGGTATGGGGCAGAGCAGGCATGCTCCCCACTTGTGACCACAGTCATACCCCCAGTGGCGGCACCGCCCCGGGCAGACTGCGCAGCCAAGCCCGGCTTCTCCCTCGTGCTGGCGGCAGCGTCACCGCTACCAGTCCAGTCTGGCGCCACGGCTGTTGTGCTGGACTTCCTAGACCCGGTGCAGCACTCCGCCGGCGCCGTGACAGGGGCTGGCAGCGTTCGGTGATTCGCGTCCACCGGGGCTACTGGCGACACCTGGTGGTAGCGGGCGTCGGCCGTCTCCCTGTGTTTCCGGATAAGATACCGGTCGAATTGCTTCGTGCTGCGCCGGAGAGCCTCGAGCGCCATGACTAGGAAGACCACGCCGAAGCAGGTGCCGACCATCGCCCCTTGGGAGCCGATCTGCCATTGTGGTGTGATGAAGCACGCGCCGATCGTGTGCCAGTTCCAGAGCATCTGTAAAGAGGGGAGTCGGAATGTCAGTTGGTCGTTCGATTGCGAGAACTGGAGCATCTGAGATGTGGAATGGGTACACGGGTCTCAAACGTAATGGGGGAGAAAAGGGCCTAGGTACACACGTGTATCTCGCAGACTTCGCCAGCACTGCCCACCACATTGCTCATGCTCATGCCCATCGAGCCCGAGCCTGTCGCCATGGCAGTGGCCGTTGCCGTCGTTGTGCCGCTTGTGATAGTTCTGGTTGCAGTCCTTGTTGCCGCCGATGTCACTGACATGACCGTCGCGCTTGTCAAAGTGGTCAACGTAGTGGATGAAGAGCCCATCGCCATCCCTGACATCCCCCCCATGTCCATGCCTGACATATCCATATTTAGTCGTCTTTTATTCTTTTAAATGAGTGGAAGGTTGGCTTCGATTAGAGAAGGTTGTGGTTTGGAGGCTGTCGTCCAGCGCAAGGAGTCGAATCAAAGTTAAAGGCGGAGAGAAAGCTGGAGCGAGTCGAGTGCTAGGAGTGAGCGGGCCCGTTCGAGGAGTTCTGGTCTCATGGAACAAAGGCAGAAGATCGTTGCCTTCACTCAATCAACTATAGAAAGGAGGAATTGAACTGTTCCCGAAGAAGACACGGACATCTAAAAATGTACTGGGACAAAAGATTCGGGAGCGGGAGCTGCAATGAGAGGCTTTGTCGCTGCTGGTTGGGAAAGACAGGTTGACATTCAGAACGTCGAGCGTTCAGACACGGCAGGCGGCTTTATAGGACCTTCCCGATTGTATGCAAAAATAACGAGGAAAGTGAAACACAGGCTTGAAGAAGTGAATTGCAATGGCACGGACAAGTGTAACTGGGAGAGGCGGTAGGACCCGGATCGTGGTTTGGCAAGCTGGCAGGAGGATGGCAAGCATTCCTGCGAGAGGCCCATGGCGTTTAGCATTTCCCAGCACAAAGCCACATTGACATGGCAGTCAACACGGCTCAAGTCCTGCCATCACTCACATCTACCTGTACCAGTTAGGAAGATGTTCCGCTTCGCCTTGCCATCCACGTCCCAACAACATGGCTCGCTCTTACCCGGGGGCAGTAGTAAGATTGGAATGTGTCAATTTCTGTTGCTGGTTGGCTTAGATGCCGACAGACCAAAACCCAGAGGGTGTGAATACGCCTCCTTTCCACTGTCCGCCTATATAGAGGCGTATCTTGTGCTTTTGGTAACGCAACGAGCGCTCCGAGTGCTCCGGCGGCACAAGTGGCACTGCCAGCTGAAGGACATATTCTCAACGCTTCAACCCAAAGAACGCCATACTCACCGCCACCAATTCCAAATTAACAATCGCATCAGACTGGACAATACAACGCACAAAACCACAGGCTTGCAAAAAAACAGCGTCGACAGACCCGTGGGCCACTAGGCCTTGGCCTTCTCGTTCTGCAGGGCGTACAGCTCCCTCCTGGCGCCAGAGGCGTCGCAGCTCGAGAACTTCCAGTAGTTGCCGTTGATCCAGCCGCCGATGTTGATCAGCCCCCACTTGATAGGCGCGGGGATGGGCGGCCAGTTTGCCCACTGGCCCTCCTCGAACTGCGTGGATCGGTCCAGGTTCAGCAGGAAGAAGGGGACCACGTCCGTCGTACCGGCCTTGGTCACCGTGCTCTTGCCCCACGTCTTAAAGGTGTTCGATGCCTCGGCGGCCGCGGGTGTGTCGGGCGCGGGCGCGTTCGGGTGCGATGCTAGGTTCGCAATCGTCTTGATCTCGGAATGGAAGTGGTTCTCGAAGTTGGCGTGGAACCCGTCCATGATGCGTAAGAGTTCGGTCGAGTCAAGAGACTGTGGGTTGGGTTGGACGGAGAGTAGGTACTTGTTGAACTCGGCGAGGCCAGGAAGGAAGGACTCTGCGAATAGTTGTTGTTAGTGTGATGTGCTGTGCTGCTTATGGAGGCCTGCATGTTTCAGGCAGCCTCTGTCTAAGTAAAGTCTCCGACGTACCGTGCTCCTTATGCGTCTCTTCAAAGACATTCTTGTCATCCAGAAGCTCCTCGACCTTGGTGAACAGGGACTCCTCCTCGTCATCGTGGTGTGACTTGACGAACTTAAACCAAGTCAAGGCGTAGCCGATAAAGTCGGCCTTGTCCGCATCTTGGACGTGTGGTGCTTGTAGATAGATGCTGTTGTATCCTCTGAAGATGGAATTGTGCAACAGGGCCATATGCGTAGCTCCTGTGCTAAAAAGATCCGTCTGTGACGTGCAGCAGTCAATGTTAGCCGTCTTGTTCACATTACTTCGAAAGGAATGCCCTGGTGCTGCTGCATTTGCAGATCTGCAGTGCTGGGCTGGATACCAAGCTGGATGCTCGTACCTTCTTGGTCTCGTACTGGGGAGTAGCAACAAGTTTCATGGGCTGATCTGCCCAGGGCTTGGATCCGGAAATTGGAGCTGTGGCCATCATGAACGGTGATCGAGAGACGAAGACGCCGAACAGCAGTGTAGCTAGTCCCAGGAAAAGGGTAAATGGAGAAGGCATGCTGGCGATCCAAGTGTGATATTTAGAATGCGGCTGGCCCTCCAGGAGTCCGCCGATATATGTACGCTCTTGTCTAACGGGCTGCTTGCTGCACGTCTGCCGGCTGCTGCGGATTGCACGGTGCAGAGCAGGTAGAGGAGGGACAGAATGGCACCATCAGGAGCGTCGTACGATCGGTCAGCCCTCGCCTCGGCCCATCCAGCAAGTCCAGCCCAGCAAGCTCTGGTCTGGGTGTGCTCGCCATCTCGGAGTCGGTGCTGTCATCGCCTGTCAAAGGTCAATGTTTCAGGTGCTCCAGGCGCGACCCTCGGGGCTGAACAAGCTCCCGTTGGTAATTCTCAGTGTCTCATTGGGCCTGGCGGTTGGCAGCAAGGGTGGGAGCTCCAGGTGTCCCCACTCGTTCCCGGGGAAGCATTCGAGAAAACCGCCGATCGCCTTCGGACCTTACAGAGATTCCTCCTCTGGGGAGAATGTAGACTAATATCTGACCTTCCACACTGGTTATCCGGGCACAAAGAGCCGGGCACAAAAATTTATAGATGGAAGACGTTGACTTGCGCAAGATGCAGTACATGTGCCTGCGTGGTACAGCACGTTGTAGCTGCTCAGGGACGAAGCTGCAGCTGAGGATCGCAACGGACCTCGGCACACATCCAGCTCCGAGTTCCTGGCCCCAGCAGGGTCAGGGGTCCGTCGAGCTGCTGTTAATCCTCCGCGAGAGAAGGTCAATTCAAGGTTATTTTTGTACGCCTCCGTCTAATCGTCTTGTATGTCCAACCGATGCTTCATTGACCTCGCATGTGCAGGCTTCACTCGAACCCCGTTCTGAACCCCGTATAATCTTTTGGTCCCAAGAAATAAAGGGAGTATACACGTCTGTCAAAGGTGTTTCTAGCTGTATTGTTTCTCTATATATATTACCAGGTTCTCAGCGATTGCACATTGAGTCATATCACTCTGGGTTCAATTGAAGGCAGCATTTACGGACCTGAGGTTTCGTCTTGCAACTCTTTTCCGTCATCGTAGACCTGGGACATATACAAAATGAATTCACGTCGAGCCTCCTTCTCAAGATGAAAACGTAATAATTCCTCGTGTGTTTGAGAAGATCTTGTCCTCCACTTAGTAAGACTCAGTCTACTTGTGAGTCTACAGAGAATCGATGAAATCTCAATCTCTGTCCCAAGAGCACAAAAGAATCCAGTTGATTCTACAAGCCGACTCTGCTGGACTTGCATAAGTACGAGAAGAACTGAGTAATTTGAAAGGCATACCTTGGAATACCAGCAAGCTTTAGCAGGCTGGGAGATCCATACTACAGTATTTTGTCCCTTGCTGGCTTCAGAGGTGGCCCCAACGAGGTGCTGGTGGGGAAAGTTGCACACATGCACATGACCAAGAATGATTGAATAATTAGTCTAGGTCGAGAAGTCTCCAAGACACTGCACAAGTGCCGGGGCCACATCCATGTCAAACAATATCCACAAAGGCCCCCGCACTTTGAACTACTCTTGGGTGTGAACACTTCAAGGCATGGGTATCATGGCGCACAGAGGTAAGCGGGAGAGCGACGCGCAGATAGGTAGAGAGAGAAAGAGAGCCTCTGCGCGTCTCAAAGCATTGTCTGGTCGACGATGACAGACGTGCGATAGTTGACTTTTATTTTTTTGGCCGGCGCTCCAGTGTTTGCTTGGGCTCCAGTAAGTGGACTCCGGAAGAAGGTATCCCGATCTTTTCGTCTTTTCCACGGTTTGTTATATCACCACGTTTCGCGACAGCAGCAGCTCACAATGGCAAAAGCTTTTCACGCATCACACGCAATCACTGTCACGACGCTCACACGCTCACGCACAGCACAAAATCAAACCAGAACCCTGAGAACCACGAAGGTAGCCGTCACCCCGCAACCCTTCCTGTAGTCCCCGGACTCGGCGCTCAGCACCTTGGCCTTACCATCCGCCTCGAGCCGGGCCACCTCGGCCTTGAACCCCTGGCTCTCCCAGATGTCGTCGAGCACGGTCGCCACGACGACGCCCTCGCGCTTGGTGACGCGGACGAGCTCGCGCAGCGCCTCGGGCCCCACGTGCGTGTGCGTGAACGTGCCGACGCACACCACGACGTCGTACTTCCCGTCCTGCACGTCGAGGGGCTTGTTGAGGTCCGTGGTCTGCAGCGCCTCGTACGCCCCGGACTGCCGGGCGACGGCGAGCATGCCTGGGCTCAGGTCCCGCCCGTCGATGTGCTTGGCCCCGAGGCGCGCCAGCTCCACGCCCGCAAGGCCGGTGCCGCAGCCCGCGTCCAGGAGCAGCAGATCAGGGCTGATGGTGGGCGTGCCGAGCGCGCCGGCGACTAGGCGCGCCACGGCCGCCGGCCCAACGTAGTTCTGGGATGGGTCGCGGAGGTCAGAGTCATAGGTCTTTGCCCATGCGTCGTACACCTCCTGCGCCTCGTTGACGTTCTTGAGGACATAGGAACGGGTGAGGTGGGGGTTGTTGGCAGTGTTGGTAGTGACCGACATGTTGAATTTGGTCAAGAGGAGTGGCTAAGTGTGTGATTGGGTTTTGAGAACGAGGGAAATTGTTGTGCAAGAATGCTTGGGCTTGGGAGGTGGGTGTTGAGGGTACAGAAGCGCCTCTCTCCTTTCGATCGAACCCGCGAACCTTGGAGCCTTTTATATTCTCCTAAACACCACGCTCAGCATCATATTGACGGATGCCGACGACGACGAAGGCTCGGCATGTCGAAGATCAGCACTACGGTTCCACGGACTGCATGAGGCGCCCTCATCTAATGTCAACAATTGGCCGCTGGGGGAATAGCTTGAATGCTCAAACCTTTAGCTACATGGTGTACCATGTCGAGAATCCACCCTCAGTCCATCGGGCCATACAACACCCGCACAGGCTTCACCTCGGAACTTGGTTGCTGGGAGTCCGCAGGCGATGTGACGCACCTTGGAAGCTCAGTCCCTGCATCCAAATGGCGCAATCGTTCGCATGCGAGAAATGACATGCCGACTGATGAACTGCGGTTCACTGTCAAAGCTGCGTAGGCTGAACTCTACGTCAAGTACCTGTGCCTACGACAGAGACCGGCCCTCGTATTCGCAGCACATAGCTCGGCATATCAGTCTGACTGTTTTAAGAACCAAGGAGCCCTACACTTGTTTTGAATTTTGAAAATTAGACTTGTTTTTTCTCTTAAAGAAATTGTAATTAAATTATAATATTAGTATACTAAAATAAAACTATTACCTAAAATTTTAAATAATTAATTTTATTTTTAAAAAAAATATAATTTTTATTATTATAAAAATCTTTATTTATCATTTTTGTATAAATATTTTGAATAATTTTATAACTTTATAATGACGCTAAACCGGATTAGGTCTGAGTAGACTCAATATGTAGTAAACACTTGGTACCTGCATTGGGTGCGACAGACAGCGGACGTTCTAGTAGCCACCGATCACGTCGATCCGCGCAGGTGCTGAGGTGTCACCTGAAGTCATCCGTTGGAATGACCCCGGGGGAGCGTGGCTTAGAACTCGACTCCTTCCCCGCTATGCTCAACTTAGTTCTAACGGTTAAGCCCTCATGAGGGACGACCAAGCGATCTAAGTCGTCAAGACTAAAATGCGCACCCTGGGGGCTGCCTGTCGCCGTCGCCCCTTTGGGCTAGGGAGGATGCAGTCTCGCTCCTCAATCCTGCTAGAATACAAACCTTGACGTCAGTACAGCAGTACATTCGAGGCTCTGCCTAGGGATAAATGGGAATGTGGGAGAGGAGGCATGTGGTTCCCCCGGAACGGGCGGGTACTTTGTCACTTTGCTGACCGGCCCACTCTCCACTCGGCCGCAGAGTGGGCGGTTGCAGTTATTTATGTACCCATATGCAAAGCGGCAGGTCCTCTGCATGTCTCCGTATGTAACTATCATATGATAATCCTGGCAGAAGCGCTTGGCGTTCCAAAATGCCGCGGGGAAAAGGTGGCCCGAGTGAGTTGGCGTGTTTCGCCGAGGGTAAGCGGCTCTGACAGGTCGGGCTCGGTGCCGTTCAAGGACGTCCGGGTGGGGTCGTCGAGTGGGGACCGGAATGCCTGAGCGCCCGTACCGTTCGGGTGAGCACCGCCGAAGACTCGGTGCTCAGGAAACGGATCATCAGGAGGAGGAGGAGGAGGCCTCCCTGCTTGGGGGCTGTTGGAGAATCCCATCAATTAGTGGAGCTGACACGTAATTGTGTGAATTTACAATTACTTAAGGAGAAAGGCCACTCTCCCTCAGACAACGGTGCTGCTGGCATCCTTGGGGGCAGGGTGCCCTCTCCTGGGACTTCAGCTTCGCGGCCCTGGGATAATCGTGAAGCTGCAGCGCAAAACGCGACTGCACCACACCTTCTGCCCACAAGCTCTAAATTCCTGGATAGCTGCATAAAAATGACGCCAAAGTGACGTAGAGAGCACACTCCGGTGCTCTCATTTTCGATAGAAAGGCGTCTAAGCAGATTCTGAAAGCAGAAGTAGAGGTCATCCGGTGTTTACCTGTCCTTCCCCGCAGCGCGTGCGCGGATGTTTAAGCGACAACGAGAACGCATGCCCTAAAAACCATGAAAATTTCTTGTCATTGACACGAACTCCTCATATTCAAAAGTTGACCATTGTCTAGACCTCATTTTTATCTTTCGAATGAGTAGCATCAAGGCCTGGACTGAGTTTCTTTCCGAGGTTGTGTAGGACTCCATGAAGGTCAATCTTTTTTGTTGCCAGGCATCCACCTGTACATGCGCTTTGTACCGACACCTTCTGCCAACTCGGCGTCACAAAATGCATTTACTGGCCCCCGCGCTATAATATACAAGTGTGACAGTAGTCCGCAATTATCCCGCGCCGATGTTGCGTTGGGGAGGGGCAGCCGGCCCTGACTCCGGATTCTCACAATGATTGTCGAGTCCCACAGCAGGTGATTAATGACATTGACATCTCCCAGACAACATGCCGCGACAGCCTGGACCACCAATCCGTAATTAAGCTATTTTAAAATCGCGCGACAGCGGGTTTTCCACGCGCTCCGCGATCATGTGAGAGGCTTGCTCCCACATGGGATAGGCTCTCTCCACGCTGCCCAGGAAGTAAACCTCCCGTAGAAGCATCTCGACTTGAAGATGAATGATGGGATTTCAGAGTCAGCCATGACTGAGTTATCACATTCGCAATTTGATGGTGGGCGAATACACAACAAGGAAAATCTTGACAGGTCTCTTCTGGTCGAGAAGCACCGGAGCATGTGATATCCAGGAGAAGTACATGGACCAGCCAGCCATTAGGAAGCAGGAAGCGCTGGCACCTCTGAGCACTGTTGCGTGCTCAGAATCAAATGGGTCAAGTTGGCTATAACGACCACTCCGAAGCACGATGTTTGAGACTCGCCTCTCTTGTACTTTAGCTAGTCAACGGATTCAGTATCAAAGATGGCCATCAGTGTGTTTCTCCTTGTGGATATTGACTCCATCTACAGACAGGGGCTGAAAGAATCAAACACCAGTCATGGAACTGAAAAACAACTTAGAAGATGGTCCAAACGGCTGTAGATTTTGGCTTTCACAAGCTAGTACAGTTGCATCATTTGGTGATAATTCACGCGGAAGGGTTAAGAGATGCTTATCTCGCACCCTAGAAAGCCTAAAGAGCCAGAGAAATTGAAAGAAAGAAAAGAGCTCCATTTTCAGGTCTTGAAACTTCGAGAACGAGAAGATTAAGGCAGTCAGCGCCTGCCTCGGAGTTTTTGTTTGCTGAAATGCGTCCCTTATCCGCCAGCTCCTGCCCGCCAGCTCTTGCTCATGGGATTTCGACCTGCCAGTCTGGACAGCGAACCAACTTCGGAATTCCTCCCATCCTGCGCCTGGACATCTGCTTTACTACGAAATTCACTTGGCGTATATGCGACCTTTTTTGACACGCCCCACTCAAGCCTGCTTTCAGGCTGAGCTCTGGGGAACTACAAAACTGAAACCAGTTGACTTTTCGCTGAAGAAGTGCTTCTTCTCACGCAGCATTCAGACACTGTCCGTCTTAGGGGACTCAGACAGGTAAGTGCACCTGAAGACTCAGTGTTGCCCTCCTCCACAAGAGCAAACGTCCTCACAATACTACAGGCGTGGTTTTTGCCCCCACCACAAGATCTCGACATCCATCGATCATACCGTTCGCTGCTCGGACAGCTCGGACACTTGATGACAGAATCATCAAGCACCAACTCCAGCAAAAAAGCTCAAAATGGTTCAACTTGAGAGCCTTCCCGTCGAAGTCATGGGCGTTGTCCTGAAGAACCTTGCGTCGCCCGAAGACCTGGCCTCCCTGATCCATGCCTCACCACGCGCTCTAGCAGCTATGCAAAGCGACCGTCGACGAGTTCTGTCGACCGTCATCCATAATAATCTACCAGAGGAGGTGCTGAGAGAGGCTTACAGCGTACTCCGATGTCCGGTCCTCGAAAACGGTGATGGATTCTTCCAGTCCAGAACCACGAACCCTGTCTCTCCCGAAAGGCAGACGAAATGGGAGCAGAAAGTGAGCAAATTCAAGCACTGGTACTTCAGCTCAGCTACCGTTGACCTTGGGTTTCCACGAGAAACTGCCCAAATTGTCGCCGTCTGTCGAATGAGGGCTGTTATCAACGCGCTTGTCTCTGACCTCGTCTATTACACCAAAACTTTGTCTCTTTCAGATGAGGAACAGCCTGAATTGCAGGATTTGAGAAAAGCTCAATCATTCCCTGTGACGAGTCGGGAGTTGAGCCGAATACAAATTTCATTTTTCAGGTACGAGCTTATCTGTCGATTATACGGATTGCCATACTTGCAACAGTTTTCCATTCAAAAGGTGCCCTTCTTCGATAACCATGAAGCCCACTTGAAGCACTTTTTGGGTTACTTTCCTGCTCTTTATGTGGAACAACTGGGACACATTCATGACTATGTCTGCTCAAAGTATACACTGGCCTTCAAAGAAGTAAATGAAGATGCGACTGGCGTGTTTCAACGCATTCAGATCCAGCGAGACCGACATCAAATAGCAGATGCTGCTGTGCTCTTGCAGAAAGACGGCCCAAGCTTTTTCACTCATGGAAATGACCCAGTCTTCGAAATTCCTGGTCGTCCAAAAAAGAACACGCGTATCAACACGTATGTTGCCAACCTCGCCAAACTTGGACTTGGGTCACTGCAAGCTTTTGTCAAGAACGGTCGCTTATCAAGACGGCGGTTCATCGTCGAGACATTTGAAATTATGCTTCCGCGGGCTAGAGTTTCACATCACAAGCTATGTGCGCTTCAAAGTTTCCCAGACTCCGAAGCTATTTTTATGTCGAGACGCCTGCAGCGTTACATTCGATATCTAGAACCTCCTGATGAGGAATGGGCCAAAGGACGCAGTGTCATATGGGACGCATGCAGAAGGTTGGAAAACGGCAAACCCTGTCATCCCTTTCTTATCGAATATCGTACACCCAAGATCGACGACCTTCGCAAATTGAGCTGGACATTTTGGGACCTCAATCGGCTCAAGGGATTGGGCATTGTCGAGAGCTTCTCGACCGAGACTCACGTGGTCTTCAATAAAGACTTGAAAGTCCGAGAGAACTACGAGGAGAAGATATCCCGAGACTCTGGATATGAGATACTGAAAGGCAAGGTGTCTCAAGACATGTGGGAGAACGAATTCGTTCCTCAATTCTGCACCGGTTCCAGTGATGAACCTAACGATATTGACGAGTACTGCCGACTTCTTCAGCTCATCCTGAGGCAAGCTGAAGATTCCCAGATTGGCAGGACACCATTAACCGGGGGCTAGATGCGCTTCCAGGCGGAAAGATTATCTTGGTGGAAATTAGCTGATCGCTGGGGACAGCACTTGGTGGAGCTGTGGTCGAATGTAGACGGGTGATTACACCGATGGTGGAACGGCCTCATACTGAGAGATCGATTGAGGTTTCCCTCTTCTTATTTCCTAAATGAGAAAATTGTATTGCTATTCTTCCAAAAGGGATCTTGCGAGATGGCCACTGTTACCAACTCTTCCAGGATGCACTGTTGACTTCTCGTGCCAATCAGGATATTTCTTTGCCCCTTGTTGTCTCAGCCAAGTATCTTGTGTGATATATGAACTTTCACCTTGCAGGTTTCCTTGCCATGACACAGAACCGGACAGATATTCCAGCCCTACTACCCTCAAGTGTTCATACTGTTGCCCTAATACCTTCCAGCGCTCGTTGAAGAGCTTGACGAAGAGGAGATTGTCCTCCGTTGTCTTGCAGATTCCAGAGAGACCCCACGCTTTTGAACCCATGAAATCATAACAGGACCGACCCACTAGGTAGAATACAGAACGTCAAATCTGGATAATGGCTCGACTTCATCCTGCATATAATTCGGCTGGTTACCTCATGCGCATTGACCCTCCTGGGGGTGTTTTGGCACCATGCTCACCTCCAGTATTCTTCTTGGCGCCCAAATCACATACATCCTGTTCTTCGCTTCGATTTTGAAAGTGCCCTTTCCAAAATGCAGCCTCAGCCATGTATTTAGATGGTAGGGGTTGATGCACTTAGACAATCTGGCCGAAAGCTTCGATATGATCAGGACTTCAGGCATCTTGTCTGGATTAGTTGATAAGAAAGTTGTGTCAAATGATCGAACTGTTCATACTTTGCGTCGGTAACTCGTAGGTAATCTTCTTGAATCCATTCCATAAATCGGCAGATGTCTGGTTAGAGACACGGTCGGTGACCCATCGCCGTTCGAAGCCGATAAAAATATACGGGTTCTACATTCGTCGTTGTTACGCTGACAGTGAGTGATTCATACACACTGGGTTCTATTCCTGCCCAGTGCAAGTCACCTGAAGAGGCTTCTTGTGACTGGCACTCAGAGTGAGCAATGAGAAGTAATGACCGTTGGCGGGCGAGCTCATCATGCGTAGGCTTTGAGAAATTACATGTTTAGAATACGTTGTCGGCAAATTCCTGAACCTGATGATGCGGCACGTAGTGTCCCAAACCCGATATATCTGGGTTGCAACATTATCTATTTGACCAACTTCGACTGATTAAAGGCAGTATGTGTGGGAATTTGAGTACTGCAACTCGTCAATATACAAAGATCTCATTCTGACAGCACAAACTCTGCCAGTCCCTTTGCATGTAGTTCCATGGTATCAAGGAGGGGGACCGTAACGTTCTCAGCCTTCACGACGAATTGTAGCTCTGTGCAGGCCAGGACCACGACTTGGGCCCCCTTCTGGATCAGCCTGTCTACTATTCCCGCAATCTTGGTTTTCGTTTCGTCTTTGAAGATGCCAGCGCAAAGCTCTTCAAACACGGCCTTGTCAACCGCAATCCGCTCGTCTTCATCAGGAATCAAGACCTCCACGCCAGCTTTCTCACTCAGGCGGCCCTTAATGAAGTCTTCCTCCATCACCGTTTTTGTTGCGAGCAGGCCAATTTTCGAGAGGCCTCTCTTCTTGATCTCGTCGGCCGCGGAGTCAGCAATGTGCAGCAAGGGCAAGCCTACTTCGGCCTCTACTTGCGAGGCTACCTTGTGCCCGATGTTACAGCCGATGCCGATACCTTGCGCGCCTGCTAGCTTGAGGTTTTTGGAAGCAGTGATGAATTTGTCCGCCGCTAGGTCCCATCGTCCGGCAGTGAAAAGCGCGGAAGTTTCTGCATGGTTGAAGGAGTGCAATATCAGTGACGCTGAGGCTAAGCCCCCTAGCTTCCGCTGGACATGGGCGTTGATGGAGGTGTAATAGAGGGCTGTGGAATGGTAGCTCATGCCACCAAGGAGGCCTAGTGTCTTCATGATGTATGGTGATTGGGGAGATATGGTGTACGAAAAGGTTGATTGTTGGCCTGGAAAGAAGGAGAAGGTTGGAAGAAGCAGCGTGATGACTTTCAAATCTGTCCTGGATGAGTCAACTCGAAAACAGGGCCAACGTCAATTGGGTGTAAGATTAAAGCGGGGCTGGACGAACCGAAGGGCGTGCGCAGCGCATCTGCGCAGCAGCAAAAGAGAGACAGCTCACATGTATATGCAATCACCTAAGATTCTTCTCTTTTCCCTCCCTCTATCTTTCTTAGAGAGAAGCCAAATGAAGGACGATTTCGGCCATGACATTGATAGACTCGTATGATACACCAGATGCCCATGTAATGTTCTAATTCTCCCCATTTTACCACATCTTCTCCCAGGCCCTTCTGAAAGCGTTCATATTCTGCAAACGTTGCCTCTCAACCTCCTCGACCCCACCGTCTTCCCAGATTCTGCATTCTTCATCACACTCCGCCTTCCCGCTAAGCAAGTCCGCTTCAGCCGCGGACACGAATTTCGTCCGCTTGATGACTTTCCAGAGCACAAACATGAACGGCCCGAACGCAACCGCGAAGTAGTCTGTGATAAAAGTCTGGTAGTCGAAGGGTGCGAATACGTCAAAGCCGATGAAGAAGAGTGTGACACAGCCAAGTCCACAGGCGAAGTATGCGGCTCCTGGCGTCAGAGGTGCGACATAGGGCAATGTCGACAAAGGCACCGCATCTGGCTGTGCCATCCTCGCTCTATACCAGCCGATGAAAGTCCAAAGCATGCCCGTGTATGTCGCAATGAGGGCTGTTGTCGTGAGGTCGACGAACCAGTAGAAGACTGTGACGGTCGAGTTGGACGACACCAGGAACGTGATGCAGGTGATCAGTGACACAGCGGCGACACAGTAAATGGGAACACCTGCTTTAGTGCATATGAGCAAGAATCTGGGAGCTTGGCCATCTGCAGAGAATTGGTCAGTTACAAGTCATTCCAGTACTACTCATGGCGGAATCCAGAACTAACCTCGCGCAAGACCATACAAGGTTCGAGAGGCCGAATAGAGGTAGGCATTTCCACATGACCTGTGATCAAAATTTGTTAGCAAGATTCCACTCAATGACAGAGGATGCTCAGCTTACAATCCAGAGGTCAGAATCAGGAAGTTGATTAGGCTTGGAAGCCCAGTGATCCCGAGGTTCTGAATTCCAATAACCCAGGGCGATGCTGCCGCGCCGGACCCAGAACCCTCAATCGCCCCCATGAGGCGATCGTCCTTTGGAGAGCAGATAATTCCAACAGCAAGGACACCAATAACGTAGAATCCAATAAGACGATAGAAAATGAGCTTCGCCAGACGTGGGATTGTGTGTCGCGGGTTCTGAATCTCTCCAGCAGAGATAGCCAGCATATCAGGGCCTGCGATCGTGAATCCTGCGTAAATAACGACAGACCTGAGCACGGTGTGAGCAAATACAAACAAGCCAACCATGGTTACAATCGTTCGTTGAACTCACCACCAACCGAGGAATCTGCCCGTGTCCCCTTCGGCATAGTATGGGATCATGTAATTACCGCCACCCCAGTTCCTGAATCCGTACGCATCTTTCTGAGGGTTTCCACCACACATAGTCACAAGAGTAACCATGACCAGTCCGAAAAGGAGCAAGACTTTGAGCGATGCCATGATGAACTCGCTCTCGCCGTACCACTTGACAGCAACAACGTTCAAGAAGACACAAACAACCATTGCAAGCGCGATCCATACTGCAGGATTGATCTCGGTGTTCCAGAATTGGATCACCGTGGCCACAGCTGAATATTCCACACAGACCTAAAGATCGCGATTAGCTATTTAGCACGGATAAAAGGGTTGAGAACCACGGACCAGCATAGTACCAGCAAAGAAGTATGTCCAACCCATCGCAAAGCCCAACGCGGGGTCAACAAAGCGGCATGCCAATTCGAATATAGTCCCTCGGATAGGTAGGAAGGTACACATCTCAGCCACACACAGGTAGCAAGGCCACACGAACAAAATGCCCCAAAACAGGTAGCCTAGGACAAGCGAGAGTGGGCCTGCTTGCGACAGGACGCTGCCAATTCCGACGAAGAGACCCGTGCCAATGCTTCCACCAATCGCCATGAGCTGCACATGTCGTGGTGAGAGGCCTCGTTGCGTTTCGAACTTTGCTCGTCGTTCGAGGCCGCCGGCGGCGGGCTTCACATCGCCGGCTTCGACATTGGTGTCGGATGCAGACTGGGCGGATGAAATGCCCATAGGCTCCTTGTGGTCGTCTGGAACACCCATTGCGTCGGTTAGGCGTAAAAGCGACTCGGATTGTTGGAATGAACGCCGGGTGCTGCCGACAGGGTGGATGAGAAGGGCTCCATGCTCAACATATACTGCACGCACTGGCCTACCTTCCCCGGAGGTCGCGTGGTGTATGCTAGTCAGCGGTCAGCGTAAGGACATCGATAAGCAAGATTTGATCCCAGGGAGGGGGAACCGAGCTTACGAATGGGAACAGTTCTGATCTTGGCAACAGACATATCTCCCCCTCTGGTGGAGCCGCCAAGTACCGGCAGAGATAAGGAGATTGCGGAGGTTCTCGGATTGCTCGTTAGGAGGCATCTTGGCCACCGCATATACAGCGCTATCGACGATTCCATGACTACCAGAATTGTTAAGCTCAGTATAATTACGCCCGTGTTGACTTCCAGCCTTGGCTAGCCCCCGACGGATGCGAGGATATCGGCAACATACCAAGCCACCTCGCATGTACCTGCTCAAATAGGCATCCCCAGGCGAGTGATCATGACAGAAGCTTGTAAGCGGGAAAAGCCCTATCTGGAATATTATTATCAGATCAAAGACATATGAGACCATACCTAAACTGCTGCTCAATGTGAGATGCGATATTGCAGATCAACCCTATCTTGGTATGTGCAACCGGGTGCAGCTAGGGGGATTGTAGCGAGGTAAGATCTCAGGTATTTCTTCTCTTTCTGAATCAAATAACCAATTGACCGTCAACATTTATTTGTGGTATCTAGGTATATCGCAAGTGTGGTCTCGAAGACAGCAGGTGACAGTGCACAATAGGAGGCTGCAGAGTATGACCAGACCTGCACTCTAACAAGTGAATCCACACTCCTACAACCACTTTAGCCGGACCCCGGAAACATGTGGCAAGGTGTCGAGCTCGGCAAAGCACCATGGGTCAGCAAAATACCAAGAATGCCCAAGAAATGCGCTGAATCGCATCCAAACCATTTCGTCAGGAGATGGTCAAGAGTTGATCCTACATTGTTGCCCCTGATCCCATAGGTAGGCCACGATTGTCAAGAGGCTTCTGTAGGGGAACCATGCTTTAGCAAAAGTCAGCATTCGCACGGGCTACCCTGGAGCAATTCAGTCCTCAAATTACGACCCAAATTTACGCAACAGTGAGATGAATTAGGTACATAAAAGATCTTCTCATTTCTATTGGTGCCACGTCGCTCGCAGCTCCGTGACACGATGCAATTCGCAACGGCGCACTGGCAGTTCATAACAATCGTTAACCTCCGCAAACAAGATGCGGAATCCAAAAAAGCTAATATACAATGAAGGCAGTCAAAAGAACAATTTCAACATCAACGCAGACGTGATAATCTCTCGCAGAGATCTAGCTGATGCGGTCCACCTCAGTGACGTTGAACTGCATGGCCAGGCTGTCGGCACCCTTGTACGTGCCTCCTTGAATCCAGTTATAAGTTGAACCGGACTTGGTAGTGGCGGTAAACGTCGCATTCATGTTGACGTCGACTTTGTATTGCATGAAGAAAGCCTTGGCGGTGCAGAACTTGCCCGCCGGACAGGCGAGAGCGAAGGTTGCCGCACGAGTGGTGGTAGATCCAACCATCTCAGCGTCGTTCTGTGAATTGGATTGTCAGCGAGACTCAACTTAGGACACAATGGCCGGAGATTGGAATCAGCTATTGCAGGGGAAACACTCACGTTCAATGTCTCGAGTTGCCAGTTGACCTCGGTTCTGACAGAACCTTCGCTGATGAGTGGGACGCCAACCTTCCCTTCAACAGCGACGCTGCCTCCAACCAAAGCTCGGATCTGGGTGTTGATCGTCCTCGACTCGGTGACGGCATCAGTGGTCTGAAGGGTGATTGTCTGCGAGGCCGAGCTGTTGCGGTTATCCAGAATCTGCGAGCCAATCGAGAGCTGAGTTCCCCGGCCGGAAGGCATGATGCTGTTGGCGAAACCTTCGTAGTCGATGTTGCTGATAGAGATGCTGTCAAGCTCGTCAAGAAAGTCAACGCCGAAACTGCCGAAGATCTCCATGGAATCGCAGTTGGTGCCGCGGAGTCTAGCCAGGATTCCGGATCCGACGGGGATATCAACATAAACGGGGCCAGTTGAATCGGGGAGCGAGAAGATAGAACCGAGGATTTCAAATGAATTCCCCGCGTTGGTGTCGAATCTGAAACCAGAAACGTAGATGCTATCTGCGCTGGTACGAGCAATCGAAAACTTGGTAATGCGCTCATTATCGGTAAATGTGAACTCGGCATCTGCGAGGGATACGTTGGAGTGCAACTCTGATGTGTTGCCTGAGAAGCTTGTGGCCTTGATCCCGCGCAAGTTGCTTGAGCCCCTGTTCAATTGAAGAAAAATCAGCAAGTGCCAATTTGATACAGCTCCCCAAGCGAAGAGTGGACGTGGTAAATTGATCTCAAATCACGCTGTCGAATTTGATGCATGTGTGTAACCAGATCGGGGCAACTGAGGACAGAAGAATGCTCTTATGATCACTTACATGAACACACTGCGCCAAGTTGTGTTAGCTATATCAACTCATCGCGAAGCTAGGATAGGGTTTCTTACTGGATATTTGTAAAAGGCCCGTTGAGAGTAAAGTCCTCGCACTGCGGGTTTGTGCCTGGCTTTACTTCGCCGTCCAGGAACGAGAGGAAAGGGCCATCTTTGGATGTCCCGCTCTGGCGTTTAAGAAGTGAAACATCTCCAGAGATGAGTTGCTCATTCCTAGCAGCAAGCTCGTCGATCTCGTAGGTCCTAGTTTCAAGCTGCATGCCTTCGTCCTTGAAGTAATCAATAAGTTCTTGGAGCTCCTCTGGTGTCATCTCCGGTATCTCTGTAACATCTGGCTTGGCGTCTTTGGGAGGGTCAACCACTTTAGTGTCGTTGCGTGGGAGAAGTCTTGCCGGAGCATTGTCGGCGACAGGAACTGCCAGGACAGGCTGGAGCGCCAAAAGTGCGGCTCCAAATGCCAGGATTTTCTTTGTGCACATCTTGAGATAATTGAACAAACGGTCCTACTGAGTGCAAATGAGTGAGTGGAACGGGCTGTAAAGAGAGATACAGCCGTGATAATCGAAATGATCCGAACGAGGGAATGACTGTATGGAAACGAAAGACGCAGCTCGTGCTGGATGTGGAGGACTGTTGGCTGATGCGTTGATGAATGGATCTAGACTGGAAATGATGTGTCTCTTCTCATCTTTAAGTATTGACATTGTGAGCCTCGAGAGCGTCTCTCGGCGTGATGGAGTCTCTTCATCGTCCGATGATGTTGACAGGGCTGAGGCCGCCAAGGATGTTCAAAATTAGCACTTGCTCCGCTCAAGTGCCCACAGGATAAGCTCATAAGGTTGAACGGCCTTTGTCAATGTTCTTCAGCCTCACTGATCTTCAAACGTGTTTCTCCGCCTCCACCGGTTAACAAAACCGGATGGACGAGGGTGCAATCCATCAAAGGGATGAGCAACACCTTATTGGCTGCCCTGTCTCTCTTCATGGAACGCAGTGGACTTGATACCGAATCTTGGTGGTAAAGATGTTTTGTCCCTTGCCCCTGCCTCTATGAAAACAAAGTAATAACTGTTGCCCGGTGGAGGTGGACTGGATAAGGTGCAGATGTATGTGTCAGGCAATCTGTGCCTCCAGTAGATAGTTCGCCAAGACTGTCACAGGAAACAATGGGCCCATACGGTTCACCTTGATGCATCGAAGCCCGTTTTAGTGCAACGCACAGCAACGGTGTTCTAGCTCTCCCTTGGCAATCATGCATCGGAAACTTGCCGGCCACGAACGGTTGTCCGAACAATATCTGAGATGACTCGCCCATACTATCTTGGATCATGCCAACGGATCCGTACTAAGGCCCAGGCGGTCTTTCTAGCTTGGCAAAAGGCTACTTCTGGGCCATCCCGCCCGCGCGCGCCATCTGATCAAGGGTGCAAGTCTTGATGTTTCAGAACACGAGCATTCAGTATAGGCAGGGGTAGAGAGGTAAAGTGACATGTAGTCAACATCTACATACCTGGAAGCTTGAAGTTACGATAGTATGAGAGCAATACTGGCCCACATTGCTCTAAGAAAAGATCATTGGAAGCATCTTTTAGATCGCTGTTCATCCCATTTACTGCCAAATTTAGCAGAAGAGCTTGGTCACGTTCCCGCATGCCTATTAGCTTGGCCAATATATACAGCGTCAAGTAAAATATCATCTGACGAGTGTGCGTTTATTTCAAGGACGTATGCACCCAGGCACGTGGGTAATGCCTATTTCTGTATAGCGGTAGTCCCAAAAGTATCCCAACCTCAATACTTGCATCAATCATGATCCTGCCGATGCTCATACTTCTCATGGTCCTCATCTTTGGCATGATCGCTATCCTTGTCGTGAGGGTTGTAAAGTGATTCGCTGATGCTGCTAGTTCCAGGAGCGGACGAGATGCCACTCAAGGCCAGTTTTGAAGCGTTGGATCCAGTACCATTCGCAGGCTTAGCCGCTGAATGAACCCCACAAGCAGACAAAATCGAGGCAACGGACCCAATGCCAGCTGGCTCATCATCGCTATTGGCCTCACTGTAAACAGTGTTCAAAATGTTGGCACTAGCGACCCCGGCAGAGCTCATACTTTGCAGCCACGACCCAAGTTGGCCGTCATGGTCCTGGCCGCCGAAGTTGTAGATCAAGATCGATGACTGGCCCGCTTTTCCGGAGGGGATATGTTTGGTGAGAACTGCATCGCTGTACGAAGAAGCCTCTGACTCGAAGACCACTACGTAGTCGGCCGAATCATAGAGTTCGACATGTTGTGGGGGTGCGCCGGGGTTGAAGATGCTGCTGCAAGGACGATCACCAAATACGATCTCGGCAGTCTTCACCAATGATGCCAGGAACTCGACGCCTTCACTGTTTCCCTCCTTATTGGGAATTTCATCATAGAAAACGCCATCGATCGAGGTCTTTGGGTTCGTGTTCCAAGAATTCCACTGTGTCACATTCTGGTTGATCTCGTTACCGGAATTGGTTCCATAATTGCAGTGGACATAGCCGAAAAGCTGGACGTTCGAATAAGAATTCAACCTGGTGACACCGGCGATATATTCACGGCTGTCTCCTGGAATTGAGTTTCCAGGGCCAGAGTTGGGGTTGATGATGATTTGGAAAGTGAGCTGGCTGTTTGCCTCAATTGATTTATAGACCCTGTCCCAGGCTCCCTCCGCCGGCCAAACGTACTGGAGCACTTGCAGTCAGTTAACAAAGCACCAAGGAAGGGCCATTGAATTATCGATGTTCCTGGAAGGTGTCAAGAGCGCTCTAATGGTACTTACAAGTGGAAGAAGCACCTTGGTGGCAGAGGCGGCCGCAAGAATTGTAGAAAGTAAGAGTGCCTTCATCTTCATAGGTTGATGTTGTGTTTCAAGCTGAGTTCAACAAATTCATTACGGGCGCCCTGTTCGTTTCCGGATTTACTTTTAATTGAGATCGATCTAGTCGAGGTGATTACCCTTTGTCCCACAATTATCTGAGTTGGTCTTTGTCTGCCCAGTCTTCACTTATACTCTTGGTTGTGAGCTGTGAATTCATGTTCAAAGAGATATTCACTGTCTGAATTTCCCATAAGTGTATGTTGAGTGGCCAAATATCATTTGAAGATACCTGAGTGAATGTTTGGGAGACTAACACCGGTGACGAGCTGAGTATGTATGCTTGGGTTTGATTTGGAGAGTTCTTTCATAGATCATAGATAACCAATAGGCTCTACAAACAGAGATGGAGAGTGTTACAACGTGCAATAATGAGGTAAATTGAGTAAAATTCTGGTCAATTCCCTTGCCATTGTGAGATTCTGTGATCACAAAACGCCATAGAGCTGGTGGAAGGTTGAGGTAGTCACCGGTGGTCGTCATCTATCTTGATAGGCCCCCAGATTGTCCTTTCTATCCCTTCGTTGCAAAACATGACTTAGTTTCCCATCATAAAGAGAGCGGTGAGATTGACCAAATGCACCTGCATTAGTTGCTGTTACACATGTGTCGTCCAGGTTGCCGACGACCTTCCTGTCATGGCTCGCTCCAACTCCGCCACAGACTCCTGGACCTCTTGCTCTGTAGGCAACTTCACTATTAACAAGTACAAGACATCCTGCTGGAGAATCTTCTTGATAATACCACCCTTGCGCTGGGCCTTTCGCCTTCGCTCGTGTCTTGGTCCCTTTGGGGCCTTCCCGCGCGTCACTCGACGTTCGTCTTTGTGCTCTCGCTTCAATGCTCTGCGTTCTCGTTTCGCGGCGCGCCGCTCTTGGCGTCTGGCAACTGGATTGATAGCCCCACCTGTAAGTAGGGAAATCAGAGATCCACTGTTAGCAGGATGGTCAGGATCGTTGAATCGCGGGTGAACCCCGGCCGCGCGCTTGATGGAACAGCGAGAGTTGAGCCTTGGTGTTCTCTCTCCTGCAGTACCATTAGTTGAGACGATGATCCATATCAAGGATGGCAAATCTCACGTAAGAGGCCTGCGCCTTCCGGTCCAGATAGTTTTGAACCCATTTCCCAGCACTCTTCCATTTCTCTTTCGTGCTTTCGTTCACATTCTCTTTGCCTTTGCCCTGTTGATGCAAGTCCGAGGCGGCTGCACGATCGAGGTCCGGAAAAATGAGCTCAGCTGCTTCTGGAAGTTCAATCTCGCCATGGGTCTTTCCACTAACGAGCCTGATATTTTGAATTCCTTTCTTCATTTTAGACATCTCAGGGTCGGGGTTGCTGTATTTCGCAACGGTCTGGTTGATATCTAGCCTTTCCGCCGAAAACAGGGCCTTGCCTGTCATATTAGCCAGCTGGCTCAAGGGCCCACGGGGCTGCTGCCCAGGTACTTCGTCCTTGAACGCCATCACCATGGCGTACAAGCCGCGGGGAATAAAAAGCTCTTGATTCACTCTGTCGAGAAAGGTGTTCCGTCTTGAGCGCGACTGCAGCTCTTTTGCTGTGCCAGCAACGACTTGTACAACTGTTCCGACAATTTGCGATGCCAGTTCTGGTACCAACCCGACGGCACCTGCTGCGATGAATATAACGTCGATCCAAGGGTCGGACTGAGGTTCGAATAAGCACTGCAAAGACCACTTGCTTCTCGATGTTGTAGCAGGGAGCACTTACTTGGCTGGCTGCAAGCCAGTCCTTCAGAAACTTCAGAAAGATCTCCTGGGTCACGCCACAATTCCCCAGCACAGGAGCATATGCCCTGACAAAGCCTCGGTCTTTATTTCGAGGCCTTCTTTGAGGAATGATTACTGGACATGGAATACGCTGAATAGGGTGTGGTGGTGGTCCAGCCATACGCAGCAAGTCCCGGATCGCCTGCTCATCCTTCTTCACTTCGCTCTCAACAGACTCATTTCTTGCAGCCTCTGCTGTACGTGACTCTGCCTCTGACTCAGCATATGAAGGCGGTGAAACATGCTCCGCCATTTCGTCTAGCTCCCAAGCAGCTTCATCGTTCAGCCCAACAATGTCGGAGTCGTCGTCGCTGGTTGAGTTGCCATCCTCGTCTGCGTAACCAGCCTCAGAAGCTTTGGATTGACGCTTGTTCCCATCTGTATAGTAGTTAGAGCGCTCAATCTGGCTGTTATTTATGGTCTGATCGGCCGCTGCTTCATGGGAAGCTTCGAATCTAGATGACGAAGCAGTTGCGGAATCAACTGATTGGTCTTGTGCAGACTTGGAACGAGAGCGAGCACGATAGTCACTGTTTGAACTAGGTCAGTATGTGCTTAATTTGAACGATCCGGGCGGTATGTGAAATAATCTGAATCAAGATCTTCATCTTCTTCATGGATTCTCCTCGATGAAAACGACCGGTGGAGGCCTGTAGGCGTACAGCATGCCCACACGATTCACGTACTGGATTGCTTCACTTGCCATGCCTAGGCCTGAGCCCAACACCTTCTCGATGAGACCCATATCGAGACAGAGACGAGAATCCAAGTTATCCTGTACTATCAGAGCCTCGAAAAAAATGTGATCTCGAGTTCATGGTGAATCGCTAGTAACCGCTCCTGGATCGTCGTCAGCCCTTGAAGGATGCCCCCCCGCCCCTTCCTGCGCGCACGGCAGCTGCAGATCGTAAGCTAGCACTGCAAATTCACCCGCCCACCGACACTTGGCTTCATCCTTCGCGGCACTAAACCGATATTCTTTGTATATTTTTATCCTAAACTTAATCAAGCAATCACACAGTTGACATTTATACAATGGTGCTCTCTTTCCAAATCGAACATTGAATCAGTTGCGCTTTTTGCTAGGTTACAGTGTCAGACATAAAGAAATGCAATAAATTTTAGATGCACGATGGGCTCTGCCCACGGCCTGTGAACCTGGCCGAACAGGCTTGGACAAGGACACTTTGGCGTGGCACACGCAGTCATATTCAAGGCAGAGATAAAGAAGAAAAGCTGCGCCCCAAGCTCGAACCTCACAAATTGGGTCCACTCAGTTTAGTAAAAGATACGAGTGTGAGCCTGTGTCCAACAATTATTCCCGGCGTGCTCAACCGTGGTGCTCGGTAAGCCGTGGCGTCATTACGGGGCCTGCGCTGTTGCACGCTACGGCTAGCCTCGAACGCAATCTGGACGCTTTTAGTTTGTGAAGTATCCCCTACCGCGAACGTCAACAAAGATAATCAAGACTACTGATATGACACGCTCCCTACCGAGATTTTATGTGATACACTAAAAGCTTATCACTACAAACCGCATGACTTGATCTCTCCTTCTAAAGCCTTTCTCTTCCAAAACCTGTCGCAAACACCCTCTTCTATTTTGTTGTTCAGATGATACAATACGAGCCATATGGTGGCTCCAAGGCTTTAGGCTGTGCTTCTGCTGCTTCGCGTAGAACTCGCCCAATGCCTTGTCGTTGTAAGAAGATGTGAGGCCCGTGTGGTCTTTCTCGCTCCATCTCTCCCTATGCAACACTTCTTCCATCGGCAGTCGGGGCTTGATTGATGTCCGCCAGCCCCGAACTGTCCAGCTTGCCGATCGCCATGCCAACAAGCGCCAAGGTTCGAAGAGGGTTACCCAGTAGCTCTGCCATCTCACGAGCTTTGTTGCGAACAGCCCAGATGAAGCAGTACCCCAACCCGAGAGATTCCACAGCCGTCGCGACGCTCTTGGGGCAAGGATAGCATCTACGGTGGCCATGATGAACGGATTCATCTTCTTGAGTCCTTGCCCAGACTGCGAATTTTGCTCGCAGATGTTGGTCAAGCGCTTCAGGTCCGCACAGAAGACTAGGAAAAGGGGGGCTTGGCGAATGAAGTTCTAAAATACTGCAAGTTGAGCTACTGCGCTTTTGTGTTCAGGATCTTCGACGGCAATGACGCTCCATGTCTGTAGCATTGAAGAAGTCGAGGCGCGTTGACCCACTGCAATCAGCACTTCGAGGGTGCCAGGCTGAAGGGTATCAGAGAGGAACTTCCGGACAGACTTGTGTTGCAACGGCATCTCGATGACTTGAATCGACGGATAATCTGCCAGGCGGACTATTACCGGCATACCGGTGTGTGAAAAGCGTCACAAGTTGACTCATGGTGTTCAGCTGAGATGTTGTCTATAGTGTTTCTACAGCCCGGGATGAACAATTGCCCTAACTGGGGAGTAGTTTAAAAGAAAATAAAGGTTTGTTTTTGCTGTAACAGGTACCCATTAACGTCACCTAACCCTGTACTACGAGGACGCCGCTTACACGATCGTGGAGATGTTTATTTACATATAGGCCATGAGAAAAGATGCATCGCAAATCAATGGATCCTGGCGTAATCAGTTACCTTCGGCTTGATGTCGGTCTCGTGGCTCAGGTGAAGTGGGTTTCCTCCGACGGGAAGGTCGAGTTCCGTCCCGGAGACTCGGGCAGACTGATGCCTCCTGCTCCAACGGAATGAAAATTATTACTCAGAGCTGGATCGAAATCTTTGAATCCACACTTCGACACAAATTTTGAAATGCCGAACGGGAATCCTTGGCGGTGAAAGCGCCCAGTGCACTCTTCACAACTTGGCGACGCCTTAGCCTGGAGAAACAGTATGGCCCATCGGATCCCACGAGCTCGCTACGTATCTCAGGAATTACTAGTGTGAGACAATGGGCTTGAACGAGATGAAAAGAAAAAATATTCTGCCCTAGCAATTATTGATCTTGCAAAGAGAGCGCGGTTTGAAGATCAGGCATTGCTTGATCAACTGATCCAGGAAGAGCATAATACTCGAAATTACTATTATAAAGCGAGGCGTATCCCTAATCTACGTCGAATCGGATCGTGTACATTGCTAAGAGTGCCGTACGTCTCGATCGGACGAGTTGGGGCCCACAAGCTCTGCTTGCCCATGTGCAGCAGTCTCGGACTGAACTCCCACCCAAGTGTTCACCACAATACCGCCGTCGATGATTCTATCTGTTGATTCGCCATCACTATCCCTCCCGTGGGTTGAGAATATGGTGACATCATTTCCCTTTCTACTCATATCGTGCTTTGAGCCGTGTAAGTTGGCTTTGCGGGCCGTGTTCATCTCGAAAGCGTCGTTTCCGCTTTGATTTGGCAATGTTGATTTGGTGTGTTGGGAATGTCCGTAAGACATCTCGCCAGTCCAAAATCGTTTCGTCAAAATAGGGCGTACTAAAGTGCTCATTGTTAGTATACATGCGGCAACATTCGAAAAGGTCAGTATAATATCATGTTTTGGAATAGCACTCACGGATGGGAGCCTGGCCAACACAAATAGCAACAAAGTCCTCGCGGCACGACCAGATAGCAGCTGTTCCACCATTGCCTCCCAGTAGGACCATAGACACCCGTAGGATTGCAGCAATCATAATGAAAAAACCAGCCGAGAAAATAATTATGAGACTTATTTTACGCTGGATGGTGGTCTTGACTGATAGAATCGCCGGAGCAGGTATAGCCATCTGGCATGCGTTAGTCACCTGCTATGGCGCCCGAATGGATGAATCCCAAAAGATTCTGATGAAAGACGGATGGATAACAGTAGCGGGAGAAGAATTATACGTACAATACAAAGATCAGTGAAAATGTTCATGATGAGTGCAGGGAGCATGTAAATCTCTGCCTGGGGCTCGCAATTGGCTATTGATGTCAGCTCTGCGCTGGGTGTTGATCATATACATGATCTGAGGGATTCGCCTTACTTCCTTGGTCCGGGTATACCGTCCACATCCTATAGTAAGGTCGACAGGAGGCGAACAATATGCATAATATAGAGATGAAAGTGCACGAAACAAGGGCCATACTAGGCATGATGAACTTTTCGACTCTAAGTCCATCCACGACTCGTTGATAAAAGAAGAGCATATTGAACTTAAGAGACCAAATGAAGACAATGTAAGTCGCGACACCCGCGCAGAACCACTGCGTCACCCAGACATAGGGCCAGGCGTCTTCTTCTGTAAGACTCCTGCGTTTCTCTAGGGAAAGGGTGTGAAGGTCGGCATGCCGACCGCAAATATCTGCAGCGACGGACATAACAGTGTATACAGCCTATTACTCCCACTCGAGTCAGTAATTTTGTGGCTCAAAATGTCTCATGGAAGATACAGACCCATGAAAACCAAATGAGATAGTCGTCGGGCTTAAAGCCTTGAAAGCCAACCATCCTCCATCGACAGGCAACTCTCAAGAAGATTATGAGGGAGCCCACAGCGTAGAGCGTCCACATCTCTACCAGAGGATTGTACGTGAACGCCATTTTGATCACCGTAAAGCCAGACTCGCATAGTCGTTTCTTTAGTGGTAGATTCGCAAACCAGGAAGTAAAGCCACGTGGAAAACACCGAACCGAAGAGGTGATTTCATGTGAGAGCATGCAAAGCGGAGGAACGGCAGAATTTTGTAGACTGCAGACGAACAAATGGAAGATTCCACACGAATTTTCATGATAAGTCACATTCGAAACCTGGCTGGAATCCACTGTCCATCTCCTTATGAGAGTCGTCCCTGAATTACCAAACCCAATTGGAATTGGTGGATACTGGGCCACAAAACAATGCCACTTGCATATAATTGTGTCTACAAAGCACCCCCGGGATGCCGAAACCCCCTGCTTATTGCTCGATCGTCACATGCGCCACGGGGAAAGCCCTCAACTATCGGTCCGGCCTTCTTGGCTTTGGTTCAACTATGTGGATCCCTTTCTGCGTCTACAAGGGTCTCGAGGGCGCAGTATAGTGACAATAGTCTTGAGACGCAAAATAAAGGAGGTCTGACCAGACAGATGATTCTTGTCAAGAACGGCAGAAATATTCTGCTTTCACTGTCCTCCTTCATGACGGACTGGCCGAATTTGGCCAAGAGGCGATTTTGAAAGCTAGCATTTTAGTTTGACAAGATCATATAAACATTTCGTACGGGCTTCGATTCGATTGGGTAGCCAATTCGACGCGGTGATTGATCGGCCGGTACTCAAGAACCGAGAGCAATCTCCTACCAGGTTGACGGGCGCGATCGTGAGCTTCCAAATGGGGAAGACGAGGCCTCGAACTGTTGAATATATTGTTGTGACAATGATGAGTCTCGCCAGAATGCATTTCCGGACCGAAGCATGGAATGGATCGCTGCACACGGAGGCCAATCTTACATGATTCGATCGACCGCCAACACTTAAGCGAAGGAATCAATTGTCGCAACACTGGCGGGGACGGCCCAGCTCCCAAGACTTCGGGATCCACTGTCGACCAACGAGCTGCCGCGGATACAAGTGAAAATCACCCGGCCGGGCAATGACACCGCACGGCAGCGTTTTGTGTGGATCGTTGACAGAAGAGGGGGCGTTTGGAGCGATGGAGCTATATGCGGTAAGCTCACACGTAAGCGAGGGGAATGTCGGCAACCAACAGTCTGTCTAGTCTCCACTGCCCCTAGATTTATGGATATTGACTGCATGCTCGTGAGATTTACATAAGTAAACGAATACCGCTCGAGAGAGAAGCACAGGAAGCCCGATACGAGAAGTCTCTCTGCCGTAAATCTTTTTCTGACACCCGCCTCGACGCCGAGTAGTTCGCATCCCTCGTCCACCATCATGAGTTCCACCGCTGAGTACAAGATCGGCTTCACGGTGAGTATTCAAATCTCACTGCACAGACGCAATAATTGAGACAAGATTTTGTTCTTGTGGCAGCGGCTGATGTATGATCGATGGGCTGACTATTCTATCTAGACGTTCCAGAACGTGATCAATAATGAGCTGACCTCGACAGCGAGGACTAGGCATGGAGTGAATCCAAGTACGGAAGAGACCCTACCGGAGGTGCCTCTCTCCGGGCAGAATGAGGTCGACCAGGCCGTGGCAGCCGCCAGGGCGGCATTCCCTGCGTGGCGTGCCAAGACCTGGGATGAGCGTGCCTCACATGTCCAGAAGCTGGCCGATGCGATCGAGGCAAACCATGATGAGATCCGGGATCTCTTGGTCACAGAGTCTGGCAAGGCGTTCTCCACAGCCAACATGGAGATGCAATTCAGCATTGGACACCTGCGCGTGACTTCCGGGCTTCGCATCCCAGACGAGACTGTCGAGGACACAGATGAGCGTACTGCAGTGGTTCGGTATCGCCCTCTCGGTGTTGGTTGTGCAATCGTCCCTTGGAACTGGCCTCTGCTGCTTGGTGTGGGGAAGATTGGACCCGGTGTCATGGCCGGCAATACGATCATCGTGAAGCCCTCGCCCTACGCGCCATACACCCTCATCAAGGTCGCTGAGTTGGCCGCCAAGATTTTCCCTCCAGGTGTTATCCAAGTGCTCAGTGGAGACGAAGCCCTGGGCCCGCTCCTGACTCTGCATCCTGGCATCAACAAGATCAGCTTCACTGGAAGTACCGCTACTGGCAAAAAGGTTGCGGAGGCTTGCGCCAAGACAATTAAGAGGCTTACTCTCGAGTTGGGCGGTAATGATGCAGCTATTGTTTGCGATGACGCTGACCTTGCTAAGGTCGTGCCAAAGGTGTGTTTAACCTGAGGTTGTGGTGATTGATAGAACATGTTGAGGCTAATCTGTACAATAGGTTAGCACCCTTGCCTTGATTAGTTCAGGACAAATCTGTATGAACATCAAGCGGATATGTGAGTTTGAAATCTATTATGCTGCGCTTCCAATCTCACCAGGGCGTTGGAGAATTCCCCAAGTCGTGTTCGTGGAAAGAATACTGATAAATAGCAGATGTTCATGAGAAGATTTATGACGACTTCATGAAGGCCATAGTGGATTTCATCCGCAACAACCTCAAGCACGGGCCGGCGGCGGACCCGAACACGGCAGTTGGCCCCGTTCAGAACAGCATGCAGTATGCCAAAGTTCTGAATCTTTTTGAAGCAGCCGACAAGGAAGGATGGAAGATCGCTACTGGCGGTCTCAAGGAGAAGAAGGAGGGCAAGGGTTTCATCCTACCCCCAACCATCATCGATGACCCCGCTGAGGGCTCGCGGATCGAGGCTGAGGAACCCTTCGGACCAATCTTGCCTGTCATGAGGTGGTCAAACGAGGCGGACGTAGTACGTCGCGCCAACGGTTTTGACTCGGGACTGGGTGCCTCTGTCTGGAGCAGCGACATCGCCAAGGCGACCAAAATCGCAGACCAGCTTGAGGCCGGTAGCGTGTGGGTGAACACCCATTTCGAGGTTGGCCCGCACATGCCTTTCGGTGGACACAAGCAGGCTGGTTTGGGGATGGAATGGGGAGTTGTCGGTCTCAAGGGCTGGTGCAACCCTCAGGCATTCTGGACAAGGAAGGACTGAGCGAGCTTGGACACGAGTAAAAATATTCACATCACGGGATGTTGATTCAAGCTGCAATACAAATTCGTTGAGCAATATATAACATCCATTCCAATCAAGAATGATTGTAAACGTGGTATGAACGCCAAAGGACACTTGCTGGGAGATTTCTACGTATTACATTATATGCCCTTCCTCATCTATATGATCTCCTTCTCCTGACGCGTAATCAGCTGTCCATTGGCCAAGCACGAAGCTGGCTTGGGGTTGCAGTATCCTGAATATCTATTCTGCTGCCCTATTGTTGGCGGCCCTGGTACCGGACGGGAATTACACCTTCCTCCACCACAAGCGGTCCCGGGCGCATAGTTGCAGGTCTCTACACAGGTAGGAGTGAGCGTTTTGCTTGTTGAGCAGCGCTGCACGCTCTGGCACTGATACCCTTGGCTGCAGTAGTAATTGCCATTGGCATTAACGCTGCAGTCCCTGAAAGTAGCGCTTCGCCCTCGTCCATACACACCACCTCCTGCTGAAAGATCGTCTTCAAGGTTGCTGGAGTCTATGGCAGGTGTCTGGTTGCTCAGAGATGATAAGTACTCGGCCATGTTGAAAGAGGATGGTTTCGATGAAGGCTCTGGGATTCCTGCAGAATCATCGGCTGCGTCCTTGGAGCCATTGTTTGAAAATCCAGTGGAGCCGGCAACGCATAGCGACGCATTTCTCCAGATTGCATCCGCAGTGTATTGCCATAATGCCGCGTAGTTGAAAATGGTCTGTGGGGTCCAAAATATTCGACAATCTGCTGCTTCGTACGTGAACTGAAGGGGCGTTTCGTCGTCCTGCCGTACTTGGTCTCGTAGGTTGATGCCTGCGTCGACGATATAGACGTCGTTTGCAGTAGTGCGATTGGGAATGAAGTTGGCATCAGGCGAGCCCGCGGACGTGAGAAGGCTCTGTGCAAAGTCTATATTTGCGTCAAGGACAGACACAGAATAGGATCGTGCTCCGCGACCTGCCGCTACACCCTGCATAGGTCCCGTCGTTGGGCGTCCTCCGACAGCAACAACTTTCACCTGTGCTTGATGGTGCATCATTTCGACAAAAAGAGCACATGCGGAGCCGCATATACCGTCCGTCAACTATAGTCAAGAAAACAACACAGTTAGCTCTGGGAGACGCTCGTCCGTGTCCAAAAATTCATACCAGAACGATATCCTCAGCAGCGTATGGAGGAGTGGCTCCTGACGGTGGTTGGTATATGGCAAAGCTACCATATTCATCGCCGATTGCGCTCGAGGTGAAGACTTCGCTGGACAAGTTGTAACGTTGCTAAGGTTTCAATAGTATCAGCGAATGTATGAGACTTGAACATGCGATATTGAGAGGGCATAATGGAGAACGACTTACGTTTGTTGTAAAACTATCGCCATTGTTTTCATAGGGGCCATAAAATTCCGCCCATGAAGTAAAGTTAGCATTCGTATCAGAATTGATTCGAGTAATTGCGATCCATTCATCAGCTGCCAAAGTCTCATACTCTGGGCTTGTCGTAGATAGGCCAGCATAATACGCAGTCAAGGAAGTACCCATGACATCTGCAGCTTTGTGAGCTCGCATACGAGACGCGCCATACGGATCTACGTTGGGGAAAAGCCGCTTGAACACATCGAAAGCAAGCAGTACCTCTCCACCGGTGTTTTGTTGGAGATCAATGACTATCTTTTCAACCTCGCCTGACTTGCTCATGCTGATGAATTGATCCACTGCAGACTGAGCTGTGGTCAGTGCTTCACCAAACATGTCGAAACTTGGTATGCTCAGAACTGATGTGGAGGACGTGTTTAAAAGATATCCTGGATATTCATTAGTGTGGATGCTGTAGATAATGGACTGCTTTCCTACGAACCTGTGATGTAACCTCCTCCATAAATACCCAGATCTGGCTGAGCAACATCAGCTGCTGGGGGATACCAAAATTCGGTAGTGCCCCAACCTGACGGTGTTGAAGTACTCATTGATGCTGTGGCCGTGGCCGTGGCCGTGGCGCTCGAGAACGACCCCGATGTTGATGCAGTTTCACCAGCGCTGTCATCATCTGAGGTGGGATCATACGAAGCTGGCCAGAATCCTAGGACGAAGAAATTGTAAAAGTCGCCTCCTGTTGCAAGTGGACCAGTCGGACCCTGACTCCAATAGAGCCCTAGGTATCTATCGGTGAGCGTAGTTCCGTTTTCAAAAGTAAAACTGATATTGTCCCCAGGATAGAAGAGTGTGTTGCCACTAAAGGAATTGAAGTATCCTTGCACGTCTTGTGCGCCACTGAGCATCAACTGATTCCAGTCGGCGTGTGGTTCTGAACTGCCATATGAATTGTTGGTGGCGAATGCATCGAGATAAGTTGTCACTTCTTGACCGTTGATTGATTTGAGGGCGGATGGCTGATAGGTCGTAAAGGAAATGCTATTGTATACGTCCTCTGCGTCGCGTCAACTTTCGCTCTTGACGACAAGGAATAAGATTCAGAGATGCGCACCGGCCAAATAGACTTTGGGAACTTCAACCCCATCAATGGACAATGACACTATGTCATACGGACTCGCAAATGTGAACGCAGCGAGGATGCCGGCGCTTAGATAGAGATGTGCATCGTGAGCTGAGCCCAACAGGAGCTGCAAAGCCACTTCAAACTCATATTGATTTTCGAACGCACCGCTGCTGACAGCCTCTTGTAGCTCAGAGAGGCCAGCAAGCAGATCGACACCTGCTTGTTGGTAACTCGCTGGTGGGTTCTTCAGGTATGTTAGAGTGCTTTGGAATTGGAGGGTATCGTTCCAGTATGCGATGAATCTGGTGGCAACGGCTGCATTAAATGGCACGCTCGTCAAACACTCATATACAAGGCTGGCGTTGAATACGTCCTGGCCTACTTTGCGTCAGTATGTGCCAAGTTGAACAATTATAAGGACAAAGGAAGGGACCTCATACCACCCAAAGCATTCACTATCTGGCCACAAGCAGGCTCTGTCTGTTGGGAGTGACTGACACTTGCAAACAAACCGAGATAGAGAAAAGTAGACACCCACTGCAAGAAGGCCATGATTGCTTTGCTTCAAGAACAGTTACGGAACTCGATTGCCTCTATGGAAGTTGTGCAAAAGTTCCTAGACTTATAAATTCCCAGGTTACATTGCCGCTTGTCTGGGTCATTCAGCCGCCATTCGGCCCTCAAAATAACGGGGGAAATGGGTGTGGCACAATGTGCACATTCTTGCACGTGGTGGCTTACACAATTCATGCAGACTACTTCCTGGTGCAACTTGAGTCAAGACACTTGTCAGAATGCGAGCCTTCGATTGGAGGGTGAACTCCAGAAGGATATCGAAGGATGCATGAGAAGGGAGGCCAGGCCTTGCAGCTGTGTTGCCTGAAAATCATCAGCCGCAATCTCCACTGCCATCGAGGCATCATCAGACTACCGTAATCTTACAATGCAACGCACCATTGGCTACCCTTGAATTTAGCTTCACTTGGCTACAGGGGACGATATAAAGGACAACCGAATCTAACGTACTTTTTTTACATTTTCGAATCTGATGCGCTCTTCCCAGATGTCCGAACACCGGGACGCTCTGGGCAATAATTCTTCCAAGACAAGCTCCAAGACACAGGCGTTAGTGCAGACAAATGAAACGAAAACACCAACCTACTCGACTTGAGAAGCTATGGCCGAATCGCAACACACACATCTGTACGCCCCGTTGCCCGGGCTAAGGTGGCTGCGACTCTTGAGAATCTTGTCTGTCAACGAAAAAGAGATTGTGTGCTCGCTTGAAGCATTTGATATGGCCAAGCTGCCGAAATATGACTGCTTGTCCTATACTTGGGGCGACCCGATGTCTCGGGATCTCTACCCTCCTGATACTCTTCAGAAAGGAATGTCTGCGTCTTGCGACAGGCATATTCGGCACGCAGATGGAGCTATCGTCAAAGTCACCGAGAACTTGGTACAAGCTTTGAGGCACCTAGGCGAGTCTGGCTATTTATCGTCGCTCGACAACCTAGATCCACTATACCTATGGATTGACGCCGTCTGCATCAATCAGGAAGACAATGATGAGAAGAGCTCACAGGTCGCGATGATGGATGTCATCTACCGCAACGCCGAAACCGTTGTCATATGGCTTGGGGAAGAAGACTTCCATACTGAAGGTGCTCTAAAGACCATGAGGGCGCTAGCAGAAGTGAGCCTCAAAGGTTTCGAGGAGGCGCCCTTTTTTGATGATTATGATGCTTTTACTGCCTACGATACACTGCTTGAGGCTGGCAAAAGTCTCGGGTTGCCTGACATCGAAGCTGGAGAATGGCGGGATTATGCCGCATTTCTCCAACGAAAATGGTTCGAACGCATCTGGGTTGTGCAAGAAAAGGTCTTTGCTCAGAATACTGAGGTCTTTGTGGGTCACGAAAAGCTTTCTTGGGATCATATTGTTAAGGCTGCGTCTACCTTGAAACAGACTGGGCTGGCAAATCCATTGCAAGCACTTTATCTCTTCGCCTTGGATGGCTACGACTACTATCGCAACGGGAGAGTCTCGAGACTTTTTGAAGATCGTCTGAATAATCACGAAATCTTTGCAGACCTTTCCCCGATTGGTTCTACTCACACAACACTGGAAACGCTCTTGTACTACTCGAAAAAACTCAATGCCACTGAGCCACGAGACCATGTATACGCGATTCTTAGCATTTGGGAATCGAGCCAAGACGGATCATCGACATTAAGAGGTATTCGGGTGAATTACAAATCACCAATTGCCGACGTTTATGCTGAGGGCACGGCGTTGGCAATCGAGGAAACTGAAGACCTTGGAATTCTTGCACTGGCGGATCACAGAACGAGCACTGCAGCCTTTCAACTCCCATCATGGGTACCTGATTACAGTCGAAAGGCTGAAAGTCAGCCACTAACGCGGTGGCCTCGGAATAAATATATGGAGTCGCCTGCAGGAAGATGGAATGCAGGTCGCGGGCTGAGATTTCGAGGGCAGTTCGACAAAAGTAACAGAAACAGCTGGAAGTTGCCCGTCCGGGGTCTTGAAGTGGACACAATTGAAGACATCGGACCGACATATGAACAAATCGACCGCGAATACCATTGGTTTTCACTACTCCAAATACTGTTGGACGGCTGCACCCGTGATCAGCCTACGGGGGAGTGGTCTTGTTATGAAGCATTCTGGAGAACGCTCATCAAAGATACATTCCGGAATCAACCTGCAGGAAAGGAAGCGGAAAATGCATTCACAACTCTCATCATGCACCGTGTTCATGGACTATGTGCGCAGGCACATGGGCTGCAGGAGAGCATTCAGATTTTGCGCGGCAATAAGGGAGACCTTGCTCAGATGACGCGCGAGACAAATGAGTTAAATATACTTATACCTCTTTTAGAAAAGACCAAAAGACTGCTCTCCGGATTGTCAGAGAGACTGCCACAAATTTCCACATGGTCGAAAAGCTGTGATATTTGCTACCAAGGGGAAGGAGATAGCAGCACAGCCGGAAACAAAAGCAAGTTTGAGCACAAGAGCGATGATGAATACGAGAGCATGTGCTCGTTGAGGGACATTGAGTCAAGTTTCTGGGTGGCTTACTCTGGAAGAAGGCTTTTTAGGACTACCAAAGGATTCTTTGGCATCTCGAACCAGGTTCTCGACAAAGGAGACAGCATCTGGATCTTGGCTGGGGCCGAGACGCCGTTCATTTTGAGAAAGGAAAGTGGAAAAGAGTGGATCATGGTTGGCGAGGCATACATCCACGGTCTTATGTATGGAGAAGCTTTAGAAGACATGTCAAGCCCGCTTGGCGATATACTCTTGGTTTGATCAAGTTTGTGGTGATTTTTATTTGACCTCAATAATCAACTACGAACTTTACAAAATGGTGTCCTGGGAGAAAGTGGAAGAATAGAGGTGTTTTGGGTATGCCTCTTCGTCTGCACATGCCGCTTGCTTGAACTTTTTCCTATTTGAATTGTATGAAACAGTGGCATCTAACCCCCCCCCCCAGAGGGGGGAGGCAAAAGAGATGTCAGATGATCTTGAAGGAAATCTGCGCGAATAACATAAACGAAATTCCCCGCCTCTTCGAGATAAGGACTTTTCCAACTGCACACGTTGAGATTCAGGCCGATGCTTTCTGCCTTGATCGTGTAAAAAGGCGAGCAAAGGGGCTCAACTTGTGTCTTTGAATTTTCTAGACCACATTTCCCGGGGTTCATCATTGTACACACGCATCGACGAAGAGAGTGTCAGCAGAGTGTGCTCAGACGTCCCTCAAAACCGCCTGAAGAGGTGAGTATCCGAGCAGACCAAGGGCGCACAGTTCGTATAGATAGCCCCCACCAGGTCCTGAATGATCCGTCTGCCGTGTGGGAACAGCATACAGAAAACCTCATCTGTGTCAGCGTTTTTTGTACGACGGATAAATTGGGGGCCACTCGAGACCGATATTGGAGAGCTGGATTCATTTCCTGCAAAACTGGCTGGTTTAAAGATGCCGGCGACGTGGCCTTGATTGAGCTTTCGCGTGTTCTGATCCCCCGTTCAATACACTCGAGGTCCTCAGAGAATTCAACGCGCTGGAACATGCACTTGATGCTGTTCCAAATGCAGCGATGACTGAAAAGGCTAAGATGGATCTTCTGCTTGACTTCGTCGAACGAAATGGTTGGTAGGATTCCTGCTGGCTGAAGACCATAATGCACATTTCCTTGATTAGTCGTGCAACTAGATCGTAATTGCCTATAGCGACACCGAGGACTGCTCTCGATCGCATAGATCAGATTCCAATCTGGAGATGACCCGTGATCTGTGTAGTAGTCGTTGATGTGCTTCGTAATGGCTTCAAAAAACCTTTCTTCCTCCCTCGCGACAGTGACAAGTTCTATCTTGTATCATCTGCGATGGGCCCCATCGCGCGCATCGCCATAGGAGCCGACGTTGGGGAACATGCCCTGTGAGAAGATGGTGAACTGCGGCTTCTTCCGGAGACGGTCTGGCTCGAATTACGAGTCCTCAACTGCGGAATGCTGACAACTTCCTCCTTGTCAAGAGTCTCAAAGATGTCAAAATGACCAGGCTACGTGCGATGATGTCAAACTCTCCAATCGGAATGAAGATGAGTCGTTGCATCACAGCCTAACGTCGTTGAAAGATTGGGGCTGGCGACTAGAGCTGCAAGTGCAGACAATAACACAAGGCTGGAATCGTTGCATAGAAAAGCCGCAGAGTGAAGTGCACCAGGTTTATGGTCGATGAATTGCTTTGCAGACCTCAGAGATACGAAACATAAAGTCGATGTCAGAATTTGAATATTTCAAAAGCGTTGCCATCAAAGTAGCGAACAAACCCGTCCAATCTTTGCGCCTCTGCGGCTTTACGGCGGTAAAACCATACCGGGAGCGTCGCCTCTGTGCCTATCAGCAAGCGATATCGCGTCATAGAGTTTTTCCGGGCGGAATCCTGGAATTTCTAAGAGCGGCCAGAGCGTGAGAATTAGGTGGAGGGCGGAGAAACGTGTACAAGAGGATACTAACTAGGAAGTCTTTACCATCCAAACGAGACATTTGCAAATTCGATTTAGTGGTATAATATCATACACTATCCATAGGTTTGAAATAATTAATACTACAAATAGTAATGTCCAAGTCTGTAAGACAGTACAAATGCCAAGACTTATATGCCCATTGAATGGCGTGTCAAAATCCAGAGGCGCTTATTGTCGCCCTTTCACGCTCTTCAGGCGAGACACGACAACCATTATATCGGGTGAACCTGAAGATGGGACGGGCTCACATAAACTTAGGGCTATTCTGTGTTGGTACAATGAAAAGTAATTATTGAATGGAGCCCCCAACAGACTTGTCAACCCACGTCGTCGCCAGCCCCTTGTCCACACAGGCAGTCGTAGCGAAGACCCGGCCCCGGTTGAAAAGACACTGAGGGTCATACTTGGACTTGATCTCCAGCAAGCGCGCAAAGTTGTCCTCGCCCCAAACCTCGCTCGCGACGCTGAAGGGCGCGAGATAGTTGGGGTAGTCGTAGATGGCGGGCTCGCCGAGGGTCTTCTCAAAGTCGCGCAGGTAGGCCATCATGTGGTTCTCCTCGCGGTCGTAAATGTAGGCCTGGTTGGTGTGATTGGTCCACTCGGCCGATGTGAGGGTGATGTGCGCACTTGTGGAGTGCGGCCAGGCTGTGTCGCTGTCGCTGGCTGGCAGGTTGCCGTTGAGGCCGGGCAGGAGGTCTTGACGCACGTCTTGTCAGCTTCCAGGTCACAAGACAGGCTGGCAGATTAGGGGTATTGGTTCACTCACACTCGTCCACCCAGATGGTGTGGCCAGGATCCTCACCACGGGCAATCATCCCATAGATCGTGTCCTTGTAGATGGCAAATGTCTGGTTGTAGAAGTCAACAGTCGAGTGGGTGTGACTCTTGCCATAGAAGATGCGCTGGTAGCCGTAGGGATAGTTCGTGAGGAGGTACTGATCCAGGCTCTTCAGTGTCCATTCCTGGATGGCGATGGAGGAAGCGCCTTCGTAGAATGAAGCAAATGTGTTGTTGAGTATGGTCTCGTTACCTCCGAAGTACACCGCGTTGAGCTGGAAGACAAACTCGCGCTCGCGCAGCGGCACAACCGCGTTTGGCTCCTGGGGGTCTTTGTAATAGTACAATAGTGCCGGGAACGCGTCAGGATCCTCATTAGTCTCAAAAAAGTCCGTTGTCTGCTGGAAGACATGCGGAGCTTGATCCTCGGCCCAGTCGATAGTAGCAGTGTATACAACGCCAGGGTCGGGATATCTTGAGTGTCTTGCATCAGCATTCATGATCTGTAAACAATTCTGAAAACTCTTGATATCGTAAAAGATGAGAACACTCACGCTTGAATGTAGAAGTGGGTGATAACCCCAACCCCCATCCATCCAGCTCCAGTGCAGGCCCAGAAGAGGTCCGAGTACTCATTGTAAGGGTTGGCGTAGATGACTTGTCCGTCGAGCAGAACCACTTCCAGACCCACTAGATTGTCGTTGGCGATACCATACTTGTTTGTCTGGAATGCGATGCCTCCACCGAGCAGGAAGCCGCCAACACCGATGGATGCAGCACGGGGACCCAGAAAGGCCCATCCGGTACCCTCGAGCAGGCTGTAGACGTCGCCGGCTTCATTCCCGCCGCCCACCTTCAAGATCGGCCAAGAAGTGCTGGGGCTGGTGGAGCTCACGTTGGCTCCGCTGGCAAACTCAGTTTGACCAAATTTGTGCCTTGAATTTCGAATTAGTAACTACGGTTTGTTTGCATGAACTGGATCGGCAGAAGCCACTACTTACAGGTCGATTATGACACTGGGAGACTGTGCTCCTCCAAAGTCTGCATGACCGCCGCCCACTGCAAGTGACAAAGTCAGTCACAATGCTAGCAAGAACAATGGTTGGGAATGTTTGATGAACAATTTGAGAACAATACATACTAATGGCAAATCCATTGTCACCCCAGAAAGTGTGAGCCGCAGAATAGAATTGCATGATGACGCTGACGTCGACTGTGTTTTCCGGGTAGAGAATCAACTCAGGCCAGATCTTGCGCTGCTCAGTCCAAATTCTGGCAATGGTCTGCCCGTAGCGGAAATCTCCTTGGCGAGAGATCTTGGATGAGTTAAGCGTGAGCTCGAGACTGGCCACCGCGTCGGCCTTGCTTGTGAAATTGGAAAAGACTCCAAGAGGAACGTCCGCAACCGCAAATGTTTCATTGCGCTGTTGCCAGGCCGTAGCAGCTTGGGCAGTGGCCGCAAAGCCCAAACACGCACTGATGACGCTGCACCACTTCATCCTGACCGACTGTAGTCGTAAGACTTGGGCAGATGAGAAGTCAAAATTATCACGGCCTTGGTGCAAAGTGCCACGTTGAGGGAATGACGACCGTCATACAGTCTTGCAGCTTATTTAAACCCTCTCATGACATCTCTATACCCCCTCAGGCATCCCTATTGTTATTTATTGACCTCTCCTCCCACAATCACCCGAGCTGCGAGACCGGGCAAAGTGGTACCTACTGGATCCACACCTGTCGATGGAGAATGCACAGGGGAGCGTAAACTTTTGGATGCCCCGAGAAGCAGTATGTTCGTTCCTTGTAATTATCCTTGGCATCGCAGTACTTTGTCGACACCTTCCCCACTCACACAATGTGGGCCTAATTTACCCGACCTTGACGTGGTCCCGGTTTTTTGCTGCGCCCTGGTACCATCCAAAATCAGGAATATCAGAGATTGAAATGTCTGATGGCCCAGAAAATGAGCACATCGTGTGCGGGTATTTACGGGGAGCAGGCCATCGGTTATAACATTACAACAACCAAAGGATAATAGAACAATCACTTATTAATAAAGAATATTTTTTCTTAGAAAAAGAAAAGAACTAAAACAAGAGGTTTGATATTACATTGAAGGGTTTATATCTCATTTTACAGCTAGATAATTGTCACGAGAGGAACATAGAAGAGGCGATTCTCTCAAGTCTTGCTCGTTCTTGTAGAATTCTGAATGAGACCTTGTCTGGCTAAGAAAAAAAGAGTAGGAGGGAAGGTTGCCTCCGATCGCAGTCAGGCCTTGAACGCAGAGGGCCTTGGGGCTGCAGGTGGTCTGTGCGCTATGGCCCACCTGCAGTCACTGAGCCTGACTGCAGTGTTGTCACAATAATTATCACCTACTATTTGAGCCGAAAGAAATCACATTGCTAGTATGACCTTATCTTCTAGTGGAATTGCATAATCGCGATGCGGGGCGTCTCGCAGTGGTCGGCCTTTTGGTGCCCCGTGTCCGTTCCCAAGTTCAAAGGGATGCTGTCCTCGATCATACCTGATGTCCTCCGCCCCGACACTGTCCACAAGTCCAGAGATGAGACCTCGTTGACAGCAGTCCATGGCCTTCCGGTCTCAAAATAGTTCCGAAGGTTACCAAAACATTCCGCTGCTGCTCTGGCGAATGAAGCCTCGGTTAATCCACCCATGTGCGGTTGAACGACGACTTTGTCTGGTCGTGAACGGAAGTATGGATGAATTCCAGCAGGCTCGTTGTCAAACACGTCAAGTCCTGCACGCCGGATTTTCCCCGTTTCTAAACTTTCCACCAACGCCTCGTCATCGACCAGTGCGCCTCGCGAGGCATTGATGAAATATGAATCATCTCTCATCTTGTTGAATTTGTCGCGCGACATGAGACCTCTTGTACCTTCTGTGAGAGGACAATGCAAAGACACAATATCGGAACACTTTAAAAGATCATCCAAGGTGTCGCATCGTCTGTAGGAAGAATTGGACGGGGCAGATACAGATCTTCCGCTGTGATTCCAATAAGCAACTCGCATTCCGAACGCTATACTGGCTTTCCGAGCCAGCAGTGAGCCAGTTTTGCCCATGCCCACGATCCCAAGGGTCTTTCCGGATGGATCCTGTCCAAGCCCAAGCCCTGCGCGCCAGAGCCCATTTCGCAAGTTCTGCTCGGCGAGAGAGGTGTTTCTCAAGACGCCAAGCACCAGAAACATTGCCATGTCGGCCGTCGCTTCACAAGTGGCGTTTCTGGAGTTGCAGAACCATATTCCCTGATTTGTCATCCATTTCACGTCAAAGTCGTTGTATCCGCATTGCGCCGACACGACGATGCGTAAGTGTGGCATAAAGGGCGACAGAAGCTCTGCATCAAATGGCTCGTATGGCTTGGGGCTTAGACGGGCCACGAGGGCCTGATAAGGCCCATATTTCGCGATGTGTTTGGGTATCTTCGCGAGAAGTTGATCTCGGTCTTCAGCGTCCAGAGTCTTCAATCGCGTCAGCACCCGTTCGCGAAGTATTCTAGTAGTGCTCAATGTTGTGAGACTCACGTGTATCTCAAACAAGTCTGAGTTGCGCAAAGCCTCTCCGCCATCATGCAGTGTCTTGCCCAACAAGAGAACGCGGGGCCTCTGGGCAGTAGAACGGACTACGGGCTCAAATGTATACGAAGATTCCATCTTGGGCGAGGATGTATGGTTCTGGGCAAGAAAGCTCACGCGTAACGGCACAACATGCAACAGAACGCAACAGCCCAACCGTCGGTCTTTATGCTATGTAAAGTTGGAGGACCCCTCGGCGATGAAAGGGCTGCGGGTCAAGTAATCCATCAAATACTCTAACCAAGGCAGCTTAGATAATTTCGATATTTTTGGCACAGCTTTGCACAAAAATTGATATCATTAATTACAATACAAAGGACTAGAAATGATGAGGAAAAAAAGACTCTTAGTAAGTGGTGAAGATTTTCTTATACAGAAAATAACATAAATATGTAAATATATATATAGCACTTTCGTGAAAGCTCACTAAGTTTTTAATTGTGGATATTTGATATTATTGTCCCCGCCGCATTTATGTTGGGTGTGGTTCACCGAAGCGATTTGCGACGAGATAAAACTGGGGTGCTCTTTGACCGCAAGCAGGTGGGTAGACTCGCTAAGCTTTGCCTTGGCCCTGAGTGCAACCCACCCTGGCATGTGCATTTTATCTAATCTAATCCATCTGCATCTCATTCCCACATGCAATGCTACAGCTCTGATCCGCAGCAGTTCCGAAACCGGCTTCCGGCGTTGACAGTACAGTAGTGACTGTAAAAGTGATGCCGATGAGCAAAGGTTGTGGGGCAACACGACGTCAGGTTCCCTCGATAACTGTGGTACAAGTGTCTTCCGTAGGCACTATCATGGTGGGCGAGAGAGAGAAGCTTCTCGCGGGTTGTTGGTAAATGGAGCTCCGAGTCAGGGATGTAAAATGCAAGAGCATTGCGCGATTTTGAAATCGGACTGTCCGCAGACACTGCTCAACCTTCCGAAGGTCCTTCGATTTACATTGTATACTTGAGTTCATATAGAATCAAGTATACAGTGGAGGCTTTTCTCGGTACTCGAGCAGAGTACGGTGGTACCACATGTCACACGCGAGCACACGTGTAGAGGAAAGGTCTCACAGCTTCACGGCTTGATTACAGAATACGCGGTTGTACATGATCACCTATTTGACCAAAGAAACATGAATCGAGCCACCAATGTTCACCGTATTTCCACTGCTCCTCTCCAGAATCACGATGAACAGCACATCTGAAAGATTATGATGCGCAGCATATCTGTTAATGGGTCCCCGATTCCACTGATGTGCGCAGGGAAGCTTATTCGCAAGACAGCGGGTCCCTTCCTGACTAGCGCGACCGGGCTTATCTGCAGCTGTGCACCTCTATGTAGTAGACTATATTCTGCAGCGATACGTCCCGTCCCGAGAGAGACGGGACTTTTGTTGCAAGCTTCGCCGAAGTCTGTGAACAGCATGCCTTTGTTCTTGCCTCCGCACTCTATGTTTTACCAGTAGAGTTCGAGATACAGCTTTCATATCCTGTGAGATGGAGACTGCAGTTTTGTGATCCAAGGAAGCTCACGCGCAGGAGTGGTGCGCTCGGAGCGGGACTGCATACCCAGGTGGAGTGCACACGAGTGCTCCGGGAAAGTGCTCAAGCAGGGGGAGCGCGCGCCTCGTGCGATCGGCCGCCGATTGGCATTCCGGGTGCGTTACTTCAGTAGAAAGCTGTAGCGAAATCGGGATGGCATGGCAGCATCTGCGTTGCGGATTGCGGATGATGCGAAGGTCGACACGCCATGCTTGTAATCCAGGGCAGACTCTCTGAACCATGGAAGAATGGCGCTCGAGTCAAGACTGGGTTCAACTCGAGGCGCAGACAGCAACTCGTCTGAGATGCTGGAACGTCACTTCATATCTCTCCGCTGCCTCAGATGACCACAGGCGTGGCCGTTTAACTGCCTGCTGGATAATTCCTAGCATTGATTAATGAACACACCCAAGTATTTGCCATCCACTAAACAACATGGGAAGCCTCGGCGTCTTAGAGCCAACTCATCACGAGGACTTGAGATTGTTCACAACTCTGAACGATGTCCTTGAAACGAGGGCCCTGACGCACCCCGACCGACCACTCATTTCCTACCCCAAAAATGAGACAGATCTTGTCGACTACACCGGTACTGAGCTGGACCAGCTTACCCGGCGAGTAGCAGTTCTTGCTGCGCAAGCACTCGGTGGACTGGGCTTGAACCATGATGACCGGCTGGACCAAAGGAAATTGGTGGTGGCAATTGTTGGCATCTCGAGTTTCGAGTATTATCTGACGTTTCTTTCTCTGCAACGACTAGGAATCACTACCGTCTTCATTTCTCCACGGTTAGCAGATTCCGGGTACATACACCTACTGAAGGAGACCAGATGTGATATTGCCATTGCCAGTGGTTCATCTTACACCACTCTCGAAAGACTACAGAACAACGGCTCGCTCCCAGAGTCTTTCACTCTTCTACCCATGATCAATGCTCAAGTTTTATCCCAGCAGTGTGATACCATTGACACCTCCAACTTCAAGCCGTTGTGCTTCGACCGGGCGCCAGGTTTCATAATTCACAGCGGCGGAACGACAGGGCTCCCCAAGCCTGTACCTCTTGCTGCCTCTGCTTGGCTCGCTCAAGCCAGTGATATTGTGCGGCGCATTCCAAAGGTCGATACACTTTCGACGTTGCCACTTTTTCACAGCTTTGGCCTCGCTACCCTGCTTCGCGCACTGGTCAGTGGGACCCGTCTGAGTCTCCTCAATGCGTCTCGGCCGGTGACCGCAACCAACGTGATCAATTGTCTGGATATCACCAATTCTGAGGCCTTGGTTACGGTTCCGTACACTTTGAAGTTTCTGGTCGAGGCGGATGGCGGCCTGGAGAGACTCGGTGCCTTAAGACAAGTCATCAATGCCGGGTCAGCAATACCGGACGATCTAGGGGACAAAATAGTCACGGCCGGCGGCAACATCTTCCATCTGTACGGACAAACCGAATGCGGCGCCCTGATGGAGCCGCCTTCTGACAGGTTGCTGTGGAGCTGGGTCACGCCTCTGCCTCATGCCAAGCCATATCTCCAGTTTGAACCTGAGAGTAGCCGCACCTCGCAGGATCTTTACCACCTCGTGATCAGGCCGGGATTGAAACAAAAGGTTCTTTCGGACCGACCGGATGGGTCGTATGGTACTAAGGACTTGTTCCAAATTCACCCCACGATACCAGACTTATGGAAATTCGCTGCCCGGAAGGACGACATCATTGTGATGCTCAATGGAGAGAAAGCCGACCCGATTCCTATTGAGGACGCTTTGAAAGTCAATCCAGAGGTCGCCACTGCTGTTGTCTTCGGAGCCGGACAAGAGGCACTCGGCTTGGTGGTAATCAAATCTCTTTCATCTGTCAATCACCTTGACGAAGAGTTCGTGAGGGCAATAAGTCCCAGTGTCGACTTGGGAAACTCACGAGTCCCGGCATATGCTCGAATAGCAAGGGATATGATCATCGTGAAGAAAGCAGGTACGCCGTTCCCGGCAACGGATAAAGGCACCATCATCCGCTCGGCGTTCCTAAAAGAGATGGAAGGGGATATCGAGAGACTATATGCAGGCAGGTCAGCCTCCAAATTCAACGCTGCCACACGGGTATCAATGTCGCATGGTGAGGTGCTTGCAATAATTTCAGAGATCGTGAAGAATGAGCTCCGATCAAAACCTTCACACGACACTTCAACCTCAGAACGGAAAGCTGTTGATGGGACGAAAAGCTGGGACGACTTATCCATCGACGCAGATCTTTTTGATCTCGGCGTAGACTCGTTACAGGCCAGCAACATTCGCAGTCGTATTCAAAGAGAAATTGATCTCTGCGGGGCATCTATAGCGACGAACGTCGTGTTTGACTTCCCAACGGTCGCACTTCTTGGTCAACATGTGATGCAATTGCACCTTGGCAACAATTTGCACTCGGAGCGAACCGATCCTGAACAACTGGCTCGGGCGATGGTAGAGAAATATAGCAACTTCGCGTCGACCGAATCCGATGTAGAAGTCACGAATGCTCCAACCAAAGCAGAGACTGTGGTAAGTAGTGCATTACTATCCACCTCCCTACCTACTTTGCACCCAAGCGAGCAACGACTAAAGCCCGCTGACATGCTGTCTTGCAGCTCCTGACAGGTGCCACGGGCCAAGTTGGGGCCCACCTCTTGTTCTCCTTGCTGTCGCGCCCTGATATAGAAAGCGTCTTGTGCCTCGTCCGCGCGCAGGATCCCCAGGACGGCCTCGCACGACTGCACATAGCCCTGAGTGACGCCGGGCTTCTGGCCGAGCTCTCTGCGACCCAGCTCGAGAAAGTCGTGGCATGCCCAGGGGACCTATCTGACCCAAATGGTTGCTTCCTCCCCAGCAACCCAGTCTACTCGCGAATCCTCAACACTGTAACTCACATCATCCATAACGCTTGGCCCGTCAACTTCAACCTCAACTTCCAGAGCTTCGAAGCGCAGGCGATCCGGCCGACCCACCACCTCATCAGCCTCGCGCTGAGATCCAATTTGAGGCCCAAGCCAACCTTCACCTTTGTCTCAAGCATTGCCACTGTCCTCAGCGCGGGCCCCGAGGTACTGGAGAAGCCTTACCCGTGGGAGTGTGTGGGCTCTATGGGCTACGGCCAGAGCAAGTGGGTGGCGGAGGAGATTCTCGCCAGGGCGGCCGCGGCGGACCACGGCCTCGAGTCGGTCCGCGTGGCGCGCCTCGGCCAAGTCGTGGGCGACAGGAGGCTTGGGCACTGGAAGACAAGCGAGGCGTATCCGGCCATCGTGCAGAGTGCGCTGACGGTTGGCGCGCTGCCTCTCATTGAGGCCGCGAGCGACGGCGTGGTCCATGACGAGCACTACTGGCTGCCCGCTGATATCGCGGGGGCTGCTATCGCGGAGGTGGCGCTGTTTCATGGCGATGAGCAGGACGATCCCTCGTTTCCGTTGTCTTATTTCAATGTAAGCAGTACGGCGCCAATGAGATGGAATAGCGACTTCGCGCCAGCCGTCAAGGATTGCCTTGCTCAGTACGGCATCCTCTGTGAGTTGGTACCGCAGCGCCAGTGGCTACGACGTCTGGAGGAGTCAGACCCGAACGTTACAAGGAACCCACCGAGAAAGTTGCTAGAGTTTTTTCGAGCACGGTATGGAAGAGTTGAGGTAGAGGGTCGCCCAGTATTAAGCGAGCCAGCCCTGGCTATCACCAAGAGATGTATGACATCACCGTGGGCGGCAGATCGGCATGAGTGGGCAGGACTTTTTGAGAAGTATGTCAGGTACTGGGCTGTGGAGTGCTGGAATCGCCCGACGGTTTGAACTAGTTCCATTCGGTGGCTTGTCTATACTTTGTGTGGGCAGAATGCTCTACTGTGGCATGCAACGATGGAGTGAAACGAGCAATATCTGCATTTGAAGTGGAGCTATAGCTAGAACCTAGATATTTACACCTCACGTGGGGAGCCCCAGTGCCTGTACCCCCAGTGACCCCCATATTCACCGTCAGCTTGAGTTGAAGGGACTTAGGACTCGCAGACGACGCTTCCAAGTGAGTAGCACGGCTGATTCCCTCCTACCGCGGCTTGTCCCTGCCACGACCTTGGGATGAGTTCAGCATCACGGCGAAGTATACGAGGCTGGTCGTGTAGACCTGATGAAGACAGTGAAGAAAAGGAAAACGAGAATGATAAGACTGAAGATACGTTTCTGCTCCGGTGCTATCCAGGCGTCAGCAAGTGGAGGTGCAGAGTACGACTTTGACGCCCTTGTGTGCGTCGGTCCCAAACATGATCACTTAGCCTAGCTGAGAGTTTCCACGGCCGAAGAAAGTATTCTGCACTGCTAGGTTCTTATAAAATAATTTTTATGTCATTCTTATTATAAGGTTGGAGTTGAGGTGCCTTCTCTGCTAGCACGCTTCTGACAGGGCGCTCCTTATCTCGGGCTAGTTCAACGAGCTCGTGAATGCATCATCAAAACACTATTACTGCTCATGAGCTGATGCTTCGCCGAAATTCATTCCTAAGTGACGTTCATAAATTGACAGTCTTAAACCGAGCAGCGGAATTGAAAGGCGGATTTATGCTTAGATCTGCATCCAAGTCACGTGTGCAGTCAGATGACCCCGCGCCGTGATTTCACTCTAGAATTTTGCCGCGTCGCGAGATTACGCCGCCCAGATTGTCCCATCTCAGATGAGCCTGATTTCATCTCAGAAGAGCTGTCAAACTCGTTTGCATAATCATCCGGTCTGTCTGTTCACTTGCAATCTACGGCAGATGGTGGCGACCGAGATCCGCATATCACAACTGTCGAATACGTCGTCGGCAGCGGGATGGCCGCCCTCCCTCGTGGGTGGTCGAGAAATGCGTCAACAGCATTGAAGCTAGCAACGGCTGAGAAAGTCATCGGCTACCAATTTAAGAATGTTGATCTTCTGTACGAGGCTCTCGACCAGAAGAGAGAAAGATTTCGCTCACCCGATGGAAAGCGGGCACGACTACGAACAAGGAACTCTCGCCTAGCCTTCGTCGGAGATGTTCAAGCAAAACTTTATTTGGCCCAACAATGGTACAAGAAGCCAAATCTGTCAGGGGCGATGTGGCAGAATATTGAGTCCGCTCTTTCCAATGAGCATCTTGGACAAAATGGGTTCTCTATAGGCCTTGACGAGTGTGGAAGTAAGTGGCTCCAACACGCATTTTTTTCTTCTCGAAGGCATTCCTTAGGGTCATGGTCATCTCATGGGAACTATTTGAAGCCAAGGCACCTCTGTGACAAATAGTGTTGATTTACCAGGACAAATGTGATTCACTGACGAAATCATAGTCCCTGACAGGATCGAGAATCGGTACGACATCGCCAGCACAGTTGAAGCCGTCTTCGCTGCTGTGCAAATGGATGGTGCCGGTGAAGAACAAGTCCAAAAGGTCATGTATCGTTTCGGTATCCACCACAAGCTCGTCACCCCTGTAGACCGTGCTTGGATACACGAGGCTGTAATATCAAAATTGACCTTGCCCAATCGATTCTTTATTGGGCATCAGTTTAAGCTTCAAGAAAAGATCTTCGAAACCAAGATGACGCAGCCAAAGGTGACGCAGCCATCGCCAGCTCATCGAATTGGGCTATGGGAGCGCATCAAGCGGCTGTGGCTGAGGCCGAACGAAAAGACTACTGCGATACAGAGCAGCTTGCGCGGACGGCGACAAATTGTTTCCAAGTTAGCCGCGCAGTCACCAGCCAGTTCCCAGTCAGTAGCCGAAGAGCCAAAGGTTGCAGCGAACGGTTCAACCGCCACGCCTTCCAAGGATGTTTCCAACGGTAGGACTGAAGTCCTTGGGGAGGACTTGTCTGGCCACTTCGAAGAAGACGACCAGGCTCCAGCACCAGATGAGATGACAGAAAGAAAAATACCGGCCCCGAAGCAGGAAGTTTCTGAAGGATCGACTTCTGGAGCACCGGCGTCATCAACGCCCACGAAGACAAAATCACGGGCCGCCCGCTCCAAGGAAGACACATCAGTGGGTGACATTGAGCCGACAGAAGCTGATTTCCAAGCCCCAGGAAATAATTCCAAAAGAGAAAAAGAGCCCAATCAGTCCAGAGAAGATAGCCGAGCGGTAGGCGTTGAGTTGCAAGGCCAGAAGCAGCCCCATGAAGATTCAGCGGTCGGGCCGGTCACGGCAAAGGCAGAAGATGTTGAGAAACTAGCAAAGCGCCTGAAAAATGAGTTGGCAGATCTGGCCACTCAGCAAAGGCAAATCGAAGAGAGATTCAGGAGGCTTCGCTCAGCAGGCAAAAAGAAGTCCCTGGAAGATATGAAGACTCTGAGAGGTGTGCTAGCACAACGAACGGTGGTAAAGGCAAAATATGAAAAGATAAGGAAACAGTTGATTAAATGAAACTGTATCAGCTGTAAGCCTGTTCGTTGTTGAGTATGGGGGAGCAAGGGAGATACTGGCATCTCTGAGCCCACTTCTTTGTGCTAGGTCTTAATAATGGTTACCTCTGCGAGATGGGCTGAACCGCCGAGATATAGGAAAGTATTGCTCCTACAAACTTTGGCGCTGTGTTTCTGTCGTCCTCCTTGCCGCTTGGAAACAACGATTAACATTGCTGGAGGCTAAGCTAGGGAGCACAGACGCCTCTCAGATTTCCAGGCGCAGCCTATCGCATATAGAACCGCAATTATACCACAAACACTCTTCGCTCCCTTGAACTCGTGTGCACCATGAACTTAGTCATCCTTTATCTCTCAATACGGCCCCTGCTCACCACCATCAAACAGCACCGGCAGTGGGATTCTAGTATGGCTCACTTGCCCGACCCTCGTGATCTCCTCCCTATCCTCATCACTCAATTTCAGGTCCAGAGCGGCAAAATACTCCTTCACCCTCTCAGTCTTCTTGGTTGTGTTGAGCACTATAACCCCCTGGTCCAACTGCCAGCGGATCAGCACCGTACTCTCGCTCACGCCATACTTGCCCGCGAGCCCCTTCAACGTGCCCTCAAGGTGCATTCCCTTAAGCCATGTGATCGGTGCCAGGCCCATGTAGCTCTCGCACGCGATGCCCTTGGACTGCAGCCATTTCGCATACTCGGGGGCGCCTTGGATGTACGCGTTGAATTGGATCTGGTTGACCACGGGCTTTATTTCGGCTGTCTTGAGCAAGTTTTCAACATGCTGCTGCCGGAAGTTCGAGACGCCGATTGCTTTGGCCTTGCCGGAGCGCTGGAGAGCTTCCATGAGCTTCCAGGCTTTGGCGACGTCCTCTTCGACATACTTGTTCTCGTTAAGGTAGGGGCTGTGGAGAAGGTATCTAAAGGGGTTAGATGAGGAGCATCCGGCATATTTAGCTATCTAGGCATCTTACAAGTCGATGTAGTCTAGCTGAAGCCTCTTGAGGCTGTCCTCGAGGGCGTTTGGGAGGTCGTCGATCTTTCCCTCGGTGAGTGTCTGCACAACCTTCGTAACAACGAACAGTTCTTCTCGCGGAACACTGCTTTCTTTGATCGCCTGACCAAGCTCGGCCTCGGTGCCGTAGCCTTCCGCGCTGTCGAGGTGGCGATAACCGGCCTTGATAGCATTTTTCGCCATAGTCACCATCTCTGGGTCGAAGGCGGAGAAGCGGTCCGGCTTGTACCAAGATGTTCCCGTGCCGAAGCCCATCTATTGTCACAAATTAGAATAATGTTTTCCGCTGTGACGGCATTTTACTCAAGGGAAACGTACCACGGGAATATGTGTGCCGTCTCGCAGCTTCGCCAGTGGAATTTGAGGATAGGATGCCATGGTTGGTGATTATTGAGAAATCTAATCTCAATGGGCAGAAGGTGTTGTTCAACACAGCTTTAGATTGATGTCCGAGGCAGATTTGACAGTGGACTGATTCACTGCTTATATGTTCGGCCAGAGCCACGCTGCCCGATTTCCAACATCTAAATGCCATTAGCCAGTGACAAGTCCAACTAAATAGCCTGACAGGGCTCTTTTGCAAGCTGCATAAGCTGGTCTCCGGTAGCGTGCCCGGGTGCGGGGCGAAAGTGGACAAAACCGTTGATATGCCGGCCTCTTCCCTGACTTGTCAACCCAGCACTGCAAGTAAGCAAATGCTGAAGATATCCCGAGGCTGCCGATTGGACCCCTTGGTCGCACTGCATCCTTCCGAGATGGCAAGCCGCTACCCCGGCTGACGAAGGTGGGCATTTCGAGCCGTGACAGCTTGGAAAACAGTTGCTTTGGTAAGAACGAATTAATTCCTTTCGATGGTGCCTCGATCCTTTGAGGGGCTACAGCAAGGATAATGGCCCGTCTTGCTTGGCTTGGCCAGCCCTGTCGATCATGGGCGCGGAATGCTGAAATGGACACCGAAAGTCCTTCATGTGCCGCATAATGAGCCTCGATATATTTTGCTCCGATTTCTGTGTCTTTCGATAGTATAATGGGACAGGCGTTGCGCAATATTCGGTGATTTTGTGAACGTCTGGGAATTGCCTTCGCTGCGGTAACGGTGTAGTCGCAGATGATCCTTTCTCCACCAGAGCCACATGCAATTGTTCCCGAAAGACCGCGTTTTAATGACTATCATCTTTTAGATGCACTTCGTGGTGGCGGTTCGTGCCTGTTTGCTTGGGCGTAAGTAAACATGCCGGATCGCACTTTAGGAATGAGCTTCAGTAGCAACACAACTTGCCGTTCTTGTGATCTGACATATCGTGTAGCTCTTCTTATCGAAAGTTTGAGTAGGCAGAAGGAAGACTTCAAGCTCAAAGGCTGCTTAGCCTGCAAGCTGTCAATGGATTGCTCGGACACTGACAGAGGCTCTCGACGTTCTGCTAATGCACAAAAGCAGACGTCGTCTCTTGTCACAAAAGTTTCGCTATAGATGATGAGGTGGGAGGGAATTCAGGAACAAAAGCGAGAGTGGTTTTCAGGCTCAAAGTAGAATTAGCAATCAACACAATTCAGAAGGTGCATGTAATCTCCTTAATGGCTCAAGTAGTAACCAACCGCGGGCCACGGGTTTTATGGCCCCCGGGACTCGAGAGACAGGGTCCCTGGGCAATGAATACGGAGCCTTGAATTGGTGGGCTGGTGGTCTATTGGAGGGTTGCCGCCAAGGGTGCATCGCCGCAGAAGCCGACAAAGTATAAGCTGGTTAGAGCATGATCTTCAGAGTTGATGATCCAAGAGTCCTGATGGGGCACTTCTCTCTTTTACGATGAGGCCTGGGACTAGCAACCGCAAAAATAAGTGAAACACTGGCATGTTACAAATTTGGATACTTAGGGTGCTGGATAGGGCAGGGCATCACCAGCGGCGTTCTTAGCGGATCAGAGCTGTTTGACGCCGAAACCACCACCAGCCAAAGCAGAGCAACAATTCTACTGCTTCTTGTTTAGAATATCACTTGACACCAGAGCATGGTCAGAACTCGATTGCTACCAATGTGATAAGGTTTTTGCTTCGGTATCGGAAGGTTTAATCCGGCGAACGGGCAAAAGATGTATTTGGGCGGGGTGGAGGTGTTCTTGTCTGGCAAAGTTTATTCAGCGAGACGTCTGGATCATACCAGGTAGACCGAGCAAAGGAGTGTTACTCTCGATGAGCGGGCACGAGTTGTTGCCGCGATTCATGACATGCATCTCTAAACTCAACGTCACCCAATGCGGTCCCCGATATTCTGGGCTTGTTATGACATGCTCTGAATCTTGATCGCAGTATTCAAAGACGCCAAGCTGATGCGACAAGGCCTCCTCCTGTGTACACATCATCGGTCTTTCCCATTTCTGACTCGAATAACACACGGGCTTTCCAACCACATTCTAGTGCAACACGACGGTCCAGAGCGAAGAGACTCCTGCTTCCATGCCGGCCATCTCGGCTCGATGTTTGTTTCTCCTTGGCCTGGCCCGATCACCTTCCACCCCAGGTGGCGAACACCAACCTGTGCATTCTCCAGTGCCAGAGACTCACCGCGGGTATCAAGCCCGTCTCCGGCACATGTATTGGCAGCATGCAGACGAGACAGCCGGAGCTGTTTGTCGCTCTCTCAATAACTTGGTCATTTGCGACATTGACTCTAGTCCTACGGCTGTTATGCCGGAGGATTACGAAGAATCGGCTGTGGTGGGATGATTACTTCGCAATTATCGCATATGTAAGAACCTGCTGAGACTTAAACTCAGGCTGACTCCCAAGCCGTCGCGTCATGGTGATAGATTTGTTGCTGAAGTCGACTTGCAGCTACTCAATGTAGGCGTTTCTGCTGCAATTATCAAATGTGAGAGCTTGCATCAGCATTCATTTTTCGCTCTGATAACGTCTGACATCTCATCAAATAGGGACCAGTGACGGCTTCGGTCTACATGTGAAAGACATCGGCCGACCTGAACAAGAAATCCTTCGTAATGCAAGGCTGGATCTGTTCATCTTGGAAATGTTCTACATACCCTCGCTCAGTTTCTCTAAGCTTGCTGTACTTGCATTCTACTGGAGAATCTTCAACAGCGTCAGAAGTGCCAAGGTTTCGATCATCGTGCTCGCAGTCATAGCGATCTTGTGGCTAGCAACACGGGTGAGTTTTCTCGCGAGGATTCCTCCCCTTAAGTCTGTGATGACAGCGTCCTGGAGTCCACATCGGGCTTGTTTTCCTTTCAAAATCCCCATTGTCCGTCGAAGTCAGCAGCTAAATAGGAACATGAAGCTCGTTCTCAACGTACTTCACTGCATACCAGTACATGCATATTGGGATGCTTCAGTGCTCGGAGCTAGGTGTCCCTACCGAGATCCACCCTTCTATCATGGCAATGTCTCACTTCAGTACATACACCTACTTGCCGACATTGCTCTTCTTATTATCCCCGCCCTACAAGTGCAGAAATTGCGATTGAATCGAAGTAAGAAGTTCGGCCTCACAGCCCTTTTTATGTTTGGGATTTTTGTCTGTGCGGCCACGATCTCAGTTATTGTGTACTCGACCAGATATGATCCTAGCATCAGCACCGAGTTCTCATGGAGCGTGGCCAGCATCTTCATTTGGACAATCGCTGAAGTTAACTTGGCCATCGCATCAGGTGAGCACCAACATTCTTTCATTCGCATATGGCATGCTAAATTTGTCATCTCTCAAGCCTGTCTCCCTCTCTTGCGCCCCCTTTTCAAGTCAATTGTCGGAGACTCTGCCTCAAAGTCAAGGGCGCCACCTAGATTGCCGACACTACCTGGCTACCGAAGGAAGGATCTGAACCAGAACAGACAGCTAGAGAGAGTCTCGACACGGACCTTGCGGAAAGCAAATGTTTGGGCACGCTTCAAAAGAGCACGGAAGGGCCCAAAGCCCGATGAGATAGAGATGAGGGCCCCTCGGCCAGATGGACAAGGGCGGCCAGGTTTGTTCGACGGCACACCCGGGTCGGAGGTGGCTGCAACCACACAAGAGCCCTCCACATGCCATGATTACTCGACATCAGCGATAGTGGTAAAGAGTGAGCTGTCTGTAGAGGTAGCCAGAGCATTATGAGTATGAAACCCTTTCACATCTGGTTTCCTGGGCGTGCTCTCGCGGAAACCTGTCTCCAATATTGTGACATCGCATTTCTCAATTCACCTAGCCCCGGTCAGGTCTCACTGCAAACTCTTCTCGGCATCACCCGTTTTGCATGCAGGCATAGCAGGTACCGCATGATGAAGTGAAGTCTTCTATCGCAAGATTTCACATCAAGACGGCCTACCGAAGACACAAGGCTTGCCGGTCTCCAGGCATCCAGGCTTTCGACATTCGATCTAGGAGCTTCCCATATTTTGAGTAATTAAAACCTAGATTTTCAGTACCTGGCAGCTTCCCTTCTGGAATGATTTGAGAGGCTTGTCAAGAAGTCAGCCCCGTTTTCCTTCCCACCCCCACCACCCAGACCAGCACCTGGAAACTCAAAAGTCACGGCATCCAGTTTCTTCTTGTCTCGGTACCCTTTGGTCGGACCGATCGTGCAATTGATACCCCAAACCATTCAATACCGCAACAGTAAGGGACATTTTGAAGGCTGTTGTGTCTCGTTTTCTTCAAGCATCTCCCGTCACGTTCGAGACACGGTATCTTTGCGACCTCATCCCAGCACGACAAAGGTCGAAAACCTCCTCAAGCCTTCCATTAACACGTACTACGAGCCCCAGCGCCAAAAGGTTTCGCACACTACTGCCCTAGAGTCTTGTGAATTTCTGAACTCTCGAGTCTCCACACCAGCGTCCACGATGCTGTTTACATTTCTCCTTGGCCTGCTCCATCTATGGGCGGGCGTTTGCGATGCTGACGTATCCATGGACGATTTCAACCCGGTCCCATTCATCTACAGCAATGACTACCTCGCGGCCAATTCGAGCGACAACAAAGTTATCATCGCCATTGCGAAGAAGGGACAGTGCATGAGCTACTTCGGATTCGCAAACGCTACCCTGGAAGGCCTGGCCTCTTGCGAACTGTTTTGCAATCCCCCTCAATACAACACTTGGGACGTGAGTACTCTTCCGTGGCATGGTGAGCACTTTGGATGCATTCCATGATGGCGACGCCCCGATATTTTAATTCTCTTGAAGGCTTGAAAACACTGACAGCTTCACTTGCAGTGTATTGCTGGTGACCTGCAAGAAGATGACTGGAGCAATGTCTTCACCGACGAACACCTATTCGAGTGGACCCCCGGCACCTGCAAATGTTGGAACTCCTCTGAACCAACACCCTCAGTTGAAGGGGACTTTCCTGCGAGCCCAGCCAAAGATCTAGCAGCCGCTGAAGCGACGAAAGAGGTCCGGGACCTTTCAACTTACGGGTACAGCGTGACTCCGTATAGCAACAACCCCGAGGATATGGCTGACTGGAACTTCTGGTCCATCGACTTTCCCAACGCCAGGGTAACAAGTGGCTGTTCTTGCATCGGGATTTTCGGAGTCCCAAAAGACAACAACGATCGCCACGTTATGCGCATATACGAAATCTGGGCTGGGCGCGATGAGCGTGACCCTACTCAGAAAGCATTCATGCATGACGACGTCATCGGTTTCTGGAGGCTCAATCCGTTGAACAGGAACCTTGACGATCTCAAAGAACTCGTTTTCAACACAGTTATCGAGCAAACACTCAACGATATGGTCATTCGCGTATACCGGATGGTGGGAGCTGACTTGATGCAACCGCTCGGGATCTTTCGAGATGGGCAGACCAATGGAGAGCAGCAGGCTTTCCAGCTAATCCTCACTCAGTCCAAGTTCGGCAGGAGAATGCAGCAGGCGATAGACGAGTTCGAGGAGTTCAAGAACCGGAGAATCGAGGCCTTTTACTTCACAGATGCCGACGAAGGGTTTGACTTTATCATCTATTTTGATGGATTTGCTCTTTCGAAATGGCAATTCCAGACTCGGGCGGTGATTCCGCGGGCATGGCAGACAGGCACATTGTGGGCTCAATCTGAGCAAGTTGAGAAAACGATGACCTCGAAGATTCGCCTGGTTGACACTTGATTTCGCAAGCGATTGCTCCTAATAGAATCCAAAGCGTAAAAGGAATACTACAAAAATGTGGGGAAGGATAATTCAGATACAGCCTTTCGCTGATTCATGACAAAACACCGAGTGTTGTGAATGTCCACGATGAACCTCTTCAAATCCATCTATGCCCTTTGGGTGTTTGGCAATCAGCCGCTTCATTTCCTCCTTGACCCTACAGAATATTATGTCAGAATACTGTTTCAAAGTTAAGGGGTCATTTCCTTCTTACAATTGCCGTAGAAATGCGCGATGTTCGTGTAGCCCAGCGTTGATGATATTATCCCGCCTATTTTGTTTAGCACACAGGTAAGCATTTGATGTCTGGGTGGTTGTCAAGGCGTGGGAAGCACAGCTTCTGTGCACACTTGCATTGCATATACTGCGTTGCGATCATCGAAGTCCTTCTCCGGTTGCGATGGACTGGCAGCCTCCAGGTACTTGCTAGCGTGTTCGCCTGTGAATCGATATCGTGGCTCTCGCATCATGCCGAGATCGACTGGCAAGATGAGATGATCAGCAGGAAAAACAAAACACTCCCAAGGGGAGCAATCCACTCACGCTCGTTGTGTGCATAGCAGCAACATGAGTCGAACAATATCACGCGCTGCGTGTCCCTGTCGATCTGCACGTTACCAGGCCAGACGTCGCCGTGGACAAGGACCGGCTGGATGCTTCTGCCTCCCGTCTGAAGTGGTCGCAACAATCTCGGAATGACCTTCTCAAAGAATTCACCAGCGATCTCGTCCATCTCCGGGTCCGGCCCCCGGATGCTTTGCTCCCATTCAATGTCGGATCGCAGCTAGCGACTGAAGAACTCTTCCCACGTATCGCACCATTCATTGACCAATGGTACGATGCCGTTGAAAGTGGTTGTATGGAAGCCAAACTGTCCTGTAGGAGATGCAGAAGTCTTGTGCAATTTCTCAAGGACCTCGGCTAATTGTACTGGCTCAGGAACTTTGTCGCTGAGGTTACGAAATGGCGTCAGGAAGAAAGATGCCGAGGAGTCGAGTTCCAGAGGCCCATATGCCAATGGTATTGCAGCGTTGTCTGGCAGATACTTGAGAAGCTCTGCTTGGCTCTCATACTCCCCTTTGGCGAGCTCGAGATGGCGAGGTCGGCGGATTATCTGACGATGTCACTATCAGCAGCTGCACTTAGGAGGATATCTTAGATTGTGAGAACCTTCAGGAAATACACCAGGTCTTTCCCTTCGCTCTCCACCTCGACCTTGTACCCAGTTGACCAGCTTCCAATACCATGTGCGTTGACAGAGACGACCTCGCAACCGTGGGGAAGCACTTGTTATGCTAAATTTAGAAACATGCCTGACCCGTCAGTTTGAGGTGTCTTAGAGACATGACGTACCGGCCAAAATAGCAGGATCACGCGTTTCGTTCATGGCGTCGTTCAATTTCTTCCTCGATAGTAGTGGAAACGATCGTGCATGTGCTGTGAGCGTTCATGGTGGGAGAGGAGTTGCCGCAGGGCGCGGGGTGACGTTTAAATCCGGCCCCAGGACGCCCGAGACCGAATGAATGCTCAACTACCAACACAATCTTGGCAAGGCTCAGGAAGCTCTCAAGACGTACCCATTTAGTACAATGGGCTTTTCATTCCCCCTGTTGGGAGCTTCAAATGCCATTATTAGCAGAATAAAATGTTGCAACTATTCTAAAGTCTCGTTATGGCTAGCAAGAGTATGAAGAGTTCTAGTCTCTCTGCGGCAGATATCAGCTCCACGCGTAAAATTCGTTGCAATGCAACGTGATCCTCTTTGACTCATCACCACCTTTCCACCTCAGTGATGGAATGCTTCTTCGATCTCGCTGCCCGCTTGCCACCTTCACCCCATACTCGTCCTTCAGAATTTTCAGCGCCTGGAGGACGGCTGAGTTTGCATCCCACACGGTCACTTTGGGTAATGACCATGCCAAAGCCTCTTCTAAAGCGTCTAGTAGTAGAGAGGCCACCTGCTCGGCCTGTTCTTGACTCGACGCTTCAGGGAGATGGATTCTCAGCACAGCTAACTGGTGCTTTCTGAAATCATGGTACCAATATATCCATGATTCTTCGGACCTGCTGATCGCGCCGCGATTTTCGGTCACCTTTCCTTGTTTGGAGGCCATGAAGCTAGCTCTTTCTTGCAGTAAGGTAATGAGGTCCGCGGAAGGGGCAACGGCTGCAAGAATTTGGTCCTTGGAGACCTGCGTCTTCTGCGTCTCTTTTGTCACGCTTTCTACATCCCTTTCACAAAGAGTTATCATGTCTCCAGAAGTCAAGAAACGGGTTCCGGACGTGCTCGATCGCCTGTTCAAAGTGGAATTGGACGCAAGCGTCAAGATAGACTCAAAAGCAGGAAGCGGGCCCCAGCCTCTTTTGGCGTAAAACTTCGATACCGATCAGCATGTTGCCCACTCTCTCAAATCAGCAGACTCACGTCTCCAATGCTGGTGTACAGCATACTTGCTGTGCCTGCTCCAGGCCCATCCATCCACTCTGCCACATGGCTCATCAAGACAGACGCGAGGCCAGCGTTCCTGTACTCTGAGTTTGTGATGACGCTGGCTATGCAGTAGCCATCCTGCTGGCGCAAGGCGGTCTGACCGTCTTTGACGAGCAAGAATCTGTGGAGCGTCTTACACGTCGCGAGGATGCAGTCGGGATCATTCGTCGGGAAAAGGCACCAGTAGCGTCTCCCTCCGTCAACAGCGAGCGGGAGACTGCCGAGGTAGTACTCCAGTTCTACATACTGGTCCTGGGATAAAGGTGCAGCGAAAGCTGATCCGGCGAGCCTGCAGCACTGCAGCTGCTGTTCAGGTGTTGCCTCTCCCACAGCGACTTCGAGGGGCCCGCCCGGGAGCTTGAGCGTGGTTGTAGCCAGTCTTAATGCCATGACAAGATGTGGTTAGTTATATTGATGGCCTGCTTCGATCAACATCTAAGCCCTGACGAACACAGGGAGGGATGCTGGGAACATCCTGTACCGGCGGTGGACGGCAAAATGGTCAGGATATCTCCTAACCCTCGTGCGCTTCCGGCTTGCACATGTTTGTCATGCACTGCATAATTGGCTGCTCTTGCCGGCTGCCAAATTGTATATCCAGTTCATTCATTCATGTTTCTGGAGAAATAGATTGGTGTTGGAGATCCAAGTCTTACATCCAGGGATAATCTGAAGTGGTTCTAGCTGCAGTACATATTCAGTTTGCGTGCTCAGACCAGTGTCGTCGAGCGCCGACTGAGGCTCTGTCTGGATCGACCGGATCGACTGATTTTCCAGCACACCCGAGAGCCAAATCTGAACCCAATTCGGCGAATCAAAGAAGCCGGCCGAAAGTCGGCGCCAGGTGAAGCAACAGAGGCGCTTCAATTTCCGCGACTCGATAGGGTGTTTCGAAACATCTCGCTTGAAGGGTCCCACAGCCCTGCTCATCTCCGTCAATGTCATCAGAGTTCGGCCAAGCAGCCAAGCGGCCAAGCTCGGCCTAGATCCCACACTGGCCACTGAGCACTTTCACCACACGAGAGCCGCAAAGCTTATGGACCTCAAGACTCTGGTATCTTGTATATCTGGAACGTATTGGATAGCCGGACTTGGTCGACACTTACTTGCACCTCTGCCTCGTCATATCCACGGCCAGCTGTGGTGATAATATTTCCGTTGCAGCAATCAAAAGCGTTGTGCACGATGTGCAGAGCACGTCTTGGGCATGATGGAAAAGAGTGGCCGCCCCTGGAAATGTTCCCATTGGTGCATTAACCCTGCTGAGAAAGGCTGTCCACTTTTCGCTCAGGGGGCCATCATCAAGCTCAAACGACATTCCCCAGCGGCGCATCGTGGACCCCGGTCTGTTTCCCCTAATGTTTCCTCAAAACAGACCATCCTCCCGCGCTTGCGGGAAGAAAATAGACCAATGGCAGTATCTCACTATCTAAGTCGTCTCCGCCGAGGGCCCCGACCCACTGGGAACACAGCAATCTGGGTGTTAACGGTGAACTTCAGGTACTACTCCTGCAATTACATGGGCATCCTCCCTGCCAGGGGGGCCAGAAGGAGCATGACGGTTGAATAAATATCACGAGCCTGAATTCTTCACTCGCTCTCCATCTGGTCTTTTCTGCATTGTGCTGCTGTGTCTCTCACTCACTCTCTTCGACGACCACTCTTTTCGTTCGCTTCATTCTTTAAGCAATTCGCTCTTTTAGGCTCCGGATAGCCCTCTAGCAAGACAAGGATCTCATCAGAAGCATCCATCTTTTTTCCCAAAACAAGACTCAGTAGTTTCACACGTCGACCAACAGGTTATTCCTCAGTCAAGATGATGAAGCAATCCGCCCTCGCTACTCTCGCCGCCTACCTCGTCGGTCTGGCCGCCGCCGGAACCAAGGTTTGGGATGGCAGCTTCGACACCCTGACCACTGCCGACCTCGCCGACTGGTCCTGGTCCAACCAGGAGGGCCCTTACCAGTGGTACATTCACGGCACCGCCGATACCTCCAAGTACCTCGACTTCAGTGCCGATGCCGCCGGCCCGGGAGCCACCAAGGGCGCCAAGGTCACTCTCGACAGCACTGCCTACTGGAACGGCCAGAACATGCGCCGGACCGAGCTGATCCCCTCCGTCACCGACACCAGCTCCATCACCTCGGGCACCCTGTACTATCACTTCTCGATGAAGCGCGAGGAGACCAACGCACCCTCGGTGAACCGCGAGCACCAGATCGCCTTCTTCGAGTCGCACTTCACCGAGCTCAAGTACGGCTGGATCTCGGGCGAGGCGGGCGAGTCGGACGACCAGCTCCGGTGGTACGCCAACTCGCAGAGCCAGTGGAACGTGACGCTCGAGGCCGGCGTGTGGCACAACTTTGCCTACGAGATCGACTTCGACGCCAGCACCGTCGCCTTCTGGCACTCGACCGGCTCCGACGAGCTGACCAAGGCCGTCGAGGCCGTCAAGGCCAGCGTGAGCTCCAACGGCGCCGACTGGCACGTCGGTGTGCTCGAGCTCGCCCGCGACGGCTACGAGGACGCCACCGAGGACCTCTACTTCTCGGGGGTCTACATTGAGAGCGGTGACCTGACCACCACCTTCTCCAGCGCCGGCTCCTCCGGCTCCGACTCCGGTGCCGCCGCCTCCTCCGCTGTGGCCTCTTCCGCTGTGGCCTCTTCTGCTGTGGCCAGCTCCAGCGTTCAGGCTGCTGCATCTAGCTCTGCCCCCGCTAGCTCCGCCGAGGCCGTCGCTGCTTCTTCCTCCTCTTCCTCCTCCGCTGTCGCTGCCACTACCTCTGCTGCTGTGGTCCCCACCGCTGCCGCCCCAGCCACCACCGCTCTGGCTTCAAGCAAGACGTCTTGCGTCAAGAGGACCAAGACTGTCTACGTCACCCAGTCCGCTTAAGCGATGAAGGGCGTCGTCGATAGTGTCTTAGGTTGTTGAGGATGATGAGGAGAGTGAGCGGTGTAGCAACGTTTGCATCGGGTCGGCGCCGGATAGCGCAACTTCCTGTACATAGACTTACCTTGTGCTTCGTGTCAATACTACTTGCTTCGTGCTGAATTGTTTTCCCTCAACAAGTGACATTGTCTTTCCTATCTTCTATGAGATGTGTGAACGCTCAACGATCTTCATCACAACTGAGTCTAAATGTAGCATGTTGTGGCGGAATGTCTCTTGACGTTTTGCTATTGTGTTGATCTCGTCGGCGCCCCATGTCTTCTCTGCCGATTCGTCTTCAGTCGCTTCACTGGGTGTGTTTCTGAGCGTACTTGCTTCAGTTGTTTCTATGGAAGTGGACAAATCCTGTGCTTGTGCCACACACGCATCCATAGTGGCTGTAGGTCAAAGCTGCGTGTCTGCAGTGTGTGGGTTGCTTGCGAGATATTCCACACGATGACCCTCAAATTTCCCCTTGCACTGGTGGATGGGACTCACTGACTTTCCCTGTCACAATCTCGTAGCATTCAGTGGTTTTTCCTTGGTGTCGAGGTGCTTTTGGGCTGTGCTTCCGGGACCACAAGGCTGCTGTGGCTGGTGGACAGAAGACAGGAGTGGAAGTGCGCATCATCAAATTGCCGAGCCAGCGAGCCTTCCTTCACGCAAACCAAGAATTTCACTTGGTGCCTTCGACGAGGATTTTCGGGAAACTGAACCCAGCCATTTCCGTCCCGGGGAGTAAACCCGAAGGAGCAGAATAATTTTGAAAAATCTCCCAACAGAAGCGAGGGATACCCCAGTGTGAAGTGCATGGTCGTCTTCTGGGTTGATAGAAATGAACTTGCTGTCAAGATGACCTTCAAAAACCTCGGTTTCTTTTTCTGGAGCAATAACAGGCTGGTTATTGCAGTCATCCCGTGGCTTGATGTGTTGGTCGAGGATGTAAATGACGTCGAGTTGGTCGAGTTGTAGAAGGTTCTGTACATCGCCGTAAGAACTCCAAGAAGGCACGAGTAGAGGATACCACCATCCATGCTGGTTAGGAGGGTTTAATGGAAGTTCCAGGGCAAGTAGGCGCGGGGAAGGACGTTTGTCGCGATCGCAAAACTGTTTCTCCACCCGGCCGAAACGAGGATTTGATGGGGACACAAAGATACCATTATTCGTTTTCTCGATACGGACACACACAATGTCGCTGGTCTGCACCATGTCTGAGATGCTGTTGTGAGACTGCTCTCTGCCCAAAGAATTGCCAGTTGTCTTATGTTTCAAACACACACTTCTCGCTTCAATGCAGACGTCCAAGAGCTCCTGCCCAGACCATCGGAAAGAAGGATCATCCTTAGACTTGGTAACCTCCCAGCGCATTTTCTGGCCCTCTCATATCCAGGACGATAATCATCACGCCAGCAAAAAATCTGTCGGTCACAAAACAAGCCACCCTCAGCACCGTCTGAATCGACTATAGGCTCCAGAAAGTGAATCCTTGGCCCAGGTGCTGCGCAAGCGAACTCCCAGACACGAAGGCGCAGTTCGCTTGGGAGAAGCTTGAATAGGGTGAATGTTTCAGCTGGAGGCCGCTGCGTCACGCTCGGTCCCATAAGGACGTCTGAAGTAGCTGGAGGCGAGAGGACCAACGGTTGAGATGGTCGATCGGGGCTCATGTGGTCAGGAGGGAGCTTTGAGAGCTTATTCACGCTGGAATCGGCCGCCATGGTTTGGAATGGTGCACATGGTCAATATAGACAATGTGTTGCTTCTTGGTTGGACGGGACATTTAGGAGATGGAAAGTTGGTGCGTGAGGTGAGAGCAGTCTGGTTTTTGTGATGGGTGGCAGGGTAAAGGGGTAGGGATACACGTTGCCCAAGTAAACATGCAGCTCAGAGCGGTTGACTCAACGCGTCTGCCTTCAAGTGATCCGCGGGCAAAGGGGCCGGTACTTCAACGCGAGCATGGGGAGGGGTGGGAGGGTTCATTAGGCATCCACTACATCAAATTGGACCTGTAGTTCTAGGCACCAAGCTTGAGAACAAAGCTTTAGGCCTGTTCTCGCCTTGCTCTGAACGCTTTTCGTGTCAAATGGCTGTTTTATGCTATTGTAGGGTGCAGGGTAAGCTTTAAGCTTACATAATCAAGGGGCAAATCTTAGGCAAAGACTTTAAAAAAGCATTACTTTAACTATAGTTTTTATAAATAAACTAACCTATATTCTTTTAAATTTAATACCTATTATATATAATTGTAATATTTATACTTTAATTAAAACCTAAATGCCTTTTATTTTTTTTAAAAGCTTTTATTTTTAATGTTTTATTATTTTTTTACTAATATACTTTTAAGTATTTTAAAAAACTAGTAAAATAGGCTTTTATAGTATATACTTTATTCTTTATAATTACTTATTTTTAATAGTAATTTAGCTTAAGTTTATTAGTTTAATACTTTTTATAAGTAAATAAATTAAAGCCTTAAAAATTAAATACTAAAATATATTTAATAGTTAATTATAAAAACTACATATTCTATTATTATTAAAAATTATTATTTAAAGATTGCGCTTTAAACCTTAATAATAAATAATTAGGAAATCTAACAGCTTTAAAGTAATAATTATTAAAAAATAATATTCTTAATAAAATATAATTAGTATTAAGAATTTAAAAATTTATATTAATTTAGTTAATTTTTAAAATTAATAAAAAATAGTTTATTAACTAAAAGTATTTAAAAAAAGAATTACTAGTTTAATAAAAAACTTAGCCTTATTTTAAAATAAAAAGGATTAAATTTAAAAATCTCTTATAAAATTTTAAATATATTAAAAAGATTAAATAATTATAATATTAAAAAGTACTATTAACTATAAGGCTTAAAAAGTATATTTTAATTTAAGCTTATATTTATATATAAAAAAGAGTTAGTATTATACTTTATTAAAATAAAAAAAATTAAAAAATACTTAAAATAAATTTTATTTACTTTATTTTAATAATAATAGTAAAAAAAACTTTAATAATAAGTTTTATTTATTAGTTTATTAAAACCTTATAATAAAATTATTAATATTTAATTAAAATTTAAAAGATTTTAAATTTATAAATTACTTAATAAAAAAGGAAAAATATTTAATTATATCTAAATACCTTATTATTATTATACTAAATAAGTATATAAAGGAATATTTAACTTATATATTTTACCAACTTATTTAAAAATATATTATTATTAATTTTACTATATTATTTTTATTTAAACTTACTATTATCTTTTATACTTAATTAAATCTTTATAAATAAAAAAATATTTAGTTTAGGCTTATTTATAAGTAATAGTTTTACTAAAAGTCTTTCTCTTTTTAAGTAATTAAAACCTTTTTTTTTTTAAAATAATAAAGAATAAAAATCTTTTTAATATACTTATACAAACTATTAGCTAACTATTAATTATTTTACTAGCAAAATATAATTCTTTTTTTTCTTTATCTTAAACTTTTAATTATAAATAAATATAAAAAAAAAATATTAAAAAAAAAAGTAATTAAATAAAAAAATTTAACTTATTATTAACTTTACTTAATTAGAAAAATAATAATAGCTAAACTCTATAATTTTTAACTTAATTACTAAAAATTCCTTTTATTAGTATAATTTAAAACTTATATATTATTAACTTAATAATAATAGTATAAATATTTCTTTTATTATTATAAAGTATAAATATACTAAAATTTACTAATATTAATATTATTAAATATATTAATAGTTTTAAGTAAACTACTTAATAGTTTATATATTATAATAATTAAATCTTACTTCTCCTTAAGCAATAATATATTAGCTTAAAACTTTTATATACTATTAAAAAGGTTACTATAAATTAGCAATTTTAATTAATATAAAAGCTTAAATTAATATAATATTTTAAAGCTTATAATAAAATTTCTTAAATTAATTTAATAAAAATTATTAAAAGCCTTTTTTACTAAAATTTTAGTAATAATATTAAAAAATAAAAATAAAAAGTTACTAATTATAATTAAATCTTAAATAATACATTTAAAAATACTATTAATATAGCTTAGCCCTTTTATAAAACCTTACTATTTTAAATTAAAAAGTAATTTAAAAAAAAAGGCTTAAATAATATAGCTATTAAGAACTATACTTAAATTAACCTTAAATATATACTTTTTAAAATTCTTAATTAAAAAATAAAATATATAAAGCAAAATTGCTACTTTACTATTTATACTCTTTTTAATTATTTATAAAAAGCTATAAAGTTTTAGTAATATTTAATACTAAATAATAAAAATAATATATAATTATAAAAACCTAAATTAAATTAATAAATTAGTTAAATATAAATAAAGAATACTTTTATAAAATTTAATTAAAGGCTATAAAGTATTAAAAAACTTAAAAAAGCTATTAAAATATTAAAGTTAAATATTAATAAATTTATAAAAGCCTTTAACTAAATATATTTTAATAATCTTAATATATAAAACTAGTAATAATAAATTATTAATAATATTACTTAAATAGCTTTAAATATATATAAAAAGCTAAATTAAAATTAAAAAGTTATTATATATAATAATTAAAAAAATAAGCTTAAATTTAAAAGGTTTAAATAAATTAATTTAGTTAAACTATTTATTTTAGCTTTTTTAAATATTAATAATTCTTTAAATAAAAATAAATATTTAAATATATTTATAGTTTAGCTAAAAAAAGATAAGCTTTTGCAAATCTATTATAAATATACCTTGCTTAATTATAATATATATAATTATAATAAACTTTAAAAGCTTAAATCTACTAAATTATTTTATAGCTTAAAGCTTAAAAATACTTTAATATTTCTAAAAATAAAGAATAATGCTTAATAAAAGCTAGCTAAATATTTTAATTCTATTTATATTTAAAAATATTAAAATCAAGCTAAATATAAGCTAATAAAATATATATTAAGCTAATTAAAACTTCTATTTTAAAAAAACTAAATAAACCTCTTTTATATTTAAAAGTATTAAACTCTTATTACTAGTAACTTTAATTTAAAAAAAAAAGGCTTAACTAAATATACTAAATACTCTTTATAATTTAAAAATAAAAAATAATAATATTAAGCTAATATTTATAAAATTAAATAATAATATTAAAAAAGCTATTCTTATTAAAGAAAAATTCAAATAAATTAAAAATTAAAGTTAGTTTATTTTATTAGTAAATATAATAAAAAGAAAATAATATATTATTAAAACTAATTATAATAAAGCTATATTTAAATTTCCTCCTATTTAGTAAAATAAGGAAATCTATATCAAGTTCACAAACCCTCCTACATCTATAAACAATATAAGCCCATTTCTATAAACTATTAGTTCTAATTAAATATTAAATACTTCTTAAATACAAAATACTTAAAAGAATTTAAAAAAATAATATAAAAAAAAGCATTTTTTAATATTATCTTTTAAAAAAAAAGTAGCTTAAGCTATTCTTATTAAATTAATTAAACTTAAAATAATAAATCTTTTAATCTTTAAATAAATTAGCTAAACCTTAATTAAATATTTATAAGCTTTAAATAATAATACTTATATTATAAATAAAATATTATTTAAGCTAATAAAAAATTTTAACTTTTACTTTAATTAAGCTTTTAATTTAAAAGTTATTAATTTTAGTAGCTATAAAGGGTTTTATAAAAACTTTTTTTTTAAAAAAACTAAGTAAATTATTTATTATTAAATTAACTTAATATTTTTAATTATAATAAATATTATTAATAAAAAATATTATAGTTTAACTTATTTAATAATTTAAATTAGCTTTAAAGTTAGTTTTTCTATTTTAACTTTTTTAAATATTAAAATAAAAATAAATTTAATACCTTTATTTTACTATTATTAAAATAAATTAACTTTTATATTATTTAATAATATAAACTTTATAATATATAATAGAAAAATATTTATTTTAATTAGTATTATAAAAAACTAACTTTATATTAATATTAAAAAATTAAAAGTAGTTTTTTTTTATTATTAATAATATTATTTACAAAATAACTAATTATATTTTTTTTAAAATACTATTTTTTTTAATATAAATATTTTATTTAAGTAATTAAATAGTTATTCTTTTATATATATAATCCTAAAATTTTTAAGGCTTATATATAAGTTAAAAAAAAGAAATTAAAAACCCTTTTAAGTTACTTTTATTAAAGGTATAAAGGTTATACTTAAATACCTTTTAGCTATTTAGTTAATTTTTGCTAATATTATTAGGCTTAACTAACTATTTATACTAATTAAAAACCTTATATATGCTTTTATAGCTAAAAATTTATTAAAGAAAGGAAATATAGTTTTAAGTTAGTTTTTTAATAAAAATATTAAGTATATAGCTGTATTATTTATAAGAAACTTTTATAAAAAAATAAAATAAGATTATTTAAATAAAAATATTAAAAAATTAAAGCTATAGTATATATATAATTTTTATTTTTAATAATAATAATAATATTTATAAAAATAATTTATAAATAGCTTTAGCTTAAAAAGTTTTATTTAATTTATAAAAAAAGCTTTATATTTTATAATTAAAACCTTATATAAGTAAGTTACTAATAAAATATATTTTATAAATAATTTTCTTTTAAATAAATCTATATTTAAAAAAATAATTAACTAAAAACTTT